TCACCCTACATCATCTACGTCTCCACTTGTTCCTATAGGTTGTTCAATTCTACTTATATTTGACTAGCAAGAGACATAATAGTCCTTGTTGTTTCTTACTATTTAACAAATCAATAATTTACCTTTAGGTACCACTCACACTAACCCTACCCTCTACCTCTATAGTTTTCTATTAATACTGAAGAAGGAATAAGAGGGGTAGAAGGGTCTGACCTTTTTTGTAGCATGGCTCTGATACCACTATAACAAGAAAGTCAGTTGCTTTCTTTGAATTTCATATCAACCACCAAGTAATCTAGTCTCCAACCAACCCTTACATGACCCAAAGAGATATTCTTAATAACAAAAGGTGATTCATACATGAGCCTTGGGGTCCCTCTTTATAGATGGGGCCGTGGCATGTTTCTTATAATTTTAGTATGAGGTTAAGTGTTCTTCATTCAGATGAAGTCAGGCCTATGACATCATTCATTATCGTAATGTTTGGTCACAATATCATGGTGACTTGTAGTAGTGTCATACTTCATTACATGTATCTTATGCCAGCACTTGTGGCACTACATCATCTTGCATGTATGCCAGGTTGTTATTACATGACGTGACTCAGTCGTTGTATAGTAAATCACGTAAATTTAAAATTTAGAAAACTAGAAAATAAGAATTTTTGGATATTTAGAAGTATTTCTGAACAAATATATCAAGTATGATTCAATAAAACTTTCAAAAATAGTGGTAATTTTCCAAGTTGATCATAGGGATGTAATATAATATATGGTAATTATTCAGAATTTTCTACAAAGAATAATATTTTCTATGAATTTTATATTATAAAATGAAAATGAAAAATATTTAAAATTCACATAAAAAGAAAATAAGAGTGCGTACGTCAAGATGACATCAGCGCCCGGCGAATGCGAATCGAGCAAAAATAGAGTTCCGCTCAGTGATTCTTACCTAAGCGATTATAGATGATTTAATTGATCAAATTAAGATCTATAAAAGTCGAAAGAATCGTAATGAAATAAAGTATATCTTAGTAAATTTAAAATCAACAAATTATCACTAAATGAAACGGAAATTAAGTTGAAAGCAGGAAAATAGATTTTCAACATCGCGGCAGCGATGCATCGGCGATGCACCAGAATTCTGAGCATTTGGGAGGATCATTTTGCAGTGTCTACGGCCTCGATGGCTCTCCTTGGACAAATATAACATGGACAATCTCTAGATCTCTTTGCGAAGTCTAGAGATCAATGAAATGGGTCATCGAATCGTCTCCGGCAACTGTCACCCGACAGAGCAGAAAAACGACGACTTTACAGCTCTCCAACGGCTATCACCTGACAGAGAGGAGCTAGATGGAGGTTGGGCGCATGTTAGGGAGTTTCATCCTCAAGCCTACACAGCAAGAGGAGGCTCTTCATCGCATCTGGTACAATCTCAAGAGGTGGCTACTCATCTCTCGGCGGATCGTCCTCTTTCTGATGACGGCTTGTTCGTCGATCAATCAAAGATGCTTTACTCGATGGATTTGCGATCCTTTTATCGCAAATCGTTTAGCAATTTTAGTAACAATGCTCTACGAATCACGTTGACGAGATTTTCACCGATGATCTAGTGATTCTGGTTGCTTAATCCTTCACCAACGATCTGCAAGAAAGTCGCAATAATTAGATAAAAAAAATATGAGTTTTGGCTCTAAGAGGATTCAAACCCGCACCGGTTGCCCCCTTTTTTAGGGAAGGTGACGCGGGTTTAGTCTCACATCGGTTGTGCGCCGAAGTTTCTGGCAAATATAAAGTAATATTATATTCCTGATCAAGTCCCTTTCTCGCGTGTGTATGACCACTCTTTGCCCCACAACTAGTTGGCCACTAGTGATGTGGAAGGGGAGCAGCGCACACGTGCCCCCATCGATTCAAGCCGCTCGAGCCCTTGCTCGCGGCTACTCTCCGACTGCGCTTCCGACCCACTTGAGAGCCTGGCTAGCCAGTGGGTCCCCCCTATTTTATCTTATTTTTATTTTAATTTCTTTTTCTTCATTTATCTCAAAAATAAGACTGTAAAAATCATATAAATTCGTATAAAATCACATAATTACTTAAAAATTTACGTTAATCAACTGAAAACCACTTTTCACACTTTAACACAAATATAAGTCTATTTATTATGAGTTAAGGCTAAAACTATATTATTTACTAATTATTAACTCATGATAATGAAGACTTATCACTAGGGTCAGCTCCTATTGAAGATCTTTGGTAACATTATCCCATAGTTAGTAGTAATTAACAAAAGTAGTTGATGCTCTTCCACCATCTCTTCTAAAATGAAATTGTGGATGACTTCATAATCTATTTAATACCTCTATAAATATCAAAGATTCTTTTAACTTTGAAGTGTTTTATTCAATGAGTCTCATGATTGAGTTTAAAGATAATTTTATCTTACTGGTGACCTCTATTGGTCCATCTTCATCCTTTGATTCTTAATGGTTTTTGTTATATAACTCTTTTCCTTCACCACTCTCTTCCATGTCATCTTCATGGACTAGCATCCTCTATAACTTTTTATATATATGGTTTACTATGAGATTCTCGTCACAGGAGAAACATAATCTATTTTGTCTTGACTTGTGGATCCATATCTTAGTAAGGTACAATTGTTGTTTTGTTACCCCTCTATGATTATGGTTCTAAAGTATTCATACCATCAATGAATGTAGTCTATCTCTATGATCTTGAGAAAGAATTTATTCTCTCACATGTGAAGTTGTAGAGGTCTCACTCTATCTCTTTCTTGAGCTATATTGATCAATTGGTTTTTCCCTTCAATTAATTAAGTTATTTCTACGTTAGCATTAAAGTTTCATAACTTGAATATTTACTTGAATTTATGACTTCAAGTCTTTGACAAAAGTAATTTTCATGACTTATTTCGATAACTCTCATAAGGATGAGACAATCAACTTGAAGTTCCGCTAGTACTTTATGATAGTTGTTTAAGTCCCAAAAACCATTCACATAAAATAGCTTCTTAAGATAATTGAAATCTCTTGAGTATTTGGGTCTTTAATTCCTTTCATGTTGTGAATGATATTTTAGATTTCATTCATCTAAACCATGTGAAGACTTGATCTTCAAAACTAACCCTACTATCATTAGACACTCTACCTCTGACATCTTGTTCATTGAGAAATAGAGCTCTCTCATGAATATACAACATCTCATATTAGACTTGTCAAAGGTAAAACATATATAGTCATTGAGTTGTCTTTCCTGCTACTTGGTCACTACCTAAGATATGAATCCACCTTCTCTTGCATGTCCTCTTATAAGGTCGATGACAATAACTTATGCTAAATTCCTTTTTAGCTGGTGATGATCACCTTGTGCCATTGCCTCTATTGTTGCTCCTTGAGATCACCTATGCAACGACACCTATTGTTGTTAGTTGGTCACTCTTTTGATGTTTGTTTGAGCTTTGGAGGAGTTAAGTGACATTTTGGGCTAAGCTCATCACAATCTACTCCAAACCAATAGTCTTTGTGCCAACTTTGGGCCAAACATTCACATACTTCCCTCAATCTCATCTCGATACTATCAAACTGGTTGTATGTAATTTTGGTGCCATAGTTCACCGTTACTCCTTAATTCATCAAGTCTCTAATACCAATGATAGGGTTCCAAATTCTCCTAGGTTAGATAGGCAATACAAGATGGAGAAAATATTTAATTTAATAGAAGAAGGAATGGAATGGGCCCCAAAGGAACCATAGTTAGGTTCATGGTCATTCGAGAGGGCTGCAACTCTCCGGTCAAGACTTCCCCAAAATACTCGATGTCCTAACCCACCATTGAAAGGTCCTTTTAACCCTTACAAAATGTCTGACAACCTTTATAAAGTATATATATTACATATATGTCCCTACATGCCTATCATAAGAGCAACAATAGCTTGACGCTGGCTACTAATCCCTTGAAGTCGTAGTGCCGTGGGCGGTGAAATGATAACGTACTCATCTTGCTGACTGTCATTTAAAGTCAATTCTCATTACTTCTTTTATTCTCTCTCTCTCTCTCTCTCTCCAATCTCCCTCTCCCTCGCTCACTTGATGACTCAGCCTCAGTTGATAAACTTGGTTAAACTAATAAACTAGGTCAATCACTCACTAGCTCACACTCTCTGTCTCGTATGAAAGTTGACCAATATATTATAAATTTATTATTTAATTTATATGAAAATATGTTCACATATTGCCCTGAAAATAAATAGAGTATCTGGGTGGTGGATATAAATCCCCTCCTTAATAAGGGTGAATGAAAGACACGAGCTTTTTTTGGATAATAAATTAAAAAATCCCAAAATTATTTTTTTATTTTATTTTAGATTTTCGATAATACTAGCCGGGTAAATTTTATATTAGTGGTTTCGTAAACCTTCCCACCGGGTTCGGCGCGCCGCCGTGCGAGACGCGGTGCGGGGTTCCCGGTTATTCAGGCCCCCGTAGCTGTCCGGGCCCGTTGATTAATTGGCGACGCGGGAAAAACAGACAAACGGGTAGTGGGCGGTCACGCGCGGTCGGTGATGATAAGGCGTGGCGGACACTGTCACAGGTTGTTCACCGGGAGGTGCCAAGATCGTTCCGGTTCCCCACGTAACGATCTTTTCAAATTTTGATGGCTACTCTCCGTCTCCTATAAATATCCTTCTCCCCGGAAATCTCTTGGAAGCGGCGGGCGCTGAAGGCGCCCCTCCACAAATCGCTCCCTCTTCGTCTTCCTCCGATTCTTCCGTCTCGGATCTATCCGTGGGGTTGGAAATTCGCTTGGATCCTCCCGTCCTCGCAGATCTTTGCAGGGGTTTCGTTTCTCGGGAGATGTAGTGCGCCATCTCTGGAGGGGGAATCGGCCGGCCGAGCTCTGCTGAAGGGGGCAGATCAGATCCTCATAGTCGTCTCTCTGGATTGATTTCCCTACCCTGGATCCTTCCCTTGAAGGATGGAGACGGCGGCGCGCCTGAGGAAGGGCCTCTCGCAGCAGTTCTCGGCCGGATCCGCGAGGAAAAACGAGAGGTACAACCTCCGGCCGCAGACGTCCCTCGACCGGAGGAATAGCATGAATGCCTCGCGCTTTACCCTTGGGCGACAGTCATCGCTCGATCCCAATCATAGGAGCTCCGTCAGGGAAGAGCTGACAGTCCCCGAGAATCTGGACTTCACGATGCAACTTCTGTTCATGTCTTGCAAGGGAGATGTCAAGGGAGTGGAGGACTTGCTGAATGAAGGCGCCGATGTCAATAGTATTGATCTGGACGGGCGGACTGCTCTACATATTGCCGCCTGTGAAGGGCATATTGAAGTTGTGAAGCTGTTACTGAGTCGAAAGGCAAACATCGACGCAAGAGACCGCTGGGGTAGCACGGTGAGTTTTCACTTCATGCTCATCTATACTTCCTTTTAAAGACGAGATGTCATTTCTTTATTTTCATTGCCGAAACAAATGTATCGGGTCATACTGAACACCTGTATATAACCATAGTAGACTCATCACAAATTCACTCAGATTTTGGTAGGATCATTTGGTTAAGGAAGCTTCCCGCTTTATTGACCTTCTCTTTGAGTGAACCATCTCAATACTCCCTCACTCAGTTATTTGTCGTCTTACTTCTCGTGCGTAATATTTCCGTTGAGGGAAAAACAAATTAGATACTCGACGATGAAATAAAAAGTACATGAATTCAGTGGTATTGCTATTCCGCATATAGCCATTGAGCGAATCAGCCGTTTACCAAGTCTTTCTTAAGAGTAGTTTATTTTTTTTTTCAAAGATTATTTTATGCAGTCGAAGATGGACATCTGTCCTCATCAGAGTTATTTGACAGTACTCATTGCCTTGCATAATGTCACGCTACACTACGTTACAGGCTGCTGCTGATGCCAAGTACTATGGAAACATTGAAGTCTACAATATGTTGAGAGCTAAAGGAGCCAATGTTCCTGTATTACTTTTTTCATCTTTCTAAATTATAAACACGGTTACTCTATCTTTAGTTATTTGCATAATTTTCTAACCCATTTTCACGTTCGCCTTCAGAAATCAAAAAAGACTCCCATGGCTGTTTCAAGTTCAAAAGAAATTCCAGAATATGAACTCAATCCAGGGGAGCTTCAGTTTCGCAGAGGTGAAGGGATTGCAAAGGTATGCCTTGCTGTACTGCATTTGTGATATAAAGGAACTGAAATTAGAAATTTTACGCAACCTGCATAAAATGAAATTTTCATTTCATCGCCATCTCGGGCTCGGTACCCCCACCAACCTGCGATCCAGAAAAAAAATGAACGTATTTTTGTCCAGGGCTGCCCTTTCCTCTTATGATTTTCGTTGAAAGAAAATGACGCAAGTTTTTCTTTCCCTTTTTTCGTGGATAGTTGACTCATGGTAAATTAAAATAACTTTATAATGAGGTCAATGTAGGAAATTTAAAGCCAAAGTCTAATACGTAGAACAAGGGACAGTCGACTGTTTTTCTCAAGTCTCCTCCATGTAATATATCAACTAGTGTGTTTACTGAAGCCTCATGATTCGTATTTAAATGAAAACTTTTAGGTTGAATGATATTTCTGCAGAATGCTTTTCTTTAAATAATGGCGGTTGGATTATTATTTCCGTGGTTCCTTAGAAACAATATTTCTTGCATCTGAGGAGCAATTTCTTTATTGCACAGGGTACCTACCAAGTGGCCAAATGGAATGGGACAAAAGTTGCTGTGAAGATACTTGACAAGGAAAGCTACTCTGACTTGGAAAACATGTATAATGCTAAACTTATAGTTTACCATGTGTCTTCCCTTCCTTGATGTACAGTCTCTTGTATACAGTGTCGCTCATGTACAATGGCAGACCCGCATTACTAATTCAAATGGTATACTCTGTCGATCATGTAGAATGGCAGACGCACAAATTCAAATGGCATATGATGCAAAGCATGAGAATTATGTTAGTCACTTAATGAATGCATAGGTCTGTACCAGTTTTGCTCTTTTTTCGACAGAAATGCCTTCAAGCACGAGTTGACACTGTTGGAAAAGGTTCGCCATCCTAATGTAATCCAGTTTGTCGGAGCTGTTACTCAAAATATACCAATGATGATCGTCTCTGAGTATCACCCGAGAGTAAGTTTTTACTGCGCAGAACAATATGGATTCCACTTGGATTAATTTCTTTTTATTCAATTTTATTGTCTACGAATTCAAAGTTACTAAAAGGATATTGAGTGCTTTTTTTTTCATTTTTCCTATTTATGTTCATAAACAGTTGAAACTGTTTACAAGGCTTATGTTGACCATAAATACTATCAGGGTGATCTTCATAGCTACCTTCAGAAGAAAGGACGTCTGCAGGCCCACAAAGTACTTAGATTTGCCCTTGATATTGCGAGGTACTGTCTATTTCACTGAGTAGTTGATCGAAGGTTACATACCGTGGATATTACATTCTCATGTGGAATGAACTCTCAAGTAACCTTCTACTAGTCAATAGATGGCAATTTTTAATTATAACCCTCAAGATGAAAAAATCCGGCCAGAAAAATGCATACAAATAAATGATATGATGTCTTCAGATCAAGATTTTTTTCTCTTAAGTTTTTTTAATTTTACCTAAAATTTTCACGTACTGTCGAAGATTTTGTCCACTCTTCCCCTCCTCCACTGACCAGGGAAATCATGCGTCAAATATCATCATTTAGTTTACATTTCCTTCGGGGTCAATTGCTCGTGTTCAGACTCTTTTGTCTACTGAGTACCATCTACCCTGTTCTTTGTGTCAGGGGAATGAACTATCTTCACGAATGCAAGCCAGATCCAATCATCCACTGCGATCTAAAGCCAAAGTAAGATCACCAAATGCAGTCTTCTAACCTAGATGAGCAAACACGTGCAGATCCGCTTTCCTTTCCTCGCATTGGCATGCGCTGCTCTTTACTATTCTAAGTTTTGGTAAGGTGCCAGAAATATTTTTCTGGATAGCGGAGGCCAACTGAAGGTGGCAGGCTTCGGTCTGATCCAGATGATGACAGTAGCTCCTGATAAAGCCAAACTCGTGCATCCAGAAGCCCAAATCGACGGCTCAAGTACGTGATTTTCTGACAATTTTCGTGCCGTCGCCTTCTCCGCAAGATCTTCCGTTTCCCCGGATGCCCCTGTGCTCTTTTCTATTGCTTTCTCCCCTGTGATCTTCCCTTCTCTCGTGGTTAGGTCCCTACGTGGCTCCGGAGGTCTTCGAGGTCGAGGTCTTTGACAGAAGCGTCGACGCCTTCTCCTTCGGTTTCATCCTCCATGAGGTTCGTCAATATCAACACATATACTATTTATTAGTTGGTCCGATCTCTAGCAACGAGGTTTTTTTTATTTTTTATTTTTTATTTTACGAAGCTAATTCGTCAGGTGCTCTGCTCTTCCAGATGATCGAAGGAGCGCCAGCTTTTCACCCGAAGAGCCCGGAAGACGCCTCAAAGATGATTCGTTCGGACGGATTGCGACCGTCTTTCAAGCCCAAATCGAAGAGTTGCCCTCCGGACCTGAAAGAGTGAGATCCCTTCCCTCGCAGAAAAAGCTAAATTTTTTCACCGCTGACTCATGGTGTCAACGGCTTTTGACCCACAAGAGAGAGAGAGAGAGAGAGAGAGAGAGAGTCGGTGACTATATGACTACTGGATAAAGTCAAAGTCAAATTTTGTTGTCTTTACACAGATTGATCGAAGAGTGCTGGGATCCCCAACCTCTGATGAGACCGACTTTCTCGGAGATAATCACCCGCCTGGATAAGGTCCACGCAGCCTGTACCAAGCAAGGACGTTGGAAAGATAACTTCAAGTTGCCATGGTACCCTCTCTCTCTCTCTCTGTCTACCGGGTACATGCACGTACACTGTTATCTACCGTACCACCAAACGTATCGAAATGTTTTGCAGGAAATAAGAACCGGGCAGCCTCATCGCCATCACACACCCCCGCCTCTCGCAGAGTTTTGGACTGTCCCTGTCAAACCCTTAAAACCCTATACAAATCAAGAAGAAGAAGATGAATATGGAGATGGAGATAATTAGAAAATGGCGCTACCCTCTTGAGTGTTCTCGATAGACCGGCAACGATGGTATCTACACCGGCCTGGTACTCTCCCCGCAATGTAAAATTATAGGGTTCTTCCTGAATCCAGAAAAGAAAACTTGGAGATGTACACGTCTTCCTTCAGCAGTCTCCGGGCACAAAAAAGAAGCTCCTCCATTTCTCTAGGGCGAACCCGAGCCGTGCTCTTCCTCCGCGAGGTAAAACCTAGGGAATCCCGGCGCCGCCGCCGCCGCCGCCGCCACCGGCGGAGGATGACCGCCGGCGGCGGTCGGCGGCAGGCGGGGAGAGCCCACCTCCTTGCAGACCCTGTCGAGCACCGCGAGGAAGTCCCTCACCACCACGAAGATCCTCAGCGGGTGCGCCTCCTCGCCGTGGAAGTACTCCGCCGTCGCCTTCACGGCCAAGAAGGCGGCGCTCTCCTCCGCCCGAATCCTCGTAATCTCATCCTCCGCCCTCTTCAAGAACCCTTCCATCGCATCCCGGAACCTCCCTCCGCCGTCCAGCCGAAGCACCTCCCGAACCTTCCCGGCACCGCCGGCGAGCTCGGCCGCGCCGCCGCGCAGCTCCTCCACGTCCATGGCGGCCGCCCTCTTCACGTTGCTCAGCTCCCCGCCTAGCCCCGCCACCACCTGCAGCCCCACCCTCCGCAACTGCAACTCCTCCCTCAGGCTCCCGGCCCCGCCGGCGCTGCCGCCGGCGAGGCGGGCGCCTTCCGCCCGCACAATCTCCTGGACGACGAAATGCAGCAGCGTGGTCCTGCCGTCAGCGCCCTTGACGTCGGCGAGTTTGAGGAGCGCGTCGAGCTTGAAGGCCCTCGCGCCCCCGCGGCTCGTTCCTACGTTCATCCTGTTCCCCGTCTTCAGCACCGCCTCTAGCAGCCTCAAGAACATCCTGCTCCCCCTCAGCTCCTCGCAGGCCACCTGAATAAGACAGAAAGAAAGAATGAAAGAAAGAAAGAAGAAGACCCCTCTCTCTCTCCCTCTCTCTATCACTGTGGCTTACGCGGAGGGTCTGGAAGGAATCGCAGAGGGTGGCGGCGTCACAGTCGAAGCGGGAGGTGTAGAGCATGGCCTCAAGGCGCTTGAAGGCGAAGGGGATGTCGAGGACGGCCTTGAGGAACCTCTCGGCGGGGTCTAGCTTGAAAGAGGGGTCGTCGTCTCCCTGCGCCCTCAGCCGCGCCTCCTCCACCCCGGTGGGCGCCATCTTCAGAAGGGTCTCCAGCAGCTCGGGGCCCAAGCTCTCCGCGTCACCTGAACCAGGACCAAAACCCTAATTTTCCGGTGTAGAAGAATAAGAAGAAGAAGAAGAAGGATTGAGCGACCCACCTTCCAGGAGGGCGCCGCAGACTTCCTCCTTGGTGAGGTTCAGCACCCGCAGCAGGATAGCGACGTTCTGGGATTTCTTCGGATCGAGAAGCCTCCTCTCCCTTCCTGGCGAGGGCAACGGCGGCGCCGCCCGGCCAGCGGCGGCGCCGGCGAACAGCGCCTCCATCATCTCCTCATTAAACCTGGAACACGGAGGAGGGTCGGTCGGTCAGCTGTGCGGCAGCAGGCGGAGGAGCTCCCCAGCCGGCGGGGACTTACTGGAAAGAGCCGGTTTTCAGCTGGTCCCACACCATCGCCCTGTCGGAGCTCGCCTTGACCTTGTCCCAATGCAGCGGCTTCAGCTTGGGGCGAGGAGCCGCCTCCTCGGTGGAGCTCTTCGGGGACTCGGCGGGGTGGATCGCCGCCATGGAGATCATCCCCGACGGCCTCGGGGACGTGAGCACAGGAGGCTCCCCGGCGGGCCTCCTCGAACCTTTCCTTTCCCTGAGCCTCAGCGCCGGCGGCGGCGGAGGCGGCGGCGGTGGAGGGGGAGCTCGTGGCGGCGGCGATGGAAGCAGAGATCCTTCTGGGGAGGACGGAGATGGAGAAGATGCAGAGTAGGAAGATGGGCACGAGGGACTGCTCAGGGCTGAGCTGGGCAATCCACATTTCTCCATTAAAGCAGAAGGGAAGCTCCTCCGGGAGCCAGACTCGCCGGGGTTCTTCTCCTTGTCCGCCGATGAAGCTCGAGGAGAGTAGAACTCTTCCTCCTCCGCCTCCGAGGGGGGAGCTATTTCGGTATGGCCGTGGCCCTGCCGGAGACGGTGGGGGAGAGGAGGGAGGGGGCGGAGCTCCGGCGAGCTCAGCGGCAGAGGAGCGGCGACGCCATCCCCACCGCCTCTCGCCGCAGCGAGGTAGAAGAAGTCGGAGCTGCCGGCGACGGAGCTGCCGGTGGCCTTCGCAGCCTCCGAGGCGGCGGCGCTGGCCAGGAACAGGCGGTGGCTCTCCGTCGTGGAGGGCTTTCCTTCCAGGCGCCGGCGGCGGAGGCGGCTGAAGAGAGCGCAGGAGACCCCGAGGAGGGCTATGGTGAAGACGGGTACGGCGATGGCGAGGATGAGCGTCTTGGAGAGGAAGCGGTGGCCACTCGCCGAGTGGGGAGAGGGGAAGATGAGAGGGACCTCATTGCTGGGGAAGATGGGGACGGAGGTGGCCGGAGGAGAAGGAGGCAGCGGCGGTGGCGGCGGTGGCGGCGGAGGTGAGGGGAAGGCGGGGAAGAAGGGGAGGGGGTTTGTGGAAGAAGGGTACCTGGGGAGGGAGGAGAGAGGAGCCTGAGTTGGGGGCTCAGAGAGGAAGGGGAACAGGGGCTGGTGGAGAGTTCTCCGGCTGTGACGCGCCGGAGAGGGAGATGAGGGCACTATCAAGAAGAAGAAGAAGAAGAAGAGAAAGGGCAAGAAGGAGACTATGGTGGTGGTGGGCATGGTGGAGAGAGGAAGACAATGGATGGGGAAGAAGAGAGGGAACCCGTGTGGTCCTTCCTCCCGGCTCCTCGGGGATTAGTAGTCTGCCAGAGGAGGGAGGGATAGAGAGAGAGAGAGAGGTCCTGTTCTCGGGAGGTGGGGGACAGAATAACATGGAAGAAAACAACGGCAAGATACGCACTAACCCCATTTTCTGATCACCTGGTTAATTTAATACTTAAGAAACGAACAAGCAAAGAGATCGCTAAATAAAAAATTACTTCTAAAAACTCGCTCTAAGCATGAAAGAAGTATTAAGTTTTCTTAAATATATATAATATATATATTATACAATAAACGAGGCTCAGCAGCAGCGCAGCAGCGAGGAGGCGGCCCCCCCGCCGACCTCGGAGGAGGAGGGAGGCGCCGCCTTCTTCCGCCACCGTCGCCGGCGGGCTTCCGGCCGGACGGCGGAGGGGCTTGTAAAGGACAAAAAGTGCCTCTTTTGTCTACAGTGCGGCTGTGAATATATACGTTTATATATATATATATAATAGTGCATTCGCTTGACGTAGGTGTTCTCAGGGCTGTGCCTCGGGATGTGTGTGTGTAGAGATAGAGAGAGAAAAAGCTGGAGAGAGAATGGGAGATTTCAGACTGCGACGTTGACAACAGCCGGCGGACGGGCCCCACGGATTGCGCTTCTGCGGCGAACCAGTTTGGGCACAGTTCCAGGTACACCCCGGGGAGATTGTGGGCCCACCCGTGAACAGCATACTTTTTTTGGGGCCCATTATGTCCACATAAGAACAGGGAGACTCTTGATCTGTCAGAGAGGTTTTTTTGGGCCCATTAAATCTTAGCCTGGCCCAGATAAATAAAAAATATATATTAGAGCCTTCCCGGATAAGTGAAGTGGAAAATTACGTGACCAGGCCCACTTAAACCTGGGTGTAGGTTAAAGGGTGACCGATGGCCAGGGATAGCCACGTGGCGAGAACCAGGGGTGATGTCATGGTGTGAACTGCCACGTGTTTAGGTATGACCCCGAGAAAACACACTTAATTAAAAAAGAATCTAAATTTTCTTCACCCAGCGACCACACTTAATTTTAAATCATAAAAAATAAAATGATAGATAATTAATACAATAATTTATTTATAAAAATAATATAATATTCAGGGGGAAAAATCTACCTTGATAAATAAAAAAACGCGGAAAAATAGAATGGTCCCGTGCTTATTTGGGCAGGGAATGAAAAAAGTCAGCTCCGGGCATGGTTTCTAGCAAGGGAACGTAAAAAGTAGCAGATTTATTCAACATATTTTTATTAAATGGTTTTACCTTCACTGGGCCCCCTTGAAGAACTTGGAAAACCAGAGGGCCGAGGCCTTCGGGTGCCTGGAGAGCCCGTTCTTGTAGTCAACGTAAACTAGGCCAAACCGCTTGGTATAACCCTGGGCCCACTCAAAGTTGTCCAGCAAGGACCAGGCGAAGTAACCGCGGACGTCAACGCCGTCACTGCAAAAGAAAAGAGGGAAACAAGTTTCTCAATAGTCCTCGGTCACTGACGGGCCGAGGTGGGGGGGCTTGTGACGTTCGGGCCAAGCCCGAAAATGTTTTAATTGATCACTCCCGGGGGAAAGCCCGAAAAAATGCGTCTTGAGGGGGAAGAATCCGGCCCGGCCCTCCATCTGCACCAAACTGAGAGGGGGGGAGGATGACTCCCATGCACGGACACGTGGCAAGTTTAAGGGATCATAACCTGAGTTTTGGCGATTGGGCCTAGATTTTTGGGCTTGATTTGAGGCCGACGCAGGACCCGATAGTTGCCACGTGGGTTATTCTGGGATTGACACATGGAAAATATGAGAGATGCCAAACAATGGGCTTGGTTTTTTCCCTCCTAGGATTTGATTGTGAACAGGCTATGGGCTTGCCCGGCCCAACTGAAGAAGCCGGTGAAGTGGTTTCTCAGCCAAACTACTATGATAGAAGCTCAGTGAAAGTCTGGGCGGATGAAGGGTTCTTACCACGTGGCAGGCCATCAAAGGGCCAATCCTACCAGAATCTACATATATTTAGCAATGTACCGAAATCTAGCCAGTTAATCGGCCAGTTGGGCCGTCTCACATGGCTGCATTACTGGGCCCAACTTAGCTCCATAATCAGAATAATCTGACTAGGATGAACTTAGCTGACCCCAAGATCGGACAGAGAAAATGTACCTTATAGCTTGTGCTACTGAAGCGAGGTATCCCTTGAAATAGTCAACCCTCATCTTGTCATCTAGGGCTTGTTCAAGGGCAGAAACTTTGGAGTCTTCATCATCCATCCCTGTTGACCGTGCACAAGTATAGATCATACACCAAAACTCTCCTCTAAATCGGTCGAGCATCATTTTTGCATAATTTTAATTAATTTTTCATAATTCCCTGTGTTTTAATCTTCTCACTAGAGCATCAAATCAACATTTGATTTTAGTTGAATCACCCATGGTGTTTAGGTCAGAGGTTCATGAAGAGTCGAACCAGTTCGTGCTTCTGAAATCCAAGATTAGGAATAGCATATGATGCAATTGACCTCGAACTAGATTCTGTAAGGTTTTCCTATTTTTGGGTATATGAAGATTTGGAATACAAGCATGCTTTGGATAATATTACTTTTCTGAGATATAAAATCGGCTCACAAAGGTTCAAGGAAAATGCAATTGCCTCATACAAAAATCAAGGTTTGGACATACTCACCATTTTCAGTGACGTATATCATCGGGTTTTCGTATTTTTTTGCGATGTAATTGAGAACTTTCCTTAAGCCCCATGGAACCACGTAGAGCCAATCTGATGCAGCCTATTTCCACCAGAACATAAGATCACGTGATAAGAAATCTTGGGGGCCGGAAAATATTTCACAGAATTATCCCAAAAATAGTAGGAAAATTAGTGTCTGAGAGGAACTCACCCTTGGGCCAATTGCTTCTCCCCCGGGCCAGTTGACTGCAGAAAACACAAAAAGGTGAGTGATAGCTGGAGATTGAAGGCATAGAGCTCTGGTTTACTCCCAAACTATACTTCGTTATTTACTATATGTTTATGGAGTATTTCGTATCAGCAAAGTTCCTTTTGTTAGTAGTCATTGGCCCGGAATTAGTAATATATAACCCAGCTGTGAGTCAGTGTTGGTAAGCTCATTTTCCGAAAGAACACTGTGCATGCATTACAGTAAGTTATATCAAATTAATTATTTAGCAGACAAAAAAACCACGATATCTACAAGGGTTAGCAGCAACAGAACTTCTTGTTTATTTTTAGATTTAATGTTTGGAAACAAAAATAGTACGTGGACATTGCGAATTTATATGATGTCCATGTCTTAAATTGCAGGAGGGGTAAGAAAAGCTGGATTATGGCGATTACAATCACATGAGCCAGTCCTAGTCAGCAGTCGTCAAACTAAGAGAGGCGGCTGACTAGATAAATACCAACTCAGTGCATGGGAAATGACATAAAAACCCTAGAGAGAATTTACTATGTAACTTGGTTGATCCTTTTGCATATCAATGAGCAGGATCAGGATTAACCAAAGTGATTTGTACAAGTCAGGCCAAATGAGTGACCGGGCAGCCAGCCATCAATCAACAGAGTCGCAGCAAGCATTCGTCAGATAAACGAAATTTCATGGTTGAATCCAAACTCACTGTTTTGATTTTTATGCTACTCTTCTTCTGTAGCACAAGGCAAAAGTCCAGAATGTTGCTAAGCTTCTAGCTTTCCCTCCTCCATCCAACATCTTACACACAATGCACCTCCATTATAATTTCCTTCTTTAGTTGTTCTTCACTTCCTATGTTAGTTTCTGCAGATGAGTGACACAACTCCATAAAGAGGAGCTGCCCAGAACTGCCTGCCTAAGTTTCTACGTTTTTTTTCTTATTCAATGTGAAAGCTAAGAAGTATCTTCATGATCCAGCATTCAATAGACACATTGATAGACAGAATATCCCAGATATCAAAAGAAAGGCATGTATGGTTCATTTGCCAAACTTTGAAGTATATGTGTCTATATATATATATATATATTATATTGAATGTATTTAGGCAAATACTATGCTTCTAGTTCACCGTTTATCTTTTTTAAATCTAAAATCAATAGGAAAACTAATCTTTAAGGTTAGAAGATAGAAAAAATACCTATTCCCTCTATCTCTTGTACTTGATAAAATTGATCAGAAGTACTTGGCATATGAGCAATAAGTCTTGAGGTATAATGATTTAAACCCACAAAATCAAGAGAACGGTGTAAGAGTTCCTTCTCCCTGTCAGAGAATTGTGGAAGGTTGCTCCCTAATCTCGCACGCATTGTTTTGGGATAATCCCCAAAGAATATTGGGTCCAAAAACCTTCACAAAGGGAAATAACTGATAAAAAAATCTTTATGGATCATAAGGCATAAATAATAAAACTTGGAATAATGTTACGTGGAGAAAAAGTTAATAAAAAGGCATTCTTGAAATGTCATACTTCAGAATTTGCAAACAAATCAAAGATTCGTGGCTACTATAAGGCATAAGATATGTCTCATGATTCCACAGTCGAAGTCAGGATGGTTGGTAATATATAACATGCACCTCATAGAAAAACCAAAAAACGTCTTTTCTTTAGTTAAAATGTAGGAACATTGCAGGAAGGATATCTGAAGGTAGCTGACGACCAATAACATTAAAAGATAGTATAAGCAATACATGCTACTAAGCAGTCTAACATGATTGGCGAACGCATAAACAAGACAGTCAACAATGAGCATATATCATTCGATCATTTTCAGAGACTCTAAAATGGTTAAATATTAGGAGAAATTAATGTTTACCAATCAAGATGACCAAAAGGAAACAGTAACTGGTGAATGTGGAACTCAGAAAACTGCTGAGTTAAAGTGGTTTACAGGAGATAACAGATGGTGCAGGAGAGGGAAACTATGGGCCCGGTGGTACCTAGGCTGACCAGACAAGTCCAAGCCTTTTACGTTTTGAAAAAAAGCAAGGAGGCACAACCGTGAAATAAGTGCAAAGGTTTGGGTATTCAGGTTCGAATGGAAAAGAAGGGTGATCGTCCCTTAGTTGTTGTATTAAGCTTGAAAAGAAGGGTAACCGTGAAATAAACCTGTGAAACTTTTCACATGCATCCTGTGATGAAGCGAATAAACAGTAAGAAGAAATGCTTGTAACAGTACCAGCCCAATTGAAAATCAATGCGCCTCTCTGCAGCAGATTTATCTTCGATTCTATCAGAAAAGGGTTCTGCCCATTCACAATCAACGACCAGTCCAATCTCACCACCTTGCTTTGCCTAGAGAGAGTCAAAGAAATAGAAAATAACAAATGAAAAAATAGACCTGATCAGATGTTGAAATGCAGGAGTGGTTTCTGGTACACAGAATTTTTGTGGTTATGGATGATCATTCAGACACCTTAAATTTCTTCCTATATACATCAACTGCTGATGCATGGGCCAAAAGTTGGTGGTGTGCGGCCAAATAAGGCTCTGTTGATGGGTTATCTTTTCTTCCTGGAGCAAATATACCAATGTCATATCCATTCACTGCTGTTTGGAGAGGTTCATTAATTGTGACCCAATGTTTCACTCTGTCTCCAAAGCTTTCGAAACAAGTTTCTGCATAAATGGAAAAATACTCCCTGCAATTTCAGCAAACAAAGAATTGGGCATTATTCCAGTACTAAAAAAAAGTATGTACAGGATGTCTAGATAAGGTAAATTAAAAATTATACTCTCAAAAATTTACAGAGAAAATGAGATAACAAAATAAACATGTATAACTGCATACTGAAAGGGATGCTTTATAAAAAAAAATAATTTATTTAAAAAATACAAAAAATATAAAAATAATCCTTGGCATATGTTAGCAGGTACTGGAGTTGACTAAATAACATGGATTACTAGAATATGGTTCTGACACAGTATTATAAGATATCTAAAATTGTGTATACCATAACTGTGACAAGTAGAACATATTACAGCATCAAAATAAATATAAAGAACAACAAATAGACTGAAGATACTTGATAATTATTCTGGACCTACACTATCTTCTTTGTTAGCCATCCTTCTATAGATGTCTGAAGGTTATAAGGAAGGTCCCAATGGTACAATGTCACGAAAGGTTGAATACCTGAAACCACCGATAATATATTTAGTCCCTAATATAGGAAGAGTTTAACAGATCACAAAGTAGATAGATGACCTTTATCCAAGAGAGCATTGATTAGATTATTGTAGTAAGAAATTCCATCTTCATTGACCTTAGTCCCTAATCCATCTGCAACCATTAGTAAAAATAAAACCATCGTTAATCAAGACAGTCATAATAAACCATGCCACAAGCCATGTGATGAAATGCAGGAGTCTCTTGGAACACTGCTTCAATGGAGCAATATTTCTTTCCTACTTTCTAAATCTTCCAATTATGCCGTTCTAATAAATAGAACTCGATGTGATTTGTGTTTCCCTGAGCTTATATTTTTTAAGCAAGGCATCTGGTTTTTATATAAGGTTTCAGTCAAAATGGCGTTCAAATTGAATTGCCAAATCGAAGTCAAGGGTTGCCTCTAACCAATTTTCTTTCACACTATAAAATGATTTTTTTTGTAACTTTTGGTGACCAAGGGGTTCCATTTCGAGATAGTCAAATAATTCTCTAGGTCAGTGGTCCTTAGAGAATGCTCCAATTTTTTTGTAGCAGAACAGCCTTTATGGGTTTGTTCTGGAGGGAAGTGTTGATTGTCTCGCAAGCACTTGTTCTTGCTTGTATCTACCTTTCTACCACACCACTATAAGGTGAGGACTAGACAAGTGGAATCTGTAGGTCACCAGGGGCGAAAAGGCAGAGGAAGAAGAGGAAGAAAGAAAGAAAAAAGAACATCCAAAAAGGTCTCTTCATTGTCATGAGGTTGTTTAATAAGCTCACTCTTCAAATCCATAAACTTCAATGCTCTGTCGACATATCGATTCTTGTGTCACAATCAAGGACCTCAACTTACAAGTCCAAGAAAAGTGATACAGAATCTGTTACATACGACAATACCTAGCTATCTCAGCTGTAAACTCCATTGTTACATAGGACAAATGACCATGAATCTGTTATGGGCCCTTCAAACTAATTAATTGGCTATCTGGGCAGTAACCAACATGAGACTATTATTAATGCATCCCTCTCACATCCAACTCGACTTTGTTACATGGACAACACAAATGAGGCGTATGCAGCCAAAAAACAACCTTATTGACTCTAACATTTGTCAAAGTTTTTCATCCAACCAAATAAACACTAATCGTAGGTGATCTATATAAGAACCCACCACCACTTTGACAAGATCCGTGAAACATTTTCATTTCCAAGACATTGATCAAAGATTCTAGCTTCAGGCAGGTTTGAAGGAAAAAACAACTGAGCTTCCTGCGCTGTTAATTGGATTACTCTAGTTTCAACAACCATACGGAAAATTAGAATTGAATATTGGAAAAATGTGATTATAAATGCATGGAGTATTTCAAAAGTTCTAATGTTAAACACAAGAAAATGGCAAAGATATACTACCAGGGAAAATACGAGACCATGATAAGGAAAATCGATATGCATTGAATCCCAACTTGGAAATAAGGTCCACATCCTCCTGTACTTGAAAAAGAAAGTGGAAAGCAAAAAAAAATAAAAATCAGAAAAATTAATGCATGGTCAGTATAAAATAAGAAAGTGCAAGACTAAAGAGAATGGACTGTACACAGAAAAATATTGGATTAGACTTCTACAAAATAAAAACTATCCTTCACAACAGGCATGATGATCATGACACTAAGAACATTCAAATCGAAACAACACCATGGAAAATAAAGATATCTTCTGACATAGATGACTGAAGACTAAGAGGCTTAGACCTTGGTTCACTTTGATGATGGCAAATAAGTTTAAAGATCAATTGAAAGATCGAATTATGCCTAATTTAAAATATGCAAGATAAGAGATTGAACATGAAACGTTCAAGTAAAAATGACATTAGTAAAAGTTTAGATAGTAACTTACTAAGTATATTTGTAATCCAAGATTTTACATCCTAAGTTTCGAAATATTTTGACTTTGAATTAACAAAGTGTATTTAGGCTGTACATTTATGTCAAACATGATTTTTTGGACAGTTTCGAATATATATTGAAATTGTGTTTATCATCTGAATCACTAAAGTTGGAATTTAATATACTGTGAGCTTCAATCAAAATGTCATCCTAAACACCACACTTTGTTTGAGATAATTTGGATCAACTTTGACTGTTTTATCAAGGTTCCAATGAGACACGTTTTCGTAAATTTTGCTCTTGTGTTATTAGATCCTTAATGGATTAGCATGAATTAATACGATTCAAATATGAATGTTAAGTGATAAAGAAATTATGTATTGATTTCACTTAAGGATACCTGAAGTATTTAAAAGGACATATCATATTGGTTTCTCAATGATTTGAATTTATCATATTTTAGAGAAAATAGTTGTTGAAAAATCACAGAGATCCGATAAGGTTTTTGTATGGGAACTGCCTATAAATCCTACTATCTTCCAAAGGGAAAATTAACAGAGAACGATTAATTTTTTCCTCTCAACTACCTCTAGCCTAGCATTAAGTCTCTCATGGAAGAAATTCAAGCCAAGGGTGAGGATTGAGCAGGCGAGTCAATCTATGTAAAGGTATTAACTCAAGGAGAACTGTTAGAGTATTCGAAAATCTTTCTTGACCCGTCTGAAGCTTAATGGGTTTTCAATCTATAGCCAACAAACTGAAAAGAAGAGGACAACAACTTCAAGTCATCAAATCATCATCTTCTTCATTGGAGTTCTGGAAATACTCAAAGTCATCATCATCTTCGGAATACTATCTACGGTGAAATCATTTTATATGAACTGTGAGATAAAATTGTGATTGAATCACTTAATCACTTATGAGAGCTGTCTCTATTAACAGTTATTAGCCTCTTAGACCCATGAATTTAGAAGGGAGTTTTGAAGTTAAACTCTCTGAGAGCTAAGCCTTGTAAATTAAAGTGTATGATCGGATGATCATAGTTAGTAGAACCTAAGAACAAGGCTGTTATTGGAGAGTGGGCGTAAGTAGTGTACTGAACCACTATAAAATCCCTTAGCCTTACATTCGTTTAGCTAGAGAGACCATACGAATCATATAGAAAGGGATAAGGTAGAGTCGATTGAATAGATATTATTCAAAGGAATTTTATAAGTAGATCAATTCAACTCTCTCCTTTTTTATGTAAGTGCGAGTCAAAACCCAACAATGGCCGATTTATATTTTCAAGAGAAGAGGGTAAAATATCAAACATTCAACCATTTAGACTAAGCTATGATTCTTTTGGTGTATAGAAACATTGGATACATAATTAAGTATGACAAGTGAAATTCCAAGGTATTGAAACATATACCTCACTTTAACAATGAGATATTGAAAGTTGGTATGGGCAGCGACTGCCAAGTGAAAGTGACATTGAGCATACTTTGACATAGAGCATACTTTGGTTTTGTGAATGATTGTATATGCTTCATTGCCTTTTATAAGTAACCTACAACCCCAACAGGGAGATCTAAAAAACTCTGGACATACAGAAAAAAGGTGCCTACTCTTGTGATGGATTAACGTAAGCCCAGAGATTATCATGGTTAAGAAAAATTAGCGATGAAATCAATGTGAAGGTTGGACGCACTTAGGGCATGAAAGAGAAATGCTTGAGCTCAATCCAACATGATTTCACTCAATATGAAAATGGTCACGCCAACCTTCCCATGGTCAGATAAATTAAGAAGATTTTGATTGCATGTAAATCAAGCCAACTCAGTATAAAATCAATCCAACACATATGACACATAAAAACTCTTAGAGAAAACTAGCATGAATGAGGATTAAACTTGAAAAAAAAAATCAAACCCTTTTTTTATCCCCATGTGCAATGACAAGATGCCGACTTTGACACACCCCGCATGAAACAAATTCCCTCCATGGGCCAACTAGCCAGTAGCGGAGGTGGCCATTACTAGTAGTAAGCAGTTACCTCTTCTGCTACCTCTTCCCTGTGCAGTAGAGGACTTAGTGGCTATTTCAAGCCACAAATGGTTTCTTCCACATCAATCTACTTTTTCCTTCCTCTTTACTTCCATTCAATTATTTCATATATTCTTTATCTCGTTTCTTATTTGATTATTCCAGCTACAGTGGAACAAACACCAACATCCAGAATCAAGTAGAGAAATTTAAAAGGATTACGGCATTCTGTAAAGTGCTGAAGAAAAAATCAGTACGCAGTTGTATTAATTTGTCTCCAGTCAGCCACAAGATAGCTTCAGTATGGTTTTGAGTCAACTTGCTTTATGGGTTTCTGCGCTGAATATCTCAAGTCCACGTTAGACAATGTATGTTGGGACAGGGGAGGTAGACCAAAGGCTGCAGTTGCGTTAAAAGTTGACACATATGCAAGTGTCAAGTATTGTGAATTTTTATCAGGCATGATAAATTAGGGACTAACTTACAATAGAAAATATAAGATGATGATTACATTATATATATTGTGCTTGACTGACAAAGAGAGATATAAAAAAAAACCTTGTAACGATGATACTGATCGACTGCAATGTCTCCATTGCTTCCATCCAGGATGTTACCTGAAGAAAAGTGTAATTGATATATTTCAGTGAAAGTACGTAAAATAAGTAAGAAAGAAAAAAAAAATCGAAATATCAGAGAGAATTGTTACGCTATAACAATCGTGCCTTCTGTTTCTGAAAAAACATCCCATATATTATCCCCCCTCCTGCCCTCTGCTCTTCCTCCTTCAACCTGAGAAAAGAAATATTAGCTGATTAAACACCCTAAAACCAGGAATAAAAAAGGAAATGGAGATAAACTAAAGAACAAGAGATATCACATAGATTGTGAAGAAAACACTAAATAATGCTATATCCAATAGAAGAAGGCAAGAGGGGAGATAATCTGGATCCAGTAGACATCTAGCATCGAGAGATGGCTTCCATCCCTCACACTCATGTCTCATGGACAGAGATACCAAGAAAAATCTGCCGTTTAAAGGGCGTGGAAACCATCCAATGCCTTTCGGAAATAATAGTGGAATCAAACTAGCCTAAAAAGGTGGGGGAACAAGGAGAAGGCTGTCTCCCGGCTTGTGATACACGATGGAATAACTATAATTTTCAACTCAAGGCATACGTTCATTTCACTTGTCACTTGCATTATGTGTGGCTGCCAAGCGAGGATCTGCATTGTATACAGGTGGCGCAATAAGTCCACGAGAAGCTGCGATGTCTATCTCCGTGAAACGTAGATCCGAACCAAAAACTCCGGAGTAGGATTCTATGGAAAAGAAATACTAAAATTAACGTTTCAGAAATATTCTTTGCGATGCATCCTGGACGAATTGGAAAATATCCGTGAAAGAGCGTATACGAAATGGAAATGTGAGTCTCTGCAATTCCAGAAGGAGATACATCCCACGAAAATGACAATATCTTCCACCTCCTATGATATCAGCATGGAAGCAATATTCCTACGAAATTAATTATTCAGTGCGATACCAAAACCGCTCCATACAAGTCACTGAGGAGAATACGGGGAGACTCGTACGGTAGCGTGGAGAGAGGTGCCCTCCACTTGCGATCCTCACCTGGTAAGCAGATGTAGCGACGCCGAAGAAAAAATCCTCCGGAAAGTCGTTACGGGTAACCTCTCCGGGGCCTGTACTGCTGTCGCCGTCTCCTAGACCCTTCATCACCGGAATGGACTGGAGGCGAGATCAGAGAAGGTGCGACAAGAAGAAGCTTACCAAAGCTTTCAGATCGTCCGACCGTTACAGTTGTCCGAAGTATACATTTATACCAGTATACTTATGGAGGGGGGGCTAGAGAGAGAGAGAGAGATGAGGGAGTTCCACGATGGGACCAGGCATTGAACGGCCTTGATTTACTCTTGGGAAGCAACGTCTCTGATTGGATGAAAGATGATTGATTGACGATCATTGCTGGAGTAGGATAGCATTCCTCTTTCTACAAAAATTAATTAAATTACTAAATTCCAAAATATTCACACGATAGTAAAAAATATTGTGTTGTTTTAATATTATTAAGCCATCTGCAAGTGAAAATATTTTGTGGAAGAAACAAAATTGTGCCTGGCCCCCCACAGTGAGGGTTTATACATAATTATAAAATTATAGGCGTTATTTACAAGAAATCCCTTGGAATCGAATGGTCTTTCACCCTCACGCAGCAGAGAAAACCCCAGCGTCCCCCCATTTCTCTCCTTCCTGGTGCTCGTGAAGCTTCACTTCTTCCTGGAATCCATGGCTTAGTAGGGGAATTTACTCCTTCACCCGCAAGGTTCGCCGGAATCGTTTACATCCGGTGTCGATTATCTATTCCAGCGCCACGTCTTGGGATCTTTCACAATGGGGAAGAACCAAGCCTACAAAGCTATGCAGAGGGCCAGGCTGGGGTCGAGCTCCGGAGGGCCCGAAGATGCCGATGAAGGAATGGTTTGTACCCTTCCACACTGTGAATGATGTAAACGCTAACTAGCTCCATGAATTATTTTTGCTGCGGTAGCAGAGGGCTTCGTGCGGACGCTGTTTGTGTCTTCCATGGCTTCGGTCTAATGCGTGGCCCCTATTCTTTCAATCGAACCGTTTCCGATTTCTCGGATGAAGATGGAAATTTTGATTAAATTACTGTTTCAGGGATAGTGTGTAGAGGTTTGCTGAAAGATAGTTCAATAAGACGCTATGATTTTTCTTTGCTTTTGGATCTCAGTGTCTAAGCTTTATACTTTCCAGTGTCCAATTTGAGGTTTATATAAATCGGACTATGATAAGATGCTATCTTCACAGAGTCTAGTTGTGGATTAGAAATCAATGAGTATCTTGGCTAACCAAATTTGGGCCATCTGCTGCCTTATGCTTTAGTTATAGGCAGTTGAATTCCCTAATATAGCCTGGGGAGTGGTACCGACCAGCATCAGGTAGTTTAGGGAGGTGACGTAGTTCTGCAGACAACCAACTTCTGCACCATATCTGCTTGTGTCATTACAGGCTTCTAAATTTTGAAAGGGATTTCATCTTAATGATAGAGTATATTAAATATACTTCAGTGGGAAATCTTCAGTCTTGGTTCAAAATACCGTTCATCAGCAAACTGAAATACTTTTGAGATGCAATAGTTAAACTCCAGGCCTTGTGATGTGATGAAAGAATTTGATTAGCTTGTGAAATATCTTGTAGCTGATCCAATTGAAGGACTTATGGATGATTTTTTAAACATTTTCGCTGAGTTTATTGATAATTTACTCTTATAGATACCTGCATTACACCTTTTTTGACATACCAACAGTTTGGCGTAAGTATCAACTTCGGAAATGAGAATTAAAGAGATTTAAATAGTGAAAATATTATTCAGTGCAAATGGGGAACCAATCAACAATTCTCCTAAAGCCCCTAGTTCTATATTTGCATGATGGTCAAATCGAACTAGAGTGGTTAACAGACGAAATGCTGTGCAATAGAAATTAACTCCATTCTGCGGTCTAATTGATGAATCACTATGTTGTTCATATGATGGGTTTGATTCGTGCATGATGGGTTTGACTCGTGCCCTAGCCATGTTGTAATATTGTCCCTGTTATATATGAATAGAATCTAGTCAATGTTTTTGAGATCGGGTTGAACATATTTATCTTATCAGGGATAATGGCTTCTTGTAGCGGATTATCAACCTGTCGTTCATAGATGATGATTTCATGGCAAAAAATAAATATGCCTGTGAAAGAATGGTCCTTTTTCGTATATGCAACTTGGTTCTTTACATGTAGGAAAGTTGACTAGCTCTACTTCCATAACAGGCATTATTATTTTATTCTCAAGAAGATTCTGTGTGACAAAAAAGCATTTATGTAGCTGAAAATCCTTGGTTAAATATTGAGTATCCTCCAGCCTCAGATCTTAGGAGTATCATTATGGCGCTGCTTAAATTAACTGAACTCTTGTTATAAAGAACACTTGGATTGTAGCTGTCCTCCAGAAAGATGAAATATCCAACAGATCATTGAGCATTTTCATGTTGTGGTCTTGCTGCTGTAGAACTATTTACATGTGGACTTCCATGTCAAGGAAGTTGGCATTGCAGAAATAAATATTCAACTAATCCTCTCTGAAGAATCAAATGATTTTCCTACTCTGGTTTCTTATTTGCGTTTAATGTTTGTGAAAATACCACAAAAGCTATTGACACGGAAACTGGATATATCTTTTGGTCTTTGTCTTTGGATATGGGTACCTATTCTCAACATCTTTGACCCTGCATGCTTTTATATCTTGATTTCGTCGGAAAAAATCCTTTTTTCTGCAATAGATATTTTCTTTTGTTGGATTTTTACTGATGAGGGCAGTCGCAGACGGATGGTTCTTTTCATTCACCAGAGTGGCATGCTGCTCGTTTGGCCAGCCTGAGAACTTCTCACACCATTACATGGGAAGAATTCAAACGGAAACAAAGGGTAACTACATAATACTTGCAAAAGAATTATTTCGTTAAGCTTTCTGTGATAATCATTGAAGTTTATTTTACTATTTCTTGTAACCACTTATGGAGATATGTCGGATTAAAGAATGGATTGAATCTTCCAAAATGAGTTCATCTTTCACATCTCAAGAAAAACTTCACATGTTCGGCACCACATTCAGTTGCAATGTCAATTTTTGTGTCTCTAATTACAGGGAAAATGTGAAATCATTTTCTTAGTGTCTTGCATGAGCTTTTCACTGTCATTCCGGCCAGTGTTACACATTGAACGGAAAATGGCAAATTTGCTAATATTTTCCCACAAAAAATGTTTCAGATGCTATCATACATAGCGGTTGAATCGATCAAATTATCCTTTTTCTTGAATTTTCCATTAACTTTGAGCAAAGATTTTGAGAGTGAGAATCCATTCTGAATATTTACTTCCGGTAGGAACTTTCTGATTTCATGATCGCTTCTTGGCATGCCTCATATTTGATGTTAGCAAAGTGTTTTACCTGCACGCATGTGCAGTTGACTAGTTTTTCAATAACCTTTGAAATGGTTAGATTGATCGATGACCATTACTACGAAGAATCACGGTTTATTTTTTCTCCTCTCCCCTTGCGCCCAACAACCGCAATGCCTTATTTTTTGTCTTACAAGTGCCGTAACATGCGATCAGGCAGAGTTAAATGAGCATGGAAGAAGCACGGTTTTTCGATCATATTTAGTTCGCCCAGAGGTCAAGTCATGGAGTAGCTGGATGAGTCTTTGCACTTAATATTCACGTTAATAAATCTGTATTAGACTTGATGGGTGATAATTATATTGCTTCTAATAACTGCTGAGAAGTTATCTTCGAAGAATGCCCATCTTATTATTGGTTTATAATAATTTCCAGGAAGATGAAGCAAAGAGGGATGAACTGGAGGCTGATAAAGATAGGATGATGAAAGAGTACAGGGCTCAGCTGGATGCGGAAAGAGCAAAGAAGCTTGCCCATGGAAGAAACCACTCCAGTAACAAGTCTCATCGGACGAAAGGTGAAAAAAAAAAAAAAAAACCCTAAACCCTAAACTCTAAAAGCTTACAATTATGTCTGAAGACTCTGCTTAGATGAACCCAAAAGCTGATATATGTATATATGTATATGATCGTCAGCAATGTCTGTAGTTCTGACGGTTCCTGTGGTTGTTTTCTTATTGTCTCTTCACAGAAAGAAAGGAGAGGGATCAGAAGAAAAGGAGCAGCAAGAAAAGAAAGGTCTCCCCCCCTCTGTTAATGATTTCATAAGTTGACCTCGCCTGATTCTCCGGTGCCAGAAGTATTGACTTCTTCGACCGATGTTCCTACGCCACTCTTGCAGCGGTCGAAGAGGTCGTCGTCGTCGAGTTCCTCGAGCTCGTCCTCCGAGACCTCGAGCAGCGACGACGAGGAGAGGGACTCGCGGAGGTCCAAGAGCAGACGGAGAGAGAAAAGGCGGAAGTCGAGGGCCAAGCACTCCGGCAGCGACGGCGAAGATGGCGGCGCCGCCGGCCCCGTCCCTCTCTCTAGATTTTTTGGTACTGTGAAGAGCTGACCATTCATCCCCATCTGAACCGTATCCCCTCACAGAACCCTGAACCCCCCCCCCCCTCTCTCTCTCTCTCTCTCTCGCTAGCGGATTAATTTAGCACCTTTTTCTGAAGGCGCTCAGGTTTTAAAATGGGTATAATCTGCCGTTGCAAGCATGGGTCGTGCCCGATCTGACCCGCGTGGGTTGGATCGGATCGGGTGGTGGTCCGAAGAAGAATCCGCCGGGGCGATGTGGCGGGATCAGAGGCGTCGATCGGCTGAACCCTTTGAATCCACGATGGACCACAAATGGGCCTATGACGGATAGAAAGATGGAAGATGACTGAAGCCCATTATGGCCCATTATGTTCTTCCGGGCGTCGTGGAGGAGGGTGCTCTAAAACCCTAGAGAGAGAGGTTTGGGTGTTTCCAATGGATTCACTGAAGAGGAAACCTCTGGGAAGCCCGTCTCCGGACGCTCCGGCGGGAAAGTCGGCTAGGGGTGAGGTGCAGAACATCGTCGATGGACCAGTGGCCTGTCTCCACGACGTCTCCTACCCTGAAGGCTTCGTTCATCCTCCTCGCCGTGCCCCCGCTCCCGAGAGCGGGGAGAAGTTGAAGCCGGCGAAGGAGTTCAGTTTTCAGCTCGATCCGTTCCAGGCCGAGGCCGTAAAGTGCCTCAACAATGGGGAATCGGTCATGGTAATGTTGCGAAGGCGTAGTGCTCGCTGAATGATCCTAGCTAATGCTGCGGCTTCTGTATTCGTCGTCGGGTTGATAAGCCTTTTTTTGTTTAGGTGTCTGCGCATACATCTGCGGGGAAGACTGTGGTGGCGTTGTATGCCATTGCTATGTCCCTTCGGGACAACCAACGAGTCATATATACTTCCCCAATTAAGGCTCTCAGTAACCAAAAATATAGGGAATTCAAGGAGGAATTCTCTGATGTTGGGCTAATGACAGGGGATGTGACTATTGAACCCAGTGCTTCTTGCTTGGTGCGAGTTTGACAACTTGCTATTTTAATCTTTTTCTTTTTCTTTCATTCCCCCGCCACCCCAAACGTATTCAGTTGGGTGAGATGTGTAATTGCTAATGGAACTGTGTATTTCAGGTCATGACGACAGAGATTTTGAGGAGTATGCAATACAAGGGTTCTGAGGTTATGAGGGAAGTGGCTTGGATTATCTTCGACGAGGTGCACTACATGCGGGACAGGGAAAGGGGTGTTGTTTGGGAGGAGAGTATTGTCATGGCTCCAAGAAACTCACGTTTTGTATTTCTTTCAGCAACGGTACCCAATGCTAAGGAATTTGCTGATTGGGTTGCAAAGGTCATCCATGTCCCAGCTTGACACATTTTTGTTACATTGCTTAAATTTCCTGTAAATATCATGCTCTCTTTTCTGAGTTCAGATGTATTTTTGGACTCCAAACGTTCTATGAATCTATCAATAGCTTAAGTGAAGTGAAACTCGTGGCTAATATGTACGTAGCATGTTTTATAGGTTCATCGACAGCCTTGTCATATTGTCTATACTGATTATCGACCCACACCTCTTCAACATTACATTTTCCCATCTGGAGGCGACGGTCTGTACATGGTGGTGGATGAAAAGGGGAAGTTTAGAGAGGAAAGTTTTCAAAAAGCTTTGAATGCACTAGTACCAGCCAGAGAGGGGAACAAGAAAAGAGAAAATGAGAAATGGCAAAAGGGGTTGGTAGCAGGTAGATCAAGCGAGCAAAGTGACATCTTCAAGATAGTGAAAATGATAATCCAACGTCAGTATGATCCTGTGATACTTTTCAGCTTTAGCAAAAGAGAGTGTGAATTCCTTGCAATGCAGGTGAGTTTTGATTTCGATTCACATAAATTCTCGTGATGTTTTAATATGAGATTTGAAATATTTCTTCGTCAAAAAATCTTAGCGATATTGCTATGGCATACATTGGTGCCTACATACCCTGGAAGTTGACAAGCTTTTTTTTTTTCATACTTTATGCTACTTTCTTTGCCCCAGGTTTTCGGGACAGAGTTAAATGGTTTCTGTTTGAGCAATATTGTCGGAGCTACTCTACAATCTCGTGCAATATGATGTTTTATATTTTTTTTGAAACACACGACTCCCTATGTATAGAATGGTTAAAAATATAATGTTGTTTGGTCGTTCCTGTCATCCTCATGCGTTTGTAAACGTTCGGCTATTATCTTACTTGGTTAAATGACTGCACGAATCAGTCTGAATAGATGCCTCTAAGTGAACAATTGTTGGTTGACCATTTAAAATAAAGTTTATCTTCGTGACCGCTGGTACAGATGATGATGTAGCTGTCATAAAACGGAGAGTTGGGAGAATTATGAGACAGTACTTACTATATTCGAAGTCATTTACTCTAATCTTGTAGATGGCAAAAATGGACTTAGCTGACGACGATGAGAAGGCGAATATTGAAACTATCTTCTGGAGTGCAATGGATATTCTTTCAGACGACGACAAGAAGCTTCCTCAGGTAAGGTCTTATTCCTCTTTTTGTTTTGGAAATCGTGTAAATAGTGATCCATATATTCTATGGCTATCAACTTTTCTGTCTTTGTTATTTATATAACTTCCCTGTCAATTACCGCACCCTGTGATGTGACAAAATTAAATGATGACGAGAGCTGCATGGAAATTTATGGCAGATGTGTTTGGCCTTAATTGCTATTTTTAAAATGTTGCCTTTTATGATATGCGAATTTATCCTGTGTGATGATGAGCTGTAATTACTCAAAATGTTCTCTCGTTTGACTGGTTCAATGTCTCCATTTTGGACAGCTGTGTCTAACGGATGTCTACATGGGAATCAATTCAGAATTTTTTAATGCTTGTATTATTAATCTCAGGTCTCTAATATGTTACCTCTGTTGAAACGTGGGATTGGTGTGCACCATTCTGGTCTGCTTCCAATTTTGAAAGAGGTGATTGAAATACTATTTCAAGAAGGCTTGATAAAGGTTGGTATTAATTCTTTCTATCATCTTAGTTGGAACCAGTCTCTTTTGTATATGGTACCGTGGATTTTTGTTTTCCTTTGGACAAGAATGGCGAAAAGAGTTTCTAAAATGATGCTTGAGACCTACAAAATATTTTACTACACTGAGAAGTAGCACTTTACCCAAAAAGTTAGCATCGTCCATACATGATTCTATGTCAAATGTTCATTCAACGTTTTCATTAGCATTGCTACATTTAAAGAAAGGTTCAGTGAAAAATCTCTGTTACAGTGTTTATTCGCCACAGAAACCTTCAGCATTGGCCTCAATATGCCAGCAAAGACTGTCGTGTTTACGAATGTACGAAAATTTGATGGCGATAAATTCAGATGGATATCAAGTGGAGAATATATACAAATGAGTGGTCGTGCTGGCCGTCGAGGTATTGATGAGCGTGGAATTTGCATTCTCATGATTGATGAGAAAATGGAGCCATCTACTGCTAAGTTGATGGTAAAAGGAAGCCCTGATTGTTTAAACAGGTATTTATGCCTGTTGCTGATAAAAATGTGGAACTTATTTGCTAATGTATTGCACTGTGTTTATTGTCATTCCTTGAGTTGTTTCTTCATTTGAAGATCGTAATCCGGCATAGTCGTCCTGTGAACATTTTCTTCATAAATACTTCACACTATTTTTTGAGGAATGATTTGTTGACCGAGAGAATAAAGTAATCCCAGATTTTATGTTATCCTGTGAGAGCATACACAGGGGTTGCAATGAATCATTTGAATAATTCATGCATTCGAGATTTTAGGTTAATAATGTCGCTTACCGTTGATCCTACTGAACTATTTGCCTTGTAATTTTTAACTTATGTGGAAATTGCATGGCTTCCTTATATCTTTGTCAAGCTTTTTGAAAACTCTCTCTAGACGATATTAATCTTTTACAGGTTATCAAAACTTTGGCTATTTTTGCCATTCTTAGGAGAAGTCTGATATTTTCTGCATTGTTTACATGAGAGCTGCCACTTAAAATAGACTTCCTCGGCCACTATTCAATTTATGAGTGCTAAGTTTTGTGGGTTAAAAACATGCATATACGTGCAGTGCCTTCCATCTGAGCTACAACATGCTGTTAAATCAAATGCGCTGCGAAGATGGGGATCCAGAGAATCTTCTAAGGCATTCGTTTTTTCAATTTCAGGCTGATCGCGCTCTTCCTGATCTTGAGGTTCGTTGAGATACACTGAAGTTCCGTGTCCTCTGGCAGTCTTGTGTTGCTTGTAACATTCCCTTTATTTTTCTTTGCAGAAGCAAACAAGACAGCTGAAAGAAGAACGAGATTCGATTGTGATTGAAGAGGAGGATAATCTGAAGGACTACTACGATGTTCTACAGCAGTATAAAAGCTTGAAGAACGATGTTCGCAGCATTGTGATCACCCCCAAGTATTGTCTGCGTTTCTTACAGCCTGGCAGGCTAGTGTGCATCCAGTGCATAGAAGACGAGACAGCCCCTATACTGTCCATTGAAGAGCAGGTTTCGTGGGGTGTGATCGTCAATTTTGAAAGGGTGAAAGGCCTTTCTGAAGGTAAAAAGGGCCTTACACTGATACATGACGCGCCAAATAACTGATGATATTGTTATTGGATTGTTTGCCAAATAACTATTTCAATATTCTGCTTTATTGGAGGCCTGTCTCTCTTCATTGAAACTGTTTATGTTCATCCAGGCGGAAAACCCGAGGATGCCGACTATGTTGTACATGTTCTAGCTAGATGTGCGGTGACCAAGGACATAGGAACGAAAAAGTCCATGAAGATTGTTCCTTTGAATGAGAATGGGGAGCCTATCGTCGTTTCATTACCTCTATCACGGGTAAACTCCCCACATCAGTCTCCCGTTCTAGTTTTCCACTTACAGAATTCTGCTCAATTAGAATATTTCTGTAATCATACCTTCGAACGATGGAACCCTGCCCCTATGCTTATTTTTTATATCGTTAGATGCGTTAAATGTTCATGTGGCTTGTTTTTCGTGCCTTTAAACCAGATAAATAGCTTGAGCAGTATCTGCGTACACATGCCGAAGGACCTTCTACCGCTGGAATCGCGGGAAAATACTCTGAAAAAGGTTTCAGAAGCATACCTAAGATTCCACAAAGATGGGATGCACCTTCTTGATCCTGAAGACGACATGGGGGTGAGCACCTGATCCTTGCCGTGGTTTTTTTTTTTTTTTTTTTCTGAACTTGTCGTCTTTAATTCTTGATATGATCCTTGTACTAGAAGCTAATTCATCTTCCCTTCATTACCCAACCATTTTGTTGGCACATCCAGGTTCAGTCTAAGTCGTATAAAAAGGTTGTGAGGAGGATAGAGGCTCTTGAAAGCTTGTTTGAAAGACATGAGCTACGAAAGTCGCCCTTGATTCGAGAGAAGCTCAGACTTTTGCATTCCAAGCAGGAATTGACCGCCAAGATCAGGTCAATTAAGAAGACGATGCGCACATCGACTGCCTTAGCCTTCAAAGACGAACTCAAGGCTCGGAAGCGGGTCCTGCGTCGGTTGGGGTAATTCTTCTTGACCCTCATTTAATCCGAAATGCATGCTTTTCCCATTGGGTGGCATAATCTGCACCCCGTGGACTCTGGAGCATTCTTCTCTGAATAGCTTATGGCCCAACCGTCTCGTTGTTCATATCTCTAACCCCTTGTTACTACTGCCCCTGGAATGGAAGTTCCTACTGAATATCCTCCAAGCTTTCACTGCGTTTGGAACATTCTCTATACAGCTTTGAGCCCAGCTACGCGTGGCTCTCATCTGCAGGTATACGACTGCGGAGGATGTTGTGGAGTTGAAGGGGAAGGTCGCCTGTGAAATCAGCAGCGCGGATGAACTAACATTGACGGAGCTCATGTTCGGTGGAGTCTTCAAGGACATCACCGCAGAGGAGATCGCCGCCGTTTTATCGTGTTTTGTGTGGCAGGAGAAGCTGAATGACTCTCAGAAGCCCAGAGAAGAGCTGGACCTACTCTTCTCGCAGCTGCAAGAGACGGCCAGGAAGATTGCCAAGGTCCAGCTCGAATGCAAGGTACTTCACATTTACTCTGCCTATTCAACACAAGAGAAGAAGTGCCGTAGGGTTTGTAAATCGCCCTTCTGAATCTTCTGATCACTTCTCTTTCGATGGGTTCACAAATCCATGATTTTTATCCTTTCTTAGCAACTTTTCTTCGTACCCACCCAACCTCTGCCATTTCAAGAAAAAAAAACAAAAACCTCTTGGTAGTGAAAACCCCTCTGCCTAGATCGACGTGGGCAGCTTTGTGAGATCATTCCACCCTAATATCATTGTATTATGCAGACTTTTTTTTTCTTCTTTTTTTCTTTTTTTGTTGCTATTTTAAGTGGGGAGTGGGGAGAAAGAAATATGTTGCTAGTGAATGATTCAAGATATGATGAAAACGTCTCTTCTTTCCATGAAATCGGCAGGTCCAGATCGACGTGGAGGGCTTTGTGAAATCATTCCGCCCAGATATCATGGAGGCCGTCTATGCGTGGGCCAGGGGCTCCAAGTTCTACGAGATCATGGAGATCACAGAGGTCTTCGAGGGCAGCCTGATCAGGGCCATCAGGAGACTGGAGGAGGTGCTCCAGCAGCTCATCACGGCCTCCAAATCCATCGGAGAAACGGACCTCGAGGCGAAGTTCGAAGAGGCCGTGGTCAAGATCAAGAGGGACATCGTCTTCGCCGCATCTCTCTACCTGTAGCCAAAGGAGGTAGGTAGCCTTGCCTTCTTCTCAGTTTTGCTTCGCTCCGCCTGTGTACATTCTCTCCCCATCCTTGCCCCCCATTGAAAGGCTTGGGTATCCAGACCAAAGTCAACGGCTTATGACTGAGATGGTGAGTTGGGGGCGGTGGCGCCCGAGTCCCGAGTTATATTTTTCTTTATTTTCCCCGTTTTCAGGGACTGGGTTGCTATTCTTTCAACAAATATGTATCATATATTTTTTAAAATGTTATTTTTCCCCCTTTTTCTTCCTATCTTCTTCTTCTCTTTAATATCTCTTCAGTGAAGAACAGCAATCCATATTTAGAAACGCATGAAGGTGGAGCTCCTCGAGCAGCTCATCTTTGTTTTGGATCTATTGGATCGGCCTTCCTCATTGACTTTGGTCATATTCATGTTCAACCTTCTTCAGTGCTTCGGGCTCAGAACCATAGAAAAATGAACTGCCAATTTGGTAAGTTATTGTGGGCATTTAGATTATATGCCCATTTAAAAACCCAGTGGGAGACGCCATTATATCGATTTTTTTCTCATCAAATAAATCACACCACCTTATGGTATCTCATTTATGTGCCTGATGGAGTTAGCTGCTTGCCTGTTTCGGCAAGGGCATTCATTCAAGCTTCTCCACCTCGGCCATTAGAACATTGGTGAGAGCAAAATCATGACAAGATCATTCCCGAGCCACTTACATAGCTTGATGAAATGATTAGTTTTCTGCACCAAATGTAAACATATAGCTTATTCGGAGGACCATTGAAGAAGTTTTCGCAGATGAAGACTTTCTACGGATTCCAGGGAGGGAACTGACTGACTTGCAGTGATGGATGGAGAGGACGGCAAGGGCGAAGGGGGGGGAGAGACGGGGACATTGCGTCGCTTCCTCATTTGGGGGGTTCAACGATGGGCTTTCCTTTCTGTCTGAACTGGGCCATGGCCTCTTTCATGGCCTCTTTCCTCTTGACGCTAGCGAGGATTTTCGCTTGCAGGGGGCTCATGTTGAGGTCCTTCTTCTCCTTGGGGGGAGGCGGCGGGGGCCGCCTACCGGCGGCATTGGCATCTCCGCCGCCGCACACGGCGGAGCCGAGCCCAGCTCCGACCAGCCCGTACAAGAACGCCCTGCGGCAATTCAGCATACGGAATGAGGAGTCTTATTCTTCTTCTTCTTCCTTTCTGCTAATCTAATGGGCGAAAAAAAAATGGATCTTGTAGAGATGCCGACGGCCGGAGAAGAAGGGCCTACCTCCGTTGGTGCTGCACTTCGAATCTCACCACCGGCGGAGAAGAACACAGGTGCCTCTTACTCGCCGTGGGGGGTGCTGGCGCCGCCGCCGCGACGCTGGGGGCAGGAGCTAGAGAGTGAGCAGCCATTGTAGCCTGCGACGGCGGCGCCGCGCCGGAGCCCGCTGGTCGTATATACCAAGGCAGGCGCTTTCCGAGCTCAGAGTAGATAACGCCAAGCCCAGGAGAGGCGTCCTATTGGCAGAGCTAGGGATAAGCATGGGGTAGACGAGGGTTGACGTGGCCAATTATCGTCGCCATGGTAGTCGGAACCGTAAAATTGAAGAATTTTAGAGCTGAACAAGAGCCTGCCCTCATCTTCTTCTTCTCTCTAACCTCTCTATCTCTCTCTCTCTACCCAGAAGAAATCAGTGGTTGGTACGCAATTCTAAGTCTTGCACCAAAAATGAACCTGATTTGAAGGGGGATTTTGAAGAAAATCCTGAATCCTAATCTTACGGCACCAAAAATAGAACCCTAGTTCTGAAAGCAAGCTGGTGGTCTTTCTCACAATAAGATTAGTACAGACTAACAGAAAGCAGGTTGCTCTTTTATGTAAACCTCGCACTAATCCTCCTCGGAGTCATCCTCGGCGCCGCCGCCGGCAGAGTTGAGGGCGTTCAGCCGTTCGATGAGCTTGGCTTTCCTCTCCTCGTAGGTCAGCTTCTTCAGGTTGTACCTGCAGAGATCGGCGAGCACCAGCGTCAACTCATGTCGAGGCTTCCCGAATTGGGAAATGGGCGAAGGTAGAACTGGTGGGTCTTTTCACCTCTTGTGCTCTTTGGGAGCGGGCTTGGTTGACTTGGCCGGCGATGGGTCAGCGCGGATGGCGGCGTGGACACTCTTGTAGAGCTCGTCAATGTCGTCGGGCTCAACCCCCCCCTTGATGAACTGGCTGAAGTGGGCGTTGTACTTCTCTGGCTCGTCCTCTTGGAGGGTCTGAAAAAGAAAAAACCCCGCGGATGAGGATGTGATTGTGTGTGTGAGAGAGAGAAAGAAACTGTACGGCAAATGAGTTAGAGAGAGGGAGAAAGATGACGGAGGAAGGTCTGACCCTCATGTAAGAAGCAACGTGGCCACCGTAGATGTACTTCCTGTGCACCTCGGCATCAAGCTGCTTGTCGTCCTTCTTGAAACCAGCGAACCTCTTGTCGCTGTGAGGGATATCAAGACCTCCATCAAGTGCTCCCTGAACCAAAACAAAAAAAAACGTTTATATATATTTGCCATAAATGGCAATTTTATTACGATCATACAATAAAGTTATATATGGCAAACAATCCTCAGTCTGCTGGGCAAAATTATCATCGATAAAGCGGATATAGTAAGAAGCAATCGAAAACGTGGTCAAACCCAGTTTCAATGGAGTTTGATTCCTCGTCGGTAAACTGCTACGATACATAATTCCAGCCTTCTGGGCATATAATGTTATGTACACAGACAAGCAGCATGCGCTTAGAAGGGCAGAGAGTTTCACCTTGAGAGCCCCAAAAACCCTGTTTCCGGTCGTCGTCCTCACTAGGCCGACGTCCAGGAGGGCACGGAATGGCCTCCTGGTCTCCACAGGTTCAACAGAGAAGTCCTCCCCAGTGGCCTGCCAAGCACATAACAACCAGACGACGATGATGCTATGATGATGATGAGGACGCCGTAACACAGATAGAGATGCCCACAAAACGTACTTCAACGTTCCCCTCATAATCCTGATCCATGTTGAGCGTCTTCAGGACTCGGCGAGCCAAGAGAAGCCCGGTGCAATAAGCTGCCATAATACGCTCGTTACTTGGTGCAGAAGTGGTAGACCAAGGCAGAAAAAGCAACAGAGAGGGCATGGAGATTGAATATCAGAAGAAAAGGTACCTGCGGCATAGTTGGTGAGCCCAACTTTGAGCCCATACTTCGGCAGCTCGTGTGAGTAAGCTGCAGCTAGGACCAAATCCCCAGCAATGCTGGCAGAGATAATCTGGGCAGTGATATCCTTGTTGGTCTGATCACACCTTGTTAACTAGGAAACACTTGCCACATCGGGAAGTATCAAGTTGAAAAAAACAAACCATACGGCATATCTTAAGGATACGAATCGGACAACGAAGCGATATTTTGGCGTGTTGTACTTGTTCTTGTCCTGGTTAATCAACCGGATCCTGGCACGGTAGTCAGTCTTTCCCTCTGTAAAGAAAGATGGTAACAAGTCTCAGGAAGAATTGAACCCAAAAAAAAAAAAAAAAAAAACTGGAGAGTAGGGAGACTGCGCACGTCTTCTTCTCTTGAATTTCACTTGAAAACGCTTGAAGTATGCCCTGGTCTTCAGCGCCTTGACGAAGGCCTGAAGAGTGAAAAAAATATGATTCAAGATATTAGTAAATACGTCAATCAGAATAAGAAATACGACAATCAGTGGACTATCAGCCACTGAGCTATGTACGTCCAAGGAAAAATGGATTACAATCCTCAAGAGATAGCATTAGACTATCAAACAGGATAATCACTTCGAAAAGTGACAATGCGCGTATTTTGTCACACGACACAAAAAATGGATCCCTCAATCAATCAATATGTACTCAGGAGGGCGAAAAAATGAAAATCATTAAGCCACAGCAGAATAACTCAGGGCAGCAAGCCCAATCGCAGTAGAACTCGTATGTAAAGAAACACCTTCAAACTATGAAATTCAGCCGCTGTAGGAAGACAGCATGCCAATAAACATGGAAAATACCTACCCCTCAGCTGTAACACGAGAAGCATACACTTTCTCGCACGATTAAAGACTATAAACGGTAAGGAAAGTAATTTTACGAGCAATAGTGCCTTGAACAAAAAGAATACAAAAAAATGTACCTAACCAAGTTTTAAAACGTCAGGAATCGATATGAACGATTACGTACATAAATGAGAAGAATTTTCATTCAGTAGCCAAAATAAAAAACAATAAAACATAATAATCCGCAGTTGAAAATACGCAGGAAAAAATAAACTCAAGGTATTTCGTTGCGGACTTCCATTTGCATTCCTCGTAATCAACAACTGCGCATGGGCGGCTCATCAACCTAAGACCGATCGGGAAGATCAAACTAAAGCATACCTATCTGCTTCCAAATCAGACCGGCAAGATTGTAGCCCATTCATTGGCACTATCCTAAATGATGATAGTATATAATGGGCTATTGTATGAACAGGGAAAATAGATGGAATGAGACTCTTAAGAACCAGGACAGATTTGGCCGCTCCTGTAACCAGCCTCCCGATACAAACAAGCAAAGCTTGCATTGGCAATGGCTCCGAAGAAATATATTTTCAAATAAGTTAGTGAGATCGACTTGATAGCCGCCGTAAGAGAATATATACATTCGAACTTCTTGTACAAGCAAACAAGTTGAGGATCAACTTAATTTCTTCACTAACTCTTAGGAGGGAGAATCTCGCTCAGGAAAAGATGACAGATGGAGTCCCCCAAACTTGATCCCCACATGCAGCCGTAGCAAATGACCAGCAAAATAATCGAATGAAAAAGTGGAACTACCGGTGACTACACATCCACCCCTACAAAAACCTATAAACTGTGATCCACTCGGCGCCAGATTCACAGATTTTTCGTCTTACAATTCGAGAAAACGCACATTCCTCGTGCACAGCAAGAAAACAGGCGATGACAGTATAGACCAGGGAACAAGAAGCTCGCGTTTAGAGATCTAACCATCGTGGATCTGCAGCTGCTGCCTCGCCTTCTCGGCACCGACGGCGGCAGGGCGGGTGATGAGAGAGGGTTTTGTGACGCAGACCCCCCCACCCTCTTTAAGACTCGCACAAACCCTAGCGTGGAAGGATAGATTGGACGGGTGAGATTCGCAAAAGTATCACCAACGGTTCGGATGTGGTGGTAGTTTCGTTATTTCGTAGAATCCGACGGTACCGTTGATCGGACGGTGGTCGTCTCTCCATCACAAGAAGGGTCTACAACGATCATTGACGGGCCCGTTAAAAAGCCCATTAATCAAGCTCTGACCCGAGCCCATTCATAAGCAGGCCCGGGCCCACTCAGACCACACAAAAAAATATAAAATTTTCGAGCCCAGATGGCCTTTCTATGAATCGTGCCATTGTTATTTTCAGCTTAATAAGGGGTATTTAAATAATAGACTAAATAAACCTAAATAAGTAGTGTAACGGGCCAGTTTCGGGCCTGGGTCTGAAAGGCTCGAAAGCTTTCCAAGGCCCGGTGCATATTCTCCACTGAGAGAGAGAGGGAAAAGGCCAGGTGGCTGTCTCAAGACGAACCACGTGGCGCATTTTTCTAGTCGTGTCGATAGTCGCGTGGATCCGATAAATGGTAATGAAATTAGTGGGCTTTGGGGACACGAAGTAGATCCGAACGGTTCATCTTCCTCTTTATTCGTCTCCCCGTTTTTCAGTTGGTTGATCTGGTCGGCGCCCTGTCGACTCCGGAGTTGCCTCTCCCGCTTGGCTCGAAGAAGGTCGAGGATTTATCTGGTATGCTTCCCTCCCCTCTCGTCTCCCCAAATCTGGATTCACCGTCGGAGATGTGCTGTTCTTCGTCTCGTCTCTTCCTCTCTTCTCCTTGGTTGTCTTCCTTAAGGTATCTAAGAGCTAGGGTTTAGGGCGCCGCAGGGTTTCTGTAATCATCAGCGTCCGGGTGAACCTAACTTGGCCGCGAAGGCTAGAATAAGGTGTGCCTGCTCTTGGCTTCCAAGAGTAAGAAAGGTTGAGCGCGGAGGGGCATCAAACTTGATTGCGGATTTCGTTGCTGCGAGGGGAATGTGGAATAATGTGAGAAACGAACGATGTTGTGGGGTTAGGTGGAAGCGTTCCAGAGAAGATCTACGTAGGGACAAAGCAGGAAGTGAAAAACAAAGGTGCGATCGTGTTTCGAGGATTCCAGGGGATGTTAAAGTTACACGAAGCGGTGATGTTAGAAACATGTCGGGATATGGATTTATCTGTCCAATCGCTGCTCCGGAAGGCTTCTTAGCGGGGGGAACTTCTTGGTGGATGAATGATGGAATCTTCTGTCATTGTGCAAAATGCTTCCTGGAAAAAACAAACGCCTGACTCTTGTAGAGGTCTCTTTAAATTCATTCCCGAGTCTTGAACGCGTTGTATAGTATTCTTTGTTCAGAGAGCCTTTCTGCTGGTTTCTGAAAATGTGATTAGAAATGAACCTCGGAAAATCCAGGTTAGGGAGAAATTCAGGAAAACCCATAGACTAAAAATGGAGAGAGTTGATTTTCAAACGCCAAGATGTATCCAGTGACAATGACCTGAGTCAGTAGGTAATCGCAGGTTTTTGAGAACTCGCCAAACATATAGTCTTGATTCTTGAAGAGTGGGCTTCAGGAAAATAAGCAGAGGAAATTGGAACTTAGAGGGCAGCCAGTTGAGTAAATATATGTTATGCGAGACTAAAAAATGATGAGGGTATATAGCTGTGAGGAGTGGATGCTGAGGGCATACAAGATGGGATGAAATGATAAACCCTGCGTCAGTTGAAGAGAAAGGTTTTGACAATGAATCTCTCGGAAGACCTTTTCTAAAGCAATAAAGAAATGATCTGATCAGGGATTAGTTCTGGAGAATTCTGGAAAGTGGCCGAGATACATGATTAGCATTTTTTCGGATCTTAGTTTCTTCGTGAGGAGAAGCTGCACCATGTAATATATAACATATGTATATATTGTTTTATATCCCTCGGAATGAATGTTGTCATATTTTGAAATGCCTACACTTGCGTCCGTGTCCAGTGGATCATGATCTACGCCCACAACTTTATTTCCTTCTGTAACAAGCATATTTAATCAAGGATGTCTATTAGATATGAAGTTATGTTGAGAGACCTGCTATTGAAGCTTCCATGATAGAGATTTTGCGTCCTAATACCCTTAAAAAAGGCTTTCAAACCTTGCCATGCGTTATGTAGTAATGCATGTTGGCACTGTTGATTTTAAAATTTAGAAGTATCCTTTGTATTCTGTATCGTAGGAGGAAAAATTAGTTTACAAGTTGGGCTTCTTTTATGGCCTTTATAATTTCTACGCGTGTGTTTTGAATTTGAGGTTGAATCTTCCTGGAAGGAATGTGGGCCTTTTTATGCTGTTGTTACATACATCTCATTATTGTTCAATGTATGATGTATATGCACAGCCGATAGTATGGGCATTGCAGTGTTAGGTTCATCCTTTGAACCCAACATATACATGCAATTTTCAAGGAAACTTTCTCACTGACCTTGTTATATATTACCGAAACATGAACAGAATATCAACCAGAGTTTCACATTTCCGAGATTCCTGATGAGCTTCATGTGGACAAACAATTAAAGCCCATTGCATAGGCTTTAATTAGTATTATTATTACTATTGTTATCATTGGTAGTAAAAAAAATTTAACCAGGAGGTAGGAGAGGCAGTGTCATTGAAATGATCAACGGGTTAGCTGGTATCTCAGGTGTTATTTATTTGTGTTGAAGGGGCCGATGATGGTGTGTGCGTGTAAGTATGTTATTGAATCAGATAAAAACTTTGGTGAGGGGCGAATTCAATCGAGGTGTTATTTCATTCTTTAGTCCAGAACGTATGCATCCCTCTGGTGCTCCTCCAATTTCGGATCTATCTCTTGATTTCATTTCATACGAGTCGATAGAACTTAGGCTTTCATCGCTTTAATCGAAAAAGAAGGACATGATCATCTACATTTTTTCCACCTTTTTTTTGACAGATATATGAGTAGAAACTCACTTGTTGATATATGCATCGGTGGATGAAATAATGATATATGTTCAGAAACATGTCTGAAATTCTATACTCTGTCGAACCCAATATTTTTCATTCAATTACGTGGCACAATATCCTTCTTATCTTCTATCCAGCTCTTGGGCTTTCATTTCTTGAGAATCTTAATCCCCCAGATCGACGTCTCCCTAAAAATGATGCCTTTCGCTTTGTCTGATCCGCTAGCTTCATCTTTTTTGATCAACTGGCTCATTCTCTCACTGCATTCTGAGTTTTTTTGTCTCTGAGAAAATATCTCTGCCAGCACGCCATCTCCCTCGATTAGTAGATTGATAACATCCTGTGAACACCTGTTGCTGCCTCAGGAGATCAAACAGTAGCTACCAGCTTCGTCTCGAGCTTCGCAGAGGACAGCATGTCGAACATGGTGGCGGCGGCGGGAGGAAGTTCGCTGGCTCTCTCCGGGCCGAGGCCGGGCGCGGAGTGGGCGACGGTGCCGTACGGCGGCACCCTCCTAGCGCCGCCCGAGGGGAAGCAGCAGAGGGCATCCAGCTTGGAGTCTCCGATCATGCTGCTCACGGGGCACCAGAGCGCGGTGTACACGATGAAGTTCAACCCTTCGGGATCGGTGATCGCCTCCGGTTCCCACGACAGGGACATCTTCCTCTGGAACACCACCGGAGACTGCAAGAACTTCATGGTGCTGAGGGGCCACAAGAACGCGGTCCTGGAGGTGCAGTGGATGGCCGACGGCGCCCAGGTCATCTCCGCCAGCGCCGACAAGACCCTGCGCGCCTGGGACGTCGAAACTGGGCGCCAGGTGAAGAAGATGACTGAGCACCTCTTCGTGGTGAACGGCTGCAGCGCCTCCCGCAGGGGCCCGCCGCTGGTGGCGAGCGGCTCCGACGACGGCACCTCGAAGCTGTGGGACCTGCGGCAGCGCGGCTCCGTGCAGAATCTTGGCACGGAGCACCAGATCACGGCGGTGGGCTTCTCCGACGCCTCCGACAAGGTCTACACCGGCGGCGTGGACGACGTGATCAAGGTGTGGGATCTCCGGCGGGTGGAGGTGGTGGAGAAGTTGCAGGGTCACAGCGACACGATCACGGGGATGCAGCTGAGCCCCGACGGGTCGTACCTGCTCACTAACGCCATGGACTGCACGCTGCGGATCTGGGACATGCGGCCGTACGCGCCGGAGAACCGCTGCGTGAAGATCTTCGCCGGCCACCAGCATAACTTCGAGAAGAACCTGCTGCGCTGCGGATGGTCGCCGGACGGGAGCAGGGTTACGGCGGGGAGCGCCGACCGGATGGTCTACGTCTGGGACACCACCTCCCGCCGCATCCTCTACAAGCTCCCCGGCCACACCGGCTCCGTCAACGAGACCGCCTTCCACCCCGCCGAGCCCGTCATCGGCTCCTGCAGCAGCGACAAGCAGATCTTCCTCGGCGAGATCTAATGTTCCGGCGACCTCCTCGAAACCCTGACTTCTGTCTCTGCCCCGCGCGCGGGAGGAGGAAATCTTCTTTTTTGCCCGTGGAAACACTTTTGGGCCCCTCTTCCCTCTCTCTCCCTCCCTCCCTCCTAAGAGATGGACGTCTACGCCAAAAATGGGCTCATTGTTAGCCCAATACGTGTTTTCTCTATCGTCAGCCCATAAATGGCCCAACTTGAAAATATAGAGGGAAAGGCCCGCTAAAATGTGGGTTTGTATGCTGGAGATGCGGGCCGGTGAATCGTATGTTCTTGTGGGGTCCACGGTGTCTGCGACAGCCGTCGGATACGTCAACATCCGTTCGTACGCGGAGGAAGACCTTGTCGGCCAAAGAATGGTGCGTATCGAGATGCACTGAAAAAGCGCGGACGAGAGAGATAGAGACATGAAGACTTGCCATGTGGATGCAGATCATTGGTGGAGAAACATCCGATTCCAGGTCTACATCAGATTAGACTTTCTTGCCGAGGAAGGGGTCAATCGAACGCGGGAGGGATTGGAAGAAAGAAGACGAGATTCTTGAGTACAGAGGTATCACTCTCTCTCTCTCTCTCTCTCCCCCACAATATATAAGGAAAGAAGGGTACCTGAGCTTCCGAAAGTCCACACTGCGTTGCTCCTCTCTGGTTCGGAAACGCCCCTCCCTCTGATCTCTCTTCCACAAGTATGCGTGCTAGGTGCTGCGGCCGGTGAGGGTTGTTCTTTGTGTGCGATCCTTGAGGATGTCCCAGTCGGATGTAGTTTACAGGTGATCCTTTGGATGAATGCTTCACTGTTTTTTTTTTTTTTTAAGTACAGCAATTTCTAGGGTATTGGATCGCGGCTTTGCGCATTTCGGTGTCCGTTGGGCGGAGACTCGATATATGTTCACAAGTTAACGATCGAGTGTGATGATTTGTCGTTCCAGATCCTTTCTATCACTCTCCTAACACCCCCTTGTTTGCCATTTGACTGGATCAGAATGCCCGTCCGCGTTAATGTTCTCCATATACTTTTTAGCGTACGACTTCACCTTGAACTAAATTTCTTCGTGACTTTTGGTGGCCTAATTTCCCCTATGTTGTTTTTTTTTCTTTTTTTTTGGGGGGGGTTGGGGTTGGGGTTGGGGTTGGGGGTGGGGATGGGAGGAGATCATAATTCTGCTGTAGAATCTGGAAGCTAGTTGAGTGTCAAATGCAGATGGTCGACTTTTTAACCTCGCCGATATCTAGTCACAGATCCAGGCGAGGATTACCAAAATCTTGTCACCACCTAACTCATGATATCAACCCTTGACTTGCCATAGATCCACAGTTTCTTATGGAATTATCTTTCATTCGAATTGGTAGCATCAATGGAAGCTTCTCCTGGATCTCTGAAAGAGTCTCGCTGAATCGAAAAACAGAGATGAAGATTCGATGGAAACGTGCCCAGCTACCCCCCGGGGCCACCGCTACCGGCCGAAGAGCGAATTATAGCAAATCCCCTTAGATGAACTCCATTAATTAATTGTGGATCTGAAGGTATTTTAATCCGGGTGAAAGATTTTTATGCTGTTTCTATTCTTCACAATTTTTTAAGGGTCCTGTCCCTGTAATACAAAGCCTTTCGTTGCTCTCTTACATTTTTCTCTGTGTTCTTGACATTTCGATCACACGAGTCCGTCTGGTTCTTCGCGCTCTGTTTGATGTCCCGGTTCTGACTGCGTCTTGATTCAAATTAGCTATGCATCTAAAAGCCTTTTAATCCCTCATCTGAGAATGGCAGACAGAACGACACCAGTTCTTTCGCAGCTCGATGTGGTAGGAATCAGCACTATAATGCAAAAAATTAGGTTCTTTCGATGAATTATCCTCCTCTCCCAAAGTTGGAAACGTTAAAGCAATGATCATTTGATGAACAAGTATTCACTTAATGTTTCCATATTGCTCATCAAGATAAATGTGATAGGGGCGCTGTGATCAGTTAAACCATAAGGGCTATGATCAGAATCACAGTGAGTGCACCATGGGAAACCCTTAGTTTGAAGGGTGCGTTACAAGTCAACGGCTCTAGCACGACATATGTTACACGGCTCCTTCTCTCGATGGCTATCAAGAACACATCGGATGAAGCTTCACCCCCATCATTGGTTTAGATATCCATCAAGCTCCATCTGCCATGCTCGATGAGTGCTGACCATCTTTCTGCAAACCCATCCAGATAAAAAATTTCATTGGAATAAAGCCCAGACTTTTGTCGATATCTATCATCCGCTTCTTGGAGCCTCTGGAGCTATCGTTTTGCGTCATATGAACATGATTGATCGATCAGTTTGGCACCATTAATTAGTATGAATCTTGCAGCATCATATGAATTTATTGCCTTAGTTTCTGACCTCTTCGTTCATATGTTGTCTGCATGCTTCTTTTTCTTTTTCGTTTTTTCTGTGGCATGCGGCTGCTGAGGCCTCTCGGGTTCTGTCTCCGTGCAGCTGTGCTTCTTGTGGGTACCCTTTAAACTTGACATCCTCTAACAGAATCACGTCTGGCGTAGGCTCCGAGTACCGTAAGTCCATCAAGAAGGGTGTCATAACCTTCGCCTCTGTAGACCTCAGCAGGTTCACCCAGGTGGACGAGGTCACCTGCTTCCCCGTCTCCTGGCGCCGCCGCCGCCGCACCAAGACCAGCCTTCTCTGCCGCAACTGCGGCGCCCTCATCGGCCACGGCCACGGCGACCCCGCCGCCTGTCAAAAATACTCCGCCAAGCTCGGCGCCCTGCAACCCTTAGACAGCGGAGGCCACTGAGTCAGCAGAGCCCTCCATGGAGCACCTGCCGGAGGACTGCCTTCTCGCCGTGTTCACAAAACTGGAGAGCTTCCCCGACCGGGAACGCCTTCGGCCTGACCTGCCGCCGGTGGCTCGCACTCCAGAACGCCGCCCGCACATCCCTGAGCCTCCAGCTATGCTACAACCCCGACGCTCACAAGATCTACACGAGCCACCTTCCGAGCTTGCTGGCCAGGTTCCCGCATCTCCTCTCGCTCTCGTTCACCGGCTGCGTGGACCTGCCGGAGGCGGTCCTGTGGCGGCTACCGGACTCCACCGCCGGCCTCCAGTGCCTCTCCTTCTACTACTCCACCGCCCTCTCGGACGGCGCCCTCTCCGTCGTCTCCGCAGGGTGCCCCCACCTGGTCTCCGTCGTGCTCTACCGGAGCAACATCACCGACCGGGGGCTGGAATGCCTCGCCGGGAGCTGCCCGGCGCTGGAAAACGTGAACCTTTCCTACTCCTTCCAGGTCTCCGACGGCGGCGTGGCCGCACTCTCCAGGGGCTGCCGGCGGCTGCGCCTCCTGATGATCACATCCTGCGGTCGCGAAGTCTCCGGCCGCGGCCTCGCCGGCTGCTCCCCCGCGCTGGCGTATCTGGAGGCGGATTCCTGTGCGCTCACCCCTGACGGGCTGCGCGCCGCCGTCAGCGGCGGCGGCCTCGAGTACCTCAACGTCTCCGGCATCAAGAGCTGGAACGGAGGCGACGGGCTGGGGGTCATCGGCGGCGCCGCCCAGCTGAGGGTGCTGAACCTCCGGATGTGCCGTTTCTCGGGGGACGAGTCCGTGGCGGCGATCGCGAGGGGGTGCCCGCTGCTGGAGGAGTGGAACCTCGCCCTGTGCCACGCTGTAGGGGCGGCTGGGTGGTCGGCGGTGGCGGGGGCGAGCAAGAAGCTGAAGGTTCTGCACGTGAACCGGTGCAGGAATCTCTGCGATGTGGGGCTGGCGGCGCTGCGAGGGGGGTGCGGGAGGCTGGAGGTTCTATTTATAGAGGGCTGCCCCCGGCTGACGCCGCAGGCCCTGGAGGAGTTCCGGCTCGCCCGGGGAGCCGTGGAGGTGAAGACTGAGGAGCGCCACTCCATTGGCCCCCGCCTGGACTATTTCTTCCGCCCGCCCTCGCCCTGAGCATTGAAAGTAATATTAATCTCTCTCTCTCTCTCTCTCTCTCTCCTCAATGTGCCTGGGGATGCCCAGTTTGTGACCTGGAGAGAGCCGTTGTAATAAAGTCATTCCAAAGACAGAGCAACCGCGATTTCCCCGCCCCACATGTGCTTTATGCTACCGACGGTCGACGAGCGAGCCTGAAAAGCCCACAACAAGTATCCTTCCAAGACCGGACATTTATCCCTGGCCGTCGCTTCGAAACTGCTTCCTCCATGGCAGCGAATTGGGGTAATTTATGGCAAAAAGGAAAGGCTCTGTTCCTCCATCCCCCTCACGATGTCTCAGAGATCCAGAGAAGAAACCATCTTCACTTTTATTCTCGTCTTCTGCTTGGGACACCCCTCGAGGATTTCATCCTCATGATATGATCATTGTCACAGTCTGAAAGAACAACAACTCAAATGACCCGGCATTCTTTTCCGCCACTAGAATCTATGGCCTCTGCTCGATTGCTTCAGCCCGTGAACTGAAGAACTACACTCAATGACCCCCAAGTCTCTGTAAGCCTCAGATGGGATTCAGGACCGCTCTGCTCTGCTCCGGGCAACTGAAGATCAACCAGCGGAGTGGGGAGTTTGTCTCAGAGAGAGCGGGTTCACTCGAAGCCTACAAAAATATTATTTTTCTGGATTATCGTCGAATCATGAAGAGTTTTACGGACGCGGGTGCGCTCGAGGTGAGTCCAAAGTCAAACCGAATTCAAAGTTTCTACCTTCTGCTAATGGAAACAGGAAGATAAGACCGAACCGTTGACCAGAACGACAGAGAGAGCTCACATCTTTGGATGAAAAACAGCAGGAATTATTGATTAGAATCACCGACGACCCAGTTCGAATGATTGGGAGCCACTTCGGACGCGTTTCAAAATCTGACTCCGAGGAATCATCAGCGCGCGTTCTCAGAGTTTAATGGGGGCGAGCTTCTGAAGAGAGGAAGGTTTCCTAGGCATGTGCCCCTGAAGAACATGAAACAAAGAAAACAGGTATTTTTACAGAGAGAAAGAGAGGATCTTTCTCAGGTACCGATCCCTTCCCGGGGTTCCGATCGCGGAGAAAGGAGCAGTCAGTCATGTACAGAGTTCACCGAAGAGTGGAGGGGCGCGTTGACCCCCCAACCCAGGTCACCATCGCCGCCGCCATGGAGATTTGCAACATTCCCACCTACGGGGGGGACACCAGCTTGCGCTGGTTCAGAGGCAGCGGCTCTCTCATCGCTCCGAAGGGAGGAAGTTGCTGCTGGCGGAGCTGCCGATGGAGCAAGGAAGATCGCGGACGAGGACCCTGAGGCTGCGCGTCCCAGAGAACTCCAAGATCTCGATCGACTCCCGGAGGTCGTCGTCGTTAACCAGGAGGACCCACTCTTCCTCGTCGTCCATGTACTTGAGCTGGAAGGTCCCGGTGGCCAGCTTGAAGCGCCGCCCGATCTCCTCCAGCAGCTGGAGGCACCCCATCTCGGGGAAGAACTTGAACCGCACGGTGTCCTCCCTGTACGTGGCCTTGACGGTGACGGCGGCGGCGGCGCCGGGATCGCCGTCGTGGTCGCTGCCATTGAAGCCCTTCTTGAAGGTCTGCGAGCTCGACTCACTAGCGTTGGAGGAGTCCGTCATCCCGGAGGAGCTCAGGTGGTTCTGGTCCGCCCTCTCGCCGGCGTCTCCTCCGTCGTCGGCCGCCGCCACGGAGCTCGACCACTTGCCGGAAGCCTCCCACACCGTGGGAGGGGCCTCATCCTGCGCCGGGAAGAAGCCGGCCTCGCCGGAGGCAACCCTGTCGGCGCCGGAGATGTTGACTCTTCCCGGTTTTGCGCACTCCTCCTCCTCCGGCTTCCTCTGAAACGGCGGCGGCGCCGTTTCACAGAGCATCGGTTCTATGGCCCTCATGGCCGGCCTGTCGGAGGAGGTGACCGCCGCAATGAAGCTCCCAGTCACCGGGTCATATTTCAGGGAACCCTCCACCCCCTGGACAGAGTCAATGACGGTCTGGATCTTCTTGAGCGACCGGTTGACTTTGTTTATCTTGCGAGACGGCCATCTCGAGATCCCGTGCTGTCTGCAGATTCTCTTCAGGGTGGTCGGACAAACTGCCAGGCACCAAGGTCGGATTGCCCATCCCAATGAGTCAGTAATCAGCGTTGACTTTTGAGGGTTAATCAGGATAACAACATGGGAGGTAGAGAGAGAGAGAGAGAGAGAGAGAGAGAAGCTCACCCCCGATGCTCTTGGCGGCGTCCTTGAGGCTGCCGGAGAAGTACTGCTGGAGGGTGCTCAAGCTGATGTTCTTCTCAGCCGTGCTTCGTTTCTTCTCAAGATGCGCCGCCGTTGAACCACCTCCCATCACCTGCAAAACAAGCAATCTCCAGGTGAAGTGTTGACCTCTCCAAGGAATCACTCTCAAAACTCTGGCAATCGGTTCTTGCTTTCCGTTGTCTTGTAGATTGCTTCTTTTCCGGATTAATTTTCATGCAAATCACATGATTTTTTTTTAATAATCCACGAAAAAACCCATTCTAAATAAAATACACCACCCATTCTCGAAAGCAGTACAGAGGCTCCCTCCTCCCCCATCATTGGAGAAGATCATCTACACAAATTTATTTCCAAATACATGAAATAAACACCAATGGAGGGTATAAAAATTACTCAAGAAAATTTCTACAAATAGTAAAAAAATTGTAATACTGAAACTTATCGCAGGAAAATTGTAGATTGCTTCTGTTTATATCTGCCTCCATTCAAAATATTTTTTTCACGTCAATAGAATAATTAACTTTAAATCCAAGAAAAAAAAGGCCATTCTTCATTAAATATGCAACCGTCCCAAGCAAGATTATGCAACGGGTACGATGAAAGTAGTACAGAGACACTCACATTCTCCATCATTTGAGGAGATCATTTACAGATATAAACCAATGATGGGCACAAATGTTACTCAAGAAAAGACAATCTAAGCATCGTAAAAAAATGTGATACAAAGACATATCCCAGGAATGTGTACACAAAACAGAGCCCAGTACCTTATCAAGATGGATCTCCCTTTCATCACTGCCTTCTTGTAAGTTCAGGCTGGCAGATAAGCTCGATCCCATGCTTGGCTTCCCCGGCTGAAGCTGGTGTCGGGGCATATTCGTCACAGGATAGCCACTCCATCCCTGCTGAAAGTCAAGGCTACCGGAGCCACTCGCCATTACCTCCACATTGGAGACCGTCCTCAAGCTCTTGCAGAGTCTCTGCATGGTGCTTGAAAGATTGTCCAGCAAGAGCTGCTGCTCAACACTGCCCCTGCAGTTGACCGGGAGGAAGAATTCCAATATGTAGTCGTCGTTCCCAGTGTGGGCGCTTCTTAGCCTGATGGCAACGGCGGCATGCAGCCCAAACCTTCGGGCATGATGGACGAACGGGTATTCATGGATGTCATACTCCTTTATATCTGCAGAAAAGAAGGGAAAATTGGACTCAAACGCCTTCCCGGCGACCCCCTGGCCTTTCTTGAGGTGGTGCTCCGAGCAGGCGTGCACAAAGCCCAGCATTTTCATGTCATTGACATAACAAGCTGACTCTTGAATGTGTAACATCAAAGACTTTAGGGATGATTCTGAGCTATCTCCGTGGGCATTCTCCCTATATCCGTTGCTCTTTTCGTCGTCATAGCAGCATGGGGTCCAGGTCAGCGCCAGCGGTAACATGTGTGCATGGCAGACGGCTCTAAGAACATCCACAATCTCCACAAAAGCAACTCTCTGACTTTTTGTGACCTGCTGAAGAACAAGAAAGATATTTGTGTTAAAGAATAGGCCCATACCGATTATCACAGAAGGATGGTTGCTTCCCATGTCCATGGGACGAAGCCCAAAAAGTCGTCTTGCACGTGAGAGGGCATGCTACGAATACTCCGGCATAGATTACTATGTAAGTAAATAAATATATGATTTAATAGCTAATTTTCTGTGAGTCAGATGGCCGAGTAACTCTTCACAATTATGTCCAGTGAAAAAAATTGTAATGGCAGAGAATACAAATCGGCCAAAAAAGCATACCTGATTGTGCTCTTGGGTTCTCACAGTCCTCAGATTCACTGCCTGAAATGGAGAGGGACGGGGTGAGAAGATTAGCTGCATCCAGACTGAAAGTATTGAGAAGGGCCTAAATAGCTGTGGAGCAAGTGTATATCAGCAATCAAAGACATTTTACTAATTGTGACCATGAATGCTGATTTTCAATTTGAATATTTCCTTCCATTTAACATCAAAAGATATCAGACGCATCAGAACATTAGTTACACAAAAGGTGGAATTCATCAACGCATTATTTAAGCATAGAAATCTCGAAAGAATAAAACATAATCAGAGGACTGGGAGGAGAAAAATAAAAGTAAGGACATGTTCTAAGCAGTGTAAAGTCCCAGATAATTCTGAGTTAACCTCGGATAATTCTGAGAATCAATAAGAGGACAAGAACAAATAGAGATCAGAGAAAAAGAAGCTCCAGGAAGAGAGTTTTTTCGATCTGAATCAACATAAGGAAAAAAAAGGAAAAAAAAAAAGCCACAGAGATGGTCGACAACCTGGAGAGCCTTGCAGACAGTATCTATCTCCGGATCAAAATTAGATTTCTCTTTCGTTGTGACCAGCTCAAGCACTGCACAGCATGATCCATCAGTGGTATCCAAAACTGGTAGGGCGAGAGATCCGCGAACTTCATGAGCAAGGGCGTGGTTGACCCGCAAGTACTCATTCTTGCTGTAGTAACTCACATTGGACGTCCACTCGGGGGCTTTTGAGGTAAAAACCCGCCCAGGAAGCCCCTGGAAACAGCCCGACCCCTCCTTCGGCGAAAAGGTAAATGTCCTGGAGATTTCCCGGTACCCTGCAAGAATTTGATCCAGCAGATAAGGTTGCTCTGAAGTGCTCAACACGAACTCATCCCTCTGTTTAACCGGCATCCACACTTGAGCAAGTATTCCTCCAGTTGAGGATTCCTTGAACAGAGATAGCGCTTTGAGCATCCTGTCAGCAAGCGAGATAGAGCTGCCCAAGGATCTGGGAACCACACTCCTCCCGACATCTGAGGAATTCTCAAAAGCACCGGAGCTGCTGCTGTTGGTTCCTGAGTTATCCATGCGGGAGGAATTCGACGAGAAGCCGAATCGCATGTTGCTTCTCTCGGGTGCCGGTTTCCCCCTGCAAGTGGTGTAAACGGAACCAGAGTTGACCGTCCCCTCCTCACCCACTCGGGCAGGCGGAGCAAAAGGAGCCCAACTTCCGGGTGACGCTTGAGTCCCTGCGAAGCCCGAAGGGGACAAAACCTGATCTGAATTTGAGGAGCTGCATAGCTCAGCATAGCCATCAAAGTTCAAGAGATCGGAGAACCCGAATGGGTCATCAGAAATTGGACTTCCAGCCCCTCCATTAAACGATGTGAAATTATCCATACCAGCTGTCTGCGTTTCGTCTTCCTCGGCGCCCTATCTGATATTTGCAGGAAGAAGCAGTACAGCTCTCTGACGAGAAGATTGAAGAAAAGGCAATTTAACATATCACCAAGACACCGAGCTTCGGTCCCATAGAGCCGGAATTCTAGAATAATTTCGTGTAAAACTTTATGATTGGCACATGCCAGGAGGAAGCCTCCAGAACAAGAACACACTATCGTACCCACGCCCAAAAACAAAAATCCACAGGCAAAAACCCAGCCTCAGGTGTAGACAGCCGAAACCTCGATCAGCTTCCCTCAAAAGGAAGCCCCGATTCCCAACCCAGATCCTCCCTCAGGTCCGCGCATCATTCCCTGACCGAATCCCGGAAGGCTAAACGATTTCAACCACGCACGAGATTGACCAACGACTTCACAACCACCTCCGGAGCAGCGGCGAGCTCACTGGATTCCCTCGGCACGAACTCCGGCCAAATCCGGCCCTCCCGAACAGAAACCCTAGCATCAATCTGACCTCCCAACTTTCCGATGATCAACGGCGTCCCGACCAAGCAAGAGCCACTCCGCAGGATCGACCAGGACGAACCGGCACGACGGCTCCGGTACTCACCGCCACCCCTCCTACTCCAGCTGACGATCGCAGTCCCGGCGGCGCGCCCGCGGCGGCGATCCCAGGCCTCGGCGGCGGCGGCAGATCGGAGGACGAGGAGGAATCCTAAGCGGGCTCCGCCTCCCCCAGAGGGAATAAGTACTGCGGCCGGTGGCGTCTCAGGCCAGCGGTAGTGGCCGTCATTCGGTACCCCGCCGCCCCCTCTTCTCTTCCATCGAATATTTTATCAGTTTCTTCCCCAGGGAAATCGACAGATGGACTGCATAATTACGCAAAAATCCCTCATCCGGTCCCACCGCTTCCAGGAACCCGCAGCCGTTCCAAACTGTCACCCAACAAAGATTGCCAGAGGAAAACCCTCCAGAAAGCGTTAAATTACGCTTCCACCAAGATGCCAACCCATCACTGCCGACTTATGAGCCACGTCACTCATTGATATAATTCCGCCTATCTGCATAAAACACGTGGAGACTCAACTGCCCGGCCGTTACCGCACACGTCAGATCGTGCGTTACCTGAAAGCGACAGGCGGATTCCGGACCCGAATTAAGTCGGAATGGTGGCGCCGAATCCGATAAGACGGCGGTCATTCGAAAAGCAGCTTCGTAATTATTATACATTTACGAGCACGTGACCACCGAGGGGCAATGGGCTCTCTGGATCTTGAATCTCCGGCCAGATTCTGGCCGGCACGTAGCAGTGGGGCCCGCACGATTTCAGCGCATTCTCTAAGTTATAATATTTTTAAATGCTTTCCTTAAATTCATAATAATTATCTGTTTCATTTTTTATGGTCTGCCTAATTTAAAAATGGACCAAACTTATGATACAAGACTATTAAAAACAAATGCATTATTTTATTTATGACAAAGACACATTTATTATAAACGCCTCGGGCCCACACGGGAGCCCCATGATGAGCTGGTGATGCCAATATAAATACTGGCACATTACCACCCGACCGGGGGCGCCTGATCCGATCTTCTTGGGGATCGGACGGCCCAGATCGTCCACTCCAGGGAAGACCCAGTTCTAGGTTCTGGAAACATATACATATCCTTCTGACCGCTAATTTGCCAATGAGGATTCTAACCAGGACTTTTGTGCAAATATGACACCACCTCCGATACTCTGCTCATCAACTACAATAATGGTATTACTATTAAAAGTCGGCGAGGCTACACCGCACGGAAGTCAGTCGAGAGTCTTCCTCCAATTTAAAGACCTAGCGGGGTAAATTAACCATACATTATATAACCTGTCTTTTTCCTTCGACGGGATGATGTCATCAGTGTACACGCAGACGGCAAAGTCGACGACCTCGGCAGTAAAGAAGAAAAAGAACAGTAATAAGCCATAATTAGCATCTTGCAAAAAGTCAACGAGAGAGACGGCTACCAATGTGATGGCTTCTCACGTGACTGAGACATCCTGGCAGGTCATCTCTCTCTCAAACATACATTTCCTAAAACTGTACGAGGGGGTTCTTAAAGATTCCAAAAAAATAGAAATAAATCGCCGCGATGAACATCATAAATGGCAAAGAAATGTAATCGAAAACAGAAAAAATCGAAAACATTACGGACGGAATTACCTGAATATCAACAAAAAAAAAACCTACTTTTTTTTCCAAGAACTGAAACAAACATAATGCAGTCAAAAAATACTAAAATTTGATCATAATCAGCTAAAAACAGAGGGTGCACAGTTGTCAACATTGTATGGTAGACTCACAACTTAAAATAGAAATAAATAACAGGGGCTTCCCGTAAGTATCAACATTGAAGTGATAAGAAGTAGAAGACATGGTGGTGATAGCCAAAAAGGAGAAGCGGAAATGAAAGAGAGTGGCATGTGAGGCGATGAGCAAAGCCCGTCTTCAGATTTCCTGGACACTCAAACCTGCGAAACAGGATGAAATCGCTTAGTAACTCCACTGGAGATGTGGTCATAGAGAACAAATATAGAATCGTAAATTGGATGATTTCTTTTTAGAATTTCGTCAGTTTTACCCAAAATATGATTTTTTGTTTATAATAATAATAAAATATTAATTATTGACAAGAGGAAGAGAAAACCCTAGAATTGATGATTGAAGACGAGGAATACATGAAGTTAGATAGAAAAAGAAAAGAAAGAGAGAGAGAAGAAGAAGTGGAGATCGTTGAAGAAGAATAGGGACGTGGAGAGAGTAAGTCTAAAATGGGCCTGATGAACCTAGTGGGCCTCTTCTAATATTACTGAACAAAGAAAATTTATTTTTAAGATACTCACTGAACTATTATATCATGAGCTTGCCTCCTTTCTCGGATTGCCAACCATAATAATCTCTCAATGAAAATAACATGAGAACATCAGTCAATATTCTTTCTCTGCTATTTTTGATTATCGATTTACCCAACTAAACTAGTTTTCAAAAGTCAAAATGCCGGCTCTAACTCTGAAATTAGGATGAGATTGGCTCTACTATTAAATGGCAGGAGGTACCCAGTCACTTAAAACATGGAGTATCCGAATTAATCAAACCAGCCAATTGCTTCACGAGGAACAAAGAAAAAAGAAAAGAGAGAGAGAGAGAGAGACGTTGAGCCTCGAGTCTGTCTCCCCTATTCAGGTCCCTTCTTCCAAGAGAACCCAATGCGTTAAGCCTCCATCAGTAGCACCTCTCAAAGCTGAAGCTTCTTAACCCAAAAAAAACTGCGCGGATTGAAATCACTAGTCCACTCGACTGCGACTCATATTTCCGGGTGCACACCTACTCTCTTATGTTTTACTCTCTCATCGGAGTTCAACTCGTTCCGCTTCCATCAGTTTATTCACCCTCGCACAAGATATCACTTGGCATGAACGGGTATTCCATAGGGTGGCAATATGTTCAGATTTGGAGAATTATACCCTCGTATTCTTTAGTTTGTAATCACATCTTCCATAGTTTGCATCTTGCAGTTCGATATTTGCATTTGTATAGTCTCAGATGTGGTTAAGTATACTAATATTATTCAATAGTAACATAGTCATCTGAAAAATACGACTTAAAGTTATTCAAATACGGATATAACATTCAACTAAAGATATATCGATAGCCTACGATGAGAGAAGAAATATCACCTGGAGGAAGAGACTGCTTCAACTTATCAGCTTTCTCGGAGTCAAACACACACAGAGTGTACAGGTACCTCGAACAGCGGACCTTGAATTTGACGACATCCTTGCTCCTCTTTATCTTAACAGACCGCGCATCCTTCCTCCTCGCGGTCAGAAGGAAATCCTTAATCTCGTGTATTTGCTTCGGCTGTATCAAGTATTACCAACAATAAGCGAAATGTGCGGACATCACAGGGGTAACGCCGAGAATGCATAAATGTTCGTGCAAACACGAAATTACGGAGAGCTAAAGAACATACAGAGCGCACATCATTCAAATCACGTTTGCAATTACCTTCCGGTGAATTATGTAACGTCAGGATGTGATTAATAGCGAACTTTGAGAGACAAAACCAAATAAAGGTCCTAAGCATTAAGGCAACACGGACGATGAATGGCGATCCGGAGACTAATCTGCATTCAGTAGAAAATTCAAGTTGCAAAAGACTCCTGTGGCGCTATCCACCAAAGATAAACAAACAGAGAGACAGGCAGGCAGAGAGAAGAACAACGTTATTGCAATGAAAAACCGATAATCGCCGAGACGCGCCGTGAAACCCTACAAAAAGTACTCGGAAGCCAGAATCAACTCGACTTTCGGGTGATCACAGCATAACAACAAAAATCAGCAAAAACTTGAAGATCCACGACGTACAGAAGTAAAAATACGGCGAAACAATAGAAGAATCCAAGCGGAAGACCAGAGGACTACCATCTTCCTCGGCGAGGGGAAGGAGGCGCTTCCAGTTAGACGCGGCGGGTCCTGGAAACCCTAAATCTCAGCTGACGACAATATATATAGGTCTAGCCAAACCCCGAGAACTCGATGGCCCAAATAGCAAAGGGGCTGGGCCGAAACCCTAGCCCAGCTCGGACCCTTTACACAGTTAGGTCCGTTCAATCATGACGCGGCTCATATTAATAATAACAATAAATAAATAAATATTTTTTCACATTTTTAATTTTATTAATGTTGATTGGTAATCAATTTCGAGTAAGCTCTTAAATTACAGTATTTATTTTTTTATTTAAAAATATTTCTAAAAAAATATTCGGAGTGTTAATGGGCTTGGTGGCCTGCGTTGTCAAAATCCATTATCAGGCCCAAATAAAAAGCCTAATTATTGGCCCGGGCCCATCCGTCTCACGGAGAGAAAGAAAAAGAGGGAGAGTGAGAGAGAGGGGGATAGCCGGGGAAGGGTAGATCAAAAAATGGGCCATGTAGGCCGAATAAGGATGCGGGAAGAGAATAGCCGGCCTGCTAACATCCCTACTTACTGGGCGTACAAACTTTAAACGAGCGAAAAGTCCGTCCTGCATCGAAAGCCCAATAAGGTTGGGACATTGGGCCCTAGCCGAAATGGGCCCGACTCAGTAAGTAGGGAACGAGGCTTTCACCGCGATCTTCGCCACAGTATTCGCTGATGGGCGCCCCACCCCGCTGGTGTGTCCTTCTGGTTGGACAAGAACAGAGTCTATGTGGTTGAGTGTTATGAAGAAGCCCTTTAAACGGTAGTTGGGCCATCGCCGTCACGGGCCCACAAAAAAATTCGCGTGGCCTACACTGGTGGCCCACTTTCCTGGTTACCAACCGCTGAAGAAAAGTTATCGGGAGAATATTCTTGGCCCTGAAATATTGTCATAATTGCTTAAAAGCCCTCATTTTGCCCTAAAAATTACTCATTTCTCAACCAAGAGGAGATAATCTTGGAATGCACTCTATACTTCCTAGATTTACTTTTTATGGAAAAAAGGGAGGACTTTATTATTATTATTAAAATAATAAAAGTAATTATCTAATTTATTGAGGAATTTCATTTGGAAAACTGTTTTTTCCATAAAGAGAATATTACAACTAAAAAAATTCTTATTTTTTATATAATTGAAATAATATATTGCTTAAAATGAATTTATTAAAAATGTATGGGCACCCTCAGATTTAGTCTATAATTATTTATTAATTGGGTAATGAGGGTATGGTTGAATGGTCAAAATATCTTCCATGTGGCGACCACGTAGAGTTTGACTCAGGCGACAATGGAGAGGACTAGCGGATCCCACGCGGATGGTCAAGTGGGCCTACAAGACCGGTTAGCTGGACTTGTCGGAGTCTCCTTAATGGTGTGTGGGGGTTCCATCCAAGGAGGCCGCCCAAAGTCTCTGTGTGAGGTGGCCTTCCGAGAAGGCCCAATCGGACAGCTCACCTGAAAAGCACAAGTAACCTTCGAAGAGGAACTCTTAATGCTATCTCGCCAACGGGGACCGTCTAAGTCTCACCATATAATATATTATCTTGAAAGAAAAAACTTTTCCCGCATATTTTTTTATTAAAAAAAAAGATTCGGGATTGACTGGATCCTCGTGGCAGGCCTTTGACAGCTCTCTAGCGCGTTTTATATTGCCTCCCAGGTCAATGGGTTTTGCTAATCAGGGTACTAGATAAGTCAACGGGCCAACTAACCACAGAAGATATTGCGGTCCACCTGCCTATCTTTTCGACAATCACGTCTCCTGATCGGTCAAATATTGGATTTTGACGGGGCCTTTGCTGGAAATCCCCACATAGTTGACCACCGGGGCCCCGAATAAAATTCCGGGCTTTTCCCCGTTGACGGGCCGTGGCGAGGCCCGGCCCGGACCATTTTACCCACCGTCACCTGGCGTACGGTTAAGTTACTCGCAGTTCAGCGGCTAGTGAGCTAAACCGCTTCCTTTTGAGTCGTTGGAGCGCATTGAATTGCGCCATTATTTCTTCACTTTGTCAACATCCGGGATTAAAAAAAAAAACCCAGTCCTCGAATTTAGGTCCCCTTAGCGCGTGGATTAATGGGTTCATCCACGTTGACCGATCGTCCGCGTGGTCCGCGCAGACCCATAATTTGCTAGTCATCCAACCCACCTAACAATGTAAACCCCGCGGGGGGAAGAATGACCGGGCAATTCCCCGGTCGGCGAGATTCTTTACCGCTAAAGTCAACGGCACGGCTCGTATATCTGCTTTCAGGTAATTTCGAACAAACTGGGTAATTTAGTACCAATATAATCATATTTATTCATTCTGCGACGAAGAGACAGACTGCTGGATCTCCGCCGGGCATCGGAGGGAGACGAGGAAACGTCTAGGGAGGAGGAAAACAGACGCAGCCGCCAGACTGGTGTAGGACTGGGGCGGGTGGGTATCCACGTGGAGGGCGGAGGAGATACGAGTTTACTGAGGGAATGGCGGCGGCACTGAGCGGTCCCCCTCACACGTGACAGAGGCGGCGGCGGAGGAGGCGCTGCCGCCGGGGGATGTGAGGGGGTTGGATAGTTTAGTTGAAGGAGGAGCAGACATTCCTGATCTCCCCCTGGGAGCCGGTGAGCACGCCGACAGTGCCCAGCTTCACCATGGCGGCGGCGAAGTCACCGGGGAAGGCGGCGGGGGATCTGAGGTAGGAGTCAACGATGGGGCGGGTGGCGGCGTGGCTGTAGAGGGCGGCGTCGGATTGGAGGACGGCGAAGCCGGCGCGTATGTTGGCGTAGATCTGGGTGTCGAAGCGGAGGTGGCTGCCGGCGTCGATCATTATCCGACGGTTGATGTCGCCGCCGGCAGGGCAAGCTTGCTGGAGCTTCTGCAAGAACGGCGGATTTATCGACGGGTCCGGCCCGCCTGAATTCCGGAAGTTGAACAGCCGATTCCCCATGAAGAAGCACGCCGTCGTCCCTATGGTGTGCGCCGCTGCCGGAAAAAAAATCATTCAGCTCGCAGTGAGTAGATGAATACATTCCAACGCGTGAGTTCACATGCCGCCAATTCTTTCAGGTAAAAAGAAAAGGAAGATGAAGAAAGAGAGAAATGGACAGGTAGAATGAGAGAGAGAGAGAGAGAGAGAGAGAGAGAGAGAGAGAGAGAGAGAGAGAGAGACCGGAGAGGAGGACGAGGTCTTTCTCGGAGAGGCCCTTGGCTCGGAACTTGGCAATTAGGACTTCGGCGGGGTCGTCCTGGTCGGGGAGATTGTTGGCGTCGGAGATGGCGGAAACGAGGCCGTCCTTGCGGCCAGTGGGTACCTCATAGCGCGGCCCATTGCTCTGCGAAAGAGAATTCACAGTGTGAAAGAGGAATTCTCTCCTCGACAGCTCTCTGAAATGGGATAGAGATAGAGAGATGGATAGATAGATAGCGAGAGAGAGAGAGAGAGAGAGAGAGAGAGAGAGAGGGTGGTACGAGGGCGATGGAGTCCCTGGCGGCGAGGGCGACAATGTCGGCGCAGGAGACGACCCCGGGGCAGGTGGCCTCGAGCTGAGCCTTGGCTTGATCGATGACGTTGAATCCCCGCAGACCCTGGTGGCCGAAGGCTCTGTTCTCCTGCTGCCCATCAGGCTGGTTGATCAGCACCGAACCATCGCAGCCCTGGCACATTGCACGCATGTCAAAATCGGGGGAGGAAGGAGGTGAAGGAGGAGGAGAAGAAGAAGAAGAAGAAGACTGGCGAGAGGACGAACGTCGACTATGCAGTCGTGGAAGTGGAGGCGGAGGAGACCGGAGGCGGTGTTGACGTCGGAGTTGAAGGCGTCTGTGACGACGGAACGGACAGTGGCCTCGGCGTCGGGGCACGTGTCAGCGTAGAAGCCGACTCGAAGCTGCCCCCGGCAGGAGCAGATGAAGCTCAGAAGTAGGAGGACGGGGAGAATCGCGCGGGCAGACATGTCAGCTGCGAGATTAAGAGGTGTAGAGAGAGAGTTGTGCTCAGAAGGAGGGGTGTGGAGATTTGTATAGGGATTTGGAGGGCATGGGTCGGGAGTGGGTCGCTTATAGGAGCATTAGTGAGAAAGAGAGAGGTGCTGAGAGAGAGAGAGAGAGACTGGAGGGGCGGGGTGGTCAGAGAAGAGGCAATTAATGGCAGTACGAAGATGGTCTTCCAGATGTCGTGGTATCCTCCCCACCCGCTTCTTTCGTGTCGTCTCTATGTTGGAAGCTTGCCACGGTAATGGAATTCACAAATAACCCACCATTATTAGTAGAAGCATCTTGGGGCCCCCAGCAGTCGGAAATTTGGAAGTATTGCACCGTCATCTCACATTTCTCTGCAATGTGGGTACGCGCGATGAAGAAATAAACATGTTTAATGGTTTGAATGCGAAATAAATATGTTTCGGAATTGAAATGTAATCCCCGGCGAAAAACCGCGGGGGCTTTTTGCCGGGGAAGAACCTCCCCCACATAAGCTCAACGTCGGCTGGTAGCAGTTGCTTCCCGTGCCCGGAGTATTGTGAGCTGTCTCCTTGAAACACCACCTGTTTCGATGGAAAGCCTCACAGAAAAGAAACCCCTTCGTCCTTCTTCTCCATTCTATCGGGCCCACGGCCGTGCCCTCTTAATCGCGCCATCCTCTCTCGGCCTCAAGTCATCACCTTTGCCATAAATGTGGCGCAGCTGTGGAGGAGACGGAGGAGGCCTCGGAGGGAAGGGAGGACAGAGCTGGGTGACCGCCGCCGGCGACTTCTCTTCGCGCCACGTCCCCCGGCCGGGGCTCCCGGCGGCGCCGGCAACCCGCCCGCGAGGTACGAGCTCCTTAGGCAATAAAAGACCCCACGCTGCGAAACCCGCCGTCTGCCCTTTGATAAAATCGCCAGTGACGAAATGCATTAAACGGGGATGTGGACGGAAGGGATGGGATTCTGAGGGCGGAATCGTCGCTTCTTCCCTAACAGTGAAGCCATGTTGGCGTGAGATTGGTTCCCACGGATAGCCCACTGCTCCCACGCCCAGGCCAGCCTGGCCCAGTTCCCCCTCCCCTCTTCTTCTCCTGTTTTCTCTTTCCGGCTGTCCTCCGGGTCCCCTCTGTATCTCTCTCTCTCTCTCCAATCTATCTATCTGTCTATATCACTTAAATACGTTTATACGGTGCTTCACTCTCGTGGAAGCTTGCAGAATTGGTGGCAATGCAGAAGAATGGCTCTTTACCCCCAATTCTCCCTCAAAATCAACCCCCTCTTCTCCTGTTTTCACTTTCCGGCCGTCCCTCGGGCCCTCTCTCTCTCTCGCTCTTAAATGGGTTTGCAAAGTGCATCGTTCTCGTGGAAGGTTGTAGAGTCGGTGGCCATGCAGAAGAATGGCGTCTTCCCGCGTTGATGACGTCGGCTGTCTTGGATTGACATGGCGGGCTGATCTTATCTACCCTCTTCGTGCACTAAATTGACTATTTATAGCTCAAAGTTGAGTTCCCGTAAATTTAATTGAATATAAGATATGGTAGGATTTTCACGCATTGGTTATGCGTTTCATGCGAGAATCATGTAGATATAAGCTGCATCCAAGTCACTTACACTCGCTCATTTGATAAGAAATTGAGAGCCGAGAATAAAAGCCCGACGGTGAATATCACTATTTATTTTTTGTCCAATGCTAGTCGCATTGTAGCTAAGAGTAATGGCAAAAAAACCCTAATTTGTATTAACGTTATGGAAATAATGGGATGTTGATGGTTACTGGAGTAGGCGGTGGAGTAGGTATGAACATAAGTGGTGTCACTTTGCACGAACTATGAGAGAGACTTGGATGGAGATGGGCTGATGTATGAGACAAATCATACATTACTAATGCCTTAAAACTTTGGTTTTCGCACTTTCATTGGACATTATCTCATTGATGTATGAGAAGGTAAGTTTTGACAAGAGCTCAAACTCTCTTCTGCTGATAGCGTTTCCTCTCTAACACGATCATCAATCTCAATAGAGAACACATGAAAGACGACATAATATCAAAGCACAAGTGTGATCATTCCTAACTAACAAACCATCTCATTTGATGTTGATTTTGCCCTCAACAACTCTCTCCATCAACTTTGGTTCTGTCCTAATCATGATTTGTTTGTGTCCTAATCATAAATTTGGCTCTATGTAGACTACATCACACTCTAATGTCAAAAGACTAGTGCTACCTCAATGCAATCATCGAACTATGTAATATTACATAAATGCATACATTAAATGCGAATAACCATTTTAATAGGGCTCAATGTATCAAATTGGATATTAAAGAGAGAGGGATGCTTGATCATATGGCCATAACTAGAAGGCTTAAAACATTGGAAAGGCTATATTCTAGGCTCATTAGATGATTCTTAAATTATGATGATTTGTTATATCTTCTAGTAGCAAAAAATATTTTCGAGAATTTTCATAGGACCTATTCAAGAAAAAAGGATGAATCGTAAAACTTTTAAATGAGAATAAATATTATAAGCATGAGATAGGGATTTATATCCATAACATAGTATGCAAATAAATTATAAGTGTTATGGCAAGAATATGATCAATGTAAGAATGTGATGATGAGAGACCTTATTGATATGTCTGGTTATTGAGATTCATTAGAGAATGAAATAACCTATGGTTTCTTGGGGGGATTTAGGCCTAAATTTGATCAAGTACAATCTCAAATTCTTGGTCATAAATAGTTTCCTTGGGTAAGATGATTTAACAAGTCAAATCAGAAGAGAATCATCAATAGATAATACTTGGTGTATCACAAAACTTAGTAAATAGTGCATTCATAAAAAATGATAATCATTTTTTATTCTAATAAGAGGTTAAAAACTAAGTTAATTAAAATTGACCCTGTAGATAACTTATATTACAACTACTGTCAGAGGTCATTCCATACTAACAAGACGTGTTGGAAATTTTATGGCATGACACAAATTTAAAGTTGGGGGCATAAGGGAAAATCATTAAAAGGAGGTAAGCAAGGTCATCACTCTATTATACAATCAGGAAAATCATTGAGATTGGAGCAAAGTAATTATGATTAAGTTGACAAGAATCTCCATTGATAACCCTAGCCTCATTATTCCGTAACACTAAGGTGAGTCCCCAACTCCAAATATTATCTCTACACTTCTTGGTCAATGGCAAATAGATTCTAGAGTCAATGAGCATATGGTTAATTCCTCAAAAATATTTTTCACTTATTCTCCTTATCCTAACAATAAGAAAATAACAATTGTTGAGGATCTTATAATCACGATGGTTGGGATATAAACCATTTATCTTATTCCCTTCATTATCTTGAAAGATGCCTTCATATCCCTAAGATGACTAAAAGATTAATTTCTATATATAAATTATACTTAGATTTAGAATGTCGTATTTTATTCTATAATTCTCTTTTTTTTTCAACAATAAATCCATGAAGATGGTTGTAATTATTAAGGCAGAATATACTCTACCACTTGGATATGCCAAGTTAATCAAATAATGGTGATGTGAGGAGTCATCTCCTGATTGGATGACTACATATGAATGAAAGGATATCTATACTAGAGAAAATTTGGCTCAATAATATAGACTGAACCATCTATCCTTAAAAATAATTAGAATTTTGTTTCCATCTTTGTTTAAACACATAAATTTTGTAGACTTCTCTTGTGATGTGTGTCAATTTGTGAAGCAGAAACAAACATCCTTCATGTACTAAATGTTCTAGTCATTTACCTCATAAACACAATGATATTTGGGTCCCTTACTTGGAATATCATAGGTGATAGATAGTTTGCCACATTCGTTTGTTGATTACATATGACTTATAGTTTGCCACGTTCATTGTTGAAAACAAAATTTTGACTGTGGCATTTTTCCATGTTCATGAACACTAAAGGGGTAGATTAAATCCTATGACATTGAATATATCTATATCTATCTATATATATAGATATTCGTTAGTTATTAACAAATAACAAAAGGATATAAATGATATCACCCTTCCTCTAAAATGACATTTATTTATGTTGATGTGACTTCTCATTAAAAATGAATTGTATTATTTGACCCCATGTGACAAGGAGATGGCCAATTAATTGAAAGTCCTAAGGAGAAACTTCATCATTAAACCTATCCATCTCTACATTATGAACTAATATTATTTTTCTGGACATGTCATCCTTATATCATTCAAGTCTGAATACTATTGAAATCAATGTTGTTAAATCCATATTTGTCTATCGAAGAACCACATCTACAAATTAACAATGAAGTCCCAATTGAGTTAATTTTTTCTGAAGATGATGAAAATAATAATTCATCTATGGATGACAATGATTAATTACTTATTTCTCTTAAGAAAAGAACTTGAAATTGTATTAGTATTTATAAAAGACTTTGCTATCCTATTGTCCATTTCTTATCTTTTGATCACCTTTCACCATCTCATAGAGATTTTATTGATAATTTAAAATGGTTAATACCTCATTCTCTATTTCAAAAATATTATATAGTAAGCAAAAAAAATCATAAAGGAATAAATAAATTTCTAGAAAGAAAATAAAATTTGGTAACTAATAATGCTACCAATGCAGAAAAAACTTATTGGTTAAAAATAAGTTCACATTGTGAAATATAGAGTTGATGGAAGTACATAACAACAGAAGACTCACATAGCTAGAAAAATATATACACAAAACTATAAAATTGATTATTTATAATTTTTTACACATACTATAAATAAATACCATTAGGACTTTGTTGGTACTAGTTGCTAATTTTTATTGGGACTTATGATAGTTTGATATAAAAATTACCTTTTTTTGTAGAAAATTAAGTGAAGAAGTCTATATGAGGGTGCCATTGGTATATAGGACTAAATTATCTACATATATTGTCTATTAATTGAATAAGACATTAATATTGACTAAAACAATCATCTTGAGCTAAATTTGGGGATTTTTCACAAGTTACACAAGCACTAGGATAAGAAAAATCAGGGAGACCATACCTTTTTTATTCAACATAAATCTTCAAGGGGAATTAATATCTTGTTAGTTTATGCCGATGATACCATCATGATTAAAAATGATGATAATGATAGATAATATTTAAATCAATGACTGAAAATAGAAGATGAAACTAAAAATGTCAGATAAGTTGAAGTATTTTCTTGTGGTTAATGTAGCCAAAAAACCCAAGAAATGTAACCATTATTCTTAACAGAAAAATGTTATGAAATTTGTGGAGGCATATATGATAGCATATCGATTGTCTAATATTACCATATAATGCCACTATCGAACTTGTGGATACAAATGGAATTTAAAAGAATAGATCAAGAGATGTATCAATAGTTGATTGGACAATTGATCTATCTCTCACATATGCAACATGATGTAGCCTATGTAGTAAGTATCATTAATCAATTTACACATAATCCCAAACAAACACATCTTGACACAACCAATTGAATATCACAATATCTTAAGAGTACACATGAGAAAACATATGTTGTTCAAATGAAATGAATGCTTAAAAGTTGAGATTTATCATGATGTTAAACTTGTAGGTTCCATAATAGATAGACAGTTCACTTTTGTATATTGTGCTTTACTCAATATAAATCTCATCACATAGAGAAACAAAAAATAAAGTGTTGTATAAAATCAAGAATAATAACAAAACTCACAACTACAACTACAACTTAAAGGTAAATATGAATTACTATGGGTATATAGATGTTTTATTGTGATAACAAATATACTATCAACATCGCTCACAATCTAGTATATCATGATTGCACAAAGTAGATAGAGATAAACATACATTTCGTCAAAGAAAAGTTGGAGAGTGGAAGAATATGCACACCTTTAGTGGCCTCAAATTATTAGTTATTAATGTACTCACCATAAGCTTGTAGCACCACACATTCCAACACTATCTCTAAGTTGAAAATTGATGATATTTATTTATCGGCTTTAGGGAGAGTGTCATTGAACTTTATCTCAATTTTGTGTGTTTCCTTTTTTTTTGTACTTAAATTGGACCAACCCAATATGTAGTGGCCTAGTTTAACCACATAAAAGTTATCTTGTTATAAACAAACTCATTAATTTTTTGACAAGAGCTCTAACTCACTCATCTATTGACATCTTATATCCATTGTGACATCATTGATCTCAATGGAGAACACATTGAGGATGATACCCAGTTTTTTTAAAACTTATCATTTATATTTTCTATGATATTAAAATATTAAGTGCTTAAATTACGTGTGGAAAAATATTCCTATTTATGTGGTGAGTTGATTCAAACTACTACAAAGGTCACCTAAAGCAATGTGGGGGGTCAATCTTGGGGAGTTATCACATTGACTATATAAGTATAGTTTCAAAGAAATAACGTTTTATAATAATTTATAATGCCGCAATATAGCTGATAACTAGTGAAGTGTGAAATAATTTTTAGGAGATGAAATAAATAAGAAATTCTAATTTTAGCAAGGCTTTGCACATTTTTTGAAAAAACAATGGAAAGGACGAGTTCTATTTTTCATGATGTGTAATAATTATTTTCCATTATCTATTTTGATCGGATCTCCAATATATCATTATTTTTTTGATATAAAAAAATAAACATATCACGAAAATTTGTGATGAGTGAGTGAGTCAGTGTGTGTGTGTGTGTGAGAGAGAGAGAGAGAAAGATGACAAAACAACGTTATTAGGCTCAAAGCCAGAAATAATGTGGACCTGAGCTCAGAAAATTCTGGCCCAAGAGCGTGCTAGCGAGCCCAACATCGACGTAAAGTGCCCTTTCCTCTCTCTCTCGCTCTCTCTCTATCTCTACTTATTATCCTCCCAAGTCGAGAGAGAGGGAGAGAGAGAGAGAGAGAAGCGGGTCCCACTCAAGTACGCGGGGAACCTGAAAATATAACGGCCTGGTTCGTCTCTAGGCGTAAGTGTTAACAACACCGAGCGGGAAGGGGCAAGTGGACCACTCTTCCTGGGAGCCACGTTTGAACCGCGCGAGGAAACGAGAAGGACGGACGTTCGTACTGCGGTTAAGGCGGCCGCCACCAACAGGCCCCTCCCATAGCTGACACGGGCCGGGAGCAGCCGCTGCGGCTTCCCTTCTCGGCCTTCTTAACTACCTCGGTGCCTCCCAGCTGCAGGCGCCCCCTCCCCCTTCCTCCCTCTTCCGCTTGCCCGTGACGCCGTACCACACAGTACAGGTACGAGATCGGCAAGCATCTTCCCTCCGGTGACCGCATCGTCGTCACCTTCTAATGGCGCTTCATCGTTCGGAGATCAGGATCGGGACGGAGCCGGCATTGTTCCTTGCAACCACCGCTTGAAGTACGGAGATGGAGGAAGGTACGCTACCTCCGTGTCTCTCTCTTCTTTCTCTCTCTAGCTTTTCCACTTCGTTTTTGCCCCTCGGTGAGGAATACTGGTCGAAGAGCGTGGAGCATGTTCTCCAAGTCGGCGAACTCGATCTTCACTGCAACCGTGGTGCTCTTCTTCTTCCGCATCGGATCGAGATGGCCACCACCGGTAGGGATCTATACTCCTCGACGCTCAATCATCCTTGAGACGCTCGTTCCTCACTCGTCACCTCTGAATCCGATGTATAGACGCTGCATCTAAATGCAATGCCTTGTACAAAGTCGCCTCTGCAAATCCTTCGGATGCTCAGGCATCAGCGATCTGTGTCCAATAGAATGTCAGTAGGTTATGTCAGGAGAACTATTCCCACGTTGGTCTCGTCCGATCTGTCGCTGTGGGAGCACCTCCCTTCCTGTTCTCCCGTCCACTCGCACAGTCTTCTTCTCCCTACCTTCCTGATAACGTGCCCCGAGCATCTATCACAAGAAAACTAGTTCTCCTTCCTTGTGCCTCGCCGTGAAAAAGGACGGCGGCGCCACCGAACCCCAGCCAAGCGCCATCATCTCCCTCTCCTTCCTCTTCAAATCTTCACCATCGTAGTTGTGCTCCTCGGATATACCGACTTCGTACAAACCAGCTTCTCTCTCTTTTTGTCTCACCCTCGGGATGACCGCGAGCTCTTCCAGTGGTTGACGACGTATCAAAGATTCCGGTCGTCCGTTAGCCAAAATCGGCATTCCGTTGACAAAACGGCTCCATGAGGCCTCGTCGTGCTTTGCGTACGTGGCGTCATGGCAGCATGTCTACATGAAAACTGTTCTCAGGAATTGATGGAATGATCCTCACTAAATTACTTAACATAGAAAAAACCATGTGACCTCTGATTAGATTGCTTAAAATTTGGAGGAAAAATAAAAAAATAGACGAAGAATAGTAAATTGCAGACAAACGCTGGCGGAGAAAAAATCTAACGTTATTATCACTGATTTTTTTTCTTAATTTAGTCACTTGATGAAAAATCATGTGTATTTTAATTCTTCTTGATAACGACCTTATATTTTCCGTTTGGTAGGAGCCTGCGGCAGAGGCTGTAGCGGTCATCACGTCGCCCTCATTGACGACTCGGCATATTGGTCCATTGAAATATTCTTGTCATGCAGATATCCGTCTGATTAGTGGACCTTTTTTCTTGGCTCGATTCAGCCGTTCGATATCTTCCCATGGAGGGAAGCGACTTGGCGCTGCGCCGTCCTCCAGAATGTGCCAGCTAAGTGACGACTTTGGAGTCACGAGTAGTGGGCTAATCATCATCATTAGTTGCTGTGGGGTATATCGGCCGAGGCTTTTTCAGATGGCCGGGATCACATCTGCCCACCCACATGCTCTGATCAGAGGAAATTATTTCCTTCCACCTCACCTTCAATGATAAGTTAGGAAATTTCCAGGTAGAAACCACCGTTAGAAAGCGACACACTTCACTTGGTAGCCGTCTGCATGTCCTCCCAGCATGCGGAGTCTGTCTGTTATATTTTTTTTCCACCTCTATACGACTGTATATGGATTTTTGATGCTGTGCGTCTGAGCTGTTTCTAGGTAGAGAAGAACGAGGCGAGGAGGGGGAGAATCATTAAACAAATCGAAGACAGAGGAGTGGGCAAGAGGAAGAGGAGGAGGAGAGAGAGAGGGAAGGTATGATTGATGGGTATGTGTGTCAGATGGCAGCCGGTTTCGTCGAAGTATTCTTCTCTGAGCCTGCCGTTATTTACACATGGGACGGAGCGGCTGACCGTACCCCCCCGCCGCTGCTGTCGCCGCCTTCCGCAGCGATCAAACAAGAACCGGTTAAGAGCGATTCCGCCGATGATGGGTTTTATCAGGGAAAGGAACGGCGCTTTCTGGTTTTAGTCTACGTCCATGATCGGTGGGCTACGTATACTCGGCTCTGCTAATTCGTTTTGCGGCTAATGCTTGAAAGATGCTTATATTTCTATCTGGTATTTGCTTCTCGCCGTTCTCCTCGGAGTCGAAGTTTGCTCTTGTTCTTCCATCACTTTCTGGTTCTTATTTTATGTTGCCATGCAGATGATGCTCCGATTCTCTACCGAATCCGGATATAAAGTATGCTGGTGGTTGGGTTCTTCAATCAGCTCCAACATCTCCATATTCTCGAGCGATTACTGGGGGCACATATATCCACAGCCACCTTGCATCCTGTATGGTGGCATGCTCATTGTTCATCCCCGAGAGGTTATTTTCCTTGAAGTTTGCCATATTTCCTTTTTCTCTGTTTCGTTCTGCGCGAAATCTGGTCTAAAACAAAAAGACTTCAAACAGCTATCATTTTTCCTTATTCCCGATCCGAATGGGCAGTTCGATGACTAGATGTTTCTGTATCGTGGAGTTTTCATCTAGTTCATTTTTCTCTGCAGATTGATGCTGTTTGAAGTCCAAAACAGATGGCTTCCTTGGTTCCTGGTATTGTCCTCAAACTTCTTCAGCATATGAATACTGATGTGAAGATCGCTGGCGAGCACCGTTCATCCCTGCTCCAGGTCATCAGTATTGTCCCTGCCCTGGCGGGAGGCGAGCTCTTTCCTAAGCAGGGATTCTACCTTAAGGTGTCTGATTCCTCTCATGCCACCTACGTCTCCCTGCCTGACGAGCAAGATGATCTCATATTGTGCGACAAGATCCGACTGGGTCAGTTCATCTACGTAGACCGCCTCGAGGCTGCATCTCCGGTCCCCATTCTTCGAGGCGTGAGACCGGTTCCTGGACGACATCAATGTATTGGGAGCCCCGAAGATATTGTAGCCACCAGATCACTCAGTTTCCTCACCCCAGATGTGTTACAAGCGACATCCAACGGCCACAGGATTGACTCCGCCGACATGGGCTCTGAAAAAGAAAAGATCAAGTCAGAAAGATTGAACATTGGAGTCAAGGAGAGAGAGAAGAAGGCGGATCATCTCACTAGATCGAGCTCTTCGTTATCCCAATGGACAGTGACAGCTGCAGTGGACAGAACCGATTCGTTTGCCTTAAGGTCAAAGCCAGCGAGCTCCAGGTCCATTCCTTCGTCTCCCACCAATCTTCGTTCGACGCCATCTCCATTTGAGAAATTTTCCTCTGGATTCAATCGACAGCCGAGGGCATATGGGTCAGAAAAGGCTGCTTCTCCGAGGATAGGATTACTGGAAAAAGCAGCTTCTATTTTTAAACCAAGCACCAATCCGAAGAAGCCTCCCGCTGCTAATTTGGCGGGGACTTTGGTAAATAATCTTGATTTGGAGCCTAAGGCTTCGAGAAAAAGCTGGGATGGAAATGCAGTGACTAAGGGGAGAGAAAATGTAAACATGAAAGCTTCCAAAGCCGAGAAGAAGGCTGAGGTTCGAAGTAGTTCAGTAAGTCCTCTTCTCCAAATCTTTTCTGTTTGCTTTCGTATATGAACGAGCTCTCTACTTCTCAATTTTATATTTATATATATTTTTTAATTTTTATTTCTCATTGTACATTAATTAATGATTATGCATCTTACGACCGTGCTAGAACATGAAATGTTTGTGTTTTCTTTGTATGATTCCTGTCATTGATAAACTCTTTTTCCGATTAAATGCGCCAATTTCCCTGGTTCTTCAGTCAACTGCGAATTAAAACCAAAACCATGACCAGAAAAATGTTGATAAGATGGGCTCAAAAAATCACAAAAGACCAAACTGATCTCCCCTTGAAATTATAATTAAATGTATTATTTTTACCAAAATGCAATTAGGTTTCTCGTGGAACACGGATCGATGAGAAGTCGCTTCCCAAAGAGGAAATCAAGATCTGTACCAAACAGAAGACAGAAACTGACAAGGGACATTTGGACGTACCCGACAGACGGACTCTACAGCATTCTCCTGCTCGAAAGAAGATTTCGGAGGTCATTCCCAGCAGCAGGGGATGTCCAGACGGCGCTTCATGGGTTTCACTCCCTCCCTCCTTGTCTAAACTTGGAAAGGTATCACTCTCAAATGGAAACTTATATGTGGCTTTAGCAAAAGCTCATTCAATTCAAGTAACTTTTTGTTCTAGAAGTCATCAATTGGAAGTTTCCTTTTTGGGACAACATGAGCTGACTTCTTCTTGGTCTTCTGTGAAATCAGGCGGTTTCAAAGCACCGGGATGCAGCTCAGGAGGCCGCCGTTGAGGCCATGCAAGAAGCTTCTGCTTCCCAGAGCCTGATCGGGTGCTTGAGGTATATATATTTCAGTCAACTTGATCTCTTCATTCACAACTCGGGTCGTTCTACTTTGATCCTGTTATGCCTTTCGTTGACTCCCATCCTTCTTTCTCGGTTAGGAAATTTATTTATTTATTTATTGTTCATAAATATTTTTCTTACCTTTATTGAAAAGGAAAATTATTATCTTTTGGTCGAAACGATGAGTCTCCTGTTGTTGATCACTTTGATTATCTCTCTGGATTAAAAAAAATAATTTGTTTTTGTTATTGCGAAAAGATTTCCGATTGCTGATCACTGTCGTTTGACAAAATGTATATATTCAGCACATACGCGGAGCTCATCTCTGCCGCCAGAGAGGACGACCCTCTGCCCACAGTTGACCGGTTCCTCTCTCTTCACTCCAGCATAAGCCGGGGAGGCCTCGTCGCCCACTCCCTACTGAGGACTCTTTCCCGTGGCGGCGCCGCCGACGAGCCCGCCGCCTCGCCGTCGGAGGAGAACCTGAAGATCTTCTCCGACCACCGCCGCTCCGCTACCTCCTGGGTCCAAGCCGCCATCGCTGCCGGACTCGCCCCCTTCTCCTTGTACAGTAAACCATCCGCCGCCGCCGCCGCCGCACAAGCCCCGGCTCCTCATCCGCGCAGACTCTCCGCCGCCGCCTCAAGATCGTCCACCCCGCGGGGAAATCCCATCGTCGCGCCGCCGACGCCGCAGGCGGCTAGGGGCGCCGGGGTGGGGGAGACGGCAGAGCTCTCCAGGATCTTAGAGGAGGACTCGAGGAAGTGGTTTCTGGAATTCGTGAACAGCTTCCTAGATTCTGCCGCCAAGGGCGAGCCGTTGACGACTGACAGGGCGCAGCTGGCCGCCACTCTGGCGGCGCTGAAGAAGATAAATGACTGGCTAGACGAGGAAGATGGCGCCGCCGTCTGGGCCCCGGATCAACAATTGGAGACCGTCCAGAAGCTCAGAACGAAGATCTACGAGTACATTCTTGGGCACGTCGAGTACGCCGCCGCCGCCCTGAGCGGCAGCTGCAACGGCGTCGGGGTGACGGCTTCCCCACGTGGGAGCGAATGGCGTAATCCCAAAGCACGACCGTAGTCCGGGAAAGTCGTCGTCTCTCAGGCCTTGTATATATGTACTTATTTTCCTTTTTCTCACCGTTGAGGAAACCTGCGAGTGCTTCCGAAGGCATACGATTTTTTGCGTCTTTAATACGTATAATTTAAATTATGTGGAAACCGTAAATAATGAGGGCCTCCACGTCGAAAAAATTATTTTATTCATTAAAAAATTATTTGGAGGAGAGTTTAATTGCATTTTTATAGATTTATTGGGAGTTTCTAGATCCTTCCGAGCGGGAGCTGTAACTGCCTGTAGGTGAGTAGGGTGAGGTCGTTACTTCCATGCGCGGTGAACGGTCGCTTATATCTAACTCGACTATCATTCGCCTACGGCCGAGTCTCAGCTGTCAGTCGGCTTCTCTTCTGCTGATCTCGGGTTCTGTAACTGCCCCGGTCCTCTCTCTCTCTCTCTCTCGTCTCCCCAGAAATGGCGACCGAGGAGGTCGCCGGAGGTGGAGGATCTACCGTCTGCACAGTCATCTGGGGGCGAAGCAGCTTCGTCGGGAGGTCGCTGGTATCGAAGCTGCTGAGAACTTCCACGGGATGGACCGTGCGGATCGCCGACTCCAGGCCTTCTCTGGCGCTCGATCTTGCGGAGATGGAGGACAAGATTCTCGTCGATTCTATCCAGAGTGGTCGGCTCTCTTACTATCAGGTCGACATCAGAGACGTCGCCACGGTCTCTCGTGGTAATGTTCACCTGGTGTTTTGTTGCCGTAGCTGTTTTTTTTCTCTTTTAATTGCTCTTTTCGGAGTGGTGCTCATTGGTTGAAAGGCTTCGGACGCCGCCCGGTGATTGCAGAGAGTGACATTGATAGCCAATTGTGATCGAATTGTGGATAGCTAGGGTTTAGTGCGTAGCCTTACATTCCAAAAGGTCGATCCTGTGTTAAGGATTTTCAAAGTGACGAGTATCCGAGTAAGGGGCTATGCTCTGTCCATAAAATGGTAAATGTCGGTCACATTTACCATTTTTTCTTATGCAGTAGAAACTACAATGGTATCTTAGGTTTTTAGGTGGTGTATTCACGTTTACATAAGGAAGAAAAGACGCTCAATGGAGCCCAGCGTTTATTTCTGAGGGTATAGTGTTGTGCCTATGATTCTTCAAACCAGGATCACTGTTATTTACTTGCATACACTTATTTATCAAATTGATTAACCCGTATATCACGCGTGATTGACTATGAATATTTGTTCAACTGGTTTGTGATAGAAATCGCATATAGTTGGCCGTCAGGGATGTTGATTCCCGTCAATGCAGTCAGTGTATATAGTCACCAGTTGCGATGGGAAAGACATACATGCATTATATTATGTTTTCGTGGGGGCGTAACATCTCATTCCCTCCGTGGGTGAAACTCCGCTCATTCGATGACTAGTTTTATAAATGTCTCACCAAAGTAGATGTTAGATTTGCATTAGGTTGACAGCTTAAGGGAAGTTTCACTTTCAGGAGCTTTTGGTCGTGACTGTTTTTTCCCTTATTTGAGTGTGGATTGACAAAAGACATTACAATAGTGATACGCTGTAGTACATTTACACGGTATGTCTTTCTTGGAATCAAACTACAAATATATTGCTTTAGTTTAATCATTTTTATCTACCATATCTTTATGTCCACGAGACATATCTTTGTTAGCGCAGTCAAACTTTTGTTGTTTATCAGAAAAAATTCAGTGCCTCTTGCCGATGCAATTTATCAGACTAGTCTTTGATTTTAAAATAATTTGTATCCTTTCCCTTTTTCTTCTGTCTCCATGTTTCAATCCTATCTTTCTCGTTCCCATTACTCTGTATATAAACAATGATCATCTCCATCTAATTTACGCATTATTATATTTAAAATATTCTTCCGTTGCTCTCTAATCATTGTTGTTCTAATTATACATTTCTTTCATATGCTGGTATTTTCCACCATACTTGTGATGAGAACAGTGATTCAGTGCATAATAGTCACCTTTGATATGCAGCCATAAAAGGTTCGTCTGTTGTCTTCTTCATGGATATGTTGGATTCTTCATTGCAAGATTTTTATGACCAGTACATATTTATTGTTCAAGGTAAATAGTAACTTTAATAGAAGTTCATGAAGTGCTTTCTAGAAACGACTGTGAGAGTTGCCATTGGAACCTATATGGCAGGTACGAAAAATGTCATAAGTGCTTGCCATGACTGTGAAGTGGAACGACTCATCTATAACAGTTCTGCGGATGTGGTCTTTGATGGTGTACATGATATATTCGTTGGCAATGAATCTTTGCAATATCCGTATAAAGTATGTCTTTATTGAGGTTTAGTATTGATGCATACCAATACACTTTATAATTTTTTTCAAATTTTGTAAAGACAAGTAGTCATTCTTGTGATGTGTGGACTATAATGCAGTTTGAAGATGTCTTGTGTGATTTAAAAGTTCATGCAGAAGCATTGATCCTGTCTGCCAATACTGCTGATGGCTTATCGACATGTGCTCTGCGACCATGCAACCCTTTTGGACCTGGAGACTCATATCTTGTACCATCTCTTGTCGACGGAGCTAAATCTGCCTGGGCAAAGGTCTGGAAACTGTTGTACACCAACCTTAGTTCGTACCTGTTTTTACTAGTCTTGTGTCGACTTTCACTCGGTTGTACTTAGTTGGAATCATCGAATCTCATTTTATCTATTTCCTGCACGCAATTTCAGTATTGAGGTGACTGATTGCTCTTCACTGCATGAATTCAGGAAAACTTGTATTTTTTTTCATAAGTTGACAAAAACAAATGGTTGTTTAAGATTAGTAGATTGCATAATCTACTAACCAGTGCTGAAATAAGCTTTTGAGAACGTGCGGAAGGAAACTATTCAATGAAAGTCTAGTAGATTGCATAATCTACTAACCAGTGCTGAAATAAGCTTTTGAGAACGTGCGGAAGGAAACTATTCAATGAAAGTCTAGTAGATTGCATAATCACTGGAGGTTCATCTTAGTAGAAACTGGAGAGGTGTATGACACCCTTGTATTTTCCTTTTCTTTTTGTTGGTTTTATCTGAAGTTATTGAGCGCTAATCTCACTAAGTAGCAAAAGCATATCGTGAAAGATGGAGGCTTTTCAAGCTTCTGGGAATGTGAAATGGTAAATTTTTGTGCATAAGCGTCTCCAGTTCATAGAAGTAGGTGCTTCAAACAAAAAAGAAAAGGCAAATCAAATGGTATCATATCTCCATAATGTCCGAAGACTAGAATGGGAGAGAAACTGGAACTGTTTTCCTCAAGTTGGTCAGTGCACTATTTTGGAACGAACGTTGTAACAATATATTTGCGACTTTATATTCTCCTAGTCCCCTGGTCACCATTTGGGAGCGGGTAGAGATCAATTGACGGAGCAACTATAAGAAGAAAACAGAAGGATCCAGATAACAAGCCGTGAAGACAGAAATCTTATTAAACATGGATTTGAAAGAGTCAGGTGTTTGTGTTTAGTGAATCAAGGACCTAATTTTATACATTCAAGTTTTTTATATCATAAATTTTGTTTAAGCCATTGATTTTTGATTTATTTGAGAAAATCGAGATCTTTGGATCATCGGTTTTGTACTTTCCTGAACTACTTTTAAATAGAATTCTGTATTAAGTTATGCTTTTGAAACATAAGAAACTGTTCGACGAACTTAAAGTTTCACTCAGGATTTATTTTTATGCCAATCTCAACTATGTGACTTACTAGTAATGTGACTTTTAATGTACCCTACTAGATAAGGTGGATGCATTAATGTTCTAATTGTAGGGTAGTTCTTGAAACATTCTTACAGGACTTGTTTCCAGAAAAATAAGCATCCTCGCCAGAATTCCCTCAGCCATCCTAGAATATCTCTATTCTGATGTCTATGCTACTACATGAACTTCGTAAACCCTAATCTTGGCTGTATCTGTACGTTCTTTCAGTATTTAACGATATTTTTAGCTATGATGCCATTTACTAGTAAACAATTCATTCTCTCCATATTTGTGCCTGCGCTTGCTTTACCATTTCTATATGATCCATGCAGATGCTATTCTGCATTTGCACACATGTAGCAATCTAAACGGAAGAAATGTTTCCATTTTTAGTTTTTCATTGGGACTGGCTCAAATATGTGCGATTACACCTACGTGGAGAACATTGCTCACGCCCATATGTGCGCGGAGAATGCTTTACGCTGTCGCATAGCTTCTGTTGCTGGAGAGGTATCACAATCGTCCGAGTGTTCCTTTAGGATGGCAGCCACCTTCTTGACCCTTTCTTATTAACAAATCTCTTATTAAATCCTATCTTAACTTTTACAGCCCTTCTTCATCACTAATCTTCAACCAATGAAGTCCGGAGATTTTGCATCACTCCTGCTCAGTGATCTGGGATTCCCAAGGTAACTTTCCCAAATATAGGAATGGTAGGTTTTCATGGGTATCTTTTTTTCCCCCCTTTTCCTGATACGGTCTTCTATGCATGCTTTCAGGTTCAGTTTCCATCTTCCTCTCAGGCTGGTCCTGTTGATTTTAATGCTCGTCGGATGGGTTTGTAAAACGCTCGTCTACCCACGCACGAGAATCTCTTTTCTCCGCTCATTCTTCTGCACGAGGACATTTGACTGTTCGAAGGCTCAAAAACATATCGGTTACTCGCCGATCATTTCCTTGGAGGTCAGTGAGCTTCTCAAATACCTCTCCCAATCTGTATTATTCATAATATTGTGGTTATTTTTCCAAAGTTTTGTGGTCATCATAGACTGTTGATCTTCGCGTAATGCCATGATTTCTCTTCTCGTCCATTCCTGCGGGTGCATATTATTTCCGATTCATTCATTTCGTCTCTTGCTGATCACCTAATTTTTCAGGACGGCATTGCGCTGACGACGGAATCATTCCCCCATTTAGTGAAGGATTCTCCTCACTCGAGAGAATGCGACCTCACCAGAATCTCAAAAGTGGAAAAGCTTTTCGGCTCTGGCAAAGGTGAGTTGACTGATCATATGTGATTCATCTGCCTTCTGTCTTCTTCATCTCGCAGCATTCATGAAAATGATCTTTTTTAATGCTTACTTGATCTTCTGGAAGCATAGTCAATCAATATAATTTCCATATAAGTACTATAAAATGATAAATAAAAAATTCAGTGGGTTATAGTGGTTGACTTTTGTCACACTTCGGTGTTCTTGCAGTCACAGATATACTATTATGGCGAGATGAAAAGAAGACTTTCATTTGCGCCCTGGGGCTGTTCCTTCTGTTCTACTGGTTCCTTCTCTCTGGAAGAACTCTCGTCACCGCCACGGCAGAGCTTCTCTTTCTGGCTTCGGTGATCCTTTTTGGCTTCTGCCACCTGCCTTCTTCTCTGTATGCACCACACTAATGGCGCCAAGTCTTTGTATCCGTCTCTCTCTTCATGCTCGGAGCTGAATCCGGCGTTTCCCGCAGGCTCGGTGCCGGCAACGAGAAGATCTCCCCGTCCTACTTTGCAGCGCCGGAGACGTCTGTGAGGGCTGCCGTCGCTTCGCTGTCGTCTCTGTGGAACCGGGGGGTTCGCACCGTCAGCCTGCTGGCTCGAGGAGAAGACGCGAGCCTTCTTTTCAAGGTGAGGGGGGGTGGGTTTTGCCGGCGGTCTTCTCTCCCTTTGCCGAAAATAGAAACCCACCTCAGAAGCTTCCTTCTCTTGCCCGTTGATGCAGGTCGGCGCCGCCTTGTGTTTCTTCAAGCTGTTGTTGCGGCTCTCCCCAGTGACACTGATCGGCGCGGGTAAAAAAAGAAAAAAAAGAAAAAAAAAAGAAAAAAAAGAAAAAAAACATCTTTCGTCGATTTTTGCTGCTTATAGACCTTGCCGTTGACTTGAGGGGAAACGGGTCGCCGCAGGTTTGGTGAGCCTGTTCACCGTGTTCATCATCTACGACCGGCACGAAGACCAAGTCGACGCGTTCGTGAGAAAAGCCGCCGCCAGGTTCAGCAAGGCCGGGGGCTTGCTCCTGAGAAATTTACGCAGCGCACAGCGGAGAGGAGGGGGTTGATGGGCTCGCTGACCTTTCTTCCCCAGCTTGGGTAAGTTATTCTTCCCACGCATGCCTGTTTTCCATTCCTGGGTTTGACTGTTGGTTTGTTTTCCCAGTCAGAATTTCTCTCGGTCCGTCGAATCTCATTCTTTCCCCTCTCTCGTTCTTTATGTATTTGATTCAGCTGTCGCTGCCGGGAGATGCATCGCCGTCGGTCAACGCTCCCAAGGATTCGCGTCGAGCCACGTGCGCAATTCCTCTCTCTCTCTCCTACTCATCCATACATAGGTTCGTCGGCCTCCGGGTATCATGTGGTTCGGTACCCGGTAGGAATCAATATAGTATAATATCAGGGTTTAAAAGTCATCCCAATAAACGATTTGGTACGAAAATATTAAAAAATAATATTGTAAAATACATAAAGAACGGCGTTGTTAATAGCCTGATGTGCGGCGAACTCGGGAAAATGAATTCCAGGAATACGTTCTGAAATTTGATATTGTAAAAATATTATAATAATAAAATTAGGTTTGGCGTGTTACTCCTCACGAATCGCTGTGGCCAGCTTGGCGGGATGACTAAAACGGTCTTCGGACTGAAACGATGAGAAATCGGATTCTTCCTGGCCGATCCATTCGGATCAAACACGGCCCAGTAAAGAACGGCGGAGACGTCGTTTGCTGTGCCATGTGAGGAGACGTACGCGATTTGAATGGACGGTTGAGATTGAATCTCATCCAAGAGTGAGTTGGATTCCTCGGGAGTCTGCGGTTTGCGTGAGAATACACGAATAAATTGCCCCAACTGCCGAGAGAGATCGGATTCACCAGTCGAGTCGTCTTCTACCTCCAAACCCTAGTTTCCTCGGGGGCCCTGCTGATTTCCTCGCCATCGCCGGGATCTGAGGTGACCGCCCGGTGATTCGTGTAGCTCTCGCTCTCGCTCCTCCTGCGGCCATCGCCGGTTCTGTTGCCGACGGCTTCTTCACCCACCCTGGTTTTCTAGGGTTCCGTTGGGTTGTTCGCCTCGCCGACGGCGATGCCGATTCAGCCGAGCAAGCAAGCGGGCGATCGCGACCAGAGGCCCTCGGGGAGGGAGCCGGACGATGACGACGATCCCTCGCACAATCTCTGGGTGGGGAACCTCCCCCCGGACACCGTGGACTCGGAACTGATGGCACTCTTTGGAAAATTTGGGGCTCTCGACAGCGTGACGACGTACGCCGCCAGAAACTACGCCTTCGTTTACTTCAAGCACCTGGACGATGCCAAGAGGGCCAAGGACACCCTGCAGGGTTCTCTCGTCCGCGGGAATGCCATAAAGATTGAGTTTGCCCGACCGGTTCGTTCTCCCTCTTCGTGTAGTTTGATCAGGGTTTATTTTTATCATTTATGTACAAATCGGCAGACCCAGGGGATGGCATCGGAATTAGGGCCTCTTCGAATCTTAGGTTCATCATATAGCGATACTGCTTTCGTATTTATAATTTTTTCAATTATTTCTCTCGAATGTGCGTCGATCGTAATTAAAAGTCGTGAAAGAGCAAACTAGGTAGAAAAATCGAACGCAGCGTATTTCGAGTCGAGTATGGCAGTCCATCTATCCTCCGTGGCTTACTTCAACACGTTGCAGCCCGACTTTTTATTGCTTGCAGAGCCCCAGATGACGAGCAAAAACGCACCGTCAAACATCAAACTCGTTTTATAAATAATTTTTTGACTATTGTTTCCGCTAGAGTCATGTGACAACAATTTATATAATTGTCTTCAGATTTTTTGAATTGATTCGTTTAATTTTGAGGGATGGTCACCGTCTCCATATATTCAAATAATTATTTTCCTTTCTAGTCTTACTCGCAGACATATCGGCATTGTTTAATCTAGGATAGCCCATGCTCGCAATTTAGGTCGGCTCATTAAGTCTCTTTTCGTGGTCATCGCGTAGTTCATGAATGTAGAGTTGAGAGGGTTGCTCTTTATAAACACATACTTACGAATTGATTATTTATTTACATTACCATTAGAAAAAATCATTACGCCCATAGATTTATGTGTACAATGGAGATGCTTGTATGTCGAGCAAGTGCATAAAAATGAATGATTCAATATCATAAGTGGCTCACTGGCCTTACAGTTTCTCTTTGGTGTAAATAAATGCTGTCAATCTGAGGCGCTCATGGCATTCGATTTAATTACTTGGATCAGAACCTAGTTTTCCGAGGCAATTACCGGGGCAATGCCTTACAGCAAGGCGGTGTTAGAGGGGGAACGCCTTATCCCAAGTTATTCTCCTTGGTTATCCAAGTGTCTCAAGAGCCCTATTTGCTGTCCGTAATCGCTATATTGAGGGGCTTATTTACTAATTGAATACTTCTACATTATTATAAATTCTTGACAATGTTTTTGGCCAGAAAAAATCGTTTAAAGGATGAATACTTTCAGTAAATATCTCGGACAAAGAAAACTTAGGAATAGGCGTTTTCGAATGATATCGTTCCCTGCTATATGTTTGAGCATTGTGACCAACCTTAGCGACTAGTTTATTAACAACACGAAGCTTATCCACCCGTAAGTATTGGCCAGGATTATGGGGTTTTGGTGCGTGGTTAGTATCTTGTAATGGTTAAATAATAAGAAGAGAATATATACATATTTACTATGTATTAATCAGTAGGATGGTAGTAGCTTCGCAAAAGCATAAAAAATGTTCCTCTCATAGTGACAGATCACTTAACTGGGACTGTGAATGTACTTCTGAGATCTATTACATAAGTGATAGTTTGCAAGTGTTTGGTGGTGCTCGAAAGTCTGGATCGGTTTCGTTCTCAATTCACATTTAAATAATTTATTAATAAATTTCACTAAAAGAAATAGATTCGTATAAGATCGACATTCTTACCTTGGCAATCTTCAATTCTTATAGATGATTGTATAGGATAATCTTCAGTTCTTACCTTGGCAAAGTGTGATTTTGCTCGGCAACAAGAGAGTAGGCTGCCACATTTCTTGCCTTAGTTGGCTTAACACCTAAAGATGGGATCTAGAATCAATGGTTCAAGCGTTGCTGTTGTGATGGAATAATATTTAATCCATTTTATTAATCAGGTTAGAACGAGGGGTTCATCTCTTGGTTCATATACGATATTATTTAAAAAATTTAAATATATTTTTGTTCATATACGATATTCCTTTTTTGTTTCCCTCAGAAGTAATCATCACGTGCAAAGGATACAAAGACTATTTTTTTTTGCTATGCATGCATATAAAGTAGATTTTCAACAAGGTTATGTTTTAGTCAAAGCGAATGTATCAGGCATTATTTTTCCTTGTTTTAAACCTGTAGTTGATGTTGCCATCAATCAGACCATAATTACCTGTCTTACTATTAATTATAAGTTGCCGTATTCTCTGTGGAACTTATGACTATCTCTTCCATATGTGAGTCTCTTGACCTTTTACAAGGAAAGGCAAAAAATATATCTAATTCAAAATCGGTGGTTCACATTCTCGAGCTGTATCATCTAAGGGACTGCATAGTTGAAATTATTGATGTTTATACCTGTGCGCGAGTTGGTTGGCATATTAGAAGACGCTGGAAATTTTGGTTTAATTACAATTCAAAGAAAATACTTGTTTTTTGCGAAAAATCTTGACCTGAACCTGTTACAGAACTTTTTGGATGGTGGCAACTCTGCCATGATTTATGAACCGGCTAAATGCTGCTGATTTCTCTTGGTCTCATGGTACAATGGTGTCTAGTTACGTGTTAATCTCTAAAAGTTTCTGAATCATAGATAGCTCTAACTAGTGAATTCAATTTGTGTTTTAATAGTTCAAATTAAGCAATGAGATAAATTAATTGAGATAGGGATGGCTTTATTTTTAGATGGTCAAAATAGGAATGGCTCTCCTTTTGCAGAAGGTGATAAGATTGAAACACATTTAAATCCCTTGGCTCACAAAGCCATAACCGATGCCCATTTCTGTCAAGAAATTGGGAGAGTGTTAAACTTGATTTAGTGAACGCCGTTTTTTTATGTCTACTTTCATCATTATCTCTGAATTTCATAGGTACATGTGCACGTTAAGAGAAAATCTGTTTACAAGTATGAGTATTTTTTGACTTCTTAAAGGATAATTACTAATTGTAAACAAGGCATAGAATCTAGCAGAAGGCGTGGACTCATGAAATGGAAAAGATTAAACAACTTTTTTGCGAAGTGGTTGCCGTATTATGATGATACATGGCTAACGAATTGTAGTTTGTCCCTTTCTGTGTTACTTTAGATGCTTGCAATAACCACTTAGAGTCCCACGACTACCAACTCACTGGGTTTCTTAATGTTACTAAAACTTGTGGTTGAGAAATGGGCACGTAGTAGTCAGTCTAACTGTCAGACATCCACAAATGGCTTTCATGGTTCAGAGATTTTTTTGTGGATTTATTCAAATTTACCGTTTTTTCTGACTATGAGAATGTTGAACCTTAACATTGCGGATGTTAATGTTTGGGCTTCAAACCATTGCATAGTTGTTTCAACTTCTGTTTGGCTTCAAACCATTGCTTTAAACATAACATGGCGGATACTAAAGTTGATATCCATCATCCTGGATGAGACACCACTTCCACATCTTTACTGTTGACAGTGGTTGATTGATGACTGCAGGAATTTTAATCAACTAATGCCAACAGCCTTGCCGCTGATGGCAGAAAAATGATTTGAAACCACTTTTTCTGAAAGACAAGTCTGCTGTGTCCTCCTTTGATGACTTGAAGATGCTGGACTTAGGGAATGAATGATGTGTTTCTGGGACTTCTCTTCCATGGAGCAGCCAGCTTTAGACTTATAAAAATATACAAACTTCTGATTTGAACGCTTTCAAGTTCTTTTGTTGTTTATGTGGCTTCATCTAAAGGTTTTTGGCTGAAGTAGGGCATGCATTGGTGGATCCAGTCTATGAGAATCTAAACCGAAAGGAACGGATGACGTTTTAGCCTTGCTTTAATAGTATTAAAATTCAATGTACCACTGATATTGGAGTTGAAACAATTGCCAATATTGATTACAGTCAACGGCTTTTGTGTTGAGTAGGTTTTTGAAATTGATTTACTAATCTTCTTAAATCTTTCATTATAAAGAGGTGGGAACTTTGAATTAGATATATGACTAACTATTTGATTCTAATTAATTACTCGGGGTGTCTCTGAAATTACTTTTATCTCTCCATTATGCAATCACACGATTTAATTTCTTTCCATTTACATGTGTCAGGATAGAAGTTGAAGAAAAGTCATTAGGGAACTCGGGTCGATTTTATCATTTTCTTATGGCTATCGTGCCGTTCTCTTTTGTTCATACATGATTTGTTTGTGTTCTCGAGCCCTCTTCACTGCAAGGGGATGGGGAAAGTTGGACAAAAAAGGAATACCTAGCTTTTCTCCTTGACATGTGACCGACACATTTAAAAAATAACTCCTCTCTGTTTTTAAGGAGGAACTTTGTGGGAAAACATCCATATCGTATTTACGATTATTAAATTCCAAAGAAAAGGTTGGAAAACAGATTGAGGAATTTTCAACCTTTTGCCTTACTAATGCAGGATCATGATGGGCACGACAATTTTTGGGGAAAATTATGATGGTCTCGGAGTAGAATTATAATTCACAGTGTGAGATTAGCTTTCATCCGTCTGACCAGTTGCTTTATAATCTTAAATAGGTTTATTTATTCTGAATGACAAATTCTGAGTTCCATTTAGTGTATGGCCTGGCCAACGAATTATTTTTTGATCTTAAGTTGGCACTCGCTTGGTTGAAGCGAACTCAGGAAGAAGTAATCATGCGATATTGCCTTTGTGGGAGAGAAATATGAGAGCCATGTAGACAAGGGAGTCAAAGAAGAGAAACAGTGTGACACTGGCAGAAAGCAATTCGACTAATATCAACAATGTGTATGACCAGATTATCTACGGTAGTATGCCGCAGGAGAATTTTTAGGTTCCCCCTGATTCATCACGGACATGAATGAATCATCTGTGACCGGCCATTTATCTCTTCTGGCGTTCAGTTAATTCCACTGCCAGGTTCCAGCCAACCTAAGACAATTTCTGGGAGGTTCCCTGCACGTCTGTCTCTCGTCTCATGACTGGTAGCATGAAATTTGTCTGCCTGGTTCAATTGTAAAGCCTCATATGCTCTTTTAGTATTCAATTGTTAACTAGACGTTTGCTGCACTATTTTTGCACTGATTTCCCGAATCTGGAGCTGATTCTCCCCAAGCTTCGTCAAGTCACCGATTACTGGACTTGTTCCTCATTTCCTTCTTTCCCCTGTCGCCAACCATTGGATAAAAAGATTTATTGTTGAACATGCTGTGGTTTTTCTACACATCGTTGATTGACGTCCTATCACGAGTTTGTTTTGGCTAATAGTTCTGCTTTGCTTAGAGCGAAAGAGGCTTTGAGAAGAGTTTTATTTTTTAGGACAAGCATTACTGCAAGTTGTTTCAGGATCAGTTTGATCTTCTTTTCCCAGATACAAGATGGCAGAACCTGGAAAAAAAACATTCGAGTTGTTTCAGTGTGGTTTGAAAAATACTATTTCTCGATCCAAAAAATAAATCAGATGGTGGGAAATTTAGATGGGGACGTTTTGACTCTTTTCTAAAAAGTAACTTGAGTTTCTGACGGATCTGTTTTGGTAGATCCTTTGTTTGATGCCTCACAATGGCCTCTGTTCATCAAGTAACATGTTAGATTTGCCGGCTGGAATATATAATAAAGGGATTGCTTCATCTGGATTGCTGGTATTCCTTTTTTTGTCTTTTATTTTTCTTCAGCTATGTAGTCTTTGGGTGTGCATATCGAATCATTAAACTCCTAGTTTACCTCATATTGTAATGTACATGGAAGATTACTCTATTTTTTGTGAAGTTAGATGGTACAAGATATTTACATGGAAACTAAGTTTTGCTTTCTTGGTTACTATAATCCACAAACGCGAACTATTAGAGAAGATTCAGTGGGATCTGAACCGAAGCTTTGACTGCTCGTTATCTCTCTATTTGGATTGGTTGGGTTTCATTTCTAGTTTATGATATCAGCAATCCGTAGACCGTCAGATTCTCATGAAAAATTCTTTTATTTTTTTAGCTGCATCGGAAGGACTGACTCCTGCTGTATGCCTCTCTTTTTGTTCATCTCTTTGCGGCCTCCAGATTTGATCTTCCCGTTCTAGAAACCTTACCTTACTGAAAAAAAAGGCATCTAAATACACTCTTGTTCTACAGTAGCTTCTTTTCGACAGTTGAAGATCCCATTTTTCTTTGTCTTCTGGAATGTTTTTTTCTGATTGGTTCCTGCGTTGACCTATTAACTACATGCATTTGATAAAGCTCTTAGGTCTGTGTTTTCTGCTATGATCCAGAGGAACATCATTATTACGTGAACAAGCGATTAATATGCAGTAAAAACTTTTTTGGGTATCTGCAGGCTAGACCAGGTAAAAATCTGTGGGTTGGCGGAGTCTGTCCATCAGTTTCTAAAGAGCAACTCGAGAGCGAATTCTCAAAATTTGGAAAAATTGAGGAGTACAAGTTCCTTCGTGACAGAAACTCCGCTCTAATCAACTATTATAAAGTAGACGATGCCATTGCTGCTTTGAAGAACATGAATGGGAAGCGTCTAGGTGGAGAGCAGCTACGAGTAGATTACCTACGATCTCAGCCTTCAAGAAGGGTGTGTGCGATTCCCTCAGTGCTAGATTTAGGTTTCACGTAGTCATTTGCCCTTTTGATTTCTTCCTGTGCACTCCCTTGTTTCCTTTTCATCTATGCCCATTTTGCGTAATTGACGTGATTTTCGTCTGAATGGGAATCAGGATTGGCTGGATCATCATGATCCGAGGGATATGCTGCTCAGCAAGGACCCATCATGGATGCAACCGGAGTCAATGAGAAATTTTCCCGAAGGTTTCCCCCACGGGCATAAGAGATTGCAGGTGGGTATGTCTGACCCAATGATTTCAGCGCCGAAATTTCTCTCTTTTTCAAGATCCTCAGTGAGACTAGATTCTTTTTTCCTGTTTTGGATCGATGCTGACAGCCGCCAGTTGGGAGAAGAGACATACAAAGCAAGATACTGTGGATAGGGTACCCTCCCTCTGTTCAGATTGACGAGCAGATGCTTCACAACGCCATGATTCTCTTCGGCGAGATCGAGCAGATCAAGTGTTTCCCCTCGAAGCACTACTCCATTGTGGAATTCAGGAGCATCGACGAAGCCCGGCGCGCCAAGGAGGGTCTGCAGGGCCGCCTCTTCAACGATCCCAGGATTCAGATCCTCTTCTCCACCAGCGAGCTCATGGCTTCCAAGGACAACCTGCTGTTCATTGCTGGGCCCAGAGCGCCTCGCCCAGATATGTTCTTCGGCGAGCATCCCTTCGGGCACGTGGAGCATTTCGGCCATGGCCGTCCGATGCCCCCCGGCGGCTTCCCCAGAGGTCTTCTGCACGGCGGCATGTTGGGGAGGTCCTTCCCCCAGCAGGGGCTCGAGCTTCCTCCCTTTGGGAGTCCAGAGTTCTTCAACGACCATGGTGGCCCTCTTCATAGCTTCCCCGAGGGGGGTAATGGCGGCAACTCCATGGGCCCGGGCTTCAGAAGGTTATCTCCCTCCGGGGTCCTCTCTGCTGCGCCGGGCATGCGGCCACCGGGGAGGCCCGTGCCTGGGATGTGGGAGGCGCTCGATGCGAGGGACGCGAAGAGGCTGAGGATTGATGGGTCTGTTGATGAAGCTTCTCTGCATGCAAGCAGGATGGGCGGCGCCGCCACCGAAGGAGTCAGAGACCACCACCAGGCCTACGGAGGCCCGGGGCGGCGCAGCCCGGTCGGCGGGCGGAGACCCGCCGCCGCCGCCGCCGCCGCCTCCCTTCCTGCCCACAGCGCCCCCGGTCGGGAGCACATCTGGCGCGGCATCATCGCCAAAGGTGGAACCCCCGTCTGCTGCGCGCGGTGTGTGCCGCTGGGGAAGGGCATCGAGTCTCCATTGTGAGTTAACCCCTCCCTCGAAGCCTCCTTGTTCTTGATCCATGTTCTTGATCCTAATCCATTGTTGTGTTCTTGGGGCAGTCCCGAGGTCGTGAACTGTTCGGCGAAAACAGGGCTGGACACGCTCGCAAAGCACTATTCGGAGGCGGTGGGCTTCGAGATCGTCTTCTTTCTCCCGGACAGCGAGGAGGACTTCGGTTCCTACACGGAGTTCTTGCAGTACCTGGGGCAGAACAGCCGGGCAGGAGTCGCCAAGCTCGACGACGGCACCACCATGTTTCTGGTTCCTCCCTCGGAGTTCCTGACAGAGGTTCTAAACGTGTCCGGTCCCAAGCGCCTCTACGGGGTCGTCCTCAAGATGCCGCCTCCGCCGCCGGCGAGCCCTGCCAGGCAGCCTCCGGCGCTACTCTCGGCGCCTCAGTATGCCGACCGGCGGCAGCACTACGAGGAGCAGAGCCTGCAGAGGGAGTACAACAGGGCCTTGCCGGAGGAGCCGCAGCAAATGGTGCCGTCGCTGTCCACCGCCCATGCCGGCAAGCCCGGCCATTCGCCGCCGGTGGACGTCTCCTTGACGCCTGATCTCATCGCCACTCTGGCCTCATTGATACCCACCGCTGCGCAGACTTCTTCTGCTGCTGCACAGGTTCCATTGAGCTCCTCTGAGAAGGGAATGGCGGCGGCCCAGATTTGGGGCCAGGAGCCGCAAGCTTCAGCTGGCGGGAGCCATGAATACGAGCAGACACGCCATCCTTCTCTCATGCAGGGGCATCATCAGTATGGGAACCAGCCGGCTCATCATTTGTCGCAGCAGCAGCAGCAGCAGCGTCAGCAGCAGCAGCAGCTCTCTTCATACCAGGGCATTGGTGGTACCATGGCGGATTCCTCTGGGCATGCCCTTCCAGGCTCGCAGGTTCAAGACGGCGGCGGCACGGGCCGGCCATTTGGCGGGTATGGGGTGTCGTCTCAAAGTGGGCAGTTTGTCGCCGCCCAGGGGAACCAGCAGAACCTGCTCGAGATGGCGGGCCTGCAAGCGAAGCCCTCCGGAGCTGCTCATGTTCAGAGTGGGAGCGTGCTCCAGCAGCACCAGATGGTTGCCGCTCAAGCGGCCGAGAAAGGGAATGCGGGCTTCCCTTCTCAGGGGCAGCAGCTGCAGAGTGCGCTGAGTTCCGGTCAGGGTCCGTCGGAGACGGAGGCTGATAAGAACCAGCGCTACCAGTCTACGCTGCAGTTTGCTGCAAGCCTTCTTCTGCAGATTCAGCAGCAGCAGCAGCAGCAGCAGCAAGGTGGGAAGGGACCTGGTAATCAGCAATGAGGCGCCTCATTAATCATGTGAGTATTCTGACTTGACTATTTTTTTTCTTTAAATAAGTTAAGCTAATGGTTACTGGAATTCATCGTTTCTTTAGCGATCTTGATGGTTTTGGAAAACGAGTCATTCCGCGGAATTATCCAAGATTTCTAGGTTATTAAGTGATCATCTACATGATCCGTTCATACGGTTTTAGGGTTATTGGTTTTTGGTCGGATCGATTCCAGTCATGGGAAACCACAGCGAACAACAGCGTCCTCAATTTCTTTTCTGAAGCTCCAGAGCAGCTCTATACATACTGGCTGTATTCATACACCTTCAACGCTCATTCAACCTCTCTCTCTCTCATAAACTGTAGGGACATTGAAGCCATTGAACGGGGTAATTTGGCCCTTCTGATGGGGGTCGCTCGCTGATGTAAGGGTGTAGGGGCGGCGACTGCGAGGACGGCGAGGGGTGCTGGTGGGCGTCGCGCAGTGCTTTTTCCTTGAGCTCCTGACGTGGTTTCCCGTCTCCTATGATGTATCTTCTTCTCTTCCTCCTAACCTCTCTCTCTCTCTCTCTTCCCTCTTCATTCTTCTGTACACGTTGAACCTCTGGTTTCGGTTTAGTGATTACCATTAATCACCCTCTCTCTCTCTCATGTTCACCTCTGATATTGGTTTAGTGATTACCATTAATCACCCCCTCTCTCTCTCTCTCTCTTGCTAGTTATTGTGACGCCAGCGAGATTCCGAGTGGGCCTCTTCCGTGTCATATAAGCTCGTTATTCTTATATGAAAAGTAAACTTCTGTATCATTAAAAAAAAGGTCGCCTTGTCTGGGGAAGTAAAGAAGGTCCGCGCTTCCTCCGGCCCGGATTGGGCCTTCGGTAGCTTCGGTCTGGGGGGCCCGCGCTCCACGTTTCTTCCCACGTGGGGGACCCGACTTTCTCTCTCTCTCTCTCTCTCTCTCTCGCTCGATTAGAAGGCTACCGGCCGTGGTCAGGGCCCCGTTGACGCTCCAGCTACAACGGTCGGGTTCAAGCAGATCAAACCACGATTTGGCGTCCGCGAGCGCTTGCGCAAGCTTCCTTCACATTTATGGCCATCGCTTGTTAAGTCCGCCACTGGCTTCCCAGAGAAGCTGCAGAGGACCGCTCTCTCTCTCTCTCTCCGGGTAAGGCTTGCTCCCCTTAGGTCGTCTCTGGTGACCCTCTGGTGGTACCTCCGCCTCATCTCCCGGTGAGAGTACGATGTGATCAGCCGTAATCTCCTCTGCTCGCGGGTCCTTGTTCTTCAGCTCTCTCGGCTTCTTCCATGAAAAGAGGAGGCTGCTGCTCTTCTCTGGGGGTTTCGGCTTCCTGATGTGCTGCACTCGGCTTCTAGGGTCTATCGTCCTCTGATTTCTCACCCCATGGAGAAGGAGACGGCTCTTCCTCCAACCTCCGGCCACGTCCCTTTTGGAGGCTCTCGTTCTGGCTCTGGTTTCCATCTAAAGCCTGAGCGCCGCTCTCCCCCCTTGTCTCCTCCCCCACTGCCGCCGCCGGCGCCGCCGTCGGAACAGGCTCTTCTCGGGCGGCGCGATTCTGGTTCCTTCAGCCGCGACATCAGCGGGATGCCGGATCTTCCTCCGAGGAATCTTGGCCACCGGAGAGCTCAATCTGAGATCCTCAGCCTCCCCGATGACATAAGCTTCGACAGCGATCTCGGCGTCGTCGGCTCCGGCGATGGCCCCGCCATGTCCGACGACGCCGATGAGGACCTCTTCATGATGTACATGGACATCGAGAAGATCGGCTCCTCTGCCGAGACCTCCGGAGCCCTCGTCTTCTCCGGCGAGCCAGCGGCGGCGCCGCAAGGGGAGAACTCGTCGTCCTCGGGGTTGACCGACCGGCCGAGGTTTCGTCACCAGCACAGCCAGTCCATGGACGGCTCCACCTCCATCAAGTCGGAGTTGCTCTCTTCCGGCATGGAGGAAGCTTCATCTACAGAGACGAAGAAGGCCATATCAGCGGCGAAGCTCGCGGATCTCGCCCTCGTTGACCCCAAGCGTGCAAAAAGGTTAGCCCGAAGCTCTTCCTCCATCTCTGCCAAAGCCATTGTCTTGCCGCGTCAGAATGGAGCAGGAACTAGGGTTCTTGCCTTCAATTTTTTCTCTTTTAGAAGCCATTGGATAGGAACTAGGGTTCTTGGTAGGATCATATGATAGAACATCTGGGGACAGTTGATGCGCCCACTGTGGATGATGCCGTCGAATTGCTCTTTCGTTCCTCACTACTCCCTGTGTGGAAGAGACCACGGAGATTTTGCATGCAGTCTACTCTGTTCTAGGTCATCTGGTGGGCATATTTTGTGCAATACTGTCACATTGATTTCTTGCTCATATCAAATGTGGTATCTTCCGCTTTATAAAACATAAAATTTTCAGCATGCAAGACTTGAAAGGGTTGAAAAAATTGATTCTTTCGTGCGTATGGGTGAATACCAACTGGTGAAAAATAATGAGGAACTAACCCTCCATGGAGCTTGTTCTTGCAATGAGTTGTCAGGTTTATGCTTCACTTCTTCTGAAGCCCAGATGATGCCTTCTTTTTTCTTGGGTCCAGATTTAGGTTTCTTTGTTGGCAACTGCTGATCAGATCAGGAGATGTATTGTCTCTGAGCAGCTCGGATCCTCTAACTGGAAATCTCGTGGATGTTATAGGATCTGGGCCAACCGGCAGTCGGCTGCGAGGTCAAAGGAGAGGAAGATGCGGTACATTGCAGAACTGGAAAGAAAAGTTCAAACCTTGCAGACGGAAGCGACGACTTTGTCCGCTCAGTTGACCATGCTGCAGGTCTCTCTCTCTCTCTCTCTCTCTCTCTCTCTGAGCTGGATATCCTGTCTCGATCCTCATGTTCCTCCCCTCTCTTGCTGTTGCTTTCCTCTTGGTTTGACATTCCATTTCTTCTTATGATGGCAGAGAGACACTAGCAGCCTGACATCTGAGAACAACGAGCTCAAGCTGCGCTTGCAGACCATGGAGCAACAGGTTCATCTACAAGATGGTAGGGCTTCATCTTCACCCATCGTTGCTTTCCTCTGTGTACACAAGTTTCTGCTCCGCTGAAGCGCCTTCCTTTCTCTTGCGAGATCAGCTCTGAATGACACGCTCAGGGAGGAAGTGCAGCGTCTGAAGCTGGTGACAGGCCAAGCCGGCATTGCCAATGGTGCCCAGATGGTGAACTTCGGGCCTTCTTCGTTCGGGGCAGGCCCACCACAGCCACCGTATCCCAACAGCCACGCTATGCAGTCGATGCTGGCCGCCCACCAGATGCAGCAGCTTCAGATCCATCCCCAGCAACATCAGCTGCAGCAGCAGCCCCGCCCCAGCCTGCATCATCCCCAGCAGCAACAGCAGCAGCTGGTTAGTCCTGATATGAAGGTTAGGGAGCCTACTCAGAGTCAGCCCCAGAAGGAGCGGGAGGGTGCATCTGACAGCAACAGCACGGCACCCAAATGAATGCTGAAGATCATACATATTCTATGGGTTGTAGCCATTTAAGATGCTTGGATCTTGTATATTATCTACTCTCCATCGTTGAGATTTTAGGGTTACCATCCAGTTGGCTAGAGTTAGTAGAACTTGTGTCAGAGAACCTGCCGAGTTGTATGGCTCGATTTTGATGGCCAGCCCAAAGTCTGATAGAGACTCCTCTCCCTGTAGTAGAACATCTGGGTATCCTATCTCAGTTGTACTGTAAAATCTTATCCATTGACACTGTTCAAAGCATCAGATAAAGAGAAGACCGACAGTGTCAAAGAATAAAGTCAACTTGATTTATTTTGTGACACTGATGGGCCATCCCATTGGTATCCTACCTGTTCGCGGGAAGCATGAAGAACTCTCCCATTCACGCCAGCATTAGGCATGAAATTTAGTCAACTAAGGGAGGTAAAGAAGGGGGCAGCTTAGGCATTTAAAGAATAGTTCATCCAATCAGCTTCAGACTGTGATAGAAAAAGCTGACCATTAAACCGAAATCACCTGGTTTACCTCACAAACTGCATGTTTGTCTACTTGAGTCACTGATGAAGACGAGGGAAGATTAAGCTAAAATCTCAGAGAGTCTTACCGGTTCTTAGAAGGGAGTCATTCTCATCCACGTTGTCTGCTCGAGTCAAACCTCAGAAGGAGCTACAACGACCTCAATAATTTTTCAAATCTTTTTATAACACTGCGGCAAAGGTGGGCATTCAATTTTTTTGTCAGGGGCGCATCTAAAATGAAACAAATAAGCGAGAAAATACCATTAACAAATTAATGTGGATTATCACTTGTCAGAACGAAACGTCTACCTCTCTGGGAGAGAGGGCGTTAGCTCTCCAAATACCCGATGAAGGGTAGCTGACGAAATCTCTAATATATCACTGCGCTTCTCTGGATCTGCTCAAGAACAACCGTTGTGTTGAGCATGTTATCAGATTCTTTAGCCATAATATTTTAGCAAAACTTACAAGCGTCAATCAAATAAGAGTTGACATAATTAAACACAAACCTTCATAATTGGATGTGGATGATACACCGCCTCCGAGACAACAAGGGTCAGCTTCGCCAGCTGCTTTCTTGCCTTCTTTACGTCCAAACTCATCTAATAAAAGACCTGTGGCTTTGTAGGCGACCATACTTGCATCATCACATATATTTTGAAGCGCCTCGTACCAATTTGTTGCATCTGCTTTCGAGTTGCAAGCCCCCCCTCCCTTTCCTTCCGCGGGCTGAGCAGAAGCACCACCTTCAGAATCGAAGGCTTGACAGGGTGGTTCATGCGGCATAGAGTCCCCTGAGCCCTCTACGCCATCTGAGTAAGAAATGGGAAACTTTACATAATCGTGAATAGCGAAAAGAGAGCAATCCATGTCAAGAACTTCTATGGTCGAACTATCTGGAATTCCTAACCCTTCAGCATATCTCGCAAATTCTTGATCAGCATCTTTATCAGGCAACGACTCCCACACTATTTGTCTAAGCTGGCTGCTAACATCGAGTACACTTTCCATCTCCTCTTCTGCACTTCCAACTGAAGCAAGCTGACGTTGGGTTTCCTGGTTGATAAGTTTGAGCGCCATTGACAGCGGCCTCGGGAGTTGCAGATCATCACAGTAAAAGAGGTATTCCATCATATAATTGTGAAGGGATTTCTGGAAAGATTTAGGAGAGAACTCTACTTTCGGAGCAACAAGACAACGCAATCGCTTCCATTGGGGGCGCTTAACTTTAGGGAGAGACCAAATTGCCTCCAGTAATTCATTCTGCAAGCCTTGGACTTCTGCGCTGAAGGGAAAAAATATTTTGGTCACAATGTCAGCTCTCCTTGTCTTTGCCTTGACTGACAGGCACATGACTGACAAAGCTTTGGCTAATGGCACGGGCAGCTGACTTCCGTGCTTGAGTTTTGAAAGAATCCTGCCGCATTGCTTCCTCAATCGTCTGATTAAAAGGCCTCTTTTACCGGAAAAGGCAACCGCAAACTGTGGTACAGCAGTCACATTCTTCAGCTTTCTATCCATAGCAATTAAAGCTTGTGAAGGTAAGACCTCGAGTATTTCAAGTGCCTCGCCAACGGATGAAGTAAGGGATGAAGAGACAGTGGAGTCCAAATTTCCAGCGTTACTAAGGATTTCTGACAACATATTCATCCTTTCAAAGTGGTCCTCACCATGCAATCGTGCAGGGGACTCAGGAGGATCCTCTTCAATAGCTTTCTTCGGGTCAGGATCAGAGCACTCCAACCCCTTGCTTCCTGGAAAACATGTTACCAAATAAAGATTGTCACTATTCAAACAATTGAATGCCACAGTACGATCTTCAGAAAGATCATTCAGCGAAGAGAAAAAGACTCAGTTTTCAACTAACATCATGCTCTGTTGGCCTACCAGTATATGATTTGAATGGTCTGTCGATTAGCATCCTTATGTCTTCAAGGGACACCTGAATAATAATATGAAAGGGTGGCGAAAATAAATATTCAATAGATTATAGAATAAGCATTGAGAAACTATAACTACATCATGATTGATAATTCGCTCAACTCAGGGTTTTATTCAAATCTTGCAATCAAATCTTGCCAAGTGAAAACAGCTCATCTTAACATTGTAAAAGGAAACTACTCACATCATCATTCCTCACATATGACTCTGGTAAATACCTGCATCACAGAAGCAGAAGCCAAAAACACAATCAGAATTTCTTAATCAAGCGTATAGCGAATAGCTAATGGTACGAAAAATAAAAAACAGAGGTTCTAATTTTACGCACCAAAAAGTATGCATTGGCTTACATGGCCAGTAAGCATATTTAACGACTTAGAAGTGTCTTTCTGATAGAGATGTCATGCAATTAGGCTGTATTCAAGGTTGCATTACGAACCACTGTTAATCAGGACTAAACTCTTTTTTGTATTAAGGCCATGCTATTACATTTCTTCTTCTTCTCAAGAACCGCACAATGTATCTTGACTAAATGTAAGGTGAGTGATTGAGAAGAAAATTCTGTCGTTGATATTTTATCAAACCATAAGGCTGGCAATCATATGCTTATCTTTCTTGAGTAATGGCCATGTTTCCACACCGCCGTTTTCCCTTATATTGCCAGTGACAGAGGATGACGGTGATTATTAGGCAGTTTTGTAGTCAAATATCACGGATTTTCACAGTCGTTTGAATACAAGTACAATTGCAGTACTGCGCAATCAAATTTCTAGATCATTATAATAAAGTAATGTTCACGCGGAGGTTAAAATACATTCACGTCAGACAACGTACACTACCCTGCAGAAACGTGATTTTCCGCTAATTCTCTCATTACCAAGGAAAATTATTTCGTAAAAAATTGCAGTCATTTTCGATTACTGAGTTTTGTCTTGCTCATTAGGGAACCATTGCGAGATATGGATTCTATAGGATAATTGGATATCAGATTCAAAACAATATGCGTCAGAAAACTCTTGTTACGTGCTGTTAGAGGTGTTATTTTTTTGTATTTTGGTCATTCGTGTCCCTACTTTGATTGACGTAACTTGTGTAATAATGTACTTAACCTGATTAGGATTTCATCCTGATAAAAACCTCACAATAGGGTGTGAACAGACAGAGTTTATCTGGTCTATGCACACTCCGCTCAAGCGTCCAAACTGACAAATAGCTTCCCCCTTTCACCATTCTTCTACCTTCAAGACTCTTTAGGTCATCAGAATATCAAGGCTTAGGCATTTCTTCTTTCCTCTTTGAATTTGTGATCGATAGTTTTTGAGTTCAGGGACCAAGGGGAAAAAAAGAGAGATTACTGGAGCATGAACTTTTCCGTTGCTCTGGATTGCACAACAAATATCGGCATTCATATGTACAACTATACGTTGATTATTCATTGGTTCTAGTCCCTTTCAAGTGACATAAATGAAGACATTCAAGGATAATGTGTTGCTAAGTACGACTCTACAAATCTGGCCTTACTTTCGAGGCTGGGATACGTCAATAATTTATAAGGAATCACTATGCGTTTGGGTCAGCTAGAGCCACAACCCATAATACTTCAGGCATAAAATGCATTAATGTCATGCAGGTATTCCAGGTAAAAAGATAAAGCAGGTGTGTGCCATTCAACGCATAAGAATTACTCGATAAAAAAGGATAGAAAAGATAGTCTTAAATTCTTTATTCTGCTTGTAGCAAAAAGTCACATTGCACCACAGGTGGTTTCACAAATAGCTTCCTCTCTGCAGTAGGGGGCACATGTTACCACAAACTTGTCAGTGTACGAGGGATTGTGCCAGGTGCTTTTCTTTCATTTTTAATAGGCACGCATCTTCTAAACAGTATAACTTCTGTGGACTTCTAAATTTGGCAAACTTCACATAAATAGCACCGCATCCCTTGGAGAGACAATGGCAGTTCAAAGCATGCAAAAACATATGAAATGTGAACAAAGAACGTACTTACGAATTTCTCAAAAATTTGGAATTTTTCAGCTTTTTGTGACTTTTTTTGCTATCAATTGGTAGTCCCATCAGCCACCTATTTTTCCATGCACATAGTTTCATCAACAAAAAATTTCACTATAGTTTTGTTAAGCAAACTACATCAAACAAGAAAACTAGGAATCAGAGAAAATGAAAAAAGTGTTTTAACCTAATATGGATGTTCTCCAAATGATTTGAACATTTCCAAATATATCGATAAAAGTAAGCAAAAATTCTAAAGAACGCCAGTATCCCATGAGATCAGGCTTTACCATTTACAATCGATATGATTCTCTGTACGTTTATCAACATTCCCACAGCAGCGCATCAGTGGGCAACAAACATCAATTCAGTCATAAACATGAGTAGTATCAGACGTAGATTACTACATCCACAGTTTAGTAGATGCTGCCGTATTAGATATTGTCATGCCAGTTATTTGGCGGTCCTCCTCTATAACTGCACAGCCACCTCCTTTCAAATAATTGTGGGCCCGAATAGGCATGAGACACACTACCGATTATTCTTTCTTCAAGAAAAACAGCAGGCAAGGATGCTACTTTCTTACTCTGAATTTCTCCCTTACGTTGGAAGAACCCAGGGAATCATCTCAAAGGCTCATTGTATGATCAAAATCTTTCAAACTTCGGACTTCAGTTGAGACTTGATGATTATCCCCAACCAAAGCAGAGAAGTTTAGCTCTTTAGAACTGTTTCTCGTCATTAAACGTACTATCCCTGGCCAGGAAAAGAAACAATGTGTACATTTTGCATAAACTAAATAGATTCCGGAGTAAAATGGCCATAAATGTAAGAGGACTAGTCTGCATGACACAACTCTGCTATTTCCGAAGTTGATTCTCCAGAGTATTTTCATATTTCATTACCTAATATATTATTTAGAGGGGTCAGAAAGGAGCAGAAAGTTACCGAGAACCAGTCATAATGGACTCAGCGATTAATACAACTACATAGTAGATTATCATTCCGCTGCCTTCTTTGGCATGCTTCCAAATAAATTGATATGAGATATACTATTCTACTAGTTAATGTGATAAATTAAGGCTGCTCAGGTCCTATCACAGCAAAAAACCTTAGCAGTTGAACAAACCCAAGAAGAGGATCGAGTATGCAACCACTTTCTATTTGACAGTCCGCATAAGAAGTTAAAAAGGAAAATAAATGAACCTCAACTCCAGATTTCCAGTAATTTTCTTCTCTGTTCGACAAATAAAACTAATTGCCATAAATTAGAAATGGTATAATGACGAGGGACAAGAGAACGCGTTGTATTATCTCAGCTTAAGCTTATTATGCACCAATTTTTTTTGGTTAAGTAAAATTTGAGGTTCCTTTCACTGATTGGATATGTACTCCACTTATATCAAATATTCCCAATTTTTTTTTCTATAAATCTAACTGGATATATAATAATCTTCATGTGCGGTTTCTGCATAAATATCCACTTATTAATTACAACACATGCTCTTTTTTATAAGCCAGTTTGGGAACCTCTTCTTCATGGACAAATCGATGATGACAAGTATCCCACAACCGGGTGTCAATATCTGTGGGAAAGGACCAGTGGGACAAAACGATAAACTTTTTTTTTAAAGAAGAGTAAAACAGAAAATCCGTAACGTTTTATGATACTTTGGGTGCAAAAGGATTTTCCATTCATTTACCACAACTGGGAAATGAGAAAAAGGGTAGAAGTCTAAGTATTACATAGTATACAGAGAGATGAACAGTTCTGCAACAGATCATCGGATAAGCTAACCTCTGAAAGTTTTAGATCAATTTGGTTCCAACCTATACAGACACTAGTTGAAATGAAAAGAAATAGATCGACCATAGATACGGTTTTGTGGATATGATGAACAGAGATCGGAGAGGATTCTAAAATGTTTTTTTTTTTAAATCCCCTTCTTTGAACTTTTTTGAATTTTCTCGAAGATTTTAAAAGGAAGTTGTTTGAGTTTTAATGAAAATACCATCAGTATTTCTTTGAATTTTATAAATATATGTTTTATATTCATAAAACTTTGATGACCAAGGCACTCAAAGCAGGCAACAACAAATAGTGCAAGTACACATGATTCACACATGTCTTTATCTGCTTGTGGGTCAAGGGCTCCTTCCCCGTTCTTCAATCTCTGAGCAATGAGAAAAGAGTTTTTAGGTGAGCTCAATAAGCATAAAAGCTGACGTTGAATGCCTTGAATCCCATTAGTGGGAGGCCTGACACAACTGTTTTCTGTGTGAATATAGACTAAGAAAGTATAAAATCAGAGTTGACTCATAGGGTGTACTTGGCAGACCAACTCCACAAACTATGCTAAGGGACAGATATCTGGAATGACTGACGAGGATTTTAAAATAATTTTTCAAATATATTTATCATAGTCTGTTATGTTGTTTATTATTCCAATTGATAGTTTCAGAATCTTCTCCCCAAGATGCAGCCTTGGAGAGTCGCCATTTTTCTCATGTTTAAATACTCTATCTACGTAAAAGTTTCCAAGGCTTGTCTATGAGTTCAAAAGGTGTAAAGCCTTTTTGCATCCTTTTCAATTTAGATGGTAAATAAAAAAACCGATCAATCCCCTACACTTTCCAGGAATTCAACAAAATAGAGCTTTAACAACCAGTGCGGAAAAAAAAACCATGGTGTTTCTATTATCTTCATACATTAAATATGCCAGTATTTTATTGCCAAGGGAGAACTATGAAAGCAAACCATGATCACAGTAGACCAGAAAAATGCACTAGGAAGACAGAAAGAAGAGTAAGTTGACGCAAGAATGAGTGCTTGTGAAAAATCACTGACCTTCTCTTCTTCTCGAGGATTTCCTCCTCTTGCACAACATCGGACAAAACCCTTCTACAGTCATCCAGTAGAGACTCCGCGTCCGAATCTAAGAACGCAAAATACCCAGGCAAAAGTAAAGGTAACTTACCGGCACATAACGGGTAATATTCATGCAAGCACGCTTCAGAGAATCGAACTAACCACGAACTAGAAGAGAAAACTAAAGAAAAAGAAAATAAATCGGCCGTCAGGGAATGTTATCACTAGTCCTCGGAGAACATTAGGATAACCTACCTCGTTCAAAAGACGTATCGAAGCTTCCGTGCCCCCCCTGGGACATTTTTGTTGAAATATCGAAGGTTCCCGGGAAGTAACACAAGGAAGCGGGATCTCTGAGTCCTCTACCACGGGTTCAGACGATGCGGATTGAGAAACTCCATCCTTCCGGGCCTCACGGCATCCTTCAACAGACAGACTGGACGATCTAGAATAAATGTCAGTCTATAATCACTATACACGACAAAGGCTACACGGATGCCAGAGCATCAGTCGGAGAAAAGTAAGGAGTACGCAACGGGGGGCACAGTAGTTCCAGCTGTGTGGCAATGCTGTCGCGAGAACAAGCAAAAGAGGCGGAAGGATGGCAACCGTGAATACGGAAGGGGTGGGCGAGGGGGGATAGTTTCTTCGATACCGTTCGATGCTATGTCGACACGTCAAAATCCCAACTGGATGCACTCGAATTCCGAATCTCTCGATTTCAGAATAAGACCGAATCATTAGCAGGTGAAGATAGACAACGATGAACTGCAGGATCGTACCGTCGCAACTTCGATTATCGGCCACTCCGGAGAGCACTCCCCCTTCGTACAGATGCGGCGGGGGTGGCCGTCAGCTAGAGGCTATCCCTCTCCACAGTCGGCTTCGGTGGCGCGAAGCAGAGGTGAACACGCTGGAGTACAGGAGAATCGAAGGATCCCGCCGTCGGGGGCGGCCGGAGTAGCCGGCGAGAGGACCTGATCGAACTAGTTCTTTGGCGGGTCTGGCAGTAGCCAACGTTTTAGAGGAAACACTATATATCTATATATCTTTATATAATTTATAAAATCCATTTACCGGCTGAAAAACCTGGCCCAGCCCAACTCGACTCACACGTTCGGGCCTTGTTGGGCCCATATTACCATATTTTAGTAATTGGGTAACCTACGATATAAAATATTTATTCTTTTAGAATTGTCGTGGCTAAGGGATCTCAGACCACGTGGAGCAGATGGACGAGGCAGATGGATCCTCGCTGGAAAGTTGAAAGGTTAAAGTCAGCCATCACGAGGCAGATGCATCCTCGCGGCAGCTTCTTCAGAATCTTAAATTACTGTCTGAACTTCCGACAAGAAATAGCTAAAAGTCAAACAGCGGCGCCGACAGGGAAAAGAACAGGAACAGTAATTACTAGCAGCCGCGTAAGCTAGAAAGATTGGATATTCACTTCGTTTTCTTACGCGTTCGGATCTCCAGGATGAGGGAGAGGAGGAACCAGAGGCCGAGGAAGACGGCATAGCCGATGGTCCAAGAGCTCTTCTCGTCGGCGAGAGACAGCCCGTAGAAGATGTTGCCGGCGGCGAAGGCGACGGCGATCCGGCCCAGGTAGTGGTGGTACCAGTTCCAGTACTTCCTCACCTTCGCCGTCTTCTTCGGCCGCACCAGCAGCGCCACCACCTGCGGGAGGAGGGGAGCTCAGAGACCGCTATTAATGGCGGATCACAGAGAGTTATTGAGGGGAGGTTGGATACCTGAAGGGAACCGGAGACGAGGATGAAGATGCCGATGGCTTTGTGGGTGTCAACGTCGTCGCTGACCTTGTCCTCGAGGCGGAAGCCGGTGATTACGCCGGCGAGGCCGAGGACGAAGCCGCCGCCCTGGAGGAAGATATGGGCGTAGAACCATGCGGGGTCCCAGTGCTTGCAGTAGCGAGCCACCGCCATGCCGATGGGTAGTAAAACGCCCCACCCGATCAGTGTGAGCACCCCGTGGGCACGCCGCAGGGAGGAAGAAGAAGACTCGCTCTCGCCAGAGCTCCTTCCTGCAGATTTCCAGCTTGAAGGTGAGATCAAGAGGAAAAGCTCTGAGCTTTTTCGCTTTTCTCGCAGACCCACCGGTTGTGTAGTCTACGGCGGTGGACACCATGCTCTCGTGCTCCGCCAGATAGAAGTCGGAGCCTGGTAGAGATCCCCGGGGGCCGACGGCGTAGATGAGCCGCGTCTGGGGCTGCGTAGTGTTCAGCTGGAAGGCGAGGTAGATACGGGAGGACAGCGAAAGAATGGTTGACTTCGCCGGCACGAGTTGCAGGCTTCCCTGGTCCGGTGGGCAGTCTGTGGAGCTCGTCCCCCGGAGGGCGTACTGCTTCACCACCCCAGCTCCGCCGCTGGCGACCCAGCCGGCGACGGCGCTGGCGCCGACCATCCGCCCGTTTGTGGAGAACCCCACCGCGATGTAGGCGTTGTTGTCCGGTGCCGAGAGGACGAAGCTCCATAGCCCCGGTTGCTCCTGCTTGTACTGGAACACGGAATGGCCGCATTCAGTCACAGATCTCGCCATTGGGGAGGGAGGAGGAGAATGGATTATTACCAGGAGGATGAAATCGCGAGATCTCCAGGCGGTGTAGCAGCCGAGGGAGGAAGTGTTGAAAGGGATGAGATTTGCTGCTTCGGCGCCGAGATTGGAGGAGCAGGGGGTCGCCGGAGATGAAGAGGACGATCCCTGGTCGCCGTCGTCGTCGTCGTGGTCTTGGGATGTGACGATATCCGCGAAGAGGTCGCTGAAGAGGAGCATGGCGATGAGCAGGATCTCAGTCTTCATCTTCATCTTCGTCGCCCACATGGTGACTTTCAGAACTTGAAGGAGGCGACGGCGGCGGCGATGACGGGCACCAAAACCCAGATCTTTATAATCATCCACACAGCTCCCTTGGTCGGAAAGCGATATTATTTTAGGTAGGAACAGCCAAGCAGAAGAGTTGTCCAGCCAGCGGATGAAAGAGATCAGCCGCTGGAGAAGACGACGGACGGAGGAGGACAGCGTCTCTTTTTCTTATTCTTACGTGGCTTTCAAAAGAAGCTCCTTTAGATCTCGAGGGCGTGGTGGGCACGCTCTCCTCGCCTATTCCACTCGGCCATAATTGTCCGCACTGAAAGTAATATATTTTATCCATTCAAAATTTGTTGACTAGGCTTTGGGCCAAGGAGACCTGGCCCGCCCATTAAGATTCACGTAGGTCCCGTACTCCACTTGAGGGTTTTGTGGAAAATAGGCCGAACTGTACGGCCCAATAGGATAGTCAACTCATCCCCACAGCGGAGGGTCCCAGTAAGTGACCGGCCATACGGAGAAGTCACAGCCGCGTTGACTTCACGGCCTCCCACAAACGATGGGTAGTTGACTATAACGAAGGTAAGATGGTGAAGAGGAGGGAGGTGAACGGTCGCCAGCCTTGTTAAAGAAAGATGAGCTCTCTCTCTCTCTCTCTCTCTCTCTCGTTCTATCTATATATCTATGGATCTATCTAAACGTCTACTCCAGAAAGCTGTGCCCAAGAGGGCTGGGTGCAAGAGGAAGTTATGCCGCTGCTGGGGACGGCGGGAATGGCAGCCTAAGTAATGTCTAGATCGGTACAGCTCAAAGCTGCTAGCTTCCATTGAGTGCATCTGAATCATTACATGCAGAGGTGTCGTAGTCCATCCAGAGGCATGGAGTAGAGAAGGAGGTAGAGGCTATGTACTACATGGAGCAGGAGAGAAGATGGGCGCATCCGAGGATGAAGACCTTGCTCAATGAGAGAGGACAAGGGTTAGGTTGCTGCAGGAGAACACATGCGTAATCCGCTTTAACGAACCTTGGCTTTGGCTGCTTCAAGGCTCAGCTGATTTCATCGACGCTGGTTTGCATGTACTCCAACAAGTTCATCATGTTGTAAAGGTAATAAATTGTGTAAAATATGAAGCTCATGTCTACATTACTGATTGTGTAAGAACCACATATTCAATGATCCTTTCATGATAACAATGAGCCCATATATACTCCTACATAAACGTTTGGCTAAGTTATGCATGTACAACCATATTTACATGATCGTTATGTTGAGTTCACATTTATTGAGAAATAATTGTATTATATGGTTTCTATTCAATTTTAATCATATATATTGTGAAAAAAAAACGAACATCAACAGATTTTATTTATATTTTATGTTACATTATGATCTATACTTATGAATCTTAAGTATGCATATATATACTCACAACACAATTTCGTTTGGCTAAGTTATGCATGTACAACCATATGTACAACACAATGTCATCCAAGCATCATAAATATTCTCAAGAAGGGGCTAAATAACCAGGGTATATACTTCATGTGGATGTACTGATCAAACCCATTCACCCACAACATCTTGTCAGGTTTTCATTGATATTCAGATTTTTCGCCATTTCTCAAAATTTACCGGAATATGAAAGTAGCTTTGGAGAAGAGGAGAACCCTCAAAGCCCAGGCCCATTACTAGGCCTTGACCCATTCATTCTGCCTCTGTGATCCACGGTTGACTTGTGTAGCATTCGTCAACACGGGGCGCGTACAACAGACTAAGGACGGCAAGTTTCCTTGACCAGTCTTACATAGGGTTTCGGCGTGAGCTCAAGTCGTCGACGACCCTTGACTGATTCAAATGACACCGACAGGCGATACGACCTAAGCCAACAGAGGACCTTTAAAGAGAAGGGCTCATTTAATAGAGGCACTTCTAGAACCAAGAGGACGTTTGAACAGCCAACTGGACCCTCATCTATATATATCCACCCCGGCCACGGACTCCCTCCAATCCCCTCAGAAAATACTTCTTCCATGGCTCCTTACATCCTCCGTCCACTGGTCCTCCCACTGGTCATGGCGGCCCTCATTGTCCTTCGCCTCCAACCCTCCATGGTCAACGCTGTCGTCGTGCCGGACGTCGTCACCCAGGAGTTCTTCGATGGCATCATCAACAAGTCCCCCGGCGACTGCGCCGGGAAGAACTTCTACACCCGTTCCGCCTTCCTCCAGGCCGCCGACTCCTTCCCGGGTTTTGGCACGGAGGGATCGGAGGACGACTCCAAGCGCGAGATCGCCGCCTTCTTTGCGCACGTCACCCACGAGACCGGCAGTGAGTTCTCCTCCTGCGGGTCCACGGAAGATCGTTCTTTTATCTGCCGCCGCCGTCGCTGACGCCGCTTCGATTGCTGGGTTTGCAGGTTTCTGCTTCATAGAGGAGATCGACGGCCCCAGCAAGGATTACTGCGACGAGACCAACAACCAGTACCCGTGCGTCCCCGGGAAGGGATACTACGGCCGGGGGCCGCTCCAGCTGTCGTGGAACTACAACTACGGCCCCGCCGGACAGAACATCGGATTCGACGGACTGGGATCGCCGGAGACGGTGGCAAACGACCCCGTGGTGTCATTCAAGGCGGCTTTGTGGTTCTGGATGAACAACGTGCACTCGCGGATAATCTCCGGCGAGGGGTTCGGGGCGACCATACGGGCCATCAACGGCGCGCTGGAGTGCGACAACGCCAACCCCGCCACCGTGACTGCGCGGGTGAACTACTACACTGACTACTGTAACCAGCTAGGCGTTGCACCTGGAGACAACCTCAGGTGCTAGAGACAGGGCCCATGAGAGGGCATTTCCATACTACGAATAAGGACGGGTTGGTGTTGGGCGGCGCTTGATGAGCCCACCGGATAAGGGAAAAAATCCGCCAAGAAGCGGCGCTTGATGGGCTACTATGCCTTCTGTCGGTCGACGTAGCGTTTGTAAGGTTCGAGAATAACGGTGCTTGGATCCTCTTTGTTTGACTTTTCGTTCACTTTGCTTTCAAAAAGTCGCGGTGCTGTCATCTAAGCAACTTGTGTTTTGATTAAACAAAAAAATGTGGGCCTGTTGTTTTCAGACTCAGGATTATTATTGTGTACTGCCTGATATGACAAGGTGGCTCGTGAACACCCTTGACTAAGGAACGTGGAGCCGGTCAACACAGCTGGATAAGAGTGGAGGACGTGGTTCTCGTTGATAACTCAACCATCATCACTCAGGCCGCGCCACAAATCCTCTGAAACGGGCGATTTCCTTACGTTACGCTTTTCAGTTACTATTTGAGGCCTATGAATTGGCTGAAAGACCTCTAATTTAAACATTGTGTATTGGAGTTTGGAGCATAGTTCCTTACCTGATCATTTGATCCCGTCGCCCCGGCTTGGGTTGGTCGGAGGGCCCCGCCGTTCCCGGCCTAGAGCTTCTTCTCCTGCTCTTCTTCCACGTCTCCAGCCTTCCCTCTCTCAGCCGCCGGCTTGCCTCTCGCCGCCTCCCACCTCCGCAGCCTCCCTTTCTTCCCTGCCGGCTTGCCCCCCACCGTCACCGCCTTAGCCGTAGCCACAGCCCGCCTCTCGCCGTCCTTGTTGCCCGCTTTCGCCACCAGCCCCGTTGCCTCCTCCGCCGCCGTCGGCCACCATTCCCGTCTGCCGCTGTCGCCGCCTCCAGCTCTGCCTCCACCCTTCGCCTATTCTGCATTTGCGGCCACCGCCCCTACTCTCTTCCGCCGCCACGCGATTCACTCTGTCCTCTCTCTCCGCGCGATTCACTTTGTCGGCCCAGACCCTCCCGGTCCGATTGGCCCATTTTCATCGGGCCCAGTTTGCTCGGTCGCCAGAACCACTCGGTTCGCCGGTCCGAACCGACCCAGACCAACCAGTCCACACCAGGTTGTCCTACCGGTTCAAACCGTGTCCAACTGTCTAGTCCGCGCCGGTCCCTCCCATTGGGTCCAAACCAACCCCGTGAGTCTTGGTACATGCCAGGTCAACCCGTCACTGGTTCACCGAATAGTCAATGGTCAACATTCAAAGGTTAACATATGGTCAACGGTCAACGGAACTAAAGCCTTTAGTATATCCTCTCCACTTTCTCCATTTCATTTTTTCATTAACTATATTTTCTTGCTATGAACAAGTGAGACATCATAGAATAGCTACTTTTGTTTTTCTTGCTATCACCTACAAATGGGTTTTCACACTTAAATATAACTCAGATGGATCTATTGCACGTCACAAGACTCGCTTGACTACTCGTAGATTCACAAAGGCTATGGTATTGACTACATTGAGATAATTTTTTTAGTGGTTCGACTCAACTCTATTCGAGTGATACTCTCTCTAGTAGTGAATCAGACATGATTTTTACATCAGTTAGATATTTCTAATATATTTTTATATGGTGACCTTGAGTAATATGTGTTTATGGACTTAAGAAAAGTCTACGTGTCTGATTGGTTAAGTTTAGTGGTCTTCTAGTGCAATTCAGATTCTCACCATGTCTTATGGGTCTCATAGTGCTTACAAAGACTACTGAAGCCGGCATTATCATTCTAGTTGTTTATATGGATGACATTCTTGTGACAAAAAGTGATGAAGCAAACATTCAATCTATCAAATCATACCTATACTAACACTTTAGTATACGAGATCTAGAGATTTTACAATACTTCATTGAGATTAAATTCACCTATCATGATAACAACCTCACTTTCTTTCAACGAAAGTATACTCTTGATATGCTTTGAATTTGAGTCTTGCTAAAGGCATTGATGTTTTTATTTTTTCACATATCTTTTCGCTCAACTTTTCAATGTGTCATCATTCAAGTTCCAATTTTAAATCCTACTAGTGACTTTGCTTCTTGGTTATTTTCAGATATTTTACTTGTTGATGTGTCTAACTTTCCATCACTCGAGTCTTAAGTTTAAATCATGCACTCAACTTAATATTCTTTGATTTTTATGTTTTTTTTATCATTGAGGCTTTAAACTTTATGTCCTTGAGATTCTGAGTTTGAATCATGCTAGTGTTCTTGTTACTTTGTGATTTTTAAGTATTTTACTCATTGAAGCTTTATGCTTTCTGTCATTCAAGTTCTAAGTTCGAATCTTGTTGATGACTTTGATATTCTGATATTTTCAGATACTTCATCACATGTGTTGTCAATTCAATTTATGTACTTATATACGAACTCTATGTCACTATATTAAATTAATTATACTAATATCTCAAGGAAATAACTCCAACTTATTTGTTAGTTATAAGATTACTCGAGTATTATCAATATACACCTTGAACATTTTTTAGAGATATTAAAATTTTAACATAAGTTTGAGATAAATGCCAAGAAACACTTTTAACATACTAAACTTTTCATCAAGAACACTTTTAGTAGATTTTCTTTGTCCTATAGTCAAATCATATCTACATTAATGCCAAGAAGTGTAGGTTTGGGCTGACCTCAATAGACTATCTAGGTCATATTATTTTATCCCAAGATATTGCAATTGATCTGACCAAGATTAAAACCATCCAAAACTAGTCACAGCCAAGAACTATCGAATATTATGACTTTGATGCCGTCGCTAACGCGGCTTCGATTGCTGGCTTGCAGGTTTCTGCTTCATAGAGGAGAAAGGCGGCCCCACCAGGGACTACTGCGACAAGACGAAAACTCAGTAGCCGTGTGTTCCTGGGAAGGGATACTACGGTCGGGGGCTCTAGCTGTCGTGGAACTACAACTACGGCCCCTCCGGACAGAACATCGGCTTCGACGGACTGGGCTCGCCGGAGAGAGTGGCGAAAGACCCTCTGCTGTCCTTCAGGGCGTCGTTGTGGTTCTGGATGACTAACGTGCACTAGAGGATAATGTCTGGCCAGGGATTCAGGGAAACCATACGGACCATCAACGGCTATCAGGAGTGCAACGGCCGTAACCCGGCCACCGTGAACGCGCGAGTGGGCTACTACATCAACTACTGCAACCAGCTCGGTGTTGCACCGGGAGGCAACCTCAGGTGCTAGAGACAGGGTCCCATGAGAGTGCATTTCCATACCATGAATAAGGACCGGTCAGTGTTGGGCAGCGCTTGATGAGCCCACCGGATCAGGGAATAAATCCGCCATTCAGCTGCGGTTGATGGGATACCACCCCTTCTATCGTCCGACGTAGCGTTTATAAGCTCCAAGAGTAACGGTGTTTGGATCCTCATTGTTTAACTTTTCGTTCACTTTACTTTTAGAAAAATCGCGGTGCTTTCATCTAAGCAACTGGTGCTTTCATTAAACAAGAAAAGGTGGCCCTCATGCTTTCAGCCTCAGGATTATTATTGTGTTCTACCGAATATGACAAGATGGCTTGTCAACAGCCTGAGTTTCACACATGCACCTCGAAGCTTCCTCATAAGATGATAGATATCGAAACTCTTACGCATCAACATTTTCATTTCTGAATAATATTATGAGTTCAGATTAAACTAGTAATTGTATTGCCCTTCTCTTTGGAAAGGGCAGCGATTGATCCTGCGTTAATTGAGCTGGTAGCGGTTGACTTGATATACAGAACAGTTATTGGTTTCATGCATACGTTGGGCTGGAAAGTGGCCATCATGAGGATATGGTTTCTAGCTACATGGAACCACATTCAACCTCTGATTCTTGAGTCCAAATTTTTTATGCATTTAGCATCCTATGCATCTCCTTGATCTTGAATAATTAGATTTTTTCCATTTGAAGAATGTGATGTTAGAATTAAGGTCTCATTTTGAAATGATTTACCTCGTTTAGTAGCTTTAGAGTTTTCTCCTCATTTATACTACCATTAATTGTTTTGCTGCTATTTCATATGTCTACTATAGTAAATAATATTAAGATGTCACCACTCTAGTATAAGAATGCTAGAGAAATTGTTTTTCCTGCGAATTATTTCTCATATTCACCATTTATTTCAACTCAAAAAATAATTCAAGGATTCCCTTATAGTATAAAGAGATGAACAAAAACTAGAACACAAGTGTCATTATTGGTGCTTATAGTTTAAATTTTGTAAAGATAAATCTGCTTTTATTTGATCTCAATTCATTTGCTTCAATGCTTATACTAGAGTTTGAAAAAAAACTGTCTATCATACCCCAAGTAACAAAACCAAAAATATGAGCCAATTTTATTTTTATATTTATTTTATTATTTCAAAAAATATGAAAATTGTAAACTTGTAGATGGACATCTGCAAAAGAGTGGTGACATCAAGCTATTTTATGCACCAAAATGGACTAGACTAGAGTTGGGTGTGACGAATTTTCCCAGGGTGTTATGTTGTCTCAAATTTTATTAGGTGGCCCATTAATCAAGATCACTACTAATTTCCACCCTCTCTCTTTCTCTCTCTCTCTCTCTCTCTCTCTCTCTTTGTATATATATATATATATATATATATATATATATATATATATGGGAGGGATGTAGATTTTGGAAAACTACGAGAAATATGAAGATCTTAAATCAGTTAGGTTTCTGAATTTATACCTAATTTATAGTTTTCTACTTATTCATCACTAACTAACTAAGTCTGTACACTATATTTAGTAAATGTGATAAAATAGGAACCGTGCTCTTAGTTTTCATGAATATATTTAACATTAAAGCTTTCACTAGCCTGCACAATATCTGGAGCCCTAATTAGCTCACATGTTCTCAAAACGTTTTTCTAAAGTCACAAGTTAATTTGTGCACACACAAAACTAAAGCACAAATAATAGAAAATAAGATAAAATAGTTCACACATACTTAGCTCGTTACTTTTTTCAGTTCATAGATGTCTGGAGAGATGGAACCTTATCTTACAGTAGCAGCTTTCAATTCTTTGATATGAAACTGATGTTTTTAAGGTATATGGTTTCCTCTTCAATGTTGGTATTGTTAATCTCTCTATAAGGCAACATATAACTCCTCTTTAGAAATTGATCTTGAAATATTCAAAAATTACTTCTAACAACAATTTGTTGTTGTTCAAATGGATAATACAAGCTGCTCAATGCCTAGTTGATATTCTACTGCATTATTGTCTTTTGTTGAGTTTTGAAAACCCAAGTAACTTTCCAGGTTGACAGAAGTATGAAATGACAAAAAATTCATTCATTCTATTTTGTAGAATAACACTACAAGTAAATGACAATATTTTATTGTGTCAAGTTTATGTGGCAAAAAGTGCAATGCATTATAGCTAATATTTGTGTAAGAAACTTGCATTATAGATAAAATTCCTAATATATCTAGTTGACATTTTAGAATGATAAAATGCATTAAAATTACTACTTTACTATATGGGAGATTTACATTTCAAAATAATATAGTGTATTAAGCATAATACTTTAATACATAAAGTTTCAATCATAAAGCAATATAATACGTCAAATTTTAAATGTTCATACATAAATTGTTGTGTTGGAAGGTAACATAATATACTAAGATTAATATTTCAGTGAAAACAAATAATTTATTGAACATAAGTATTGAATTTAGGAGTAGTGTGTTTAACTGTGTATTAAGCATAATATTTTAATGTATGAAATTTATATTGTAGAATAACATAAGATATCACTGTTAATATATCTATACGTAAGGAGTTGCAATGTGGAACAGCAAAGCATAACAAGAACAATGCTTTAGTATATAAAAGTTTGATGTACAACTCTATCAAATTCTAAAGCAACACACAAGACAATATATCAGTCAACATATCTCAATGTTTAATGTTTATTAATTTACCCCTGTCTTAAATCCAATGTTTTATGTATTTTTTTCATAAATAACTACTAGTTATTATGTATTAATCATCTCTATGCCAACTAACTTGACTCTTGAGTCTACTCACTTCGTACAAAGAAGCAAAGACATAAAATTTTGAAAGCAACCAATCGTGATTACCTATGAAACTTTCTAAAAGATTTGTATAATCAGGTAACAATAGATGAATCGCCGCACAACTATACTGATAATTAAAATTATCATTAAATCCTCATGTGGTGTCTTGATTGCTATAAATATGCAAAATTTTCTTGCAAAGACTCACCTCTTGAACATAAGAAAGGATAAAAAATCTTTAAAATAGTCTAAAATTTATGGTCCTTTACAAAATGTTAAAGTAACATGTTTCTGATATATCTATATATACTCAGCATAAATATAGTAGTATAAAATTATGAATTTGCCCCTTGTATATAGTTTGTTAGCATTGAAATTAGGATCGTTCTACAAACCAGCAAGAGAGAGAGAGAGAGAGATGAGAATACAACTGACCCACGGTGCATACATGTCAAGGAAAAACAAGCTTAGGATCCCATGGATAGGCCACAATTGACAATGTCAAAAACTTAGACCACTTGTCCACATATCCACCCATAATCCATAGGCACATGGGAAGAGTCATCGACTTTATCACTTCTAGAAAAATGGTCTAGTTGACTGCGTCTCATTGATCCTAGCTGACCAGTGGTGGCAGCACCTCAGATCCTATATTGACTGTTTGGTTCGAAAAATAGTGCCCCTGAAGTTTCTTTGAGGAAGAGCTACCTCTAGTTCCCAAAAGTCAACAATTGGCAAGGACTTTTATGCAAATCAATTCAAGATGCGCGATTACTTACCCTCATTGTGCTTGTTGTTCTAGGCTTTGATCAGAAGCCGAAAAGCCGGCCTTGATGCAGTGGCCATCTAGATTACCCTCTCTCCTCTATAGTCTTATGGCGCCCCTGCCTCACGTGGCAACACCCTCTTCTACCCTTTGAAACCTCGATAGGGCATGTGGTAGAGTGGGCAGAGTGATTAGTCAACAAGGGCCGAGTCTGGTCAACATGTACCATAAATGGGCTTGTAAACTTTATTTTTAATGGATCATATCAGCAGTCTTCATTACGAGTCTCATGTGCGATGTCGCAATGGGGGTTGTGAGTCCGTTTTCAATGTAAGCAGATTAAGACATCGAAGATCTTGATGCATGAAAGGAAAATATAATAATTTATTTTTTTAATTATTGACGTATGATGAATATTAAGATGATAATATATATATAGATATTAAACATAATAAAAACAAGAATTACGTCCAACTTTCTGTTATGTCGGACTCTTTTCTCCTATATAAATAAAGAATAAGTATATATTTCATTCCATCAAGGATGTTCTGACCCAGAGAGTCGTCCCTGCGGCTGCCAAATTCCCACGTAACTCAACAATAAGTCTAACCAGGGAGTCTTCAATTGTGACTTTTTATCGGTCAACCATATTCAAGTTGGACGGTAGCGGATAATCTGTCGAAAGGAAAGTCAGAAGGTTGGACCCGTTCTCCGGGCAAAACTGGTCAACTCGAAGCCTTCCTCCCCCGCCGACCTCCCCCTTCATGTGGCCTATTTAAACAGCGACCAGAGCATCCCCGAGTCTGCAGCAGGCACCATTCTATTCTCAGTCTCCCCTTCCATGGCGCCCCACGGCCTGCGTCTGCTCATCCTCGCCCTGCTCGCGGCGGCGTTCGCCGGGCTCTTCCTGGACTCCGCCGCTGCGCAGAACTGCGGGTGCTCCTCGGACCTCTGCTGCAGCCGCTGGGGCTACTGCGGCACCGGCTCCGACTACTGCGGCACCGGCTGCCAGGAGGGGCCCTGCGAGGCCCCGCCTCCGACCAACGCCGTCGTCGTGTCGGACATCGTCACGGAGGCCTTCTTCAACGGCATCATCGGTAAGGCCGCCGCCGACTGCGCCGGGAAGAGCTTCTACTCCCGTTCCGCCTTCCTCCAGGCCCTCGGTTCCTACCCTCGTTTCGGCACGGTGGGCACGGAAGATGACTCCAAGCGCGAGATCGCCGCCTTCTTCGCCCACGTTACCCACGAGACCGGCAGTGAGTGCTCCTCCTGTTGCTCCACAAAAGATCGTTCTTCTATCTGCCGCCGCCGTTGCTGACGCCGCTTCGATTGCTGGGTTTTGCAGGTTTCTGCTACATAGAGGAGATCAACGGGCCCAGCAAGGATTACTGCGACGAGAATAACACTCAGTACCCGTGTGTCCCCGGGAAGGGATATTACGGCCGGGGACCGATCCAGCTCTCGTGGAACTTCAACTACGGCCCCGCCGGAGAGAGCATCGGCTTCGACGGACTGGGCTCGCCGGAGACAGTGGCGGAGGACCCCCTGGTGGCGTTCAAGACGGCGCTGTGGTTCTGGATGAACAACGTGCACTCGCGGATAGTCTCCGGCGAGGGGTTCGGGGCGACCATCCGGGCCATCAACGGGGCGCTAGAGTGCGACGGCGGCAACCCGGCCACCGTGACCGCTCGGGTGGAGTACTACACCGACTACTGCAACCAGCTTGGCGTTGCACCGGGAGACAACCTAAGGTGTTAGAAAGATGGTAACTTTTTTATTCTCTCTCTCTCTCTCTCTCTCTCTCAGGCTTGGAAGTTGCAGTCTATTGCAGCCGTTTAGGCAGGTGGTGAACATGTTCTGTCTTTTTTTTTCCTTAGGGAATTTGTGCGTCTCTACCGTGTGGGCTGCATTTATTTATATTTTAATAAAGGTTTTATCATTGAATCGCATTTTTATCATTATTATTGTTAACAAAATGAGCAGTTTCTTGGTTAAATGAGATGCTGCCCCTAAAAAGTTTTGAGAGGCTGATATTTGACCCTTGGATTTGAGTCATTGTACGAAATAAACGCATAGTAATAGATTTCTCCCTCTAAGAAACCAAGGGAGAGCGTATAATAGTTGCCGACAGCATAATAATCAAAAGACTCCACAAATCCAGTTGTGTTCTATATTGGTACTACGAGCATGAGAAAGAATATAATAAGCAGACCAAACGCAAACAATGATCCAAGCCATAGTTCACACATACTTAGCTTGTGGCTAGTTTGAGTGCACAGATGTTAGGAGAGATGAAATATTATCTTGTAGCCGCAGCTTTCAATGCATTAACATGATATGATGTTTTTAGTATACGTAATCTCCTCTTTAATGTTGGTAGGGTTAATCTCTCTATAGGAAAAAATTAACTCATCTTTAAAATTCGTGCTTGAAATACTCAAAAAAGTATGGTCTAATAATAAATTGTGGCCATTCTAATGGGTATTGAGAAGCTGCCAAAAGCCTAGTTGATAATATACTGAATTATTGCCTTTTTTTAACTTTGGAGACCTAAGTAACTTTTAAAGTTGACAAAAGTATGAAACTGCAAAAAAAGTCATTCATTTTATTTTTTTGCATATCACTTTACATAAATGAAAATATTTTATTAATATCAAGTTTGCGTCACAAAATAGTGCAATACATTAGAGCTAAAATTTTTGTGTAAGAAGCTTGCATTATAAAATAACATATCAATAACAAAGATAAAATTCCTAATATATCAAGTTGAGATTTTATAATAATAAAATGCATCAAAATTAATATTTTACCATATGAGAGATTCACATTGAATAATAATGAATTTTATTAAACATAATACTTTAATATATAAAGTTTCAATCATAGAGCGACATAATACATCAAGTTTTAAATTCATATATAATTTTTTTGTTAGAGAACAACATAGTATATCAAGATTAATATCTTAGTGAAAATAAATAAGCCATCAATTTTGGCAATAATGTGTTTAACTTGGTGTATCAAACATAGTATTTTAATGCATGAAGTTTATGATGTAGAATAAGATAAGATATCAATGTTAATATATTTACAAAAGGAGTTGCATTGTGGAACAACAAGGACTAACAAGAATAATATTTCAGTATATAAAAATTAGATGTAGAACTCTATCAAATTCTAAAGCAATACACAAGACAATATATGAATCAATATACGTATTTTTCATGACCTCATCAAATCCAGTATTTTTTGTATTTTTCATAAATAAGTCATGGTTCTTATGTCTTAATCATCTTTATACCAAGTGAGTTGACTCTTGACTCTACTCACTTCGCACAAACAAGTAATGACAAATTTTGAAAGCAACAAATCATGATTACTTAGTAAAATATTTGTATAATCTAGCAACAATATGATACTTGCCACACAATTATACTGATAAGTGTAATTATCGTTACAAAGATCCACCTTTTGAACAAAAGAATAGATAAATAAGACTTAAAAATGGTCTAAAAATCTTCTTGTTCTTTACTAAGTGTTAGAATTAGATATTTTCAATATATTTATATTTAACCGGCCTAAACACAGTAATATAAAACTATTAATTTATCCCTGTATATAATTTTTAAATATTAAAACTAGAACTGTTTCATAAACAGCAAGAGAGAGAAAGAGAGAGAGAGAGCTGAGCATACAATTGGCAAGCAATGTTTACGTGTCAAGGAAAATATTCTTACGATCCCTTGCATTGGCAACAATTGACAAGTTCAAAAACTTAGACCACTTGTCCACATATCCACCCATACACTCCATGTCCACGAGGACAGAGAGTCATCGATTTAACATCTAGAAACATCATCTAATTGACTGCTTCTTCATTGACCCTAATTGAAGAGTGGCGGCGGCAATTCAGATTCTCTATCGACTGTCTGGTTCGAAAAGTAGTGCCGTGAAAGTCTCCTTGAGGAAGAGCCGCCTCTAGTTCCCAAAAGTCAAAGATCGGCAAGCACTAGCCTTATGGCGTCCATACCTCACCCAACAGCACCCTCTTCTTCCTTGCACAAGAGGTAAGTCTTCTCGAAACGCCGTGGTGGAGTGGGCGTGGTCATGGCTCAACAGGGGTAGAGCTATGAGTCTAGATCTGATCCGTGGAGCCCTTGCCAATGCGCAATTCTTCAATATCATAAATGACTGGTCAACAAGGGCCGAGTCTGATCAATACGAGCCATAAATAAGGCGTGTAGCCATTATTGTTGATGGGCCATATCAGCACTCTTTCATTATCTGGTCTCTTGTGCTATGTTGCATGATACGTAAGTAGATCGAGAGACGTAAGACCTTGACGTGTGAAATGATAATATAATATTTTATTATTAAAATCATTGTCGTATTTATGAATTTTAACATAATAATATTTTATGTTAAAAACAAAATAAAAGCAAGAATTACGTCCAACTTGGTGTTATGTTCCACAGTTTTCTCAAATTAAAACTAAGAATAAATATTTACTTCTCAAATTAAAATCAAAAGTCTAACAGGGAGCCTTCAACTGCGACTTTGTCATCACTCAACCATATTCCAGTGAGACGGCAGCGGATAATCCGCCGGAAAGCAAAGTCAGAAGGTTGACCAGTCCTCCGGACAAACCCAGAGCCTTCCACCTCACCCCCCCAATCATCTTGCCTGCATAACCAGCAACCAGAGCATCGTTCTATTGGGACAGTCATCACTCGACCACATTCTATTGGGACAGCAGTGGATAATCTGCAAGAAAGAAAAGTCAGAGTATTGACCCGTTCTCAGGGCAAAACAGGTCAACTCAGGGCCTCGCCCTCCTCCTATCATCTGGCCTGCCTACATAAACAGCAACCAGAGCATCCTTCTATTCTCAGTCTCCTCTTCCTCATGGCACCCCACGGCCTGCGTCTGGTCAGCCTCGCCCTGCTCGTGGCGGCCCTTGCCGTGTTCTTCCTGGACTCCACCGCCGCGCAGAACTGCGAGTGCTCCTCGGACCTCTGCTGCAGCCGCTGGGGCTACTGCGGCACCGGCTCCGAGTATTGCGGCACCGGCTGCCAGGAGGGGCCCTGCGATGCCACGCCGCCGACCAACCCCGTTGTCGTATCGGACATCGTCACGGAGGCCTTCTTCAACGGCATCACCAACGAGGTCGCCCCCGATTGCCCCGGGAAGAACTTCTACTCCCGCTCCGTCTTCCTCCAAGCTCTCGGCTCCTTCCCGGGTTTCGGCACGGAGGGCACGGAGGACGACTCCAAGCGCGAGATCGCCGCCTTCTTTGCCCACGTTACCCACGAGACCGGTAGTGAGCTCTCCTCCTGCTACTCCACAAAAGAGTCTTCTTCAGTCTGAGGGCAGCTTTGATTGCTGGGTTTTGTAGGTTTCTGCTACATTGAGGAGATAAACGGCCCCAGCAAGGATTACTGCGACGAGGAGAACACTCAGTACCTGTGTGTCCCCGGGAAGGGATATTACGGCCGGGGACCGCTCCAGCTCTCGTGGAACTTCAACTACGGCCCCGCCGGAGAGAGCATCGGCTTCGACGGACTGGGCTCGCCGGAGACAGTGGCGGAGGACCCCCTGGTGGCGTTCAAGACGTCGCTGTGGTTCTGGATGAACAACGTGCACTCGCGGATAGTCTCCGGCGAGGGGTTCGGGGCGACCATCCGGGCCATCAACGGGGCGCTAGAGTGCGACGGCGGCAACCCGGCCACCGTGACCGCTCGGGTGGAGTACTACACCGACTACTGCAACCAGCTTGGCGTTGCACCGGGAGACAACCTAAGGTGTTAGAGACAGGCCCCAGTAAGGTGTTAGAGACAACCTAACACGATAAGGGCCGATCTGTGTGGGTTTGATGGTCTCGTCGTTGACTTTGCTTCAAATCAATAGCATGCGCTTTCATTAAATAAGAAAAGCTGGGTCTGATGCTTTCACTCTCAGGATTATCATTATGTTCTACCAAATGTGAGGAGGCGGCTCGTCAACGCCCTGAGTTTCACACGTCCACCTCCAAGTTTCCTTAAAAGATAATATATATCGCAACTCTCACACGTCAAACATTCCATTTGTGAATAATAAATTTATGATGAGTTCAAATCAAACTAGTAATTGTATTAAACAAATAGTCTGTGACTACATGTTTTGCCATTCTTTGCGGAAAGGACAGCGATTGATCCTGCATTAATCGAGCTGGACAACTGGAGCTGGTAGCAGTTGACTTGGTATGCAGAACAGTTCTTGGTGTCATGCATACATTGAGTTGGCATGTGGCCATCGTGAGGATGTAGGTGCTAACTACATTGAACTACATTAGACTGCTAGTTCTTGAATCCAAAATCTTGGTGCATTTAGCATCCCATTCATCTCCTTGATCTTGAATAAGTCCATTTTTCCCATTTGCAGAATTTGATGTCAAAATTAAGGTCTGATCCTGAAATATTTTGTCTCGCTTTTTACATTTTTAGGGTTTTTTTCCACCGTTTAAACGACCATTATTATTTTGCTGCTGCTGCTGCTCTCTCTCTCTCTCTCTCTCTCTCTCTCTCTCGCTATATCTACCTATCTATTATCTTTCTCTCTCTCTCTCTCTCTCTCTCTCTCTAGAGCTTGGAAGTTAGTCTATTGAAGCTACATGGGCCAGTGGTGGGCATGTTCGGTCTTAAGTTTTTCTTTTTCTCCAGGGAATATGTGCATCTCTACTGTATGAGCTTCACCCTTTTTTTATATTTTAATAAAGGTTTCATCATTGAATCGCATTCTTATCTTCATTCTTCACAAAATGAGCTGCTTCCTGGGTTAGATGAGACGCTGCCCCTCAGAATTTTTGCGAGGAGATATATAACCCCCGTGTCTGAGTCATTCTACGAAAAAAACGCATAGAGAGAGAGAGAGAGAGAGAGAGAGAGAGAGAGAGAGATTTTCTCTCTCTAAGAAAAAACAAGGGAGTGCGTATTATAGTAGCCCACAGCATAGTAATCAGGAGACTCCTCAAATCCGATTATGTACGGTATTGATACTACGAGCATGGGAAAGAGTATAACAACTGGGTCAAGGCAAAGAATGATCCAAGGCATTACTTTAAAAGGAAAAAGGCAAAATTTATACGCCAAGCCCAGGCCATCAATGTTCTTTCACTATGCTCATCTCAGATATATATATTCAAGCAATGAGCTTCTCAAGGCGGCAAGACTACAAAAATGGAAAGTTTTTAAGAAATCAAAGGAAATTCGCTCACAAACATGTTTGCTACCAATCAAGACTTGCCATGGCTGGGCTTCTTCGAATCCACTGGTTTCTTCTCTCCATCGATGGTTCTCTTCTTGTCTTTGCGCTCCCTCTTCTTCAGAGCGTCCATGTGTGCTTTAAGCAGAGTTGCATACGAGGCTTGGAAGCGCTGGTGATCCTTGGCAGAAAGCTAGGGTTTTGACAGCAGGAAGGGACACAGAGCATCACAATCGCCACAATTATGGGAGGAAAAAAAAAAAGGGGGGGGAGAGGGGTGGGGGAAGCTCTATAAATATTTTCAGGTTAAAAAGAGTAATTAACAAAGAATAATACATGATTAATATTGGATGAACATATCGTGGTATCTATCTTAGGCTGACAAATATGATAATTACCAAATCATGGGGTTCCACATGTTAATATGAGGACTAAACTATGAGAATAGAAGAAAGAAGCAGGTGTCATCTTCGAATAAATCCTCAAAACCTTAGATGGATAGGCGCGGCAATGTTTCATGTCGAGCATCACAAGAATTTGTGAAAACTCAGGAGCTAAATTAAAAAAAAAACATGGCCCTTGAAAGAATTTTTTATCATTCGTGTCACCCACTGCTGGAAATTCTAGGTCGTAAGAAAATTATGTAAGAACTGAGGGTGTTTTGCACAATTGAGTAAGGTTCCTCCCTATATAATGCGGGTTAGAGTTGAATGAATCTCGAGGCTAGGTTTTATTTCTCCATTTCAACAATCTAAAAGTTAAAACAAGCTATGTTTCCATTAGTAATCTTAACTATGAAACTCGGAGGAAATTAAATTATTTAAATAAAATAGAAGCTTGTTGAAAAATTAAACATTCATCCGTTCCAAAACTTTTAAGGCTCAACAGCTACCGGAATATACCAACCAAGCAGAATATACCGCTACACACGTCAGTTCCTTGAGGACAGTAACGACCAGAAAACCACCAGAGAAAGATGACTAGGAGTGAAACACAACAGTGCAAAAGCAAGAAAATTTATGTTCATGTTGAATCATATAAAATCGTCAATCAAACTTTATTTGAATCAAATAAAGCATCAAGTCGCCACCCGTTTGGAAGGCAAGGTTAATCGCCAACTCAGGGATTCACAAGATCAACTTCGGCATTTCTAGTCAACTGTCTGACCCAGACCCCACATTATAATGGTAGTGTCACCAGACAATCTGTTTATCTGGCGCATACAGTAAATATTGAACTTCCTCGTCCATCACTTCACTTCATTGACAAGCTTCAACTGTAAAAATGAATATGGGCTCCCTCCAAGTCTCAAACCCACATAGGTAGTTGGGGGCTCACTTCACTTCATTGACGACCTTCAACTGTAAAAATCAATCACATCCTTCTTCAGTACATATGGCAGAATATGGGGCTCCCTCCAAGACTCAAATCCACATGGGTAGTTGGGGGCTCAGACTGTGCAAAAAGGGATCCAATGATTCGAAGAGCATTCGTGACGGAGATAGGTTCAAGAGTGTGTATGACGTCAAGTACGATGGCACAGTGATCCAGCCAGAAGAGGATAGTATATCCTTTTCTGCATTCATGTGGGATCTGCAGGGACGAACTCAGAGACATGTGCATTTACCATGATCAATCAATACATATTCATTAACCGTTCATCCTCTTTGAAAGGTTCAAAACAATCACGTTTGTTCTGCAAAAAAATGTAAAAAGGACTCGATATCTACAATATTTTAAACCACTCCTTCACAGGAAACTTCGTTCACATCATCAGTCCTCTCCCCCCTAAAATTAACGCTGAGTTTCAGTCTGTCCACCTCCTCTATGAATAATCTTCTGGCAGTATTGATAATTCACGAGGGAAATCTGAGTTCTGAGAATATTAACATCATCCACTAGTAGAAAATTACAAAAAGTACTATCCAATCTATTGATTAGCGAAATGTCAGCACCTACAAAACTTCTCGCGTTTACAGTTTACACTTTCCATGAAACTTTCTGGCACGTGTAATGAAATAGCTCAAAACTGTTTGTCATAGATGAAAACGAGTTCTGAAGTCATTTTTCCATAAGCCCAAGACTTTCCTAGTAAGCAGCTCAGAAATCGTAAATATGGATATCCTTTATAAAGAATATTCCAAATGCCTCTTTCATACAAAGCTCCAAGATCGCATAGGTAGTCAATCTACAAAACTGAACAGCATATAATTTCCTTGGACTAAACTAGCCATCAAGTTAATATCCTTGCATTAGGTTGTAAAAAGTTAAATTAATGGTTTCGGTTTTCATGAAATCTGGCTGTCAAGTTGGGGTTATGTAGGGTGCAAATAGTTCGAGGCTTAATGGATAATTGTTATAGGTGATAAAAAATCCAGAATTTTCCAAGAGCAGTTGATATTGGACTTCTATTTGTTCGCAAATAATAAACTTTACCTATCACAAACTGTTGGATTGAATTGCAAATAAGTGGTGAAATGTAATGGTAGCAGTTCAACGGAGAGTTTTTATTATTATTATTGGAAATTATATACACCCACAGTGGAAGATTTAGAAAAATACCATAATCCTTAGGAAGCTTACCGAGGTAGAGATGTTCCTTTTACCATCAGTTGCACGAACAAGACAACGGTACTCGATAGCTTCACCTGCAGCCTTCATTTTGTTCATTTTTACCTTGGATGCTAGAGGTGCTGAAACGTACATCCTCAAATGAGATTAAACTGCGCTGTTTAATGCATTATCTTTCTTTTGATCTGTGATGCCACACCATCTTTCTCACTTTATTCAAGAAAATCGTATACGAAAAAAATGAAGATAAAAGATGATTACAGCGCTTAAGCGTGACCCACACAGATCCTTTCTCTTTATTGCGTTCATACATGCTTGTAAGCTCGTTAAGGAACGGGTCCGGTTGGAGAAGAACCTTTGCACAGGCACAAAACGGATAAAATTAGATCCATGTTAACCTAAATCACAGTAAGAACCACATGAAACGTAGATTACTAGAGTATTTTAACCAATAACAATAAAAAAGGGTAGAGAACACAATTGATGGATAAATCATAGGTGCATAACTCCGCGGCCTGGCAAGAGGACAGGCACATTTTTAGGGACAGGGCAGTTCAAAGTTAAAAACACAACGAGAAAAAACATTCATAAGTTAAAATAAATCCTCGACGAATAAATCATGTGAATCGACGAGGAACAGCAGAAAGCAACCTGACCCTGTCAAATAAATAGAGTTGAGAAAAAAGAACAAAAACCTTTCCTAGTGACGATCAGAAAAAGCGCGCAGAGGGAAATTCTTGAAAAAGAGCGTGAGCATCGGCCACGACCAATTGCTGAAACAAAAGGTCCGCATATCGCAGTCAGCCGGAAGGAGAATTTACAGTAGGCCATGGGTTGGCACGACCAATTGTTGATGAAAAAACGGCCTCCGAACTGGAAAAACGAAGGCGATATGTCCCCTGGAGGATCAACGCGGAGAAAAATTGCAACGAACAGATCATACCATTGTCACAGGGCTTCTCCCGGCGACGAGCAGACCAACCTAGGGGACTCCCAGGAGACGGTGCGCCCTTCTTCCGACGTTTAAGGAGCAGAAAAACTGACGTTACGTATTTACCCTTGTAAAACTATACCCCCCCCCCTCCCCGCGAATTTTGTAAATGGGCCGAACCAAGCAAGATAGCTATTTAGGCCCAATATAGCCTTAAACCTAGTATGGCCCATTGTGAAAGCCCAAAAGGCTCAAATTCCACCAACGGGCTCTAGTTTCTCGATCATCCTCGTACGGTCCCGATGGATCTATTGTCTACCAATCATACGGACCGTCGGATCTCGTGTTATTCATCTCCACTGTCGGTGTCTACACTGCGTATATCCGCAACCCCTCCCTCTTTCAGCGGGTGGTGATCGCATTCATCCTAATAAATACAATAAATAATACACATTAAATATGGTTAGAGGCTGCATTCATAAGGACAGACTGGACAGCTTGATCAGATCAGATCATGATCGAACGCCCGGCGTCTCTCCAGACGTCACGAGGACAACCATGGGGGAAATTCAAAAGGTTGACTTGACCACGCGCGGGAGGAAATATATGGAATAAATATAATAATCGATAATAAAAATAATAAATAGTACATTCGTTAGCCAAGCCCCTAACCTGCGCATTGTCCTTCTCTCTCCCACGATCTCACGACGTGATATTTCGTGCGTCAAAGGGCTCTTCCGATTACTGGATAAGTCAACACTCTACGGTTGCGAAATTTGTGGATACGCCACGTGGAGGTTGCTCCATCGGAACCAGTCCACGTCCGAGTCACCCTCATCGTGGCCGGTCAACCCCTCTACCCGCCATCACGGGCTGCCCCGCTACGTACGTAATTCGTACCGTTCGCGTTGGTTCTCTCTGGGTCGTGCCTCGCTGGACGGCGACATGTCCTCCGGCCATTCCCTCGTACCCGGCCGTGCCCATCGACAAGTATTCGAGCCTGATGTTCGTTTCTTGAACGTCGTGTGTATAGGTCGTCCTTGTCTGGTTGACTCTTCGCCCGGTACGTGAAGCACCCAACGATCTACCAGCAACTTTCGTAATGTAGGATGCCGAAAATGCCCTTTTCCAAGGTACGAACCATAATTTGTCAAAACTGCCCCTCTCGCTGATGCACGATGCCATGCAAAGTGAGTCAACCGAGATCTTAGGGGAGACCAGATTATCCAGGTCAACAGGCGGGATCCTCGAGATTCGAATTCAATCCAATGGACAAGATCGGGCCGATCATATGATAATCGCGGCCGGCAGTGGGATGAACGTCAAAGGGTAAATTTGTCATTTATTCGTTCGAGAAAGCCTCCTATTTCCCCGAGGATTGGCCTTGCTTCTGCTGTGGCGCTCTCTCTCTCTCTCTCTCTCTATTTCGTTATCGGATGTCTCCTCGTTGTCAACCTTTCCGTGCAATCAGGTTAGATATTACATATTACGTAAACACCCATACCTTATAGGAAAATGGCAAATGAAGCCTGATATCTCTAGAGAGACAGTTATAGATAGGGGCCTGCTGTTCTCCTAAACGCACCGGGGCCCACCAACGACCAAGCTATCGTCCACGTGCGTGCGATCCGATTCCCGCGCTCGAATTCGTGTCCATCAATTTGCACGGGAAACGTGCATTTCCCTGAGATGGTCCTATTGATAAATTCGGAGGAAGGGGCTTTTGTCGTTATCGGGACCCTCTACCCAGAACGTGGGGGGGGGGGGGTGGGGTGGTGCCCATGTCCCCCGCGCGTATCGATTCGTAAGAGCGAAAGGGTGAATGTTTTGGCCGTGGATCCGTGTGGGGCCCATGCACGGCACGTCCTTTACATTGGTGGATAGGGACGGCGGGGCCTCTCGCCCGCACCGCCACGTACGTAAAAGGGTATTTTAGGCATAACAAAGAGATGGGGCTAATATAGTAGTTTAGTTCATCTTCTTCCTTCTCCTCTCTCATCCTTTTTAAAAACTCCACTCGGCTTTCCATCCGCAGCGACTTCTGCGACTTCTGCGACTTTTGGTTCTTCTGAAGCGGGGATAAAGACAGGTGAGGAGGCGTCAAAGGTACGAGGAGATAGAGATGGTGGACGATTTGATCGGGTGTATGGACCGGGTAATAGCGTCGGCTTGCTTCCCGTCGGGTAATGCGTCGTTGATCGCCGGCCGCGTCGGGTGGGACGGGAGGATGGGAGTGGGTCTCGCCTTGGCGGTGCCCGTGGTGGGGAGAGACGAGGGAGGAGACGGCGAGGAGGGGTGCTCTGAAAAGTTCATCATCAGTAGTGGCAAGAAGAGGGTCGAGAAGAAGAGATCAAAGGAGCAGATGATAGAGTGCAAAATATGCCAGGAAGAAGGGGAGGAGGGTGACATGGAAGCTCCCTGCGCCTGCAGTGGTACCATCAAGGTCTCTCTCTCTCTCTCTCTCTCTCTCATCCTCTTTCAATATCTCGAAGTCGCTGCTCGCTTCTTATTTCTGTAATTATGTTCCTCTGTTTTCTTTTGCTTATTAATTGTACATGTGAGAACAGGCGGCTTCCTGACAGTGGGCCAATATTTTCTACGTCGAATTTTTCCCTTTCCGAAATTTTTTAATTAGTTTTCCGTTCCTGTGGTTTGGATGTTTGACTTACAAACAATGTGGAATTTCCCATTGTTTTCAATTTGCGTTTCTCATTTCCTCTTTTATCTTATGCGACCTTCTAGGTCTTGTGCTTATAATCTTCTTTTAGCTCTTTCTTATTTCAGTTGCCCGAGATTCTCTTTCCTTGGAAGGATTTTTCTTCTTCTTAATGCTTAGAATTTAACAATTTTGCGTTTTGTTGCATTTTCTGTATCTAACGTTGCTTCTTTTTTTTTTCCTTTTTAGTTCTCTCCTGGATATGAACCTTTTGTGGTTTTACTGGAAATGAACTGTACACCATTCCTGTTACCTCCCTATTTTAATCCATGAATTTATTCATTCCAATGTTTTCTCATGTATTCTCCCTTATTTTATTTCTGAGGTTAAATTTTTGGGGCTCAAGAAAATTTCAATTGTATTAAATTATTAGACGGGCTGTTATTAAACAACCTAATGATTTCCTTTTTTCTTTTCCTGGCATGTAGTTTGCCCACAGGAAATGCGTCGAGAGATGGTGCAATAAGAAAGGGAACATCATCTGTGAAATCTGCAATCAGGTTGGACAATAACCTGATGAGAGTTTAGATTTTCTATATTTCCTTCCCTGAACATTGATAATCCTTTATATATTCTGCGACTATTTGACCACATTTTTTAATGGAAATGTCTATTCAATGACTGGTTAAGTTTGTGTTGACCTTGATTCAATTAAAAATAGAATGATTTTATGTTCTCGTCTTTCCTGAAATCTGTCTTTTTTTTTTTACTGGGAATCCGAAAATTCATGGCATATCTAATGCAGTCGACATAAAGAGAGGATGATATTTCTTTCATGTACCATGATGAAACTCTCCCAATTTTATTTCCTCTATCTCACCAGAAATACTGCTGATTTACGGCCAATATCTGTGGGTTCATTTAGAATTTAATCACATATAGAAATATGATGGCCAGATGGTGAACCTGATTGGGACGTTGAAGTCGATTAAATGTATTCATGATCGGATGTGTTGAAAAGCTGTTGCTTTTTTCTTCTTGAACTGTGTCCATCATTATGCTGTTTTCTTCTTTATGACTTGTACTTATTTTCTCTCTTTCATCCATCTTTAACAGGCATATGCTCCGAATTATTCTGTTCCCCACAAAGATTGTATGACCATTGACATCAGGTAGTCTTCTGGAGATTCTTGGTTTTTTTCCCATGTTGATGTCTTACCGTTCATATTTTGTCAATCTAAGAGGTTTACTTCATGGAAATTTTCCCACCAATCTTATGTAATGCAAATAAGACAAATAAATTCACAATCACCAGTTGTTACATGTGTTGAGAAAGCATGATAAACATTACCTGTTGCTTTAGCTTGATGATTTAGTTTGCCAATGAGCGTAAATATCATTCGAATCACGGTTCTGTTATTATTGGGATTATGTGGGTCATAATAACTGAGCTCACTCACATTGCGGTAGAGTCATTGAACTGTTGTTTCGAAAAAAAATGGACACCGACCAGAGTTGGCTATGACTTTAGATCACATGATGTTCCCTTTTGCTAGGATCGACGGGTTGACCTTGAAAGTTTCGAATCCCTTTGCCATTCTACACGGCTCCTTGATGCCAAATAATTCAATTTACTTTTTCATTCGGAAAATTGAGAATCATGTTTCAGGTCTGATCTTGAAAGATCATTATTCTGCCCATTGTTTTTTAGAGGTATTGGATAATGGAAATCAAAACTATCATCTGATCTCGAATATCTTTCTTTCAGCCAGTATTTTTTTAGAGTTTGCTCCAATGCTGCTCCTTTATTATGTCAGTACCAAGGATGACCAAATCCCCCCTGCTACCAATTATTTTTTTTCTCTTTCATTCTTCAGCAACAATCATAGTAAATCAGGCTAACTCATTGACTGGAGATGTAGATTGGGTCTCATTATCTTACCCCCCCCCTCCCCCCCCCCCAACCTAAAAGAACATAGAAAAAGAATGAATGCAACGTATTTTTTTATGCGTAGCATTAAATTGGGGAACCCCACATCTGTTATCAACATGATGCTGTTATCAACGCTTCATCTTTTGGCCAAAGTGGACCTTAATTGTCACAGTTCATATGTCTCTAGCATCCTATCTAATTCTGTTTCGCCTTTGACCAGACAGGGTTGGGGACCACAGATTGATCTAGATGCCCCCCACTTCTTTGCAATTGCTGCTGCAGAGCAGCAGTTCCTGCATGTTGAGTATGACGATTTTTCTGTTTCAAACACCAGTGGAGTATTATGTTGCCGTTATATGGCTTTCATGGTATGCTAGAACTCTACCTCGTTTTCCATATGTATCAGCCAGATTGCGAACATGATAATGGTGAAATAATAGAAATTTCTGCAGTTGTTGTTGCTGTTGATCATCCGTCAAGCCCTCATGCTCACAGGAGAATCAGGAACGCTACGGAATTTATCAATCTTGGTCAATGTGAGCTTTATACTTTATCTTTCTTAGATTTTTTATATTGGAGCTCCTCTTTATTTTTCTTATAAGCCAACTAGTGTTTCCACCATTGCAGTGTGACCAATACAACCCATAGTTTTTATTTTTATTTTTACTAAAAATCCTTTTTTCTTCACTTGCCTTTGAAATCTTCAGACTCAAGACTATCTTTTTTCAGGTTTTTTAATCCTTTAACGTGCGGACCCAAGATTGGGACTAATCCGTGTCTGGTGGGTTTAAATGGGTTATACTTCCATGCTCCGACAATTAATTGGCCTAAGTGGGATATTTTATTTAGTGTATGGGGAGACAAATAGCATAGGTAACGAATCGCATTAAACACACAATTGGCATCCATATATATATATATATATATATATATATATATATATATAAAATATGTGCATATATTCCTTCCAAAGTTGTCTGGCATAATGCTTTTCCATGCATGAAAAATGAAAGACTAATATGTTTCTTCATGCTTCTCAGATCTCTGTCCTTCAGTTTTCCGGTTTTCTTCTACTGTTCTACCTCATTGGGCGCTCATTCTACATGTTCCAGTGTCGGCGGAGACGGCAGGTACCTTCCCCCTGAAAATTTAGAAAATGTCTATTATTATTCTTTAATTTCGGGCCTGAGGCTGAATATGGACAGAAAATCCGCTGGGGTGCGTTTAAATAGGAAAATCCGGTAATTTAATTTGAATAGATGGGAAGTCAACCATGGATTAGAACAGGAGTGGAATGGTGCATGAGATGGATGGATGAATGAATAAATGAATGATTGGCTTGCTCTTGATGATGATAGTCTATGGATGGGAGCTGAGTTGTGCCCATCTGCCGTCACCTTCTCTCCTTTCTGTCAATTCTCTCTGGTTGTAGCTTGGATTCCCATTCCTTTTTTTTTCTCCTTTTTGCCTTTTTCAGCATTGAACGAGGATGAGAGCTGCCCAGAGTCAAATGCATTGTTCTTGACGGGGCCAGGTCAACTCCTGACCCATTTTCAGCCATTTCAATTGGCTATGTATTCACCAAAAGGGGATGCCGATGTAATTATCTGATAGGCTTTGTGTGAAGGAAAAAAAATGTAGAAACTATTCTCCACAGAGAAATAAAATTTAAATGTGGAGAAATTCAAAGGTCTATTTTCCTTTTAGGGAAGCAAAGCGAATCCCATGGCCCAAATTGATGGCCTATTTCACATCCATTAAGCTGCCCACAAGAAATTACACTTTTATTTAAATAATATATATGTTTTAGAGTTTTTTTTTTTTTTTTTTTTTTAGTCTCGCAGCTCAATTTGACTTATTTTCTCTGGAGCTAGTGACAGTAGTTTGACCGCTGCCGGTACTTACCATTTCTGGTCATTGGAAGACTTGGAGCTTCCTTTTATCTGGTCCTGTTCTTCCCCAATTGAGAAAAAGCTGGCAGAAAAAAAAAGGGTTTCTTTTTTCTAGTTTAATATACCAACCTTCTAAGTTTTGCATTTATTTAGATTATAAAACATTATGCATTGTGTATATAGTTTTTTTTATATTATTATTATTTAGAAATCAGTTTCATGGCTCTATGTAAGTCAACCGATCAAATCCTCATCTAACCATCAATGAAGTAGTGTTTGTGATCTAAATACTTGATAAAACTTCACACTTTACTGTGTTAAATATTGGAGCCAGGGTGATGAATCTTATGCCGTTGACCCTCTAACGACCTTCCCTCAGTGGAGAGAGAGTAGGTGCATCTAGTCAACTTTACACATGGAGGTCAGCGGGACCTAGACTCCTCAGATTCATGCCTCTCGAGCCTCAGACCCTGTTGGGGATCATCATCCAGGTCAACTCAGTTTTTGGCCCAGTTGACCCTGCTTCAGATGAGCTGAAGTTATTGCTTTGTTAAAGTCAAACATGAGACTATTGATAAATATTGTTTTATCAGCAAACTATATTCAAACTTCTGAAGTGTTACATTTATTTTGATTATAAACATTGTCCATTGTGCTTATAGTTTTCTTATTATTATTTAGAAATCAGATTGATGGGTCCATATAAGTCAACCGATCAAATCCTGTTCTATCCATCAATGGAGTAGTCTCTGTGATCTGCATCTCCTCCTCTTGTTACATAATGAATATCCACACTTTACTGTGTATTAATTACAGTATTGTTAAATATTGGAGTCAGCGAGAGGAATCTTATGACGTTGACTCTCTAAGGCCCCTTAGTCGAGATGGAGCACATGGATGTAGTCAACTTTATCTTCAGGGGCTGATTGATTACACATGGAGGTCAGCGGGACCTGGACTCGTCAGTTTCATGCCTCTCGAGCCTCAGACCCTGCTGGGGATCATCATCCAGGTCAACTCGGTTTTTGGCCCAGTTGACCGCGGTTCAGATGTGCTGAGGTTATTGATTTCTAAAAGTCAAGCATGAAGCTATCTTTGAATTAATCTATTTAAGGCAATCTTTCATCGAGTAAGGGAACCGTAGCTTGATAATCAATCACATTTTTCGTGCCGTTACTGATTCTATGGGCTCTGTGCAGCCCATTTACTGTTCCAACCTCCTGTTGACTGTTTTTTACAAATAATAATTTTCTAAATAAATAATTAGATAAAAAGGAGCCCGGAGTGCGCGGCGGGTCTCCCGGACAGGAATCCGTCGCCATCACGCGCCGCGGCCGACTGGGGACGGCCGCCGTTTTCTAAAAAGAGGGGAAAGTGGGGCCCGTTTTAAACGCGTTGGGCCCACTGATCTGGCGGCGGCTCTGAGAGCTTCCGTCCAAGTGGACCAATCTCTGGACGAAAACCATTGGCGGGACCACGTGGACAGATGGTGGGGCCCAAGGGCAGAGTCGCCCTCGGCCCTCCGGCTGTCTGTGAGCTGTCAAGGGTGGCGTGGACAACCTCTCCAGGGGGGTCTTCAGTCCACCTCATTTATCTATTTGTACTTTTTTATTATATAAAATGTATTTTTAATTTCACGTATTATGGGTATTTGAAAGTCTAGCAGGTTCAGAATCGCAAAGCATCTCCTTCTCCCTCCATCCCTCTCTCTCTCTCTCTCTCTCTCTCTCTCTCTCTCTCTCTCTCTCAATATATATATCTCTCTCCGTCTCCGGCGGGTATGGTCCAGCTCCGGCGAGCTCTCTGGTCAGTTCCCGGCCCCATTGCTTTCCGAAGCAATCGAAGACCGACAAGCGAATGAACAGAGGTTACTATTGGGCCTAGCCGCCGGCCTACCACTCTCTCTCTCTCTCTCTCTCTACGCCATTTTTCTTCAAAGAGTCGAGGCACAAGTTTCCACGCGCTTTCTGTTCAGACTTGCAAGGTGGGTTGCAGCGGCGGGCCCTACAGAGAAGACGGGGAGGAGGGTAAGGAAACAAGGCGGCGGAGGGGCGGCGGAGATGATGCCGATGACGGAGTTTGCAGAGCAGAAGCGGGCCGGTGGGTTTCTCGCCGGTGACAAGAGACTCAAGACCAGCTGTGGCGGAAGAGGAGTCTCCGTCAAGGTGCTCTCTCTCTCTCTCTCTCTCTAGCTCTAACCAGAGGAAACAGCGATTCCTCCCTGAGGAACCCTACCGGAGGAGTGGGCTCACGGCGGCGGCGATTGCGTGGTTTCAGGAGAAGGACAGGTTCGGGAAACGGGTGGCAGCGCTCCAGCAGCTCGTGTCCCCATTCGGGAAGGTAAGTAACAAACACTTCCGACTACACTGCTGCTGCTGCCGCCCTTCTTTCGCCTTCCTCAGTAACTAACCCTCCCCACCCACCGCCATCGCAGACAGATACAGCGTCCGTCCTCCACGAAGCAACCTCCTACATCAGGTTCCTCCACGAGCAACTTCAGGTCCAGACCTCCCTCCTCTCTCTCTCTCTCTCTCTCTCTCTCTCTCTCTCATGGCGACTTCTACTCCTCTGCAGGTTCTGAGCAAGCCATATCTCCTGAGCAAAGCTCCCGCGGGCGAGGCCCAGGTGAGAGAATACGATATTAGCGAGAGAGAGAGAGGTACTGAGCAAGAAAAAAAACTAAGGCATTTTCCTTTCGTCCACCTGTGTCTGAGGGCAGCAGCAACAACAGGAGGGCCACAGCCTGAGGAGCCGCGGTCTGTGCCTGGTGCCGGTGGCGCGCACCCTCGCCATCGCCCGCAGCAACGGCGCCGACATCTGGGCCCCACCTGGCGCCGCCTAGCGCCGCCCACACCACCCGACTAAACACATTCTAATCTGATATCCGAGACGCAGAGATAGCAAGTGGATTTCAAGAGATGCAGAGTCAAAGGCTCCCAAGGCCATTATCGAATGGATACGGTCAACGATTAAGGTCGACGACGAGTAATCAGTCTGCCCGCCGACCAGCCTTGACTTTCTCTCTGAGGAACTGCCGGATGTGCTCCCGCTTCCAGTTGTCAACCCTGTATAGGAAAAGGACGAGATAATTCCATAAGCAGATGATGTATTATTATTATTATCATTATTACTAATATTGTTATTATTCAGACGAATCCTGGCAGGGGAATCGGATTATTTTTCAGACTGCCGAAGAACTTCTGTGAAATGAGCTCAGCTGCCTGTCCAGAATCTCCATGGGCAGCGGAATATATGTCAGAGAGAACTAGAGAGAGAGAGAGAGAGAGCAGGCTTCGAGCCCATATGGGGAGGAGGGCACATTTTTACCATAGACAACAAGCTATGAGCATTTATGGCATGAAAGAAAGGAGCAATTTTTAACAAAGTAATGGTGCAACAATGAGATAGAAAAGATGAATATATGATCAAAATTCGGCAGACTTCCATGAAAGGAGCTCAGCTGTCTGTCCAGAATCTCCATGGGCAGCGGAATATATGTCAGTGTTAGAGAGAGCAAGAGAGAGAGAGAGCAGGTTTCCAAGCCCATATGGGGAGGAGGGCACATTATTACCATAGACATCAAGCCGTGAGGATTTATGGCACGAAAGAAAGGAGCAATTTTTGACAAGTTTAATGGTGCAACAATGAGATAGAAAAAATGAATATATGATTAAAATTTGGCAGGAAGCTGGATTGGCTGACCTGATTGTTTCTTTGCGATTGCCATCATCGTCGAGCATCACGAGCTTCGGGGGTGATGAGTAGACATACTGGACTTTAACGTTGGGGAATTCATCTTTCTCTTCCTCGATAAAAGTCAACAGTTCAGGATAGTTGGACAGCTTCCTCATGCACACTTCTAGAACTGCACCCGAGAAAACAACCTGCCAAGATACTCACCCGGGGAAGAAACGTCTAAGAGGTCGAAATCCTGAAGAGAGCTCGAATTATATCAAATCCAGCTAGAAAAATTTCCAAAGTCAAAGTTGGTCTCAGGGGTGATGGCCTCCAACGGTATCTATTCAATCACTAATGCCACAAACCCACCGGGCATGGGAAAATTCATGCGGATAATAATGTTCCAGAGAAGGGATTCAAGTCATTATTCTTCGTTATTAGGATTCAACGAAACATTGCACCATTGGGGCCTGAATTTGGAGCAGGTTTAGCTGAAATAGTACTATTTATTTTATTACTGGGGAAGAGCATGCAAAAAAATAAATGCATGATGCACTGCTTGAATTGCTCCAGGTTGTTTGTTTGGATCTCGGATGAAGCCTGCTTTTAAATGCCATGATTTTTCAGTGACTAACAAAAACACATTGAATCGTCCAGTTCTTTAAAACCTGGATAAACCTCAATAAAACTGGTTTAAATGGTTTATTTCACTCGATAGGAAGGTATACTAGGGTTTAAATGATGCACATTCTAAGCCCAAAAAAGAAAAATGGTAGATATGCCATATGTTATCCAAAAAATCTCACAGTAGACATTATTTTACCACTTTGATTCACAAACATAGAATCACTATTAACTAAAGCTAATGTCTGGCGTCATCACTTTCTCGCACACCATCATGATATAAATCATCATGATAGACACGTTTTACTACATCTTCAACATCAATTTTGCTTCCAAGGGCCTTATGTCGGAAAGCATTTTAGCATATTTCCTGCTTGAGAGGGGTAGATTTACAACGGTCTTAATCTCACATGATCATCTAAAGGTTTGACTAGAGACCATAAACTCTCATCTGCAAACCAAACGACGCCTCTGATTAATTGCATGAGCTGTCTCAGTTTCTTCATCCTAATCCATAAAACTGAGTCAACACGGAAGAGAGATTCTTGCCCCCCAAATATTTGCAGCACAATAAAATGCAGGACACAAGAATTACTTAAGTTGTAGGCACAAAAAATAGTCAAAGTCATCTTAGTCAAGCTGGATTTTTCAGGAGTTAGTTTCAATGGATGACAGTGAACTTTGTGAAAGATTTGTTGGCCCTGTGATAATCGAAGTTCTATGGATCCAATCAATTAACCAATGCTTGGCGCTTTTACACGAGAGGAAGTTTCCAAATCTCTCAGGAGCATACCTTGCTCATGGAATCATCAGAGTCCTCTGTGCAACACTTGCGACAATCTGCTATCAGCTCTGCAAGTATAATACATCAGAACTCAGAGCCTCTCAAGTAATATCAGAGGCAAATTATTCACAAAGATCAAATCACGCGACATTTGCAACACCCAAAATCCTGAGCAGAGAGCCAAGGAATTCATATGACTTTCATCAAAAGACTAAGAGAAAGGACGGTCAAGAACGACCATGCTGACTTGGGGATCCGATCATGTACAGGAAAGTCACGTGGCAAGTACCCAAAGCTTGCTCAAGGTTCAAAATCATGCAAACTAAAGGCTTAAGAATCATCGCACAGACATGACCCAGGAACTCATAATTTCCCAAAGACCCAGGCATAGGTTTAGGCAGATCACGAAAAAAGCTGAATAATTTTGAATTAAAGATGAAGAAATGCTCCGACCATGAAAAGTGACTAAAATGTATATCAAGGAGGAAGACACTTTTGAGTTCGGTTGACTAGTTTTCTCTATCTTCATCCCGTTTTCATAGAAGGTGGCGCATTCCTTGGAAAGTGTTCATACCTCGCCAAGCCAGGCTTTCAACTATTGATCACCAACTAAATAAATCACATTGAAAAATCGTTGATGTATTAACCCCAAATATCCTCCGTCATGGGATTATCAACTCAAATCATTGTTCTCCTCCTGGCTATAAATCTCACCATACTGAGCCGTCGATACAGTTATTAGCTTATATCAATTCATCCTTCAATTAAGCAAATGTCAAAAACCAGGACTCTTTTTTATCGCCCACTCTTGTTGTAAACCTACAACAGGATAACTCAGAGAACTGCATAAGAGTTTATACTCCTAACTTGGCAAAGCTATTGAGCACACTCATTGTACATACCCAGTAGGTCACCTAGATAATTAAGAAATGCCAAAGTAACGATGATACATCGACAGGAAATACATATTTACCAAATTTGATGGTAAAAATAAAATAATAAAGGAAAGAAAATACTAAAAAGATGTAGTATGCGGAGAAGGAAAAAAAATATAAAATAAAAGTGGCAGAAATGTTTTGACCGAAAATCGTAACACCATGATCTCGCAAGGATTTAACAAATAAAAAATCAGAAAGAACCAACACCAAGGGATATTCACACCCACAAATCGAGGGCAATTACCATCCGGCCATGAAACACATTCTCACTCGCTCGGAAAAAAATCATGAGAATTTCTTCATATTTTGACACATTCGTTGAATAAAGAAAATGATGCCAAAAAAAATCCCAATCCCCTATGTTCTCGCATTATCATATCAAAGAGGAAAACGGTTTATAGTGCAGAACTTGACCTAGGATCCAAGCAAAAAATCCATATCGATTTTCGGAAATGACACCAGGCCCTCACCATCATTCTTGACGTACTCGGCGAAGGCGTTGCAGTCGGAGCATAAGGCGAGCCCAGTGAACCCTAGACTCTCGCATTCCTTCGCGCTCAGCTGCTCCGCGAAGACAGAGGGAAGGAAAACAACGAGAAAGAGGAGGACTCTCTCCATCGCGAAGGAAAAACCGGCCATCTCCCTCTCCATCTCTCTTCTTGCCCCCCTCTCCGTCCGCCTGAATCGATCCTGCGGCCGGAGGGACGGGGAAACACCGATCAAGCCCGGTACGTTAAACCGGCGGAACAACCAAAACCCTTTGCAGCAGCCGAAAACACTCACTCAGATCCGGTCTTGTGGGAACGGTTCCGGATCTTAGCAAATGGAGCTTCCCAGGTGGTAAATGTAATTGGGCAAGTAATTACGAATAATTCATTTTAAACGATGAAGCCGTTGGGTACGTTGACCATCCACGTGGATGATGGATATGGGGGGCATTTGATGGGGTCAACGCAAGACATGGGGAGATAAGCACGTGCGGTATTCATGGCTGATCCGATGAGTTCATTCATTTTTTTATATAATTTTGAGCTGAATAATTAACAAGTAATTGAGGAAGAGCAAGGTAAGCTCATGGCTTCCATCGCCTACCATTTTCAGAAGATTTTTTGGAATATAACATGAAACTATGATACATCCTTTGACTTTATTTATTTCATCTATTTAATGATCTAGCCCAAAAATTATTTACGATGGATATATATATATATATATATATATATATAATATCACCTCATGCAGATTTTCATACTTTTTTTAGAAAAATAATTAGAGAACAGTGAGATGCATGTCTCTTCATATTTTAGTATGTTTATTCATGAGTGATTGATCTAAAGGAGTAGGGTTTATGTGATTAAAGTTGTGTTGACCTGACAAAAGAAGCATAGGTTGCATCACTTCAAGTACATAGAAACCCTAAGAGATGGCACTGAGACATCTTCCAAACAAACCATGTCAAACCTCCTATAATTCAGGGCTGATTATGCCTTATTGATTTGTCAAACCAATTGGGTTGTTTCTTATTTTTTAGAATAAGAAATAGATTATCAACCATCTCTCTCTCCCTCTCTCTCTCTCTCTCTCTCCTCTTCCTCTATTTATAGGGAAAGTATGTGCGAGAAAAGGTGTATGATCATGGAGAGGTGGCAAGGACCTGGGAGACATTAGACTTAGTGAGATAATAAGAGGGCATGATTCAAACTTATTCAATTTCTCTCTCTCTCTCTCTCTCTCTCTCTCTCTCTCTTCTACTTAAAAAAGGAAGACATTCAACATCTAGCAGAGGAAAGAGATCAAAGCATCTAATAAGCATCTAATAAGGAGGAAAGTGTTTGTTCCTGAACAACGGAAGTAAGGTTCTCTTTCTATTTGTTCTTCAACCAAGGAAAATATCTCTAGCTCTTTCCACGAATGTTGGAGGATTTATCCAAATCACATAAACCATGGTGCATCTCTTCTTCATGGTTTCTTCATTTACATCCAATCTTTGCATCTCCATTATTTTATCTTCATATCCTACTTAGGTCACACATAAATAAAGACCACAACCCTAGAAACCAGCTTAGCCAGGGAAGATGCTGAGAACTCTGAGAATTAGTTGGAGGGTTCTGAAAGGAAAAAAAATCGATTGAAATAAAAGGCCAACGAGCTTGGAGAAATCGGAGAAGCAACGCTTTCGTTAGGGTTTGCATGGAGAGTAGGGAGGAGGCGGGAAGAAAAAGTCAAAGGCTGCGCACGATAGTGATGCGTGAAGTAAAGAGGAGACAGAGAAGCGCGAGCCGTGTTTAAAAAACTTGGCGGCGCGATCCGTATCATTCAGACAAGAGTCACGAGCTGTGGATAGATGAGAGAGAAACCTTGAGAAGCCCAATCCTGGCTCCTCAGTTGACTTTGAGGAGAGCCAATAGCGGGATGCAATAAGATGGCAAACCCTGGATTATTATTATTTTAATTAATGTGATTTACTGCGTATGGAAATTTCTTAACGTCCGAACTTCGAGTCGGATGAAGCCCAAGGGAGTGGAGACTGGGAAGTGAGACCTCCATGCCTGCCTGCCACGGTGGCCAAGCCATTCCTCAGCGTTGACCTCATTCCAGACCACGAAGGGCCAGGACGAGGCCCAGCCCGGCGACGGCATCCATAGCTCTCTCTCGTAATGCTCGTCTTGGTGCTCCGAGGTCGCTCACTTCATTTTTTTTGTCATCCTGGTGCAAAACTGCTTTCTTGGATGAGAAATAAACCCAACTAGTTTTCTTCAGCTTGCCTTACGCATACATATGTGTACGTACGAAGATAGATAGATGGAGAAGAGAGAGAGAGAGAGAGAGAGAGAGAGAGAGAGAGATTTAGTATTCTTATGTGAAATAGTATACTAATTTTAGTTACTAGAGAAAATAAGATGATACTTTTGAAACATAAAGGTCAAACCGCAGAAGATATCTTCCAGAGATTCCGAGTAAATGTCGTCGGTTGCACCGAGTTTAGACATAAAGAAAGCAACATAAATATAAAGTGAAATTGATTCAAGTCAACTCAAAACTTTCTTCGTCATTGCCCCCTCTCTCTCTCTCTCTCTCTCTCTCTCTCTCTCTCTTACTTTCTTCGTCATTAGCTACGTTACCAATCCGGCGGGACTGACAGAGCCCACATCTCGCTCTCCACAGAGAAGGGGAGGGGAGAAGCCGAAGCAAAAGAAGGCCGTTAAGCGAAACCTTCCCTGGCTTAGCATGGCAGCCAAGTCACATCCCTTGAGAAACCCTCTTCTTCCTCTCCTGCATCTTCCCTACAAATACCACCTCCTTGCACCCCTTCAAACTCACCCTCCTCCTCCACAGCTTATCTCACTTCCTTCTCTCTCTCTCTCTCTCTCTCAGACCAGCCCGCCATGTCTTCCAACCAGCCCCAACTCGACCTTCTTCCCTACTTCTCTCCGCCGCCCCCTCTCCCTCCCCCTCCCTCCTCCCCACCACCACCACCTTACCCGTCTCTCTCACCGCCATATTCTCCGCCATCGCCGACACATTCTCTGCCATCGCCATCGCCGCCGCATTACCCGCCATCGCCACCGCACTCCCCGCCATCGCCGCCGCATTCTCCCCCATTGCCGCCACATTCTCCGCCGCCGCCACTGTCGCCACCGGGTCACCACCACCACCACAGCACGGTGATAGTGGTGGTGTTCGTGTCGCTGGGGGGTCTCTTCCTCCTCGCCTTCATGGCCGCCGCCCTCTGCTGCTTAGCCAAGAAGAAGAAGATGAAGAAGAAAGTGGTGGTGGTGGCTGAAACGGACGTCGTCCACGTCGAGGATCATGTCAGGGTCCACGAGAATATCTTTCCCGGTCCACACGGCGAACACATCGTAGTCGTCTCCGTTGACGAGGACCTCCGGGTCAACGAGGAGATCAAGAGGGCCGAACTCTCCGTAGAGGCGTCCACACACGCTCAGGCTGCGGTAACAGAGGCTCTTCGGGGGCACGATAGGTCAACCCCCGCCCCGACCTCGAGCCACTGCGTTGACCTCCTCCATGACCAGAAGAGCCAGACCGAGCCCGACCCCGCTGACTCCCACCGCTGTGATCCTCGCTGAAAACAAAGACATCAACCCTCGTGATGCCCGCGCTGAAGAGCTGCCATGGCTCATTTAATTCACTGTGATCCATTTCGAATAAACTTCCAACTTCATGCATGCAGCCCATCTCTCTCTCTCTCTCTCTCTCTCTCTCTCTCTCTCTAGCAGCGGTTGGGCTTTTCACCAAGTGGGTCCGGCAGAAAAGCCTGCTGACATTCCTAAACGTAGTCCAACAGCCATGATCACAAGTGTTAGGTATTAAAAACGGAAATAATCACATATGATCATGGTTTTGAAGGAGCGAGGACCAACCAGGCGATTCCCATGCCTCCTCAAACAATGGCCACGGGAGTGATCCGCTTCTTGGCAGGCTTACTCGAATCCGTGCTCTTGGCCGGCACCACCGGTTCTCGCCTCACCTCAATGGGCTTCGAATCCTTCTCCCCATCAGCTGAACCAGGCGCTGCTGCTGCCCTGTCAATCTCCATAGCCACCACAACACCTGCGCGTTCTTCACCCGCTTGCTCGACATCATCTACACATGAAAACATATGGAAAGATTCATCGACATGAACGAACAATGACTTTGGATTTCTTGCCATCGTCGAGTGTGGCTGATAATCGTACCTGTGGTAGAGATGGGCGACCCCAGTTCTTCGTTCTCGAATTCTAGAAGAGTGCAGAAGCCATCTCTGGATGACGCTGCAAGATATCTGGCATCTGGTGACCTAGAAAAATCAAGAACCCTATTCAGATGGCATCATGTCTAAGATCTGATCATCATGGGAGAAATGGCAACGGAAGCACGTTTACCATGCAATGTCGGTGACGGCTGCGTAGTGAAGCCCGGCCAAGATGGCTACTGGGGTGCTGCTCTCGGTGTCGTAGACATAGAGGGAACTCAAGGTGGCCACCGCAAAGACAATTCGATATGGGAGCTTGAAGGAACCAGCTGCTTGCATTAAGAAAGTCAACCCAGTACCCGTTACGACAAGGTTGGATCATACGCCAGATGTCAACTAGAATGTATCCCCTGTACCTGTGTTAGATCCCCGCAGATGAAACATAATGGGGCAGAATCGTACTGCCACCACGGGTCCACTAGCTCCCCTCAGTTGCACCGAAGGCCTGCAAGATCATGAGTTTAAAGACTATATATACATATATATATAGATAGATAGATATATACTTCAAAGTATAGAAGCCGACTTGGATGAAATACTAGCCCTACAATTTTCTTTTCATTGTTCGTTCTTTCATACTAGGCCTGCAAGTTTTTTCCCATTTGTTTTCATCCTTTAATAGAGGATATTATTTTAATCACCCAGTTAAATGCTGAACTGAACAATAACCATAAATGGTGGAAAATAATGCTCAAAGTTTCCCAGGTGTGCATAAAAAGCAATTTAGCTATTAAGAGAAACAATGAAACCAGAATGCCATTCCATTCATGCTTCGTGCCATAGGAGGGAGATTGTTAAGGCGATGGACTTGAATCACTTATTCTAACAAGGCAGGGATGCAAGGAAAACAGTGACTAATGCAAGAAAGTTGAAAGATCCTATTCGAACAAGCCACGAAGTATACAAAGAAAAAGAAAACATCTCAACAACCTGATGCGAGTCTTTTCTATCAATTTTTTATAGGCTGGCTTTCATTATTCTTCCAGAAAGATTGGATAAGCTTCCAGTAAAAATGCAGTCAAATTATTCCCTAGTCTCTGGAAAAGCATGCAGTACACAGGTATATCAAATTAGAACAACAAGAACAATAAGAAGGAACGAAAAGATGATTGTTTACAATATATGAAATATAAGAATTAAAGCAGCTTTCCCAGAATCATCAGTTATTGCCTAGTGAAAACTATTAATGAAAAAAAATATTCTAATCATCCCACACAGAATATGATTTTTTCATTAAAATAAGCAATATGATATCTCACCTTGAAAGATCTTTCCTTGCAAATATATATGCCGTATTAACTGCTTCTGATTTAGATGACAGTTTATAAATACCTGGAAGTTAAGAACACCAGAAGGTAAAAAGTGGAAAAAAATTAATAAAAGCAAAAAGACAAGAACATACAGCATTCACCGTCACCAGCATGATAGTTAAACTGTAAACTTCTACTCTCTTACATTTTCTATTTTAAGAGTGCAGAAAAATTGATATAAGTTTCAAACTAAAAAAATAAAAAAAACTTAAAACAGTAACATAAGAATTAAATCTGGAATACAATTCGTGATGTACAGGCAAATATCTAAGAACAAATACATTAATTTTGTGACAATATATGCCTACCCAATATCCATCTCGGAAGATAAACAAATTTTACAAGGAAAAAGCTGAAGATTCAAATGCTTCTTATTACAACCTATAGTAAGTGTATATCATCACGCACAAATCATGCTTTCTGATAAGAACAGAAGTTGGTAATTGTTAGAAAATAAACATAGTCAACAGTAATCTAATTTTTTTTGCATGCTTTCTCCTCACACAAAAAAGTTCAAGTGATGCATTACCATGATATGAAATAAATAAAAAAATATTTAATAAAAAAATTATAAGTCCACATCATACCGGCCGGCACTAACAAAAATGATCCATCAGGTGACCACGCCAATCTTCGAAAGAAAGATGTCAATGTATCATCGTGAAACAGATAAGCCTTAGGTAACTGAGCCTGAGAGATAGAAATTGGAAAGAAAAAAGATCATTATCAATGGGGCAATAAGTTTCTAGAAGTAGTTGAAAATGTAGTGTGCACAAACCTTGGCGTCATCTTGCCTTTGAGGTTCAGACTTTGAAACAACATGCTGGCAGACGTAATTCAGTTTCTCATGACTTTTCACTTTCGCCTGTGGCTTGTTGACATAAATGCGGCATGTTCTATCAGAACTAAGTGAGGCAACAAACTGACCCAAAGGGTCCCATGCAACACCTTGCACATAGTGTAGATGACCATCCAAAATCTGATGCACAGAACCTGATGCATGGTTTCATGGCAAGGCTATGAAAATGCCACATAATCAATTGACATATAGTTTGAGTTCATCAGCATACCTTTATTAGCATCCCATATGATGCAGGTGTTGTCGATAGATCCAGAAATTAGAAAACCACCATCAGGGGACCACTGCAAATCCATAACATCTTTTCGATGAAATCTGATAAGATAATGCCACACAACTGGAGAATTAACGCATGAAAGTAGATTCAAATAGCTCCAGAGAGACTGTGGAGGAAATCTTACAACAGAGTTTTCAGTACTTTCCAACAAGGAATGTCGTCTGCTGAATGCAGTTTCCATATGACTAACTCACCACCTAAAATTTTAAAAACTAATTAGAGACCCCAGATGAAAAAGGTCAATTGGTTGATCAATTTAAATGCTATTGATCACTAAGGTTAACATTAACACTTTTTAAAAGTGAAGGGAGAAAAAGAACAAAGAGCTGTAGCACATTTAAATATTGAAATAACATACATACCATCGGCACCTGAAGCAAGATGTTCTCCTGCAGATTGAAAGAGATCGAGGTCACTCTCAGGTACAAACAATGAAACTAAATGTAAAAGAGAAGAAATAGGATGTCCTCTATGCCAAATCATAAGTACGGTGCAAACCATGTGAAAGAGGAAAGAGCGGAGTCTAAAAAGGAAATCCATGGTATCCTGTATCATCTGAAACCACAGTGTGTTGACCAGGACTCCTTCATTTCATATGGGTCAAGCAAATAATGGAAATATATGATTTTTCTAAGTGTTTACAAAAGAAATTCATAATTAATGTAGTAAATCTCCTCACCAGATGGAGAAAAGCGTAACACATTTACAGCAGAACTGTGGTAAGAAAGACTGTTTTTGTAAGTCGTTGTTGGCCCTTTCTTCGACTCTTTCACGACCATCACAGCCCAAAGCTGCAAGCAAGAGATTTTTTTTTTAAAAAACGTACATGAAGAAGCAAGCAAATGAACGTTACTCTTGGTATAATTAAGATGCCGAGACAAATTTCTGCGTTTTTTGCCGCTTGGGCCTTAATGTTTATTTCGTATATGCGGAAAAGAAAGGTCAAGTGCCAACAACTGCATTGCAGCTCAGAGTTTAAACCCCATGCTTTATAATCCAACTCTGATAAAGTGAACAAAAAAAAGGGTCATATCTGCTTGATGAATAACCTTGTAAGAAGGTAGGATTTGAAAAATAAAAAAAATGAGAGTAGAAACACATTTTTCCATGAAGAAAGAAGCATTCGGTTCACGTATGGGCGAAAAACCTAAACCATACAATAGTATGTAGCCGTTCATACAAGGAAACAGTCCCCGTGAGCCAAAAAAACATCAAATTATGAACAGATCAGAGAGCGGACACAAGACCTTGATGTCATGGTCGTTGCCACCGGTGGCGAGGAGCCCAGACGGAGGGTGAAAATCTAGGGTTAGGACGGGTTTGGTGTCATGCCAGTTGATCTGGAGAGTCCCTCCCTTCATCTTGATAGCACTTACCCCTCTTCCCCCGCCTGAATCCTTTCCCCTTACAGATCAAAAGATGGAAACAGAAATCTGAATGCGACTAGGGATTTCTTGGAGGAACGATGGATCGGAGTGGCAGTGCCGACACCTTGGAACTGGCGGGGTTCAAAAGGGCGGGAAAGTGTAATGAGCGGGTATTTATACATCGGCCCACTCACGGACCGGGCCGAACCGGCGAGTGCGACCCACGGTCCAAATCGTCATGGACTCGTTGAGTCTGTCCATATCGGCCGAGCCGGGCTCGTGTCATCGACTCGGCTTCACCATCTGTTTCTTCCCCACCTTCCCTCGTCCTGCACCGCCACTCAAAGTCTACTTCACCAGGGGAAGTCGGAACGAGAGAGATATTAGAGAGAGAAAGAGCGACTCTGAGAGAGATAGAGAGAGAGAGTGGATGGGAGGTTTGAACAGAGCTAGCCGGAGCGCCTTGGGCCCCCTGCAGTGTGGCAGGGTCCAGCAGATTGGGGCACTACTTTTGGTGGTACTCACCTTCTTCGTGACAAGGATTGTCGACCGGGCCTTCTCTCCGTCCGCTCCGTCTTCGACTTCCTACTCATCTCACCTCCACTCCGCCCTGGATGAGCGGCACCGGGATCCCTTCGCCGGGGGCGGGCTGGCGTGGCCCGACCGAGCCTACGGATCTCGGCTGTCCCTCAAGATCTACGTCTACGACGATCGCGAGATCGACGGGCTGCGAGAGCTGATGCGCGGTAGGGACGGCACTATCTCTCCAGATTCCTGTGTCAAGGGTCAATGGGGAACCCAGGTCAGCATGGGATCTATAGTTTGCGTTATTTTTATTGTCCTGCGGCAATTGTCATAACTTTGACTTTTGCGTGAATGTGCCTTAATACACGGAGTTCCGACTGCTTTTTTTATGCTAATTAAGCCCGTCTAGCCCGTTACCTGTTTCTCATTAGACAAGAATACTAAATGTTTATTACATTGATTTGACATTTCGAGTATGCTGTTATTTTCCAGCTGAGGTGTGTTGTCTGTTCCCTTGTGTGAAGGTTAAAATCCATCAATTTCTCCTCCAGTCGAAGTTCCGAACAATGAACAAAGAGGAAGCTGATCTTTTCTTTGTTCCCACCTATGTTAAGTGCGTCAGAATGAACGGGGGTCTGAATGATAAGGAGATTAACCAGACATTTGTCAAGGTAACTACGGATTTTAGTTGATATTCTTGTGACTATGTTTCAGAAAGTCCTTTGAAAAACTGTATCGACGGCATGAATCAGAATAAATTATGGGAAATCATTCAAGGTTTGTTTTGGATCTCTCGTGTAAAATATGTCATTGCTAATATAAAGAAACACATGAAATTGTCGTGACGTTCTAGTGTAGAGAAATCCAAATATTTTATACATGATTAAGTGAAGATTCTGATAGAAGCTTTTCTTTGAATGCTTTTCTAACGATGTGTAGTTTGAATGCAAATACTGTATCGACATTCTTTGAATACATGACGTTCTAGTGTTTATTTCTAACGTTTGAAGACTCTTGTGGATTCAAAACGATGGTTGTGCCTGTTTCTTTTAAATGATAGAGGCTTATTGGCGAGTTTGATTTTAACGCCTATCATCATGAGTAAGTATGGATCTTGAATGACTATGGGCATTTTCCATGTGTCCATGTTCAAAACATATTAAAATTCTGTGTAGTTGCCATTTAACTGAAGGCTCGTGAACAAATTCATGGCTTTGTTAAGTCTATGGACCAATTGGTTGCTGTAAAGTGGAACATAATGATTCATCTATGGATAGATAATGGCGGCTGGCCATCTGAAAGAGGACCAACAAGAAAAATAAACGTCTAGAAATCCAAAGATTCGCAGGGTGAGGTAAGACAGTTTCCTTAACAAAGTTGCAAGAGCCTGTCCAAAATGTATCACATCCCACAATAAGGCAAACAAGCAGAGACGTGACTGAGCTCTCTGTTCTATCTAGAATTGCTGTCAAGCAATATGAATGGTCCTCTTCCCAAATCCTAGAGAATATGAATGATGATTGTCAAATAACGGTGGTTGTGGCATTCTTTTCTCAAGGAGCAGCACTCTAGTTTCCTTCAGTAAAAAAAGGTCCGATGAAACTCTCCAGCATCTAATGCATACATATTTCTCGGGGTTTCAAAATATGCCACATGTCTCTACATCACAGTAGTCGATTACATCACATGTCTCTAATCAAGATAGGCACACATGCCTCCTTGCTGTATGTTCCTTTGGTCCTATGAACTTAACAGTTGTCTGTCATGGCGAAAGTTATGTTTCTAACCTTTAATTATGCCGTGAATTTTCAGGTTCTGAGTCAAATGCCATATTTTCGTTTATCAGGTGGTCGTGACCACATCTTCGTCTTTCCCAGGTACCATTTTTTCTTTTTCGTTCTAATTTATATGTGTCGAATCCATCCCTTGACTCATTTTTAATCGTGGGTTCACAAGGACTTGAATAAAAATTACCGACATGTATTCGATTAGTAGATGAGTTCATTGCTACTTTCGCGCAGTAACTTCGTAACTTCTTGGTTGCATATGCAGTGGTGCTGGTGCTCACTTATTTCGGTCTTGGCCGGTGTTTCTGAACCGCTCCATCATTCTAACTCCTGAGGTACAGAAGATATTGTCAAGCTTTAATATTGTTGCCAATGGGGAGTCTAATACTTATTGACTTCCTTGTCAAAACATTCTTCTCGCAGTGAAAAACTAAAACTTCGATTATATATAGCTTCTAAACGTAAATGGCTGAATACATTCCTCAAGAAATCTTTCATAGTTGTCTACTGTCTTCGGAATGCTATCATACCATCTTACATGCTATTCTGTTCAATGTTTCATTAAATCTGATTAACATACCATAGATAAGTGTTTCAATGTTTCATTGAAACTTAAAGGCCGCTGATTACATTAAAATCTGATTCGTTAATCCTTGGTTCATGGTACTATAATGAATGAGAAAATTAATCAGAATGACATTGCTGTCTACGGCCTTAGTCCTATTTTTAGTAGTGTTACTCTCCATTCCAAATGCACAAATTTCAGTAAGCTTGTATACTAATGCAGGGGGATCGAACAGATAAACGGGACACAAGTGCCTTTAACACGTGGAAAGATATAATCATCCCGGGCAATGTTGACGATGGAGTTACCGCATTTCATAGTTCTGCAGTTGTTCAGCCTATTCCTTTATCAAAAAGGAAATACTTGGCAAATTTTCTGGGCCGTGCCCAGGGAAAGACTGGTCGTCTCCAATTGGTGGAGCTCGCTAAGCAGTACCCTGACAAGGTTCTCAACCACTTCCTGTTTGTAATTCTTATATCTTATTTTAAATATTTATGTCGAAGTGATTAGAAATACTTTGCCAAAGTGGCATCAATTTCATTCATGCACAAACCATGAACTGCTGTTTATTTTCCTTTTTTTCTCATTTTCATAAAAAAATCAATTTATATCCGCATAGAGATTGCCCTGCTGTCCGCATCCACACTTGTATCTCATTGGGCACACGGATTTAACACATTTGATTTAATTAATTAATATTATAGTGCAGATAAATCATGAAAAATGTTTGCATCTATTTTTTTATTTCCAGTAATTGGTTTTCCTACACAATTGGTGTCTGATTTCCATCACATGAAATGGAGTAAATGAAGAATAAAGAATCATCTCTAGATTCCACTTCAGATGCTATTAAGTTGTATAAAATGCCATATTTTACCCTGTGAAAATACTCTTTAGATATATTATTAAACACAAATTTCGGTTTTTTTTGTGCTTTATTTAATTAATATTTCTCTCTGTTTGTCGAAATAATCTGTCCCTTTTGATTTCATGAGCAGTTGGAGTCTCCAGAGCTCAAGCTCTCTGGACCTAACAAACTGGGAAGGATCGATTACTTTCACCATTTGAGGAATGCGAAATTCTGCTTGGCTCCACGTGGCGAATCATCCTGGACCCTTCGCTTTTATGAAGCTTTCTTCATGGTCTCTCTCTCTCTTCGTACTACCCCCATCACATGCATATTTCTTTCATTCTTTCATATGATCAAATATTATATATTTTTAAAAAAAGATAATCTGCCTTTTTCTCGTTTTTCTAATTTCTATCAGCTAATATCAAATTGCCTCCATTGGACCCGCTGACTAACAGTTGAACACGTGGGATATTATTTTATTTTATTTTATTTTATTTATTGCATGGTCTACTCTCACATCTTATCCATTTTTTTTAATCGTTTGCTCCATATTTTATTAAATAATAATTAAAATGCATATGGCACAGTCTGAGAGAGAAATTCATCTTACCCTTTTGAGGGGGAATAAATATATATAAATAATATTATATATATATATATATATATCTACCATTTTTTTTGTGCTTGGTTATCATCCCCTTTAATTTGCCTCCTATTATCTGCTCATCTCGACTAATCTTGCTAAATACCCCAATAAATCAGGAATGTGTTCCAGTGATCCTCTCCGATCAGGTAGAGCTTCCTTTCCAGAACATTATCGACTACAGCCGCATATCTATCAAGTGGCCGTCCACTCGCATTGGCATTGAACTCCTGGAGTATCTACAGTCCATACCATGTAAGATCCTCGCCCAATCTTCTGCAAGATTCTCCTCGTTGACCTGATGGGAGTAACGTTGACAAACGATGCTCCGTTGACTCTGGCGGCCGCAGATGAGGCAATTGAGGAAATGCTGGCCAATGGGAGGCGAGTGAGGTGCCTGTGGGTCTACGCCTCAGAGACTGAGCCATGCTCGGCAATGGGGGCCATCTTGTGGGAGCTCCAGAGGAAAGTGAGGAGGTTCCACCAGTCAACGGAGACATTCTGGCTCCACAATGGCTCCATTGTCAACAGGCAGCTGGAAGCTTTCCAGAAATGGAGAACTCCTGTTCAGCTTCCCTGAGATTATTTTTTGGGTCAAACTGCCCCTATAGCTCAGTGGTAGAGCGTCAGTCTTGTAAACTGAAGGTCTGTAGTTCGATCCTGCATGGGGGCAATTTTCTCTTTTACTACCACTTTATCTTTCTTTTTAGCATTTTTACCCCTCCCTCTCAGGAAGAGCGGGCCCAAGATAATGGGCCCCACCTAGGTCCGGTCTGGACTGGAAGGATATCGTGTTTTGGGCTCAATTGTTTTTTGGGCCTGGCCAATTAAATCCGAAGCGGAAAATGATGAAAGACACGTGGATCCACATGAGAGGTTCATATGTGTAGTTCGTCGTTATCCCTTGTACGGCCGAGATGAGTCCTCGAGAACATACCAGGAAGGACCATCCACGTGGCAACCGTCGTTGGACGGACACGATGAACGGCCACGGTGGCGAATTTTATAATATTTTGTTCCGCCGGAGCATAAGATGGCCTTTTCTCCGCTTATTTTTATTATTATTTTAACGATCCTTGTTTATCTTATTTCCGAATTTTATTGATTCCTGTCTACCTGTACAGCCTCCATCCCCCACCACCCCCCCCCTCCATCTGGCCGCCGCCGCCCCCACCGCCGCTGCCGCCGTTGATGGTGGAGGCTGGAGAAGAAGGGGATGTGTTCTTCTGGATGATGTTGTTGGCGAAGGAGAGATTTTTACGTAGGGAAGATTGAAGGGTGGGAAGGGGGAGGAATCGGTTCCGATCTTCACCGTCGCGCGAAGGATTCGTCCTGTTTCTCCCCGGGGTCGCTGATTTTGCTCACCTTTCTTTTCCTCCATTCTCCCTGGTGTTGCGGATCGTTGTGATCAATGTAAGCAGATCGAGAATTGTGGGTTTTAGATGGCTCCGATATCGAGTTCCATTTTATGATTTCATGCTGTTGATTGGCGCCCGCATATAATTCGGTCGTTTTGTCGAGGGCTAGGGTTTCTCCCTTGGGCCGGCCCCGCTGAACCCAGGGGACGGTGCTCTGGAGTGGCTGATTGACCATGGTCCGGCTTCTGGGATTGGGCCGCTTACTCTCGGAGGAGTCCCCCCGGGAGATCAGCGGCGGCAGAGAGGGAATGGCCGGCGTTGGGGAGAGCGGCTGGCTCGTACGCTTCTTCGATTCGGCCTTCTTCTGCGAGTGGATAGCTGTGAGTTACCTCTACAAGCATGGTCACCCGGGGGTGCGCGATTACCTGTGCAACCGCATGTACACCCTCCCCTTGACCGGCATCGAGAGCTACCTTTTCCAGATCTGCTACATGCTCGTCCACAAGCCCAGCCCCTCCCTCGACAGGTTCGTCATTGACGTGTGCTCCAGATCCCTTAAGATCGCTCTTAAGGTGCACTGGTTCCTCATGGCTGAGCTCGAGGATACGGAGGACAACGAAGGTATCAGCCGGATCCAGGAAAAATGTCAGATAGCAGCGACATTAATGGCCGACTGGCCTCCACTTTTGCATCCGCAGTCGAGCACCGTGAACTCGCATGCAAGCCCTGGGAGCGGTAAGGGCCACCCAGTGCTCGATCGGATACGCTCATCTAAGCAGAAGCTTCTGTCCTTGGCCTCTTCTCCGTCGTTTGGTGGCAGCCCATCGCAGGAAGACAAAGACAAAGATAATGACAATGCCAGTAGCACTAGCACCGGTACTGGTAACGTCAGTGGTAAGTCCCCCTCTACCTCGGAGGAGAACAAGCTATTTAAGAAGTTCATTCCAGGACCAAAGGTTAGAGACGCCCTCTTGTTCAGAAAGTCTGTGGAAAAAGAGGAAGAGGACTCCGATAAGGATGGGTTCTTTCGAAGGCTTATTGGGGATAGTAAAGACAAGGACGAGGATGATTCAGATAAAGATGGGTTCTTTCGAAGGCTTATTAGGGATAGTAAAGACAAGGACGAGGAGGAAGACCCCAGTTCTAGCTCAGATGGGTTCTTTAAAAGATTGTTTCGCGACAAGGAGGAGAAGTCGGGAGAAGAAGATGAAAAGGAGGGCTTCTTTAAGAGGCTTTTCAAGGATAAGCATGAAGAGAAGACGGAAGACGATGAAAAGGGGAATGGTGGAAATGATGAAGATGAGAGTTCGGATTTTCTCTCTTTCCGTAAGCTGTTCCGTGTGCATCCCGAGGAGTCCAAGGTCGCTTCTCTGAATGATCATGGTGGGACTGGTCTTTCACTTGATAGCAGCCCGGGAACAGAGAATTTCTTCAGGAGGCTATTTTGGGATCGGGATCGTTCCTTGGAAGACTCAGAGCTACTTGGCTCAAGGAAAAACAAAGAGGTATGCTTAATCTGCATACGAAACTATTTTATCAACTAGAGTTTTTTGTAGTAGTGCTTGTGTGTCTTCGAATGTGTTTGTGGTTATTGCTCTAGTTGTTGTCCATTGATAGGAACCCAGGTGTCTTCTGCTGTAAACCAGGCAATCGGGGCTGTCAGGGGTCTAACATCCATCTGTTTGAATGGTGCTCATAACTTTGGTGCACTCTGCAGCACACTCCACTTGTTAATATCTGACTCTGGAAATTTGCTGTCACTGCATCAACCTGTATGAAACCGTACGAGTGAGGAAAATGGATTCAGCGTCACAGCATTACAAGAAATTTAATGACGGCTGACAGCTTTTACTCTCGACAAATCACTATTTCTGACAAAGAATATAGACAGCATACAAAAACATGCAGATTGGGTGGCAGGATGTAGATTGATCGGAGCTCCTGACCCCTTCACTTTATGGGAACTTATTGGAAAGAAAGAATTAGAGATCCCGAGAAAATCTAATGGACTTCTCAATATTGTTGGGACTGCTTCTTATAGAAAGCTTTAAAAGATTACAATTAGGATTGCTGCTAGGCTTTCGATTGACTGGTCAATTATTGGAGACACTCGGAAATTTTTGTGAACCTATGGTACTGTAATGGACCGAATTACATTTAAGACTCTCTATCCCGTCCTTATTTGTTAAGATGATGTGAAATGTCGTCTTTATAGGCCATGACACTATGATATTCAACTGTCTGTTTCTTTGTTTTGTTCTATAGCCCGAGTATTTCCGATTAGCTACCTCAGTTGTTTCGATCCATCAGAGGTTAGGACGGTTGGTGCTAGCAGCCTAAAGTGTTAATAGCACGACCCTGACTGTCAACTATAGATTGGTTAAAATGGAAAACGTTTGGATTGAAAGCCACAACACTAATATATAAAGGTAACTTATACGGTGTTAATGATCAATGAAATATTTTTACTCAGCTTATTTTTATTTTTATATATAATTTATGTATTTACTTACTTACATGACCAATGTGCTCTTTAGAAAGAAAAATTAGCTTTTGTGTCATTGACATATAATCCGTTGATTTGAACTGTTCTTCACAAGTCATGTCTAAGCTATCCTCATTAGGTTGTAGAACAAAGAAGAAGTACACAAATCCTTTTATGATGGAATTCAGATGTTTATAATTTTTGGTAAAAATATGGAAACGCGATCTCTGATTCTATGATAAAATAACAAAATTTGAAGCAGAGACACTTGCTGGGACTATCAATGCCCAGTTGAGGATTATAAATTATTTTGTTAAAAGAATTATTGTTGTGTGGAAGAAAATCATCATTCAGCCTCCATGCAAGTTGATCACGTCTAGTCCTAAGTTGAACCATCTTCGGGTCTTTTTTTTAAGAAAAAAAATTAATTTATGGAAGAAATTGGATTAAAGATTTGATACCAGGATGTAATTTTTGAAGAACTTGAAGCATTGTTTCTCCTGCTATCTTGATTGTGGAATCCAGACTTGCGTAACTTCACTCTGAATTGGCTTGTTTCGATCAGTGAACCATGGCCAATCTGACTTTGAAGGGGTAAATTTCAGTCCAACCTTGGAATTGAAACAGCAGGAAACTGGTGACACTAGGATTGTCTAGTTAACTGCAGCTTCAGAACTTCTAGTCGCTACTAGAAGAAGGGGGAAGAGGTATTCTTGTCGGTCGCTAGCAAAGGGCAAAGGACTTTAGAAGAGGGAAACTGAGGTCAGTGAAAAGATAACGAAACATGAAAAATAGATTCTTCCTGCAATGACAACCACTGTTGAACTCCCAGTTTCTTTGCCCTGCATGCCACATCTACCTGGCCATTGGAAATTAATGAGAATAATTCTTTTCCTACTTACTAAAACTTGAAGCGTTAATGCCTGATACTGATCAGATCGATACCAGTTGATCTAGGGATCTGATCTGTAAAACTGGTGGCAAATGTGGCGAGCTACATGTATATGTGGAAGTAAAAAATTCAGATATATCTTGTTTAGGTCATTGAAATGTAAACCTTTTTACCAGATCAGTGAGGCTGTTACTACCAAAGAAACAGTGCGAATCTAAAATATTCGAGAAACTCCCGTATGTCTGTCTACTTTTCTGCAGTGATGCAGTTGAAGATGGCTGTCCTGCTGCGTCAGGAGTATCATATGCCGTATGTGATCCTCTATGGGTAGCAACAACATGCAGGCATCATAACTGTCTCCGTGATCATCAATGTCTAGGCTTCTTGGATCCAGCTGTATTTTGCTGGTGTAAAGTAACACTCTGTGCCATGCTTTTCTTGATGAAATGCAGCCACATTCTTCCTTTTTGATGTGCTGAATGTTGTTCAATCGGCTTTATATTTCAATTACCGTCCAATTTTTAATATTAAACCGTAAATTGTCTTCTGTTTTTTGAATAATTAATTTTATTATTTGCGTCTTTGCAGAAGTGTCCTGGTTCACCAAAGCAACGAGATGACAAATCTCATGCAAAGCCTCCATTGCCTAACATGACTTCTCAAATTCGGAAGGGCACATATCATGATTCATTGGAGTTTGTTCAGTCATTGTGTGATACATCATACAATTTGGTGGAGATATTTCCTATGGAGGATAGGAAAAGTGCTCTTCGAGAGGTTGTAAGAATGTCTTTTCTCAACTTCTTCATTTTTATCACTTGGAATTAAGATATTTTATTCCTCCGTTTTTCTATGTTCTGAACTCAGTTTCGGTGATGCTTTTATTACCAGTCACTCATGGAGATCAATTCAAGTATCGCTGCTTCTCAGAACAGTGGAGGTATGATCTCTTTTCCTAAGATTTTTTTTATTTATATCTATTTATTTGTCCATATTTCTCATGGTCTTGTATTTGGTACACACAACTGTATAGGTATTTGCTTTCCAATGGGGAAGGGAATGTACCAGGTCATTCATATTCCTGTAGACGAAGCTGTCCTGCTGAATTCTAGAGACAAGGCTCCATTCTTGATATGTGTTGAGGTTTTGAAAAGCGAAATTCCAAGGTATTTTTGACATTTCTTAGCAATCAAACGAGTGTCTGGTTGCATGTTTTTTCTTTGGTACTTTTTTGAGGTGTTTTCGTACTCATTCTATTGAGTCCCAACAATTTTGCTGCACATTGTCTGATTTTTATGAAATCTTATCGAAATGAAGATTTATGAGTAAAATTTGCAATGATAATGATGCTGATAGTTCTTACATACTTACCAAGTCTTGAGAGTGCGGGTGCGATTGGGCAAATCAATTGAGGGTCATATCTTTTTTTTATTTTCGCCCAATCTTGGATCTGACCGTTTTAGGGTAATTTGCTTGGGTTCAATCCCCGCCTGATTCTTGAATTAAGGAAACCTTCTGTTGGGTATTTCTGTTCAGAGCATAACTGGCAGTATGGTAATTGGTTTCGACATCTGTTTTTCTAAGCTCATGCATTTCTTCTTGGCTATACCTGTATTTCTATCATCAAGTCCAGACAGAGACATTTAATTTTATATCTGTTTTGAAAGTATATTTTCCATTTTATTAATAATAGTGCACTTAGACAATTTTTTGCTGTTCTCTAGTCGCACAAAGGAGGCACCTGGCGCTCGTAAGGTCTCAAAAACTGGGATTCCATTAGCAAATGGAGATGCACAGCTACCAAAGCCTCCACCTTGGGCATACCCGTTGTGGAACCCAGGCAACTTGCATCATCATGGGGAAGATAAAATGTTGAGATCCACGTCTGAGGCTATTGATCAAGCAATGGCTCATTTATGGGAAGCTAAAGTCAAATTTGTTCATGTCACGCTTTCTGTTGAGAACGTATCAGCTAATTGCTCAAAGGGCAGTGAGCAACAAGATTCAGGGCATGAGGTGGAAGGTGCTAATTTACATTCTCTTTCTGATTCTGTGGAGTATTCATCTTACTGTGAGTCAGATGGATGGGATTTACCTCGAGTATCTGGACCAAAGGTTAATTGTGGTTTGGAACGGGTAAGAGTTGGCTTATCGGCTGTGCCGGGGGTCAGTATGGAAGATGTAAGTGATCAAGAGCCACCACGTCGGAAAGAACATCGCCGTGTCCCAAGCACAGTTGCCATAGAGGAAGTAAAGGTGGGCCTGTAAGTGGGAAATGTACATGTATCAGTGTCCTATTCAACATGCTCCGTGGCTACATTGTTGTTGAAATTCATACCTTGCACGATTTCTGCCTAACATATTCAAAACAAATATGCTTTTTTCTTGTACATCTCTTGATGCTTTTAAAATATCTGATCCATGTCTGATTTATTTGATGATCACACTCACTATAGATTCTTAAGATACTTATATGGCAACATTCAGGTCATCGAATTTTAAATATTATACTATAAATGACTGAATATCTCCTGATTACCGTATGCCTAGAGTTCATATTTATATGAAGTTTATTGTCTTTTTGCCTTTTATTCATTGTCATCTACTTAATTCTAAATTTGTGGTTTCCAAATTCATGTTGCTTGATTTGAAGCACTAAATTAGCTCCATCTCTAGGATTATTATATTTGACTTGTATCAACTAGTGCGAAACAACTCGATATTTCGCAGTTCCAATTCCCTATACTGGTTAGGGTTCATTCGTCAAATAGGTAATTTAAATGGTGTGTTTGGTCAGAGTGTCAGACATGGACTCATAGAAGGTGGAACTAGGTCTGTCAAGGCCTTTAAGAGTCAAAGACAAATTGGTATGATCTGACGTCATGCCTTATAACTCTCAAGACTATGCGATGCAAAGTTGACCGCACCTTCCTTTTTTTTTCCTTTCCTTATCCCCGACTTTCCGTTATTAATACTCGGCTCTCATTTTTTTCAAAGAAGCACTGTTTAATATTTGTTTCCTTTTCGACAATGAATTATTATACCATTTTATTCATTGTACCCAAGACCAGACAATCGCGGTTTTGATCAGAATACGGAAAAGCTGATAATCCGTTGCAATTGAAAAATAAAAAATAGGAAAGTGCCATTGACCGTAAATCACTTTTTTTTACTTGGATTGACTCGATCTTGACTTTATCTGACCTTTTCAAAACTACTAGCGGAAGAAGAGGGAAGAGAGACATGCCTGGCTTTGCTGTGAGAAGGAACAAGAGGAATGTAGAGTGAGTAAACAGAAGAAATGATGACAAGGTCAACAAGAGAAATTTGTGTCCCCTTCAACTCCGTCATGCTTAGTTGGCTGTGCACTGCTACTCCCAGAGCTCTGCTCCACAAACTATGGCATGCATGTTATCCTTCCTGATTATTGGGAGTAATAGGGCGGTGGTTCTTCAAGTTTTAGCGGGAGGGTGTTGTAAAATGGTTGGTGAGGTAAGGGTTAGGATGTCTGTTCAAACGCTCAATATTAAATTTTACAACATTAAAATTGCTGCAACATATTTTTTTTTTTCTTTGGTAAATCAGATCAGGTTCTTCCACCTGACAGGTTGGTTAAGCTAATTCAGTGGCCTTCTCCAATTTAGCCCACCATGATTTTCTTTGTAATTCCTGGATGTGGTGATGATATTTATTCTTTCCAAGTGCTGTCCATTTTTCTTTTAAAGGTCAACCTCTATTCTACTTCCTTGTTTTTATTTTTGCAGTTGTTTGGTCAGGTATTTTTTACGTTTTTAATATTTCCTTTGTTAATTTTGAAATTCAATCTTTTGTAGGCCGCTGCAGCAAAAGGGCATGCACCTCCTGGCCTGCCATTGAAAGGTGCTGGTCAGGATTCGTCAGATTCAGAACCAAAGGTTATTTTTCTAGACAATTTGTTTGCATCACGTAGAAAAAGGGTGTAAAAATGCCATTTAGATGTATTTTCTGTCAGGTGTCAGACGGTGGAGGTTCTAAAGCCATTGACGCTTTAGCTGGTGAACTTTGGGAGGTTAAGAAAGAAAGAATCAGGAAATCCTCGACTTATGGAAAGTCATCCGGTTGGGACTTGCGTTCAGTAAGTAAACTCCATTCAATGGATTCTCTCGGTTTTAAAATTGTACAATTATCATATTGGGATTTCGATGCTCATGTTCTATCAGTGGAGGGCCATAATTTATGATTATTATTATTATTATTATTATTATTATTATTATTATTATTTATTTTAATTCTTCCAATCTGCTTGGTTCCATGTACAGATGATTGTGAAGAGTGGAGATGATTGCCGGCAGGAACATTTGGCAGTGCAACTTGTTTCTCATTTCTATGGTAGGAATTATTTTTTTCCTCACTTCTGTGCTCTATTTTCAACATGAATCTCCAATTATGATTCCTTATTTTATTTATTTTCACCCTTTTCTTTTATGTTGACTGAAAAAAAAAAATCATCTGGGCAATAACAGATATATTTCAAGAGACTGGCTTACCACTCTGGTTGCGTCCCTATGAAGTCTTGGTCACCTCTTCTTATACTGCACTTATTGAGACTATTTCAGATACGGTAACTTGCAGTGCCTTCAAACGATTGGCTTCTTTGAATTAAAAATATTCTTAGCAACATTGCCTGAATAACCTCTTTGCAGGCCTCGCTTCATTCTATCAAGAGTAGGTTCCCAAACATTACAAGTCTGCTTGATTTTTTCATTGCCAAGTATGGAGAAAATTCCCCAGCCTTTAAGCTTGCTCAGGTATATTTCAGGGATCCAAACTCTGATGAGCCATTTTAATATTCCAGCTTCAGATGCTTCAGACTTGTCTTTTGCACCTTTCACCCAATTAGGACCCATAATACTTACTATTCCCAGAAATCTTTTTCATTGATTAGTGTTGCCAGAAACTGCAATACTAATCTGGGCATTACTTCTCCAATGGAATTTTTATATGTCAGTATTGTTGGCTGGAGTAATATGGTGCTCGATCATGGCTTCGTGACGCCTGTTTGGGCTACTACTTGCCAATTCTTGACGTTGTATCTTCCATTTTCAAGTGGGAAGCTATTTCTTTGCTTTTTTTCTATGAGGATGTATGAATCACCCATTTTGATCTATAGACATGATGCATTCTTCGTGATGCCTCTTTGGGCAAGTAGTTTTGCAACTTCATCAAATCACTGGATCTAGCCTGCCCGAAGTTGTGTAGGCTTGAGATTGGCAGGTGCTTCTGTTTATAATTTGCCAATAGGGATTTTTCATGGGTATCGATTAATTCATATGAATACGGTTTATTTCCCTCGATTTAAATAAAATAATTATTGGATATCTACATTATCTGTGTTCTTCATGAGAGATGAGAAAGAGGCTGTAGGTCATGCTCTGTAAATGATCCCTGCATTGCCAATTATAGTCAGTTCAAGAAATATCATAATTTGGAAGGAGAATTTATCAGCTCAGTTTTAATTTGTGTTAATTCTTTTTTCAGAGAAACTTTGTGGAGAGCATGGCAGGATACTCCATATTGTGCTATCTCTTACAGGTTCCCCATTTTTCTTCATATTTATTTGCTCTGCGGCCTTCCATAAATAGCACTCCACTCATCTGGCCTTTCATTCTTCTTCCATGCGTCTGTAGCTACCTCTCTCTCTCTCTCTCGATCTCTCTCTCTCTCTCCTCCAACCCCCCCTTCCTCCCCCGCATAGGGTAATGATGTTAGTACATATTAACCAATCATTAGTGCTTAGCTAGCCCAGCACTAGTCCCATTGGTCCCTTCCCTTTCTCTGGGACTGATGCTATTACTGTTGTTCAGGTGAAGGATAGGCACAACGGAAATCTCCTGCTGGATGAAGAAGGGCATATCATCCATATCGACTTCGGTTTCATGCTGTCGAACTCGCCCGGCGGCGTAAATTTTGAGAGTGCTCCATTTAAGCTGACTCGAGAACTCCTTGAAGTCAGGGGGCCTTCCACTCAATCCATTTAATCAGTTGATGCTTCTACTGCAGACTCATAAACTAATATATTGGATCATTCTATCTTAGGTCATGGATTCTGATGCAGAGGGTAACCCGAGTGAGTTCTTCGACTATTTCAAGGTATCATCCCCGCCCGCACTGGGTTTTTTCACTTCCCTTCCACCAATTCCTTGTAACCCTCTCTCTCTCTCTCTCTCTCTCTCTCTCTCTCTCTCTCTCTCTCTATGTCCTCAGGTGCTGTGCATACAAGGCTTTCTGACATGTCGTAAGCATGCAGAACGCATCATCCTTCTTGTGGAGATGTTCCAGGTATCACATGCAGAACAAGTCTCTCTCTCTCCCTCGCTCTCTCTCTCTCGCTCTCTTTCTCTCTCTCTCTAGTGAGTTATATATATATATATATATAGATAAATATATTGTTTGCGCCAGATTTTGATTTCTTGTTTAATTTTTTTGAATTATCTACTAGGATTCTGGGTTCCCCTGTTTCAAGGGGGGGGGCCGGACGATCCAGAACCTGAGGAAGCGTTTCCACCTGGGCCTAACAGAGGAGGTTCAACCTGCAACTCCCTCACTTCTCTCTCCTGTGTTCTTCCCTCCTCCACGGAGATCTTGACCTCCGTCCCCTCGTGATTTCGAGCAGCAATGCGTGTCCTTGGTCCTCTCCCTCATCAGCAGCAGCTTGGACGCATGGCGGACCCGGCAGTACGACTACTACCAGCGAGTTCTCAACGGGATCCTATGAGCTTTCTCGTAACCCTAACATGGAGAAGAAAGACCAAGGCTTCCGCTTTCCTCAGATGGGAACTGCCCCGACTCATCCAGCGAGGAGATGATTCTGTCTGGAGGGCCATTTTTGCAGAGACCAAAGACGGCGTCATCAGCTAGAACGGAGCAGGTATGGAAAACAGAGGATTTGGGCCAGCTGTTCATCTGGCATCCATCTGGGCGGCGGCGCTGTACATGGTTGGTTGGTTGGTCTGAAGATTTTATAGCTGGTGGCTATGGAAGATGAATGTGAATACCCGGCTTCTGTACAGCCATTCAGAGGTGGAGGTGGAGGTGGTGGTGGTGGGAGGTTTTTTCCATTTTTGCACCCTGTAAATCTTGTGATTCTGGGCTGCGTTCCAGGCCATCTGAAGGTGGATGGTGGATGGATTTTTGACAGTTCATCTTTTGCTGGCTAAGTTCCTTCCAAAGGAAGCTACCCTAAATTGTTTGGTGGCCTAATCTGGTGCAAAAATCTCTCTCTCTCTCTCTCTCTCTCTCTCTCTCTCTCTCTCTCTCTCTCTCTCTCTCTCTCTCGCTATCTATTTATCTCTCTATATATTTATTTATTTACCTCTCTTTCTCTATTTATCTATTTATCTCTCTTTCTCTATCTATCTCCCTCTCCTTATCTCTCTCAATCTCTATCTGTCTATTTATCTATCAATCTCTCTCTCTCTCTCTCTACCTATCTATTTATCTCTCCCTCTCTCTATCTATCTATCTATTTATCTATTTATCTTTCTATCTCCCTCTCTTTATCTCTCTCTCTATCTGTCTATTTATCTATTTACCTATCAATTTATCTCTCTCTCGCTATCTATCTATCTCTATCTATGTATGGAGGGATGGGTTGAGGTGGATATTTATAGAAGTATGACCCACTGCTCGATGGTCAACGTTATAGGCCAAGGAGTTTCGCCACTTGTTTGACTGTTCATCTGTCCAGCTGCTTGTAACTTCGAGGTATCCGAATTCGGCTTTGCTAGAAAAATGTAAATTTTGATGAAAAATAGGGCTAATTTTTTATAAAAAATCTATCCATTCGTCAAGAGCCGCATTAAATATTAGCGTTTATTATTTATTTATTTATTTCAGGGTTCTAAATTAATATTAAAATTTAATGTAATGATACCATCATAGTGAATAATGTGATCGGAGGATAGAACGGATGTGATTTATAAGATGAGGTATAGGTGTTATTTTAAAATGTTAAGGGTTTAAATGGAAATATTGAATTAATTATTTACCCTCGGAGTTTCTTGCCCCCATTTAACGGTGCACCGACCTCCCTAGCTCGGCATTTCCTTTCGCTCTTGGCTGTGCTGCGGAGAAAGGAACCGGAGCAGACGAGGACGAGAGGAAGGAAAAGGAAGGAGGGCGGAGGCAGAACGATGGCGGCGATGGAGGTGGATATCAAGAAGGTGGCACCATCGGGGGAGAACGATATGTGCTCGCCGGCAGTGAAAACCAGGGGCGGGGGCGGTGACGGGCTGCGGCAGTATTACCTGCAGCATATACACGATCTGCAGCTCCAGGTCCGCCAGAAGAATCATAATCTCAATCGCCTTGAAGCACAGCGCAACGATCTCAATTCCCGAGGTTTGTACTAATAACTTGTTCGCTACAAACCTAGTTCTATGCACCTGTCTACCGGTTGTTGTGCAGCTCGTACCGTCACATATTCCATAATGGCACCCAACTTGAATTGATATTTTTTCTTTGTCTAAATCTGTCTGAAATGTGTCTCTCTCGAAGATAAAACCCTGTTCGACGTCGTTCCTGTTCTTTATTTCTGTCCATCTGTTTTTGGAAAGTGGCTATTATTAGCCAGGGAACACTAACCCTTATCTTCCATGTAAATTTTTTTCCATTAAAAACAATTGATGTTCTCTATCCTCTATCTTCAATTTTTTTAGATGACAGCTCCACACCTACTCATCTTGGCCGCCCTACCTGTGAACCGGCTTGTTTTGATAATATCATATTTCATTTATTCTGGTACTGCAATTTTTACGAGATCCTAGGCCATATTCCATCTTAAAACTCGCTCTACATTTATGTGGGATTAGGTCTTGTCTCTAGGAGAAAAAAGATGTGCCTCTTATTCACCGGAAGTGAATCTTCAGTTGTGATGGGTTGTTGTATGGATACTTGTCATTTAAAAAGGAGTGATTGATGTGGTCCAAGGCTTCCTTTTCCTCAGCATGAAGTTGAATTGACACCTGGTCGTGAACGAGGATCATGAAACTGCGGGCTATGTTTGGGGACTGGATGAAACCCCCCCCTCAGATTCCTAATGAAGATTTGGATCTTGGAGCCTTTTATAGGACTGCCAGCTTGTGATCGGTTAGCAACTATCATTGCCAATATTCGGACCAGTTGCAAGAAAATTATATCTTTGATGTCCTCCCACTGAGTTTATGGTGAATATTTTGACAGAAAGTGCATGTCAAAGGGAGGATAGGTTTATATCTTGTACACATGAGTGGTTCCTTTTTTTTGTATAAATCTTCTTTAGGAACGACCATAGCTATGAACCTATAAAAGTTGTGGAGCGTACCTGTTGTAGGAAGAAGTTGTTTTTTGGCGACGAAAGTGTCTGATTTGATATGGTTGCGTTATTTTTCTCCAATTCATCCCTAATGAAACTTTAAGACGCCAAAAAATCGTGAGTTTTTGTGGTATTATTTATGCTTTTGCGTTGGTCCTGATCGTGAGTTTTGTGTGGATTGTATTATTTGGTGATGTTGGTAATATCTGTCTAAAAATCTAATTGGATGAAGTAAATAATAATAAATCTAGAAGACCCCATATCTTTTGAGACATTCTGAATCAACATATAATTTGTGTTTCTCGTGTGTTTCCATCAACATCTAGTGCCACTTACTTCCTGCTTCTCTGTGAATTTCGAGAAGCAAATGAAGTTCTGATAAGATCCCAGATCAAAGAACTACGAATAATTCGTATTAGATGAAAACAGTCTCTAGAACGGAAATAAATAAAGATAAAGAACAGTAGAAGAACCCAGAACAGATAGGAAGGTCGCATACAACCCTCCAAACCTTCTTGTAGATCCATGAGATACTAACACTGGTTTTCCTTCCTGCCCTTCCTTCCTGCCTCCTCTCGTCCTTATATCCTGTCCTCTTCCCTTTGCCTTATTTAGGTAGTTATTCCTCTTGCCATAACTATACTGCTGCTTGCCATAACTACTCTCTGTCATAACTGCTCCTTCCCTCAGTGATGCTGACCTGTCTTATTGGGCTTGGGCCTTCTTCCTTCTAGAATATATGCATGGAGGCTTATCAATACTCCCTCCCATGAGCTTCACTCTGTTCTCAAGGTGGAAGCCTGGAAAGTGCTGGTGGATTGATGAAGCTAGTTCCCATGTGGCTGGTCGATGTGCTCCTTGATGAATGTCTGAGAGAAATTGGGCAGAGCCAAAACTAGTCTGGAAGTTATTGCCACCTTCAATTTATTGAAGGCCTCTTGAGCATCAGATTCCCAACGAAAATATTTTTTCCTTAGCAATCGAGTCAAGGGTAATGATAAGGTTGCATAACATTTGACAAATATGTGATAATAGTCGGTCAGTCCTAAGAATCCTTGTAATGCTTTCAAATTCTTAGGAGTAGGCCAGTCCCATATGGCTGAATTTTTTCTTTTATCCATAAATACTCTTGCAGAAATCCAGTGGCCAAGGTATTCTAATTGAGGTTGTTGGAATTGACATTTTTTGGTATTCATATAAAGACTATTAACTATGAGTAGAAGGAAGACATTATCCAGATGTTCATCATGTTCCTTCTGAATCTTGTTATGCACCAGGATATCATCAAAAAATACCAATACGGTCTGAATATATCATTTAGTAAATACGAAAATGTGCCTGGGGAATTAGAGAACCCAAATGGCATAACCTTGAATTCATAGTAACCTTGCATTCCTAGTATGACATATGTACTGCTCAGATCCAGGGGAAAGAAGTCTTGAATAATTTGGAGATCTTGGATCTTTAGTGGATTGTAATGACATATCTCATGACCATGCACTGTATGCCCATTGCCCATCACAATATCATAGCTGTGGAATTTGTTGACATGTAAGGATAGCCCTTCCTGTAGTTTGTTACAGAAAAAATTGTGAGTAGCACTTGTGTCTATAAGATCGTGACGTGTTTATCTTGCATGATGTCATTGACCTTCATAGTTCTGTGGTGAATCAATCCCATGATAGAATTTAATGAGACATGGGTTGTAAATAAAGTATCTTCCTCTTGTGAACAGTGCTCAAGTGGAGCCCAGTCTTCCTCCTGTAAGTCTACTTGGGACTTCTCCTCCTTGTTCCTTCATTCTTGTAGTACAGCTTCTATCAACTAGATCTGTCTTTGACTTCCCCTATTATTGCTCAGATTTCGTGGAATGTATTTGGACGTCACGTCTTTATTGGAGGCACTAGCTGATGTCACTTGAGTTTTCTCCAAGTTCAATTACTCATTTTTGAAAGTAGATGTCAGAGGAGTTCTTTGCTGTTGCAGATTATAAGCAGCTGTGACATGTTTCTGTGGTCTTGGTTGTTCTTGCTTCCATGCTTGCCATAGCATACGGATATGAGCTTCGGCTTGTACTGAAATATCTAGAATTTCACGCAACCCAATAGGCTTGGACAGATAACTCTGATTGGATCTCAAGTTTGAGTCCTTTCAAATATGTATGCTCTAGTATTTCTGTTGGTATGTTCGGAAGATAGGTTGAGAGCCATTCAAACTCTGCCCTATACTCTAGTATTGAACTCTCTTGTTTCAGGTTCACAAGTTTCTGATGCGTGTTGCTAGATCCTGATGAACCAAATCAACCATTAAGTTGGATTTTAAAATCATACCAGTCATGGAACAGAAAGCGATCTTCCATCGACAGATAGCAATCTAAGGCATCACCTTCCATGCTCAGCATTATTAATTCTAGACATTTGTGTTCTTGCATGTGGTTAATACGAAAATACATCTAAGCCTGCCGCAACTATCCATCTGGAGTATCACCATTGAAGTTTGGAAGCTCAGTTTGACAATTGGGCTTGTAAATGCCCTCCCTTTGCTGTAGATTTTGAAGTGGTTGTGGTTCTAGTTGTCTCTGAGTCTGCTCTTGTGGAGTTTCATGTGGCAGGCGTGTCACCAAAATTATTAGTTGTTGGGTAAATTGTTGTAGTATTTCATCAGTACCCTTGTTGTCTTCTTTAAGAGCTTCGATATCAGCTTCAAGAGATTCCATCCTCACAATAGTGAGCCCTTTAATCATACAGGAATAGCCCAGTTTGGCTTTGATACTAGTTGATAAGATCCCAGATCAAAAAACTACGAATAATTCGTATTAGATGAAAAACAGTCTCTAGAACAGAAATAAACAAAGAACAGATGGGAGCGTTGCATACAACCCTCCAAACCTTCTCATAGATCCACGAGATATTAACACCGATTTCCCTTCCTCCCCTTCCATCCTGCCTCCTCTCATCTTTATTTCCTGTCCTGTTCCCTTCGCCTTATTTAGGCAGTTATTCTCTTGCCATAACTGCACTGCTCCTTGCCATAATTGCTCCCTGTAATAACTGCTCCTTCCCTCAGTATCGTTACTGTCTTATTGGACTTGGGCCTTCTTCCTCCTAGAATATGTGCGTGGAGGTTTATCAAGTTCCTTGTTGTTCCAGGGTTTTACTGTTATGTCAGTCTTGTCAATTCCCTTCTAATCTGTGCTGTCAGTCTAGCGTGTTGTCATTGGGTGTGTTTCTAAATGGTGAGTAAGATTTTGTTTTTTTACTTGTGTCACATTTATTTTATTCTCTCTCTCTAACTCTACTATCATCAGGCTTTTTAATTAGTTCATAGCTTGATATATAAGACTGCACAATGGAGTGAAGAAAATTAGTGAAGAAACTGGGCTAAGTATAATACCTTTTTTTTCCCTCGTGTAGCGACCTCATTATGCCTCATGGGCAACTTGTGTACATTCACAATTGGGAGGAGTTTTATGTCTCCCATAAGCATACTTGGTTAAGGAAATCTGGTAGTAGTGGATGAATGGAATTGGCAAAGAGCAAATTGGATGTCGTAGGATAGGCTGACATCACTATCTCGTGGAATAGAGAAGAATATTGGTTTAAAGTTAAATCCTGGTGTCCTTTCAATTCCCAATTATTTTTTTTCTATCGCTTAATACTTGAAGTATGAAAAGTTCTGGCTAATTCTCGTTTTTTTTTTTTTTTTTGGGATTTTCATCTATCCGTGATAATTATTTTAGGCCTATCCTCTCTCTAGATTGCATCTTTGTTTCAATGTTTTCTAGTTTTTCCTGGAAATGATTTCCAGTTATATATAACATTTTTCATTCTAAAATGGCCTGATTCTTGTTTGGAAGTCTTAATTAACGGAAAAAGTTCCATGGATTGATCAGTGAGAATGTTGCGGGAGGAATTGTTGCTGCTTCAAGAACCTGGATCATACGTTGGTGAAGTGGTGAAAGTAATGGGAAAATCAAAGGTCTTAGTGAAGGTAATTGCCAAGCTCAGATGTCCTTCTGAGGAACTCGTGTTTATTTATTCTCTTGCCAGTTGTGCTAGTGTTCCAGCACTACTTTACATGTTTATTTCGTTTAATCCAGAACGACGATTTTCATTTATCTATTCGTTTTCAATAGCGCTAGTCAACGGTTAGAAGGAAGGTGTCATCCCGAGTACCTTCAGCTCTCCTGAAGGAGAATTAAGATCCAATCAGACTGAACCAGTTTATCTAGGTCAACTCAGAACATACCGCTTGGCACAATCCTTATCCAAAGTATTCATTCTCTGTGAATGAACTTGGATTTCTCCACCTTCAGCATCGTGGCTTAGTCCATTGAAAACATGATGTGTTCCTCTCTCACTACTCAGACTAGCATATGACGGAAATAGTATATGTTATCCACACTCTTTTCTTCAGATATTTCTCCTCCCTTTGGATTTGGCCGATAGTGTTCTTGTTCTGGATTACGTTACACAAATGATTAATTCATTTGCTCATCTGCCGTCAAATTCAGTAAATGGCGCGTTTTTCAATTCTTTTTCGTGTCAATATTTTTGATATTTATTGCGGAAAACAGGTTCCCGCTTTTCCCCCATTAATGAGTTGACTTCACTCTTTTCTCAGGTTCATCCAGAAGGAAAGTATGTCGTTGACATTGACAAGAGCATCGACATAACAAAAATAACACCGTCGACTAGAGTTGCCCTTCGCAACGACAGCTATGTGCTTCACCTGGTCTTGCCCAGCAAAGTAGATCCGTTGGTCAATCTCATGAAGGTCGAGAAGGTCCCCGACTCCACCTACGACATGATCGGTGGCCTTGATCAGCAGATCAAAGAGATCAAAGAGGTCTGCATTCTTTTTCTTTCCCCTTCATAGATTGCAGGTTGACTAACGGGGGGGGGGGGTGGTCAACTTCACTCAGGTCATAGAGCTTCCGATCAAGCATCCCGAGCTGTTTGAGAGCCTGGGCATCGCTCAGCCAAAGGTAACCTTCTTCTCTCTCTGCAGAGGGTGTCCTCCTCCTCTCAGCCAAAGGTAACCTTCTTCTCTCAGGGTGTCCTGCTCTACGGCCCCCCTGGAACGGGGAAAACCCTGCTGGCCAGGGCTGTGGCGCATCACACAGACTGCACCTTCATTCGAGTCTCTGGCTCCGAACTGGTCCAGAAATACATCGGAGAAGGCTCCAGGATGGTCCGTGAGCTCTTTGTCATGGCCAGGTACTATGATTTTCTCATTCTTTTTTTTATTATTTTTTTCTTCTTTGAAAATAAAAATAAAAATTCGCCGAAGCCATTTATCTAAGTCGGTGGAGGCTGTTCGTACTCGGACTAATGATCATAAAGTCGTGATGAAATTTTTGCAGTATAATATTTTATCAAGGTTTGGATGTCCTAGAGTGATTATTAGTGATTTTTTATTAAAAAAATTGTTTTGAAAAAAAAATATAATCTTCTTTCGTAGGGAGCATGCCCCGTCGATCATATTCATGGACGAGATCGACAGCATTGGCTCCACTCGCATGGAGTCGGGGACCGGAAACGGAGACAGCGAGGTGCAGCGCACCATGCTCGAGCTTCTCAACCAGCTCGACGGGTTCGAGGCGTCGAACAAGATCAAGGTATGATTCCATATGATCATCGCTCGATTCTGTGTCGGATCGATGTTAATTCTGTGGGTGATGTTAATTCTGCAGGTGCTGATGGCCACTAACCGGATTGATATTCTGGATCAAGCCCTCCTCAGGCCCGGTCGGATCGACAGGAAGATCGAGTTCCCCAACCCTAATGAAGAGGTAGTACCAGTGGTGTCGTGATCGTCCCATCGCAGGCCGGGTTTCTTTACCTTTTTAGGCAAAACCAGTGGCCTTTCGCTGTGTTCATCTCACCCTGCGTTTGTTTTCAGTCTCGCTTTGATATTCTGAAGATCCACTCGAGGAAGATGAACCTGATGCGGGGCATTGATCTCAAGAAGATCGCAGAGAAGATGAACGGTGCGTCCGGCGCCGAACTGAAGGTACTTGATGATCCTGGGCCCTTATCATTTTGCTTCTCTCTCTTCTACATCATTATTTTTATTTTTTTTACCATAATCTCTCCTTGACTTGCCCAATAAAATACCAAAATCAGAAAAAAAAAAAAAACATCATTTTTTATTTTCTTTTACCGTAATCTCTCCTTGATTTGGAAATTAAAAATAAGTAACCAGAAAATTAAACCACTTTCTACAAATAATCTATTGAGTTTCACATCATTTTTTATTTTTTTATTTACCGTAATCTCTCCTTGGCTTGCCGATTAAAATAGTCAACCAGAACAATAAGCCACTTTTGGCCATGATCTACTATAATCGTTCGCCTAAAATAGTAACCTCCTGAGCTGTCCCACGGCAGGCCGTGTGCACGGAATCCGGGATGTTCGCCCTTCGAGAGAGGAGGATCCACGTCACCCAAGAAGACTTCGACATGGCCGTGGCCAAGGTCATGAAGAAGGACACGGAGAAGAGCATGTCCCTCAGAAAGCTCTGGAAGTAAAATCATCCTCGAAAGAGACGGCTGATTCTGAACAGTGCTCTTTCCCTCTCTCTCTCTCTCTCTCTCTCTACATCTCTCAGAAGAAAGATCATCGCTGGACTATTACGAGATTGCCCCCTGATGAGAGGGATGAGCTTTGAATCCGTCGTCTCCTATTATCGTCGTGCCCCCCCTCCCTCTCCCTTCCCTCTTCGTTGTGGCGTCTCCGGCACGGCAGTTCGCCGGGTTTTTCTTTTTTTCTTTTTTTTTTCTCTCACTCCCCTTTTTTTTTTCTTTCCCTAGTTTTTATGATTATTATCGACGCGACAAGTGTCGTCGTCGGGGACAGAGTATTTTTATAAACAACCCGCCAGCTAAGCGAACGAGTATTTTAAGTAACTAAATTTTCTCTCTCCTTTGACGAGCTATTTTGTCTACGGTGGGACCCCGGGTCCAGCTATTCTCTTCTTGACTTGCAGAATAAAAAAATAAACAAGAGGGATAATAACATTGGGGGCAACTACATCGAACGGTTAAATGGGTTTCATCGTGGGGACCCACTGGAGATTCCCGATCCCACGGGGCAGGTTCATCGATCGGAACGTACACGTGCACGCGGATTTTTCTTCCACGTGTGCTCCCGCAAGGATTTGGAGTGCGAGGGAAGTAAGCTGAATATTGGGGAGACAGCAACCGTCCCCATCAACTGCTCTCGAGTTCGGAGTCTAAAATCCTCGCTGTTCTTCACGGCCCTTTTCCCTGGGTCCATCGCAGCTCTCGCAGACTCTCTCTCTCTCTCTCTCTCTCTCTCTCTCTCTCTCTCTCTCTCTCTCTCTCTCTCTCTCTCTCTCTTTGGCTGCGCCTCACGGCTGAAGCTGGTATTTCTCGAGAACTCGTCGGATCTCTCAAGTTTCTTCCTCTTAATCGGTCGATTTAGTCATACGGTGTGAGCCGATTTTTGTATATGGCGGCGGGGAATCGCTGATTTTCTTTTTCTCCAACTTTCTTCTTCTGGATGTTGTATTTGTGGTTCGGCGCTTTTTCCCGCGTGCGTCCTGGATCGTTCATCGACTGGCATGATTCAGGTCTTTTGTGTGTGTTTCCTAGTCTGGTGATCGCTTTGTTGTTTTCCTCCACCATGCCTTCTCCTTTACGTTTTTCGTTTTTCTTTTCTTTTTATTAGTGATCGGTTCATTTACAGGTTCGAGCAGATGTTTGTCGATCTCGTGTATTGAACGATTTCTCCTTTCGATTTATTTAGATTATAATCGCAGTCGTCACCGGCGATGCTTCCCGGTGTCCGGATTTTGGTGGGCCGCTGTTCTGTGTGGGTGCTTTTTTGTTGAGGACGCCCCCTTCTCCGTAGTGCATTTAAAACCCCAGAATACCATATTTATGTAACATTTTTCCAAAATATATAAAAGCTTTGTTTGAATATAAACTGTTGGATTTTCATTTTTTCGTTCCCCTTCACTGTCCTGTGCAGGCGAATTTGTGGCCTATGTCTTTCAGTGACGGAACGGCCAGTAATTACCCCTTCTTTGAAGATCGATTGTTCTAAGACTACGTTAGGCGTAAAGTTTCAGTAGGTATGCCGATGTTCTTGTTCCATACTCTGCTTTCCTTTACCACCAGAAGCTTCCTTCTTAGATCTGAACGGGCAGACTGTGATGTCTGGAACAGTCAAGCATTCGATACTTCAAATTTTGGATCAGATTTGTTTTTGGAATATGAATGATCTGAAACAGGGCATGTTGTGATCAAACCCCGTGGCCTTCTGATGTTGATGAAGCGATGCAGACGCGGGTCTCCGGCTTCCAGGAATACACGTTGTCATCTTCAAATGATTCCTTGGCGCTCCCTCTCTGAGTTGTTATCTTTCCCCGATTGGCTCTCGTCTGGTCTAACTTTTCTCGGGCTGGTTACTACTGCTGTTATTTGTTTCATAAAAATTTCTGTAATTCTCGGGCTCATGAACTGGATGTTCTCATCTCTAGGTACTCTTTAACCGGAATTTCTGTTGCAATTTATTTTCTCTGCTGTTGCGTGCAATTTTATGTTGAATTCCAAAGGTCGTAGAATTTTATGTTTGGCGTTCTATCACCTATTATTTTAGCATACGCTTTGACTTACAATCTTCTGTTTTGCATTATATTATATTTAAGTGCCTACCTTTTCCAGTATTTTGATTGCGATCTTCGTGTTCCTTTCCTCTGATATTATATTCATCGTTTTTGATGACGAATCATTTCAACTGCAGGATTCTTCTTTCGCTTCAAATGTCTGATGTTAGCAGAAAGGAAGCCCTAGAGTTCTTCAATTGTGACTGTAGCTGTGTGTGCCGTGGCCAGCTGTGGTACACTTGCCGCATATTGTTCAGGGATTGGACGTGACAGCTCTGACTCTGTTGCCGAAATAGCAATCTCTGGTAGTCCTTCTAGTCCAAACTCATCTTAGACCATACTTTGCATCTACAGTCAAGTTTACGTTTGCAGCTAGGAGATTTAGAGAATTGCGGGTCTTTATCTCTTGAGCCACCGCGTCCCAACGCCATGCCTATGACTACTCTCCCTCCGGGATTCCGTTTCCACCCGACTGATGTCGAACTCGTTTGTTACTACCTTAAAAGAAAGATCATGGGAAAGCCGATTCATTTCGAAGCTATTTCAGAGATTGAGCTCTACAAGTTCGCTCCATGGGATCTCCCCGGTATGACACCATGCTTTTCATTATGATCTTCAGGCAGCAAAGCAATGAATTCTCGATCAATTTCTTTTTTAGTATCTTAGTTTCAAGATGCTTATTCTGTCAGACGATCTGGTAAAGATACTATCTTTCATGTTTTTATTGTCTTTAGAAACCAACTGATTTACATTCTCTTTGTTCCTATTTAGCAGGATCAAAGTCATGCTATTGCTATTGAAAAATGGATTATTCAGAAGAAAATGATATATAACTCATAATTGAGATTGGTGTAATTGTCAGACACCCATTTGGTGGGTTTATTTAAAAAAAAAATTGTTTTCCAAGATTACTATTTTCAACGTAAACTTTATAAGATTCTTCTTTCTCCCTTTTTTTTGGACGGAATTGAGTCTAGAACAATCGCACCATAAACTCATGCCACATTTTTTTACACCGAATGATCATATTCACACCACGTACTCATGACAATGTCTGAGTGTTTCTATAATTGCATCTGTTCTTACTGTTCATTCAGGAAAATCCTGCCTGAGAGGAAGGGACTTGGAGTGGTACTTCTTCTGCGTCGGAGAGAAGAAATACTCGAATGGCTTGCGAAAGAACCGCGCCACCACTGAAGTTGGATACTGGAAAACCACTGGAAAGGACAAGCCAATCTCCTACAACTCTCGAACCATTGCCATGAAGAAGACTCTGGTTTTCCATGAGGCCAAGGTCCAAGACGGTAGGACTGATTGGGTAATGCACGAGTACAGATTGGAAGACGTGGCATTAGCCGGTGCCGGGTTTCTTCAGGTAAAAACAACGTGCTGTTTTATGCACCCACCCATGATTATTCGTTTTTTTTTTTTTTTTGTTGGGTTTCCGTCTACTATCTGAAGTCCTGTTATTTTGACTGTAATTTCCTCATCATGTGGCATTAGTCAACGGGGGTGCCTTGTTTCTCCCCTTCGTTTCAATGAAATTAGTCAACCGCCTATGTGCTCATGTTCCGTGTTCAGGACGCCTATGTGCTCTGCAAGATCTTTAAGAAGAGCGGGAGAGGCCCAAAAATTGGGGAACAATATGGAGCCCCATTCGATGAGACAGAATGGGATGACACCAAAGCAGACGACTGCTCTCTTCTGCTTCCTTCACTTCAGGGAGGAACGATCATGAGCACTCTTCATCAGCCAGACCCGCTTCCCCTTGATCTCGATAGCTGCGCAGTGGACTCCTCGCCGCTCTCTTCAACCCTTGATCAGTGGGTTCATCCCAACGAAGTCAACGAAATTTCCACCGTGGAAAATGCCCAGGCGGGATATTCTCAAAAAAAAAAAAAAAAAACTTGTTTTTCTTTTCTTGCGACATCTACCCCCCCCTCCCCTTCTTTACATCTAAATCTGGATTTCGAAATACCCCTTTTAGGTGGTCAACCCACAAACTGCACTCGGAGGTCTTCCTGCCGTGACAGCCGCCATCGAGGAGCTTCCAAGTCAACTCCAGCTGCACCCAGTGGACGGCATCCATCTCCCCAACAGTACACCAGCTCATGAGCACGCCTCATCGTTCTTCTCTGACTGTATCTTCGAAAACTTCCACCCTTGGAGCGCAGAATGGGTAGATGATGATTTCTTGGAGATCATGGATCTTGGTCCTCGTGAGCTGGGTCAACTCCCTGAAGTGGACTCCACCGGGTTCTTTCCCTCCTGCGTGAGTCACCTGCTCTGCCCGCCAATCTTCTCCTTCCTCCTGTGGAAATCTCATCTGATGGGTCCTGTCCATGGTCTCACTCTCATCAGATGGAAGATCCCACGGGAAGGGCGGCTGAGTGGGACTCGGGAGGTCTCAACGACTAAGCGCTCCGATGATCTTGAACCCGGGGAAGACTCTTCCGCGGGGGGCATATTCGTCAATCCTTTAGGGAGAAGGGGAGAGAGAAAGACGGCGACCCTACTGGCCCTGTGGACCTTCCCCCGGTCCCGCGTAGTCTGGTTCTCTGCCGGGGTGGTCATGGATGAAATAAGTGCTGACTCTCACGAACTGACTGTTCCATGTTTTTCTGTGGAATTTGTGGGACTTATATGTAATTATCATAAATTTCGTTCCATTTTCCATATTTTCACCTCGTCAGACGTATAATTTTATTGCCTTTTTTTTACTTCATAATTTTACTTATATAATTTAATTGTCAATCATTTGCATTAATCCCATGCATGACTTAAGAATTTTATTTTTCCCCCATTAATCTATTTTTTGAAGTTTTTTTGGGATTTTATAATTCTAAGATTTTTTATACGGTTTTTTGGAATTAATCGACCCATATTAAGTCCTAAAGCATGTTTTATGCCAGAAATTATATTATCGGAATAAGTTAATTGATAAAAAGCATGTTCCTATCCGTTGGTTGGTTACGTGTTCTCTCGAAATAAAGAATATTCTGAGGAATATTCTTTTCCCCGACTGACTCAGGGACATATTTCTAATTTCGGAGAAAATATAGGGCGAAAGTAAACACAAGAGAGCAATATCAAAGTGCACAATTTTAGATAGATGTATACCTAATTAATCCCTCCCTCTCTCTCTCTCTCTCTCTCTCTCTCTCTCTCGCTCGCTCGCTCGCTCGTTTCTGGATGAACACCCAAGTTCTTCAGACCCTGAAGGACCGGGGAGAAACCAGATACACCAAACCCAGTTAGGAACCTTTATTCGAACACCCCGCAGAAACCTGGGCGGCGCCGTCTCTCCACAGGCGGCGGCGCTGCCCCCTTGCTTAGTAGGCCCGCCGGGAGAATGCCACCCCGCCGCGGGAGCGGTGGCGCGCTTGGACAGCGCAGGCGCAGTGTACGGAGGTGAGTCTGAGGCAGCCGCTGATGATCAGCGAGTGCCTCCCTGAACAGGTGTGGAGCCCAGGGAAGGAATCGCACACCTCCTGCACCGCCGCCGGCGTCAGCGCCGTGCACTGGCTGATGTTCAGCCTCTCCAGCCCTTCCTTCTCCTTCCCCTTCTCCTTCCCCTTCCCCTTTTCCTCCTCTTCCTCCTCCTCGAGCTCCCGCTTCCTCCGGCCAACCTTCGCCAGCGAGTACATCGCCCTGTCGGTGATGTTCTGGCAGAAGTAGAGCCCCAGCGACCTCAGCCGCCAGCACCCCTCCGCCAGCGCCACCACGCTCGCATCTGCACCGCCACGGCCACCACCCTCAGTGCCGCCGCTCGCCACCGTGAATCCGGTGACAGAGAAAAAAGGACCAGAATGGGTGGGTACCAGTTATGAGGACGCATCCGCAAAGGTCAACGGCACGGAGATCCGGGCACCCCGAGGCCAGGCTGATCACCCCGTCGTCGCCGACGCCCTCGCACCACCCCAGATTCAGATGCTGCAGCCTGCTGCAGCTGCTGGCGATCGCCTGCGTACAAGATCGATAAAGAAGTTAGGGTTTGTGACGAACATTCTTCTCAGGGTTTCTGATGAATCATTCTTCTTCGATCATGGTTTCTGGAGCATTCAAACTGTATGTAGGGCTTTCGATGTTCTGATGGTCTTCCCCCTGATGTGTCCGGCTGGTCAGGGTTTATTTGTGTTTAGGGTTTCTGATGCATATATCTTCATCTACCTGCAAGGCCTTGTCGGAGGCGGCCTTTACGCATCCGCAGAGATTCAAGCTCTGCAAGCTTCTGCATCGACTAGTGAGGTAAGAGAGCGCGGCGTCGCTGAAGGCCGAGCACCCGCTGATGTTTAATCGAGCGAGACGAGGGCAGCCGTTCGCGAGGGCATACAGCGATTCATCTCGAAGCTTGAGGCTGTTGCTGAGGTCCAGCTCGAGCAGGTCATGACAGAAGCTCGCGACGGCTTCCACGGCCGCGTCTTCGAGCTGAGGCCCGCTTTGCCGCAGGATCAGAACCTGCAACTTCGTGAACTTTGGGGCGAGAGATTGAAGAAGGTGGCTCATATTCTTCTTGCACCTGCAGGAATATCATATCAGGTCATATCATTTCAAGTCGCTCATCCCAGATCAGTTCGACAGAATCTGAAGAATAAGGGAACCAAATGATCTGATATTCGGCAGAGCGCCGTAATACCGTCTGACAGGAAGTCAATCTAAGAAACTGGGAAGAGGGCGGGGAAATAGAGGCGACGGCGCAGAAAGCAAGGAATCACCATGAAAGGGAAAGATGGGTTAACCCAGCGCATACGGCTCCACGCCAACCCGTGCAGACGCCGGAGGCCACGAGGGTCGTCCGGTCGTCTGTGAGAGAAACGATCCTCAGCAGAAGCTCCATGGGGAGGTCCTTCCATCCGATCACCGCCGCTTTCCACCTCTCCGTCCTCCCCTTCTCGTCGGCGACGACGAGGCTCCGGAAGCACGAATGCAGATCGCAAGAGACGAAACCCCCTGCCTCGATCATCTCGACGATCTACCAACGGAACCAGGGAGAGGCAAGAAGAGGAAGAAGCGGGAGGGAGAATCTGTGAGGAAATCTGACCAGGAAGGAGCTTGGTGCCCTCGCAGCCTCCCGATTCTTTGGGAAACTGGACTTCGGAGCAGACGGAGAAGAGCGTCGGGTCGCCGTTTAAAAAAAGCCGGTGGCCGCTGTCTGCTGAGGTTGAGGTGATGACGGGGACGCCGCAAGGAGCTAAGCCGGCCATCTGGACGCCCCCTGGAGAGGAAAGGAGGAAATGCGGCTGACCTACGCCGATGCGACGGCGATAAGCCCTCACTAGAAAGAAGACAAGACTTGCCGGAACCAGGTCTGTTTCGTACGTTCGTTCTATCCGTCCCATGCTAGAGCGAGAGAGAGAGAGAGAGAGAGAGAGGGTGGGGGGGGGGAGTATGTCCAGAACAGACACCGCAAAGGATCTACGAGAAGCAGCTCCTCGCCCGAGGAGGAGAAGTCATTTTCTTCCCCATGTTGTCTTAAAAAGGTACCTAATTTCCATTAACTCCTCATTTTTTCTTCCATTTTGGATTGATACCTAAACGTATCTTATTTACGCTTTAGTCCCTAATCTCGCGAGACCACAGACGTAAAATTGCCCCCCGGCCCCACCGCGAAAGAACGGACGAGGGGAGTTCATCGGGCCCCACGAAGGTACCTTTATGCTCGGAGCTCCGGGGAGGTTGAACCTTCTTCTGTTTTTCGTCCAGGTTCATCCCCCTACTCCTTTTGGCTGGAAACCACCGTCTAAAAGCCGATAACGCCTCTGCCTACGATTAAATAATTAAATGATTAAATAATTAAATGATTAAATAATTAAATGATTAAAAATAATTAAATGATTAAAATAATTAAAGAATTAAATATTTTTAGAGTCATTCTGAAATCGGATTCTCTCTCTTCCCTAGTTCGCCGGTGCAATCGCCGCACCAGCGCGGCGGCGGCGGCGATGGCGGAGGAAGAAAGAGTCGAGTCGGAGAACCCATTATCTATCACTTGAGATCCCCACGGCCCATTGAGCCGACATTCTGGAGAGAACCCATCTGTCTGAAAGGGACCCATTATTTATTAATGGGCCACACCCTCACGGCCCCCATCATTCTTAAAGCTAACCATTCTATTTTTCTATATTTTATTTCTAAGAGTCGATTTATATTTTTATGAGCCGAAGATAAGTAGACATTTTAAATATATATATATATTTTTTAATAAATTCCACTACTCTCTCTCTCTTCCCCCTCCTCTTAGAGCTACATAGTTCTAACCGGCCCTAAAGAGCTAGGCTATTCAGAAAGGCCCAGTCCAAATCCATTTCAGCCCAAAATCATAAAGTTGGCCCAACAAAATAAATTTCATCCAGATCAGGCCTAAAAACTAGTCGACCCTAGTCCATTTCGACAAATTCTAGCCGACAAGCGAAAGTAGCCCATTAATGTAATCGATCACCTCGCCTATTTGGCCGATGGATGCGGGCCCATAACAACGGCGAGCGTCCTCGATCAAAGGGCAGTCCATAAATTAACTCATCACCGAGGGGGAATATGCAATATCCCCCGATCCCACGCCAACCTATCCACGCACCTGCCCGCCGCTGTTCATCCGCCAACCATCCGGCGACCACGCCGGACAGCCCCTCTTCTTCTTCGTCTTCTTCTTCTTCTTCTTCTTCTTCTTCTTCTTCTTCTTCTTCTTCTTCTTCTTCTTCTTCTTCTTCTTCTTCTTCTTCTTCTTCTTCTTCTTCTTCTTCTCTCTCTCTCTCTCTCTCTCTCTCTTCTCATTTCTTCACAGATCGCCACGGGGCCGCGGCAAATCTTGTACAGCTTGCAGACAGATCAGAGAATCAAACTTCCCCGGAAAAGGAGGATAATCGAGGAGGAGGAGAAGCCGCTGGTTCACTGAAATGCGGGCCTCTCTCTCTCTCTCTCTCTCTCTCTCTCTCTCTCTCTCTCTCTCTCTCTCTCTCTCTCTCTCTCTCTCTCTCTCTCTCTTTCCGGGAACTCTAGAGATATTTTCTTGGTCGTGTCGTCCCGTGAGCCGCCGGAGCAGCTTTCCGGCGGCGATTAAAGAATCGGGAGGGGTCATCAGCTGGTGGCCGCCTTGCTGGCTTCGGAAATGCCGCCATCCCGAACTGTCTGAAACGTCGGAGAGAGTGGCAGCAGCTGGGCCTGAGCAGACCTTGGGACCGCTCTGAATTCGCCTCCCCGCCGCTCCTCTGCCGGGTGATTTATAGATCCTGAAAAAGGAACCGGATGAAATCATCTACGCCCTCGGACGGTGGTTAGTACAGAAACCAACGGGCATGGGATCGACTGCAACCTGTGCGTGACACGACAAACAGATCATAGCTCTCTCTCTCTCTCTCTCTCTCTCTCTCTCTCTCTCTCTCTCTCTCTCTCTCTCTCTCATATATACATATATATATATATAAATATTTCTCTTTCTCTCTCTTTCTATCAGTCTATCTATCTCTCTCGCTTCCTCTCTTTCTATCTATCTCCATATCTCTATCGCTTTCTCTCTCTCGTGCCATATCTCTCTCTCTCTCTCTCTCTCTTTCTATCTCTCTCTCGCTCCCTCTCTTTCTCCCTTTCTATCTATCTCCATCTCTCCATCGCTCTCTCAATCTTTCTACCTCTCTCTTTCTCTCTCTCGTGCCATATCTCTCTCTCTCTCTCTCTCTCTTTCTATCTCTCTCTCGCTCCCTCTCTTTCTCCCTTTCTATCTATCTCCATCTCTCCATCGCTCTCTCAATCTTTCTACCTCTCTCTTTCTCTCTCTCGTGCCATATCTCTCTCTCTCTCTCTCTCTCTTTCTATCTCTCTCTCGCTCCCTCTCTTTCTCCCTTTCTATCTATCTCCATCTCTCCATCGCTCTCTCAATCTTTCTACCTCTCTCTTTCTCTCTCTCGTGCCATATCTCTCTCTCTCTCTCTCTCTCTTTCTATCTCTCTCTCGCTCCCTCTCTTTCTCCCTTTCTATCTATCTCCATCTCTCCATCGCTCTCTCAATCTTTCTACCTCTCTCTTTCTCTCTCTCGTGCCATATCTCTCTCTCTCTCTCTCTCTCTCTCTCTCTCTCTCTCTCTTTCTATCTCTCTCTCGCTCCCTCTCTTTCTCCCTTTCTATCTATCTCCATCTCTCCATCGCTCTCTCAATCTTTCTACCTCTCTCTTTCTCTCTCTCGTGCCATATCTCTCTCTCTCTCTCTCTCTCTTTCTATCTCTCTCTCGCTCCCTCTCTTTCTCCCTTTCTATCTATCTCCATCTCTCCATCGCTCTCTCAATCTTTCTACCTCTCTCTTTCTCTCTCTCTATTATTATAGGGATAAATACGTCTCCATCGCTCTCTATTCATCCATCCACATATATATATATATGTGATGCATGTCTACCTACCCAGCTGTGTATCATCTACTTGTCACTCTAATTTATAGATATACACATCTCTACCCATCTCTTCATCTATTAGTGCATCCGCCCAACTATCCATCAAAATACATTCTAGGCAAATAGTATTACCGCATATATATCCTACAATGTCAATCCACTGACTTTAGCGCATACGTAGAGAGAGAAAGAGAGAGGGAGAGATCGAGAGAGAGAGAGAGAGAGAGAGAGAGGGTTTATACGCATTCATTGCACGTGCGGGGGAACAATCTACGTTATCCCATCCTCAGGAAGAAGCTAACGGACGGTCCAAAGCAGATCCCTCGCGCGGGCGGAAGAGGAGCTCCCGCGACGTTGTACGGTCGGGATCTTCTCTTCGTTCTCTCACACCCACCACCACCTAGAGAGAGAAAGAGAGAGAGGATGTCCTTGACGGCGGTGGGTCTCCCGGAGGTCTGGAATCCGGTGGCTGAAACTGTCCCACTTCGGCGGGTCCCACCGGGTGGCTTTAAGATTTTTTTGATATGATTGGAGGATTTGCTGAGCTGGCGGCATGGCATGGGTTTGGACTTAGTGGGTTCACGGGCGTCACTGTTCCCTCTCTTCCCGATTGGCCACGCAAATATCTCCTTACCTTCATCTCCTGGTTGTCACGGGCTCCCCCAAGACACGTCCTCTAGAGAGAGAGAGAGGAACGTCAGTTTGGTAGATTTTCAACGCGAGGGCTATTCTCAGCCACAAATCAGATACAATGCATTGGCCCACTGTTTAATTACCCCCTGAAGTTGACGGAAATTACGAGATCAACCCGGGGGCGCTTCTAAGTCTTCGCCAGGACGAATGGTCAAGGGTGAGTCTGGAAAATGACGGGGGTAATATCGGTATGTGGGCCCCTTCCCGAGGGAGGCCACAAGCATCCCGTGGGATTCCAGCCACAATCGGGCATCCGTGGGCCCGCCTCGGTCAGCCCAATTCCCCGTTGGCTCCTAGCGAACGTGTCGGTTTTTGTCGTATCTGATGAATCAGTAGCTCCACAACGAGAGGTTTTTCGCAAAAGCCTTCAATAGTTCATTTTTATGATTCTGTGACAAGGATCTCTCTAAATATCGGTTCGATGCTTATAGAAATGCCCCTGAAAGAGTGCCACAGGCAACTTCTACAGCATAATTTTTCGATACAATGGAGTTTTACGCAAATAAGGAAGAAAATGCGGCGTTCTGTGAAAATGTCCCTGTCCAGAGGCAAACCCTGAGACGGTCAACCACCCGCTGCATGGCCAGCTTATAGACGCAGAACCCTAATTAACATGCTTATTTTCGTAGATGAGCCTCTCTCTCTCTCTCTCCCCCTCCCCCTTCATATTCCTGCAACTAGCAGGAAGGAAGAGCTGGAGGAGCAGCAGATCGTGGAAGAAGGTGGTGCTCCAAAAGCAGTAGAGGAGCTCCCTTCAAATGAAGGGCAGGAAGGGAGGAGGCTGCGAGGTGGAAGCTCGCCGGGTCAGCTACACCATCCGCATTCCTGAGAAGACTCGCCCGTCGAGGATCTTGAGCAGAGACGACGGCGGCGCCGCCGGAGAAGGGAAGGGAGAAGAAGAGGAGAAAGACAGAGAATCGCCGCCGCTGCAGTCGCCGGAGAAGGAGGGGGAGGAGGAGAGAGGAAGCATCCGGCATGTTCTGAAGGAGGTGAGTTGCACGGCAAAGCCGTGGGAGATCCTCGCCATTGTCGGCCCCAGTGGCGCCGGCAAGTCGACCCTCCTGGAGATCCTCGCCGGGAAGCTGACTCCGGCGAGCCCCTCCGTCTTCCTCAACGGGTCGCCGGCTCACTCCGTCCAGTTGCAGAAGATTTCCGGCTATGTCACGCAGAGGGATACCCTCTTCCCTCTGCTCACCGTCAAGGAGACGCTGCTCTTCAGCGCGAAGCTCCGCCTGCAACTCCCCGCCGGCGCGGTGGCCGCGAAGGTGGCGTCGCTGATGCGCGAACTTGGGCTGGAGCAAGTCGCCGATGTGCGTATCGGAGATGAGAAGGTGAGGGGGATCTCCGGTGGGGAGAAGAGGAGAGTTTCCATCGGCGTTGACGTCGTCCACGACCCAAGAGTGCTCATCCTCGATGAACCCACCTCGGGGCTGGACAGTATGGGGGCGCATCAGATCGTCGTCATGCTCAAGGCTATGGCGGAGGCGCGGGGGAGGACGATCATCCTCAGCATCCACCAGCCAGGTTTCCGCATCGTGAAGCTCTTCAACTCGGTGCTGCTCCTCGCCGCCGGCGAGGCCCTGCACCACGGCACCGTCGACCAGTTACAGGCCCAACTGGATTCTCTCGGGCTTCAGGTGCCGCTTCACGTCAATGTTCTGGAGTTCGCCATTGACGCGATCGAGACCCTGCAACAGCATCGGCCGCGGCATCTACAGAGAGGCCCTCCGGAGTTGCCGGCGAGCAACAAGAAGGACCGGTGCACTCTGCAGCACCTCTTCCAGATCTCCAGGGTCGCCGACGAGGACGTGTTGGCCGGAGGATTAGACGCCTCCTTCAGCAGCGATTACGCAAATTCCAGGCTCCGCGAGACGTCCATTTTGACTCACAGGTACCTGAAGAACGTCTTCCGCACGAAGGAGCTCTTCGCCTGCCGGACCATTCAGATGCTGGTATCCGGGTTGGTCCTCGGCTCCATTTTCTACCAGTTGGATAGCGGTGGAGGGGGCGCAAGAGAGAAGGTGGGGCTCTTCGCTTTCATCCTCACTTTCCTGCTGGGTTGCACGACGGAGGCGCTGCCCATCTTCCTCCAGGAGAGGGAGATCCTCATGAAGGAGACCTCGTGCGGGAGCTACAGGGTCTCCTCTTACGCCCTGGCCAATGGGATCGTCTTCCTGCCGTTCCTCCTCGTCCTGGCGGTGCTCTTCGCGGCGCCGCTCTATTGGATGGCGGGGCTCCACCGAAGCCTCTCGGCTTTCTTCTACTTTGTGCTGCTCATCTGGCTGATCCTCTACACGGCCAACTCGGTGGTGGTCTGCTTCGCGGCGATGGCACCGAACTTCATCGTCGGGAACTCGATGATCTCGGGGGTGATGGGGGCCTTCTTCCTCTTCTCCGGGTACTTCATAAGGAAAGAGGAGATTCCCGGCTTCTGGGTGTTCATGCACTACGTCTCCCTATTCAAGTATCCCCTCGAGGGGCTCCTGGTCAACGAGTTCTCGGACCCCGGCAAGTGCCTCGAGTACAGCGGAGGTGTGTGCCTGATCAGCGGGGAGGAGGTCCTCCGGCAGGTGGGGCTGGGAGTGGAGAGTCGGTGGAGGAATGTGGCCATCATGGTCTGCTTTATCTTGCTCTACCGGTTTCTCTCCTACATTGTCCTGAGATGTAGATGCAGGTGCGCCCATAGAGGTGGTCTCCGAAGAGCTCTCACCTGAAACAGGTCTCTCTCTCTCTCTCTCTCTCTCTCTCTCTCTCTACAAAAACAATAAATATGTGAACGTAGTGGTCAGTACAGTGTTTTCATTTTGATCACAATATATAAACCTGTGTTTTATGTTAAACCAACTCGAGACATGGAAGAACACGAGATCTTCTGCCCTCGTGATTGAACCCATCTCCGTCTTTCTCACACTAGAAAAACGACACACATAACGTTCAATCTTTTTCTTCTCCGTCTTTTTCTGTGGAAAATGTCCTTCGCCCGCGTTACCATATGCCCAAGTCACCGAGATATTAGAGCCCCTCACGGGTTCTCCTCTTCCAAGGGCGACGATCTCTCACGGAGGAAAGAGAGACGCCAGTCCCCGGTAGAGCAACGGGGAGGCATTCGGGGTTGGGAGCAGCCCATGTTGACACTTTTGGAACCATGCTCCTCGGGACGGCAGAACCAGTCACGTGCAACGCACAGCAGCTGAGATGGAAAAGGACGCCCTTCGATCGATCCGTGATCCCTGGGTTCAGATCTCTAGAGAGAGATAGAGATGGAGAGAGAGAGAGAGAGAGAGAGAGGAGAAGCCGTCTTTTCCATTGAAAGAAGGCGGAGTTTCCGGCGAGAACTGGAGTCTTCTGCTGCGCAGAACCTACTCATGTTCCTCTCGAACCTATGGATCATCGTCTCTGATGGCGATGAGCCGCTCTTTGGGGCTGAACACCAACTCTGGGAACTCATGGGTGATCTTCGTGGAGAGCCTCGAAGCTGTCTGGAGCAACATGCTGTCTTCTCCACGCCGACGGCTCTCGAGGTACTTCACGAAGCTAGAACTCTCTCTGAGGGTGGCCCATGCATGTCTCTCAGTTTAGTTTAGAGAGAGAGAGAGTAGAGAGAGAGATAGAGATAGAGAGAGAGAGAGAATAGAGATAGAGATAGAGAGAGAGAATAGAGATGATACGATACGGAGAGTGTGAGACTTTCAGCCCAGACCATATCGAAATTGCGGTAAGTATTTTTATGGGCATAATTTTTAAAGCCGAAGCCTGCACGTGGCTGGATGGATAATTATTTGAAAACTCTGGAAATGGGCTGCGAAATGTTATACATCGGCTCCCTAAAGTCAACCTTAAATTTACCAGACATTATGCGAGCGTACTCTGGGTGGATGGCTAGTAGTAGAGGTTAGGGGCCCAATGGGTTCTTCCCCTTTCCAATGGGCCGCCCGTTATAAAGTATCCTTATTGGGCTTAAACGGGCCCGCCCATGCCTCAGTAGGCCCACTAGCTGTCCCTTCCTCCGTGTGCCTCAAAAGGTCTCGACTGGGCGGAGTAGAGAAGACGGCGCCCGCCTTCCAAAGCCCGGCAACGTTGAAGGTTCCCAATCTAGTGGACTCATCCCGGCCCTCTCTTTCTCTCTCTCTCTCTCTACCCATCTCTTTCTGTGTGTCTCTCCGTGGGTCGTCGAGGGGGTGCAGGAGGCGAAACCGTGGGTGCGTCGAAATGCACGTCTTCGTGTCTCTGAAGACCTCGAGATTGTGGAGAACAGGAGAGGCCGTGTGGGAGCATGCGTTGACCAACGAGGATAGGACGATCTTCTTCGTCCCCCACTCGTGTGGATGACGAAACGCGAGATGGACGACCAAAGTCCCGCCGTCAAACAGGAAGATCACTCTCTCTCTCTCTCTCTCTCTCTCTGATTGAAGACCACGCCGCCCACCGATTCGGGTACAATCTAATGAGTTGCCACGTGTGACTCCGAGGGTAGGTCTTGGAGAGGTCAGGAGAGAGAGGAAGATGATCATCGAGAACTCTGTGGCAATTATATATTCTAAAAAATTTTCTTCTATTTGTAAATCCTGTCTAATACAGATAAGTGCAGAGTATTTCAACAACATAAGAATTACATAGGGACCTGAAGCCAAATAATCCCCCCAGTTAAGAAAGATTGACCAGAAGATGCCGTCAAACAGGTTGTCCGACGTACACCTCTACCCAGTCGTCCCATCCGTTGCCATTCATCAAGTGGTCAATTGTATAGCATTGACCTCGGGGGGTCCGCTAAGATTAAAAAAGAACCCTTCCAAAAAATAATTAGAGAAAAATCCCCAGACGCAGGGTTTTTATAAACAATAAAACCCCAAGTTTCACACTATTATCAAGAGCATGGAAAAAGATTACTAGCAATTGGCTGCCCTGCCCGAAGGGTTGGTGTACCCGCCTCAGGCAAGTGTTTTCCTTACATGGGTCAGGCCCAAGGTTTTTTACTCTTTTCAGACCCGAGAATGGAAAGAGAAACTCAGCTAGAGAGAGAAAGAGAACCTTTGGTCGTGATTCGACGCTGGTGTGGGTCCCCATTTATTGAGCGAGAAGATGGTGCCGACATGTTTTTACGAAGAGGACCTGAAATTATTTTCACTGTATACGATTTTCCTAGTTTACGAGAATATTTATATTTGTACCCTTTCTCTATCTGTTTTTGACCACTGGGGCCGGGTTTCAGCGGAAACACTTCAGTCTGGGTACGCCGTAGGAACTGGGAGTCGTCTTGGTCAAATCGGGCGCCGAGTGCAATTAATAATCTGAAAAGGTTTCATAGAAAAATAGAAGTATAGAATCATTAAATCCGTATTAGCCCAGAAAATCAGGGACGTAGGAGTTAGATCCTGACCTGGGAGAGCGACCATCAATGGCGACGAAACCTCCACTTGGGCCTCCAGGGAGGTCTCTGTCTTCAAATGGCGGGGAAGTCAATCCGACGTGAAGACAATACGGGGAGGGAAAGCTACCCGACGCAAGGACGCATCTAGAAGAAGCTTGACTTCCGGAGCCGGCTGAAAGCGATTACCTCGGAGGAGATGTACTGCAATTGCGGCCATAAAAGACTCCCCTTTGCGGGTCGGGAACCGCAGCATTCTACCAGGCCCTCCTCCCTCTCTGTCTGCTCAGTGAAGGAAGAAGTGACGATCCACTGCGGCGGCGATGTCGCTAATCCGGCCGGCGCCGGCCGCCGCCAGGGGCGGAGACCGGTTCAGCTTCGCCACCACCGTCGCCGGCGGAGCCTTGTGGGTGCAGAAGCTTAGAGGGAGTTACGGCTACCTCAAGCGCGCCGGCAGGAGCTCGCCCAACGGCGAAGAAGAAGGAGAACAACAACAACAAGACTCAAAGGGGCTTACTGAGGAGAAGGGGAACGGCTCGCCGGTGCTGTGGCAGGCGGCGGCGCCGCCGCCGGGAGCTCGCGCGCAGGACATAGCGAGGTACCGGCAGGAGATGATGGAGCTGGTGAGAGGCGTGCCGGAGATGGCGTACGAGCTCTCGCTTCGGGACATGGTGGAGATGCCGGTGGTGGCGAAGGGCGGCGCCGCCACCGGAGAGGAGAAGGAGCCGGCGGCGGCGGAGAATAAGATCAAGAATGGTAAGAAGGAGATTCTGAGGAGCGCGAGCATGGACAACGGCGTCTTCCAGCTGAAGATGTTCTTCCCGGTCATGAATCTGGGGAAGTGGAGGAGGAGCTCAGGGGCCAGCGTGTGCAATTCCAAGGTTTCGCCCAAGCCTGCGCTGCCGGAGGCGGTGAGGCTCTGGCATGGCAAGTACGAGGGCGGTGAGGGGCCAAAGGGGTGCTACGGGATGAGGAGGAGGTAAGAACACCACCAACCATGGTTTCCATCAATTCTAGAGAGGGAGTGGATATCGGTCATCTGAACCTCAATGTTTGCTAAAAGAATGGAGATTTTTGTCATGGTTTTCTCATCCGATGTTTCATGGACATGGCAGGAAAACGATGGGATGCAGTCCATTCTCCATCAACATGGGCAGGATCCGGTGGCGGTGAGGGAGAAGAAGATCAGAGCATCTCATTTTGAATATTCTTGTGCCATATCCTGTACACCCATGTCGTAGTATTCAATAAGAGAGAGTAGATGATGTTTCCCTGCAAGATGTAGTCATTCGGAAAAAGAAGAAGATTTTAGAGAGGCAAATCATGTAAATCCCCCAAGAAATACCTGCAATTTCTAGCAACTGCTTGCCCCCGTGTGCAAAACGCTTCTCCAGTGACGCGCTTTGTTTATTAGCCACGACACGGCTTTCCTGTGAAAAAATGAAGTGTTTAATGAACCCATTAAAAGCACTAAAAACTATATCCAGCGAAGTTTCTCATATTTATGCCTATTTATCGAACAGGACTGTTCTTCTGAATCAGCGAATTCCGGGAGTTAAATCCGATCGACTTGGTCGGCCAATCTGATCCTGCAATCCTCATCCGAGATGGGAGAAAAATGACGCCACAGTCCCAGTTGCCAGGCAGCATGCAATTAAAGCCCTCCGTCTGGACTATATCAACTCCACTCCATTGATTTTGATCAATCAGGTCCACCTTCTTACCAGTAATCCGGAAGGATTCTCCACAAAGAATATCACTAATCACTGCAGTTTTAGCTGAAATGCAATAGACCATAGGAGGAAACATTCAACTTCCACCAGGTGTCCCAGTCACTTAGTTCACCAAGACTACAGCAGGAAGTAAACTGCCGAGAAGCTTCAACAAGTAACACCGTTGACGCTCAGTTCTAGCTACTCTAATGATCATGTTGGTGCACACGAAAACGAGGGAAAAAACAATGGAGTACAGTTATGAAGAGACAATGAAGATGCATACTGTCCATTTCTATGGACAGGTAGAGCTATGTCCCATTAGGGAAGTTCAATGGTCACCCTTTTCTACGGAACAGAGTTAGACGAGTCAAAGGTCCCACATATCATCCTTCTGTTTTCTGATACTTGCCGACTCGGTATCGGACCAGGGATGGAGAAGGAAGTCAAGTCTGGTTGACAGCTGGCCGCCACTGATTTGTCAGAAGAAGCCAAATTGATTCAAGCGATGATTCCTGCGATTAGTTGTTGATTGAATAATCTGTCTTTCTGTTTTCATGCCTCTTCACCAGTAAAATAAAAATAAAAATAAAAATAAAAAACAAAAACAAAAATAAAAACAAAAAACAAAAAAAACAAAAAACAGAAAACAAAAAACAAAAAAATAAAATAAGAATAATAAGAATAATAGGAATAATAAGAATAATAAGAATAATAAGAATAATAAGAATAATAAGAATAATAAGAATAATAAGAATAATAAGAATAATAAGAATAATAAGAATAATAAGAATAATAAGAATAATAAGAATAATAAGAATAATAAGAATAATAAGAATAATACGAATAATAAGAATAATAGGAATAATAAGAATAATAAGAATAATAAGAATAATAAGAATAATAAGAATAATAAGAATAATAAGAATAATAAGAATAATAAGAATAATAAGAATAATAAGAATAATAAGAATAATAAGAATAATAAGAATAATAAGAATAATAAGAATAATACGAATAATAAGAATAATACGAATAATAAGAATAATACGAATAATAAGAATAATACGAATAATAAATTAAATAATAAGAATAATAAATAAAAAATAAATACTAAAAAATAATAAATAAATAAAAATATTATTAAAAAACTGTCGCAATCAATGTTCTGCCAAATACTAACAGAAAAGACATGGAGAATGCTGGAGTCGTCCAGTTGATCTTTCTAGTTTCTATGTACCCGAAGAATTCGAAGTCTCCACAAGATACAGCTCCGATCTTTTGGACCGGTTAATTCACCTCCGCGAAGCTGATTCCTCTCCAATATGTCGTTCCGGTTCATTGTGGTTGCTTACCGATGATCTATAGGGGTACAGAGGATGTTTAACAGATTTACAGTCGATTAGGAGCATTCAACCTTAGTCAAGAGCTCTGTTGGTTCAGGTTGATGTCGTGGTTTGCCCTAAAAGACACTGCGGCCGAATTCAGGGAAAGGTTCTTACTGATTAGACATCTTCCGATAAGAGCTTTGCATCGCACGAAGATATTGAAGATCCGGGAGGTGAGAGTAGAGGTTGACGACCGAAATCTCCAAGCAACAGGGGCCTAAGACATGGAGGTGAGAAAGGAACGGGCCACCGAAGCAGCAACAGGCCCCCCCGCCCTGGTTCTGCCATTGCTCCACCGCCACGGCCACGACTGAGTATTCTATTCGAACGGAAAAACAAAAAGAGGGAATGGGGTGAACGACCTTTTGGATTGGGACGAATTTATTTATTGCAATTTTTTTAGTCAGTTAAAGAAATATATGCGTATTTTTTATTCAATGTAAGAAAATAATAAAGGTGTGGGTTGACTGAGAAGGAGGTGTGGGGTCTACACGTAGACAAATCCGGTTCACTGACGCCTCAGGTCTGGTTCTTCTCAGCCGAGCGGGTTAGTTCAGACCGGACTTCGCGATCCTTCTACGGACCGGTTCCCGCCGAGCAACGTCCGGGCGGTTCGTGACTCGGATTGACCGTAGACCGGTAATTATAGAAAACCCCTCCAAAATATTTATGATATAATTCCAACACTCAGCCAAAGACGCGAAGCACAAAGAAACTTCATTCTGGAAAATTTTCTCACCGTAATATTTTATATCCCATAATGTATACAAAATTTTATTTATGTCCTTTTCAGTTTTATAAAAGCCTCCAGGATCTTCACTGAGGATATTTTTCTGTTGGGATGCCACGACCAGAAGATCGACCATTAATTTACAGAAAATTACCTCTTACGTCCGGTAATATATATCCAGATTGAAGTTCCTTCTTCTGGAATATTTTTGTCCTAATTATCGTACTTTCTCCCTAATTTATATAATTTTTATTTATGTCCCCCGGGTCTTCGCTAGAATGCCGGGAACAGGGGTCACCCTGTAATTTACAGAAAACACGCTCCTGGATGAAATCTAATGGAGCAAGAAGGTGGTATGGTTACCGAAAGGGACACCTCAAGCTTTTCGCTTGCCCGGAGGCCGTATGAGACCTGTTTGCGTGTTACCGCGGAGGACTGGAATTCTTCTTTCCGGATTATTATATTTAATGTCGGCGGCTCACGCGTTCCAAACGAACGACCGTCTCGGCTGGTTTGCCCCCTTTTTCCAGGCGCGTCCGAGGTGCGAGGAAGCTCGGGAAGGAAACGTCCGAGGGCTGAGGATCTTCGATTGCTCTCTATTCTCTCGAAGAACGCATCACCAGTTTGTAGTCAACTGAAGAACGATCCTCCAGATCCGGTCTCTCCTGCCTGGGCGTCTCCTCCAGAGCAAGTCGTCTCTTGCCGCGGACCCAGGTAACATCGAGAACTTCGCTGCTGATGGCGGACTTTGAGGGGATGTATGGAGAATGAATGATAAATCGAGCATTTGTGCGAAGTACTTCGCTGATCTTTGGCAGTGCTGCGGTTTTCTTCTCCATTTGAGGAAGAGGGACGCACGGACCGGGAAAGTAAATGGCGCTGTGGGGCCTGATCTGGTTCGTGTTCTCATTGGTTTCTCAGGTGTGGATTAAAACACGCGAATTTGTATAGGGAAAGTTCAAGTGCTCGTGAATTATGGCCAGTGGGGTGGCCTGCGCGGACAGGGCGACAAGCGAATTGCTAATTGGTCCAGATTGGGCGATAAACATGGAACTCTGCGACATCATCAACATGGATCCAGGGTAAAATCTTTGTGGCTTTTTCTTCCGGAAAGAAACTGTTACGCAAACGACGCCTATACTTCCCCCGCATCCGATACCAGGCATCTAGGAAGGATGGCTCATGATGGAATCGTCTAATTGGCCATTAAAAAACGGAGGCTTCTATAGTTATCGTTTTGTCGTGTCTGGAATTATTCTGCAATTTACTACCTAATCATCTTACTATGGAACGAAGAGTCAGCTTAGAAATTTTATGCCCAGCCGGAGCCATTTTCATGTCCGAAGAAGGAAGAAAGCGTTACATTGTGATGGAATATGTTTTAGAAAATCAACCAACTTTCCATCAGCGCAGGAGACAGCTCAGTATCTTCCCTACTTCCTTGTCAACCTGTTTATTGCTTGATTATTCTAGGTTGATTATTCAAGCACAATTTCAACCGTCAGGATTGGTTTCTATTGAATATCTTGACACACATGATGCTGTAATTGCTATCATAATTCATTGTCGTGAGTCTCTGGATTTATTCTGTGATCTCACTTCCTACATGGATCTGTACAGATACTTTTATTATCGTGTCTTCCATATTTCGGAATCTCTGCTTCGGCTCTTATTGTCTGATAACATTGTGATTTAATCTTCATATGCTTGACTCATATATATGTGCTTGCTTCTTTTTGACCACAGGCAAGCGAAGGATGTAATCAAGATTCTTAAAAAGCGCTTAGGAAGTAAAAATTCTAAGATACAAATCCTTACTCTCTTTGTGAGTACATGACATCTTCTGGCTCTGCCGTTCTTTAAAATTTCAATTGTATGTTTGTCTGTATCATTAGTTCATACGTTTGCTTTAGTTTCCAATATCCCTGTAAAATTTTCTCCTGTGAAGTTTGTTCCATTGCTATTTTTTTCTTTTGCTTCGTATGAAAGTTGGTGCGGTGTGTGTTACATTTTTACAATGGCGCAAACAATTCGTGACCTACTTAAGGTTCTTCTAGATTCGTGCTTATTTGGGAGTTCCAATTCACCTTCTTCTTTTTTTTTTAAAAGAGATCTCAGAATGCTTTTTCCTAGGAGTTTTAAAAATTTTGAGCTAGATTTTGCCACTTGAAGTGTAAAGAATGCAATAACCTGTCAACTGGGCTGCGAAGTCGGGATTCATTTTTGCTAGTTATCAATTTCTTCCAAATTACCATACATTTTTTTGGATCTTTTTTTTACTGAATTGATCCACTTAAGGGAGCAGCACACGAAAAGGGAATCATGACCTTTTTCTTGGGGCTTGCAAAAGTAATCCGGGGTAGCTCAGGTATACCTGAGATGTTACAGCCCATTCTGTCTATGAAGCAGCAATGGTCGAGCAACCTGGTAATATTACTTATCCAAAGTAGAGTTTATGGCTCAAATCTGCTAAGTTTTAAAAGATCACTCTAACTCTTGCTTATTAACACAAAATGACCTTAGCTTCCCTTTAACATCTCTCTAAACACAACGCTATAAATGAGCTATAAATAAGAAATGAACAAGTTGTACATTGTGAATTATTTTTTGTCAGAATCGTAGTCAAAGAGGGCTCTACTGAGGCACTGTGTTTTGTTTCAGAAGTAGTACGGTGTGGTCATTGAACCTCCTGTTCTAACAAACACTAGGGTAGTTTCTGTTGACACATTTTCGGTGTTGAGAGCTAGTCTAAAGCCTCTGACTGTTTTGTACTAGTCTAAAGCCTCTATTGGACGTTAATTAGCAGTACTGCAGTAGGAGGCTGATTCATGGAAGGTTGGTTATAAGAATATCGACTAACATATCAATTGCTCAAGAAACCCATCGTAGGTCAGTCCAAAATAGTTTATAATGCTCATTTATGACGACGTGGAACCGTATCAACATCACCTAGTGCCATTAAGTGTCATCATTATTCTCTTTAATTATTTTAGCTCTTCTCCTCATTAGATGGTAGTTCTGAGAGATCCCAGTTAATGACGATAAATACACAGAGCTCTTCTTAAGTGATAGATACTCCATTTGCATTTTAGAATGCTTCATGATGTCTTTAGAGTTTGCTTTACAAAATCTGTGTGGGGGAACTACTTCCAAAGGTATATTGCTTTTCACATTTATTACATTTCGTCCGCAAATTTGCTGCCTTTAACAAAGTTGCTATCGGTAATAGGGGAATGAATTAGTTCCAAAAGGAATCCTGGAGCACAATCTATCTAACTTGAAATTCATTTATTTTCTTGTGATTGGTTGGCAACAAAGCCGTGTGCACGCCCCACTTGTGCATTTTATAGTGCATTATCTATATTATTGTAATTTATTTGTAAATATAATTTCCTTGGTTTCTAATTCAGGTGTTAGAGACTCTCAGCAAAAACTGTGGGGACAGTGTGCACCTACAAATTGTTGAGCGTGACATCTTACATGAAATGGTTAAAATAGTGAAAAAAAAGGTCAGTGTCTTGTTTTCGTAATATTTTTGCATCTCATATGTTGTATTGTTGTTTTCCCAATTTCTCTCTCATTGTCAATTTCTATCATGCAGTCTGACTTACATGTAAGAGAAAAAATATTATCTCTCATTGATGCATGGCAAGAAGCTTTTGGGGGATCTGGAGGAAAGTATCCTCAGTACTATGCTGCATATCAAGAACTAAGGGTACTCCTGTGCTGTTGTTTTATTCCTTATTTATTTTTCTGTTTTAGGACAACATTTTAATCCCTTTTTATGTCACGTTCATCCTTTCTTTGTTGAGACCTATTTATTTGGATCAGATTTATGACGATGACGCACTTGTTAGGGTTCTGCGGCTGTTACTGAAAATGACTTCAGTGCATTGGGGAAAATTATCAACTGTATCTGCTTCACTAGCTGCTAGTTTCTACCTGTCATCCTTCAGTAAAGAAGGATTTTTGATGCGATGATTTCCTTAGGCTATGCCCATATAATACTTGCCCGTAGGAGACGGAATCTAAGATGAAAAATCTTGGAATAAGGAAAATCTGTTGAAAAAAGTCACAGTAACAATGCTCTCCTGAGAGAAAGAACCTTTTCTAATTATTCATCTCCTTCAGTGGTAGACAATGACTTGATACACACTTCATTGGTTGCATAGCTTTCATCTGAATGTCAGGGAAATAAATTATTTTGCTCTGAGGTTTAGAAAGGAAAATCCTTTGTAAACCTTCTGCTTTGGGGATGGTCAACCCCAACTGACATTTTGGGTAGATAGGGTTGTTGAGAAATGACTTGATCATGTAACTGCAGGATGGGTGAGGGAGACATCAATCCACTTTTCCTCGTTGTCCCTCAAGCTTGTTTCTTTTTATCAATCGGAAATCACAAGTTAACGTGGCTGTTAGAATCGACTTCTTTTGGGCTAACCGGCAGGAACAAAACATAATTGGAAGGAATTTGCGCAAATTTCTCATTTCTGGGTTTAACAAAGAAAATGAAAATGCCAGGGGAGAGGGTCTCGAACAGAGTGGATCAGACTGAACATGCCCAACCAAAACCTTTTAGCTACTTAAAATTCAACCCATTCTCATGTGATCTTTTTACCTGTGTAAACCACTTGATATCGTTACTGCCTGTCATTACTTGTGATCATTAGCAGTATGATTATCAAAGATCTAACTGCAGTGTGCATTTTTTAATGGGATCGACAGACTGCTGGAGTAGAATTCCCACCCCGTGAAGAAATCAGTGTGCCCTTGTTCACTCCTCCTCAGACTCATCCAATTGTCCAACCCCGGGTTTCTCCTTACGAGGACGTGGCTATTGAAGCCTCTCTCCAATCTGATGTAGCTGCTCTCAGGTAGTTTTCCCTCCTAGTTACTCATTTTTTTAAATGATCCGGTGCGTTTTGAGAAACTGTGGAATGTGAGACCTGACTTCATGTCCTTTCTCCTCCATGTTGCTCGTTCTGTTGCGTTCATTATTCCATATTTATGATTTCCTTTCTAAAATGGAGTTCTGGGCTGTTGTATCTTTCTTTGTGCTTTTTGAAAATGAAATTTAAGTAATATTTTATAGTTAATGTACATATGGGAAAGAGGAAGACAACAAAGAACTTTGATGGTAGTAGTGAAAGAAGATATTAAATTCAGGCATTTTGGGTATAGATCGTATATGATTGGGTGAAATGATGGACTAGAATTTTGCATCCTGGATACGATTAGTTGGCATTTAGTAGATGATGATGGTATTGATTTTTATTTTTATTTTTATTTTAAACGAACGTTGGAGATTCGACACATCACTCAAAAGTGTGAAGGTTGATTCCGGTGCCCATGGTCACTAGTCTCTCGTACCAGTTAGAAAGGTGGATAACCTAATTCTCAGATGTTACGGTCCTGGCTCTAGTAATCATCTTACCGTACACCATGTTCGATAGGTTAGGTCTTGAACATTGTAAGAAGCTATTTAATACTTTCTCACCGTGGATAGTCGTGCACACGATGTTTCAGATATTACGGGATGACCCTGTCCCATGTCCATTTTCCTCAATAAAACAGCGAGACATCTAAATAGATATGGGTACATTATCACCATGAATCTTAGGGATGCAATTGCAAGTAACTATGTAATGGCTATGTTCTGATTCAAATCATCGATTCAGTTGTGCAGGAATCTGTTGGCCCTTGATAAAATCATTACACGGGTTAACTATCTCGGGACTAATTAGTATTCAAGTCAGTCGGCCTGATACTATCACTGAAGAACAGAACATGTGTGCTGTAAATTGGATTTCTTTCGAATTATTATCATGTGGCAAATTGTTGTTATTAGCCGGGGATTTGTCGATGAATAAGGTTTTAGTTCTTCTAATGATGCCTGTTTATAATCTTTCAGCTTAGCAGACATCCAAAATGCTCATGGAATAACAGATGTGCTAATGGAAATGCTCAATGCGCTGGAACCAAATAATTCTGAGGTAATAAAAAATTATAATTTGAAATACTGCTTAAATATATTTAAATATTTTATATGGACTAATTTTTATCAACCGATGCTTTATTTTGAAATTTCCAGCATTCTTAGTTCAGAGCATATATATTTTGCCCAACTTTGGAAACTATGATTTCACGTCCATATTTATGGCTGTCTTTAGTCAAAACAGTTTCTCGCGTTACATTTTTGCAGATAGCAGACATCTGACGTCCGCTTGATGCCATGGAAAAACAGACGTCCATAGTAGAGTTGACTAGTTTTGTCAGTTTGCTGATCCCCAACAGCACAAACCCCAGGCCCCATTAGTCAAATTGGACGATCTAAGTGTCTATTGAGGAATATTATTTATGATATCATCATTATATTGAGGACCAAAAAAGTGGATTTGGAATGGATCAACGAAGAAATGCAGAATCTCTGTTTGTCTCGTAATTACAGGATTAATTCATTTTATCTATTTTTCTTCTTACACAACCCCTATAGACTGGAGGATCAGAAAAAAAGAAGAAAAAAAACATAGAATAAGAAGAAATAATTATCATATAATATATGATAATTATCAGTAGTAGAAAGGAAAGCCTCATTACAGGTGCATGGGGATCCACCAAGCCCAGAAATGTAATATATTTCCTTAAAGTTCAAATATTTTTCCTTTTTTTTTTTTTTGGGATTAAGCAGTATCATCATATTTTCATCGTTTTTATTTCTGGAAGCAATTGGAAATTACTGTTCATCATGGCTGGGTTGTTTATACTAACAACTTGATATTGCTGATCTGGTTTTCAGGGGCTGAAGCAAGAGGTCATTGTTGATCTTGTTGAGCAGTGCCGTTCATTCCAGAATCGCGTCATGTCGCTGGTGAACAACACTGGGTATTTTATTCTTCTCTTTTTCTTTTTTCTTTTCGACGCAAGATTTTTATGTGTTTGTAATTAAGTATTAAATTTTCCTGCCGGCTGTTGATATTCCAGACTGATTAGTTAATTATTTGCCTCCCAGGGACGAGCAACTTCTCTTCAGCGGCCTGGCATTGAATGACAACTTGCAGCGTGTGCTTCAAAGATACGACGACCTCCTCAAAGGAAAGCAACCGGCTGGGTCAACTGAGCTGGCCACTGCACCTCTCGTCAGAGTTGACGCCGAGGATGATGAATCAGAGGATGATTTCTCCCAGCTTGCTCACAGGTAATGCTATCAGAAGACAAACATCCCTCCCCTCTTCACTTTCTCTCTCCCTTTCTCTCTCTCTCTCTCTCTCTCTCTCTCTCTCTCTCTCTCTCTCTCTCTCTCTCTCCCTATATATATATATATATGTGGATATTGCTAATCTCCTTTTCTTGTCTGGTTTATATGATTATATATTTTTTTACTTTGAAGATCATATAAACTTGATTCGTGACCATGGCATGGCTTCAGATCTTCAAGAGAAAATGCCACTGGCCGACCTGTCACTAAGAACGAGCCGGCGGCCTATCACAGCCCGCTGCTCCCTCCCCCACCACCTTCCATGAGGCCAGTTAACATGGAAGGCAGTACAGTTGACTACCTCAGTGGAGACAACTACAGAGCCGAGAAGTCAACCAGTGCCAATGTCAACACCCAGCCACCTACCGCTAGCGAGTCAACGCCGCCTGCAGCGTTCTATAGTCTACCTCGGTACGATAAGCCGGCCCAGACGGAAAGCTCCACAGAACATCTCCCAAGCGCTCCCTGGGAAGTCAACCCCACCAGCCCCCTGCCTCCGCCGCCGTCCAAGCACGATCAGAGGCAGCAGTTCTTCAAGCACAACCAGAGCGGCAACCCAGCTTCATCTCAGGATGGGCTAATCGAGCACACCCAGAATATCTCTCTTCATGAAGCAAAATCTGCGCCTTTGCGGTCTGAGTCAACGCCGCCAGCTAGACTTGCCAAGCCCGAAGACGCCCTTTTCAAGGACCTGGTTGACTTCGCCAAGGCCAAGACTCCCTCGGCCTCCAAGCCTGGTAGTAAGAGAACGTACTGAGCCTTCATGCTCTCTCTCTCTCTCTCTCTCTCTCTCTCTCTCTCTCTAGGGCTTTGTTCTTTTGATGGGCACAGGACCGTTTCGACATTGACATTATGTGTACATTACCTATATTCAGGCTGGTCTTGTGAGATATGTATTCTTCTTTTAAAAAACGGTTTCTTTGCTATTTTTGGGAAGTTCTTCCGCTCCAGGATTCCTCCTCCCCCGCTTCTATTTTTAGAAAGAAGTCATATACATTCCAGCAGGCTTGGTGCTAATGGGCCACATAAGTGAGTAAGAGCGTAGCCCGGCCCGGCTCAGAATATAAATGTGTGCTCCCCCCTCATACGACGTCCCATCTCTCTCTCTCTAGCATCCGTCTCTCTCTGATGTCAATAGTTTGACTTTCTTTAGTATTAGAGTTAAATTTTAAAATAAATTAAATTAATGCCACACCAGCCCACTAATTAGGTGGGCCCAGATCATTGATTGGACAGATCAGATGGGGGTTAGATAGATTGGCCCATCAACACGTCTCCCCTTCTGCGTCGAAGACTCCCTCTCTCTCTCTCTCTCTCTCTCTCTCTCTCTCTCTCTCTCTCTCTATGTGCCTTCATCATTTTATTCTTTATTCCTCGATGTGTTGACTCGCCGGAAGCTTCGGCGAAGCTAGAAAGTCGCCTCAACGGTCAGATCCACGTCATCTGCTTAAATTCCTCTCCCCCTTTCTCTCTCTCTCATGCTCGGAAGTCCACGTCACAAGCCACCGTGGCGCGGTGTGATGGACTCGACGCGTGAAAATAGAGTGACGTCAGGTGGACGGTCGGTTGGGTCGTTAGGCTCCCCCTCGCTTTCGTGGAGTCCACACACCCCCCCCGGCGCTATCTGCTCACCAGACTTGAGGCGGTGACGGTATCCATGGGTGTTGCATCTACGCCGGGTAGGCCGCCGTTGGAGGAACATTCCTAGATCCGATTGGATTTTATTTTCGCCTTTATAACCCTTCAATACTAGTTATCAATTAAATATCTTTTCACCCTTTTATCGGGGTAAATATCTAACGTTATGTGGTGCCTAAAACAGAGTAAACTTATAATATAAATAGTAATATGAATGCAGAGTAAAGTCAAACTCCGTAGTTGACAGATTTGCTTAACCGTACGAAGGATATATCCACAAATATTAATTCTATTTTTCTCGGATCGCCTTTGCAATAAAGGAATTAAATACACCCGCGTTACCAGCCCATCCTCAGACAACTCGCTCTCTCTCTAGATATTTCGTACCGCTCATCCTCTTCGGCGAATCGATTCTATCCTCGTTCGCGCTTCTGGTGCCAGATCTCGCGGGAGGAGGGAGGTGACGGCGGCGGCAGGATACCTACTGTCCCGGACATTGGATCTGCGAATCCTGAGCTTTCGTTTGTCCTTGCGATGCCGTGTTCGTGGGGGGAGAATGGCGGGGAGCTGGCCGGTGCATGAGATAGCGCCGCGGACGAGGGAGTAGCTCTCACCATGGACGTCGCGTGATGGTGTGCGGCAGCCGCGGCCTTATGATCTTAGGTGAAGGTGCGTTGAGATTTCCGGAATGGCAACAGAGTCGGCGGACAATGGCGGGGGTTGGACCTACCGGGGGATGTCCTCCGACAACATCAAGGGATTGGTCCTGGCTTTGTCATCCAGCTTCTTCATTGGAGCCAGTTTCATCGTTAAGAAGAAGGGATTGAAGAAGGCTGGTGCCTCTGGTGTAAGGGCAGGTACCTCTCTATCTCTTGGTAAAGTAATATTTCGGATATCGAGGCCTAAGATAGGCGCGGGGGTATTTGTTTTTCTGATTTTTACTTCACTGTGTGCCTCTGTACTTTTCTTGCTCAAATTCTTCTTTTATTTTCAAAATTCGCTACTCTTTTTCCCTTCCCTCGACAAAGAAGAAACGCCGGGGAGGACATGCCAGAAGTGATCCAAATTCGAGTTAACGGAAATGAGAAGAATTTACAGAAAATAATGGAAAACATTGATCGGGCTGGTTTCTCCGTTCAAAATTTCCTAAACATCTTCATGTGAAACGTGGGATATCCTCTCATTTCTTTCCCGTTGTACCTCCCGGACTGTTTTTTTGGGAAACATTGAATGCCTTCCAATTTATTCTTTCTCCAAAGAGATTTTGTCGCGATTCTAAAATGTTAAATAATGCCTTGTAAGTACCTTCCCCGCCAGTCCATAAAAATAAGCATTTCTTGTGGTCGTCCACATGTTATTTATGGCACCATACTTTGCAGACAAATAACCTGCTATTTCAGCTAGAGTAACATGAGAGAGATTTATTTTTTTCTTGACATTTGGATTTTTTATTTTTTTTTCGCATGTTAGAAATCTCTGTCGACTTATTTCCCACCGGATAATATTTAATGTTTTAAGGTAAATATTGGCGCATACGAAGTCCTTTTCCCAGAATCTCCATCTTCCATCCAATTTATCCCTGTGGATCTCACCGTATTGCTTTCCTTTCAATTCCATTTTCCAATCTCTGATATCTTTTTCCTCAATTACCATACTGACTTTTGTTAATTCTTGTCGAGTCTTCAAAGTTAATTCGGCTCCCTAGTTTTTCGGATCTCTTTGGAATCGAGGGTGCGACCTCTATTCCTATTCTGCTATTAACTCGTCGAACTTCTTGACTTTATTATCTCAGATAGTCATAAATGCCTAGGATTACGAGCAAACTTATGTAATTTCTTTGTAGCATGCTCGTACTGTGGGTCTCATGCCACATCATTTGTCAACAGGAGTTGGTGGTTATTCTTACTTATATGAGCCTCTTTGGTGGGCTGGCATGATTACGAGTAAGTTTTGTTTGCATATCCTTTGGTTTAATATTGAATGGTTCGTTATTTTTGGTGATCTGCCTTGAATGTTGTCTTGTGAACTTCCCTGTAAGCGTCATTTTTGTTGTGAACTTTATGTAAAAGTATGTTTGATGTTCAGCTCTGATTTTATGCAACTTAGCTTTATAAAAGACTTGTACCGATCATTTATATGCTCTGCATTAAAAGAACAGTGCATCATTATCAATTCATTTACTTTATAACATTTGTGCAGCATAATCAAGTTGGTTAATTTTGTTGAATCACGAAAGTTTTAGCAAACCATCATAATATTGCTAGTGGTCCCTAGTATAAGTTGGAGAATTCTTTCTTTTATAATTCAAAGCTGGATACTGATGTGTCTTATCAACTGGTACAGTGATTGCTGGGGAAATTGCTAACTTTGCAGCATATGCATTTGCACCGGCAATTCTTGTCACCCCTCTTGGTGCACTTAGCATAATTATCAGGCATGAATTTGAATTTCGTCGTGTTCAATTTTTTTCTTCACAATCTTCTATTTTTACACCATTCATTTCGTGTGACAGTGCTGCACTTGCGCACGTCATTCTCCGGGAGAGATTGCATGTCTTTGGCATTCTTGGTTGTGTCCTATGCGTTGTTGGTTCCACTACAATTGTCCTCCATGCTCCTCAGGAGCGTGAAATTGAATCTGTCAGTGAAGTATGGGATCTGGCAATTGATCCAGGTTTGATTCGTTCTAGGGTTTTCATTGTTTGTTCAGTTTCCAATGACTAAGAAGTCAACTCAACGTTTTTTTTGCAGGCTTTCTCTTGTATGCTTTTGTGGTCATTTTAATCGTGTTTGTACTTATATTCCACTTTATTCCACAATACGGACAGACACATTTAATGGTATATATTGGTGTATGTTCTCTCGTTGGTTCTCTATCGGTAAGCATGTGCTTCTGCTTTCCTCATTATATTTACTTTGAGTTCAGTTTCTTGTCTTGATGTGATACGGCTGTGTGGCAGGTTATGAGTGTCAAGGCCTTGGGAATCGCTCTAAAGTTGACTTTTTCAGGGACGAATCAGTTACTATATCCGCAAACTTGGGTGTTTGCCACGGTTGTAGCCGTTTGTGTGGTTACCCAGATGAATTATTTAAACAAGGTAAAAAAAAAAACCTGTTTTTTAAAATGTTTTCTTGGAAATTTACAGTGTTCTTGAGGTTATAAGACAGCCATTGAGATATGTTTTATGGTAATTTTGCACGACATCATATACATGGTTTTTAAAAATTTAATGTAGTGTTCCAATCTCATTTCCTTTTGAATCGTGTGGTAATGTTTCTTCATTAAGGCATAAATTAATGCAAAAGCTTCACGTAATTTTTACCTTCTTATCCAAACTTATATGCGTAGGTTTTTCATTTCAATTAAACACAACATTGATTATATTAAAGAAATGACATTTCTACACAGATCTTTCGGCATCTTTGCTCTGCTTTGTACACGTGTGCCCTGCCAACGTTCTCTGATGACAGTCGCATGAATCATTGTTATGCATTTCTACGTTGAGTATACTGCTGAATGTGATTCAACAAAATTTCGTCAACAAGTTTAGTATTTAATTGAAAGGAAACAGTGATTTTTCACCTAACGAAGGGCCCCATCATATACTTGATATATATTTTTGGAAATTTGCAAACTGGTTGAAACTATGCTAGCTCGGGGTCAACGCCTAATGAATTTTCTAGATCCTGCTTCGATCTTGGTTTTTTTTTCCCTTTTAAAATACATGCTATATTTCTAAATCTTGCCATATCTGATCCGATGTTCTCTCTATCTTCATGGGTGATGAAATATTTCTGCTTTAACTTAATCACAGGCTCTTGATACATTCAACACGGCGGTGGTCTCCCCAATTTACTTCGTGATGTTCACCTCGCTGACCATTCTGGCCAGCGTGATCATGTTCAAGGTCAGCTTCAGCGCCGCAGACTTCACTGCCCTTTCTCTCTCTTGTTCTTCCCCAGCCTTGTGGGTTCCCCCGCCGGGTCAGACACACATCTCTAATACCCACTTCCTTCCTCCTCGGCCAGGACTGGGACCGGCAGAGCCCCACGCAGATCGTCACAGAGATGTGCGGATTCGTGACCATCCTCTCCGGGACCTTTCTTCTCCACAAGACCAAGGACATGGCCGACGGTATGCTTCTCTCTCTCTCTCTCTCTCTCTAATGTCTTTGCTTCGTCTCTATATATGCATCGATGTATATATTCTTCCAGGTGTCTCTCCTTCTGTGCGTCTGGGAAAGCATGTAGACGAGGAGGATGGCTTCGAATCGGAGGGCATCCCCCTAAGATGCCAGGAATCATCGCGGTCGCCGTGAGGTGGTCCAGCAGATATCCCCGCATGGGAGGGCGCGTGGGGGGGTGGCGTCTCTGCTTGGGATCGTCGGAAGAAAATAAGATGAGCAGGTGACCAACCGCCCCCCGCCGGGCACGCAGGAAACCAAGCGGTTGAGGTAATGAGCTGCTGCCGGCGAAGTTCTCCGGGAGGATTGGAAGAACGATTGTGATCGATTTATTTCGGGAGGGACACTCAACTCCTTTGTAAAACAAAACCAGTTAGAGCCATAGAGGAACATCTCTGTCGCCACAGAAATCTAAGTTCCCCACTGAAAAGCCACATTTGGTTTTTTGGTTTCCTTGCGGCTGTAATTCTTCCTTCCTTTAATGAAACCCATGTTCACGGCGGTGTTTCAGATGATGCTCAAGGGATCTCTCTCTCTCTCTCTCCCTCTCCTCTCTCTCTCTCTCTCTCTCTCTCTCTCTCTCTCTCTCTGCATGTGGGGCAGGGAGTGGGAAGGAGAACCTGGGCAACACGAACACCAGAGATGCGCAGGAAGAGGAGGAACTGATTGCTCTTTTTCCTTTCGCCTTAAATAATAACAACGATTTCCGACAACGTTGGAGAACAATCAGTATCTCGACCGCTCAGCACATCAATTGAGGGACTGACGGGACCCAAATGAATGGCTGCTCGAAAAAGCTCGGCAGACTGCCCGCCGCCGGCGCCGCCGCATTAAAGGAATTAACAAATTACAGGGTGAAGAAGAAAACGCCCCCCACACCGCCAACTTCACTGCACGCGGTGCGGCAACTCGCCGAAGGCTGCCGGCGGCACGACGTTCTCGCCCCTCGCCGCCTCTGGAAAGCACGCGCCGCGGCCCGTCTTCTGGACGTCTCCCGTGCCGGCCGCCAACCCTGGCACGCCGCCGCTGAACCTGCAGCCTTCTTCTCTTCTTTCCCCCTGCCAAGGGGGTGGCGGTCCTGGTCTCTGGTGCCTGTGACTCCACTGGTTGTGCTCATTACCATGCCCACAGCCTTCTGCGCTGACTGGGGGGTTCCCTCCATGTCCAATGGGGGGCTCTTTTCTACCATTCTCCGGCATTAAGCCGCAACTGGAACAAGGAAACAGCTCTCTCCGAGGAACTGGAGGCAGAGGGGGGAAAGGGTGGAAGGGCATGCCTGGGGCGATCTTCCAGTTCGGCCGGCACTGCTTAGATCCTTCCTCGCCATCGGCGGCGGTGCCCAGCTGCTCAGCCAGCGCCAGCGGAATGCCATATGATACAGTGAGATGCGGGCGGTACCGCTGCTGGGGATGGCCTGCGACAGCTTCGGCTCTGATCATGGAGAGGTCGGATTGAATCAGAGGCTGGCTGCTGCTCACAGGAGGACCGAACCCGGGAGGGACTTCCTCAAAGGACTGTGGATTCAAACTGTCAGCGGCAATGGCTCTGGGTGTTGCTTCCATTTCAGACTTGGATGAGCTCTGGGGATCTGATTCCGCTTGATTGACCTTAAATCTCGAGAGCTTTGGGCTGGGGTCTGCAGCTGGAGCTGATAGGGTTGCATCAGATGGTTGATCCCAACGGGTCTTACGCTTACGGGGCTTTGTGGCGGCAGAGGAGTTGACTTCGGCTGCAGCAGGCACGGGAGGAGGTGCCAGCTCCTTCGCATCAAGACCGTGGGAAGGTGATGGGAGATGATTAGCATCCGTGTCTCTCGCACCCTCTATGCTGCCTCGTTTTGGTGGCACTGGTGAGAACCAGTTGCAGTTGGGGCGTTTCAGATTAGACCGACCGATGTCCCTGTCCGATGAGTTGACTTTTCTGATGGGGCGAGGAAGCCATTTATCTCGGAAGTTTCGAGCCATTTGATGAACCTGAAGAGGACAGAATGAGTGTGAATCATCAGTGACGAAAGGGAATGACTTTCAATTATATAGGGACGTTTTTCTGAAACTAGCTCAGCTGCAGCTCCTACTCCTGTTCTCTGACCCCCAGTATGGAAACCAGATGCTCGCAGAGACAGAGAGAGTGTTGACATTCGGTGTGCAGTCAAGATCAGTAAGGGATTTGGTAAAAAGCCCACTCATGGGTGACAAGGTCAAATCCATGTGAATGGGGTGGCAGTAGCAGATCGCACTACCTTCTAAGAGGTAGTGGCAATCACTCAAATGTCATCACTTGAATATAGCAAGCACAAAGCCTCCAAAAACTGTAGAGGCCCGTCATAAAGGCTCTGACCCGATCAGATCCTGATAAATGCGCATGTAGAGAGATCTGGGTTGACCCGTACAAGTTAAACTTGTCCTGTCTGAACCCAGTTACTTGGTTCAGAGTTTCCAAGAAGAGGGGTCCAGGCCTAGATAATGACTGCTTCAAAACTACACGACATCAACTAGGTGGATATAGCTTATGGCCAGGAGATCTTATGAACTATTTGAGGAGGCTGCGTAAACGAATCAATAAGAAGAATACAATCAAATGCCAGATCTACTGACGAATGATTCTCAGAAACATGTCCAATGGTGCAGGCTGAATGCAAACATGAATAGAATATTACCTGAGTATCATTGTGATACGTCAATTTGTGTATTGAATCCTTAAAGCTGCAAAAGAACGGAAAACATATGAGCGAGTTTGTGATACTTCAAATTCCCAGTTATAAATAAAGTATTCATGTACGGATATAGAGATTCCCACCCCATGTAAGAAATGTAAAGAAAGAGCATGGTAACAGCAGATAACTTGTAAAATGAAAATGAACCCTGAAATTGAACCAACGGCATTCATGGGGGAAAGGGCTTTTGGTCCACCATTCTGCTTTCGCCACTGGCATTTACACCTTCCATGGGCTGAACAGCCTGCCGATCAGATATTTCTACAAACTAAATTAAATACACAATATATACATATATATGGACAGAGGAGCTAGGCAAGAGCGTCTAAAGTAGACAATACCCAGGACGCTATAACTACTGGATAGTCAGTTTTCTTCCCATCTGTTGATTCATGAACACCAGTATTTTATGCCTCGATTAACACTATTGATTAAATTACGAAAAAAAAACTCATCCAACTTTGAGAATAACATTGTTGTACATTGAACTGTCATTCTGCATCTTGGCTTCTACCACGTTTCACACTATTCACATGAACTTCTTCGGTTTTACTAGCAGGTTCACTAGTAATGGAGGTGTAAGCGACTGGTCTTTTGTGTTCACTTGTCTCCTGTAAACATTCGAACTGATCAACAACGGAATAAGAGGCAGGGTACGGTGGCAGAAACATCATAAATGTCGATGGTGGTCATATCTATAAGGCTTGATACCTTCCTGTGTACATCATTCGTTCATCTTATCACACTAGTTATATGCAATCGCAATCACTTGGTTTTCATCTAACCTGAAAATTAATTTTGAGCAATCGAAATGGTTCAAGTTGGGTCAACATACCTCGTTAACTGCAGCACTGAGTTCAATATTGGCTACTTTCCTAACCATACGACAATGATGTGTACTAAAAAACTAGGATAATAATGGGAGACACTAATATGAATATCATGTCAGTGAGCTAACATTTTCGGAATGAAGAGATAAGGATAAGATCCATAATCTGATCAGAGATTGACCAAACTTGACGGTCAACCATTTTTTTTAAGGTGCTGATCAGGTACCAGCAAAAAGCATCACAAACTAGTGACTCAATCCACTAATTCTGTGTTACATGCCTCGGCTACAATGAGTTCAGGTGACAAGAATTCCTGTTAAGGAGGGAGGCTGTAATTAGAAGAAGACTCCAGAAGATTTCGGTTCTTAAATGACAAGAGATAAGGCGGAATATGTCTGCATATAATCTTCCCTGTTCTGTCTCAAGGGCAAATCAGCTGCGGAAGCTATAATGTGCCAACAACCCAGATAAATGGTGGATACAGATTATGCAATATAATAGCCATGAAATCAATGGAAGCACCATAAGCAGCAATAGATTGAAACGAAACTGAATGACAAGGAAATCAGCAAGTAATGAATTCAAGATCCCGACAGTAACATATTATTCCGAAATGCCTTAGTAAAGACTGACATATAGAAATTCTCCATGATGGTATATATAATAAAATGCATCCCCCTTTTCATGACTACAGAACCCTACGGCAAGAGAAGTCTACAAATCAAGGGGAAATATAAACATGCACAAGAAGATCTATGCCTTATTTTCACCCAGCATAGCGATAGTCCGAACTCAAAAAAATAAAATAAAATAAAAGGAATGACAAGAGCCACTGCAATGCATAACCTCTCGAATTCCGCATTAGAAGGTAAATAGCTCATGTGCTCAGGAGTAAGTATTTCCTTTACAGCAAGGAACTCTAATACCTGCAAAAGAAAAAAATACGGATTTATTTAATTGATTGGCATTACAATTTTGAAATATTTGAACTGACACAACAAGCGCCCAATCTCAAGGAGGTTCACAACAGAGAGAAGTAATGAAGCATTGAGGCTTCATGTTCGTTCTGTCAAATTGACCATGTCTCATACATGGTCAATTTAAAGGCCCAACAATATAATGAAGCACACAAAAGAACTAGGATGGCAACAAAACTAAATACACTTGAAATAGAACACGAAGAGGCAACAAAAGAAATAGGTCTATGAATCAGGAACCACCTTTATAAAAGGTCTCCAGTAGAGCTAATGAATAAAAGTGACTGGAAATAAGAAAGCTTCAAAGGCTCTTCCCAGTAAAAAGAAATAAGGACCGGATTCTACAAAGAATATGGGCTTATTGAACTGAAATTAATGATATAAAACTCATACATCAAATGCACGTATTTACCTTAAGAAGCTTACGAATTATAGGAATTTTATTAAAATTCTTCCTGTTCTGCTTCATAATGTTGTGTAACATTTGCAATCCTGAAATGCAAAAGGAAAATTCTGTTATAATGATATTCATACGTAAGCACATCAATATGTCACAATTACCACCCCAAACATACCATTTTTATTGATTACATCAGCTAATACAGTCCTTGATTTTGTTTTCAAGAGAGCGTCAAGAATCAATGAAAGATCTCTTGTGCTGAAAGATTCACACAAGAGTAGGTCAGGTAAAATTAGAAATCCACAAAAAAAATGCAAATCTCGTAAGAAATAGCATATAAAACAACCTCTGAGATGTTTCACTTTTCATGTCATCCCCTGACTTAGCAGAAAAAAATAAAAGCTTCAAGTAGCCTTTCGTAGCATCCTGGCAATGAGGAGATGATTTAGAAAATCCAATAATAAATAATCCAACCCAAAATGACAGAATAGCACCAAAGAAACGTAGCTGTTGTCATTTTTCATTTAACAATATAACAGAAGTAATTATTTCCCAACCATGATGACTTGGGAGTAAAATAAAGTTTCTTGACAAAAGATGTGAAAAATATCCAAATAGAGAAACAAATAATGAAGAACATTTTGATACAGCCAAGGCGTTCCCAGGGAACATCTTTTCAACAAAACATAAGATACAGGCAAGCAACTAAAAAGCACAAAAAAAAATCTGCAGAATGTAGTCTGTCGCATACCCTATGTTTGTTGATACCACCACGAGAATCAAGCAACTCATTAAGTTTTTCTTCAACTGCAAGGCGAAGACAAACTAAATGATATGAAAAATCAAAAATATGTGATTACAATACGCAATGTAAGATCACATTACCCCCTTCATGGTGACCAGTACGACATATTCCTGACTGTGTGTGAGAGACCACGGATGCCCTTTTTCCTTTTTGCATCATGGATTTGTTAATCTTGCACCTTCTCTTTTTTATCGCACAGATTGAACGAGATGATTTTAAATCAGGGGTTGATCTTGGAGTATCTGGCTTGTTACCATCCGGAGATGGATCAGGTGCAATTTGGTTCCTTGATGCTAATGGCAAAGCTTCTGATGGTTGGCCTACAGGAGAAAGCCTGAGAATAGCATCATCATTTGTCGAAGAAAGGTCCACTCTGTGACTAATATCTGTTGTCATCCTTGTTTTCCCAGAATCCTGTACCGGAACACCAAGCTGGAGATCTGCCGAATCAGCTGATTCGGAAATTTTCTCAGCTACCTCGACCTTTATTTCACCATTTTCGTATATCATTACAGGTTCAGGATGTTCTTCATCTGAATCACTGTGAACAATGATCTCACTATTCAATGGATCACCACCAATGTAGCCACGACATTCTGCAGATCCGCATACACATCTTTTTGCTGCGGCTCCAAATACTCGGACATAGTTGTAATCAAATGTAACTTCTTCCCCCTACAAAACAGCGAATATGCATTACAAAACAAATAGAAAATCATAAACTAAAATATTAAAATCGAAGGTTGTCAGCAATTTGCCAATGACAAAAAGTAGTTGCAATGACTGAAAAAAGGTTGGTACATGCCATGCAGCATATATAATAAAAACAATCGAGGAGACTTTCCAGAGAAGGAAAAAAAAAGACAGAAGTCGTCCATACAGTTGGTGGAAGAATTACAGACGATTGCAATCAGTGATTGCCAAAGTTTTTGGGTGTTTATACATTCAACTGACATATTATTCCAATGTAAGAGGTGTTCCTCATATTCTCCATTTTTTTGTCACATTTAATTTACTGATCCCAGATATTTAGAAGTAAATTAACCCGTACAAATCGAGATAACACTTCAGCTTCTCTTGTACTTAGTAGTCAAGTAAAATATGCAAGGGTTATGCCTCAAGACCTGCCCAAGGCTTGAACTCGAAAAGGATATAAATGTCTCACCTAAGAATTTCCTCATTTTTAAGAAAAAAAGTCATAAGTAATCCAATTCATGAAGTAGAAGATAAAATACACTGTGTAAAAGAGTACCTTCTTGATATCTCGTACTGCAAATAGGCCGATGCATACTTCTCCATTAACCATCCACTGCTTCAACAAAGCTTTTTCAATCAGTGAAAATTCACGACCAATAGAAATGTAATTACAATTTTATGCTTCAGTCTGCTCGGCCAATGGACAAGAGAACAAATACACAAAATATGCATTCAAACTCTTGCAAATGTAATGAAGATTTGGACCTTTTCAGTGCGACAATTAGGCTCACAGCTGTGGTTGATGAAACGCCCCAAGTTTCCTTTAGCACAAGCGTCTATCACCTGGACACAGTACAAAGTTTTTCCATGAGTAGACAGAAGCAATTCCATTAAGCTACAGATTCGAGACAGGACAACACAGGAGCGTTTAAAATAAGGTAACCGTCTCCAAAGAAAAATGAACTTTCGTTTTTTCTGAAGGAAATTAGATCATGAAATAAAAAAGGATCGATAATTTTAAAACTGAAGTATGATTTTTAATTGCAGGTTGCTTTAAAATGAAAAAACGAGTGGTTTACATAGAGGAAATTTATTTATAGCTACGTAGTTACGGTAGCTAAATCACCTCCCAAGTCAAATATCAGTTCTGACTTTTTCCTTACGTTTAACAAAATAAACTGTTATCTTCCATAAAACAAATGTATTCTTAGTCATACATTTATTCTTATGTGTTTCATAATTGCCAGTATCTGAAGAGTACGCAAATCAACGAATATGATGGCCGTTTACCCAAAACAACCGAGTTTATGAATCGCATCCTAAATAGGCAGTCAAATCTGATTCAGAACACCATGCAAACTACCAGTTCAAACGTATTCACCCACCTGCACACAGTTAAGCGTAAGCACACCAAAACACAATAAAGATGATGCAGTCTCTGAAATGATACCATAACTAAAGTATGAATGTTCTGATTCAAGTCATTAATCTACCACCAATAGCACAAACAACTGATACAGACAAACCCAATTCTCTCAGCATAAGATTTCTCAATACCCAACATGTTCCTTTGTTAGTACAAATATCGCACGAGCTGCACTTCAGATAAGTGTGAATATCCATCCGCTGAGTTTGAGTAGACACTTCGTAATGTTCTTTGTTGACAGCTTATCATGTGCCCCAACGTCACTCCTAACAATAGGGGACTAAAAAAGGTATACCCAAGCAAGTTATCAATGGCCAAAAAAGTATCCATTTCCCAATAGTTTTATTTATTAAAGAAAATTTCCCTTTTTCATACTTGAGTTCCTATTTCTAAGGTTCCATACACAAAACACTACTTTAATCATAATAGCACCCCATGAGGATAGGTAAAGATGATTACAAAAAAAACGTATATTTAGCATCACGAAATTTCATCACTCCACTGTATACGAGAATTAATAAAAACATAAAATAAGAGAATTTAAATTTAGAAATAATGGAAAATTACAACCTCATTGCCATTCAGTGTCATAAAATAGAAATGTTTTTGACCTCTGGAGGCATATTCTCTTTGACGAGCTTCATGAGCAGTCATATCAAGCACCTGTTTGAAAGAAAAAAGGAGTAAAAAACAGTTTATAAATGGTATCTCTCTTTGGATTCTTTGAAAAGTAGTAAAGTTGAGACAAAATGCAATAGTTGTAATCTGCCAAACCATACACAGAATCATGCGACAGAAAATAAATCTAATGTCATGAAAATGGAAACTCAACAAAATAAAGCTGTCAACAACTTGTGAAATTCATAATGCTAGAAGGATGATAATTGACCCGTTGTAAAAAATCTTTTGACTCGTCATTCTTATCCAGTAGCAGTGCCCCCAAGAGATTTGCATACACATGGATACATTTATCAAGCCGCGGTCAGGTATCATATTTCATAAGGGCTAAGAACGGTCCTACAAGAAAATAACTGGAAATCTTTCAGACGAGAGAAAGAACTTGAGACTGAAATATTGAGTTGCGAAACAACCTCATAGAATAACATAATGAGCTTCATATGTTCGGAGACCTAATATCTTTAAGTAAAACTTATACCCGGTGAAGAATATACAAAAACAAGGAAGAGGGGTACAAGGAGAGTTACAGGCAAAACACAACTGAAGATAACAGAATGAAGGGCTAGAGCATGGGACAAAAAATTTACCGTAAAAACATTGTTAGGCGGAAAATTATACAAAAGAGAGTGGCACGATTAAAGAAATGAAAATTTAGAAAAGATGCAAAGGCTTCTGGCATACTCGGACAAGCTGAGAAAACATTGGATTACAGATACTAAAGATTATTTTCTTAAGTATCCCTGAATCTTATCAAAATATTTATTAAATCAGTCAGTCGTTGAAGAATAAACGACGTAATGAGGAAGAAAGGGGTGATTCCAGAGAATATGGTGGAACGAGGAACGAATTATAGGATGTTCAAAGTTATAGACATCAATCTGCCTGTTAGCAGAATTTTTGTTATTTATCGTCATGTTGTATAACAGAGATGTTTTATTTCTAAGGGAGAAGTTGTGCTTGTAGAGATGCTCCAAGTATTTATTTACTCTACTTTCCCTAGTTATTTATTTCCTTGAGGGAACGTTGAAGGTTTTGTTAATACACTCCCACTTACCAGCAATTTGTACCTCTTCAATTTATCGTGACTCCCTAGTCCGAAAAAAAGCAGGGAGCTACAGGGCTACATTCAACATTCTATCTTTAATTGTTTAGACCCAGAGCCTGTGTCATAAGTGTTCGACTCCTGAGCCTGTTTTTCAGGATTTGACACAGATTATCACGCCAAACATTAGGATTGAAGAAGTATGCAGCGCTGCAACATCATAAAGCAGCCGATTTCCAGAAATTCAAACCAGACAAGCCTATTCGCTAGATATCATGACTACAACCTGAACACGCCTCTTAAGTGAAAAATGGAAAAGGAGTACAAATACCAAAATAACTACGGTATTACCTCTCCAACATATTCAATCAGAAACTGTCCTTGACATGCATCTTCCAACAATTTCAGGCCAAATCCTTTCTTTCCACAACGGAAATATCTAAATTTGGCATATTCACGTTTCTGGAACTGCAAGCAGTTGATGAAAAATATCATGTAGATGACGATCATATTGACATGCTAAAAAAGTTGATGACAATGTACTACCTGCTGATTTGAACAAAGATTGCCACAGGGGCATGTTTCTGGGGTGCACTCTATGTTAAGCATCCGGTTCAAGCATTCATCTCCACAACCCAAGCTGCCATCTAGAGGAGGTTTACATTGGCAAACCATGATCTACTTTGTTCAAAGAGATGAAAAAGACATTGGAAGGATCAAAATCAGTCTTAAGGAATGGAACAGTAAATAAATTCAATTATAAAATCGTTAAAATTAAAATTGAAAAAACGTAACCCGTATATAGAGAAGCATTTCTTTGCATGCATATGCTTTTTGAGAAGGAAAATAATTTTCATGCAAACTAGAGTAGAGTATGAAGCAGTCTAACACATACTTAGAAACAATTTTTATGCAAACACTGGGTAATCTGCCATAAACAATTAGCAAAGCTCAGTAACAGTCTGAAACTGACCACAACTTTATTTCAGCTATCAAGTGTACCTGGTTATGGCATTCATCACATAATTTTTTTATTTCAGATATCACTAGTTGAGATTCATGTAAAAGCAATATCTTATCAATTTTCAATTAAGTTTGAGAATCACTGACACCATACCTTCCTATTCGCGAAAACAATTTTTATGTAAAAGTAATATCTTATCATTTTTCTTAATTATATAGAAGTCAAATGAACGGTAGTAAGATTACTGAGGACAAAGACACAACGGGAAGCATGAAAACTAAAAGCCTATTTTCCCCTGTTGTTAAAAAGGATAACATTTTGAAATTCAAAAACCAGAAAGAATGCATCGTCCTTGCTAAATGAAATTCTCATAGTTAGGGATGAATATAGAATCTGATGACCTTACAAAAGAAGATGGATCCCACTTTCCAACGTGAAAATGAGATTTATCACATGTTGTCTCCTCTAAAATTTGGGAGAGCAATGAAGTAGTACAATATTAAATCAATATTTCCGAATCAGTTTTGAACAAAAAAATTGCATACCATTCATCTATTTCAATCCCTAGTCAGAAGCAAGGATAGATGTAGACATAAAAAGATACTGAACGGAAGGAAAGAAAATGACGTAAGAAAACCTCCGAATCAAGTGGTATGTTAAATAATTCCGGGGGGAGGGAGAAAAACGGTCCCTGGTATGTAAATCAAAAGAGCTTCAAATAATGACTATGATACATTTAAAATGTAAGAGCAGTTGAATTAATTCAAACCTCATCAATCGTCTGGGTTTTACGAGTTCGGTGAAGAAACATGTTGCTATTGATGTGAACCCATGCAGATTGTTGGAAAGCTGCACCATAAACAATAGATGTATTTTAACTCGTATACTTAATTTCTGATACAATCTCAGTAAGTACAAGCAGCTATCAAAGGATACATTACGGAAAAAACAAACTTAATCTTTGCTTTTATGAACCATGAAATATGTCAAGAAACCTGGTGGCTTTAAATTAGATCCTGTGGTACGTGGTTGTTCGGTGTACAAGTCTTCCTCACAAGAAGCATCTGATATTTCCAACTCTGCATTAATTTCTGCATTTGTCTTCTCTTGGGGTATGGTGCAGTCTGCAAAAGCCTTGTCCTTATTGTCCTTACATGTCCTTCAAAATAAACGTCATATAAATCATTCAAGGAGAATATTAGCAACAGAGAGAGGGGAGAGAAAGGGAGGTCTTTGTTGCTTCTAACATGATAAAAAATTCCCATGACACAAACACAGTTCACACAGGGTTGTCTTTTAAGTTAGTACGTTTACTGGAAGCATCTTTCAAACATTGTCGATTTTACAGCTTAGCATGTGAACTATTGAGAATCCAAAAACATGATTTACACAAGCACCAAAACCACGGAGTGCTCACAGGAGGAAGAAATTATAGTAAACTAGTTACCCGGGAGCAGAGAAAAATAAATCATCCTTCATTTCGTTTGTCATACCAGGAGAATGTTGAAAAGGCTCCTCAATCGATGACCAAAATATTGATTCAATAGTTTTTAAACAAAGAAGCATATAGACATGGGTAGACAATCCGAGAGTGCGATTCATACTTCTTAAAATGGGCAAAATAAAAACTACAGTTTTTTTCTTAATTTAGTATATGCCAAGAACAAAAGATAACAGAGGAAAAAATACATTAAATGATGAAGTTGAAATTCTTAGAAAATGTAGACTAATAACTACAGCAACAACAATTAAAAAAAGAATTAATTCATTTATTCATCAATGGCAGAAGGATAATATGGCGAACCTATTAGTTCACATGCTAGGTACCATAGTACGGTACTTGCCACAATGCGAAGAGAAAGGTCAACTACCGAAAATAAATGATTATGGGAAGTCCTAGAGGACATTCTATAAGACATTAGACGAAATTCCAAACATTTTAGACTCATGACTTAATTGTTGGCAACAAAGAAGAGCGCACAACTGCTTTTCAGCGTATCATTTTCATCTGGACTTAAGAATACTAGGCAGTAATCAAGGAATCCAGAAATTTCAAAGAGATAGATTATAACTGAAAACTAGACCCCTTGACAAATAAATTCATCATCTTAGACACTAGTAAAAGCATCAAAGGTTATACCCTTTCTGCAATCATTTTCTCTAAGCCCGTGGTACTGAACAGATAGCTTAGGATCCAACAGTCAGTCTCGAAATTTTGGGCTCTTACTGTTACCAAATGCGTTCAAATAACTCACCGAGATTTTCAGTGCCTCTCCAAGAACGAGTGAGGTAGAAAGAAAAAAATTCAACCTTGCAGAACCTTTTGGTTGAACTATTCAAGGAAAGAAGAATCTATGTATGGTACATCATTCCCTTTTATCGATTCCCATAACTCAAAATGAAATATGTAACACAACACGTTGTGACTATGTATCTGATTATGTATCCAGGAAAATTCATCTTTCTCTTGAAGATAAAGGAAACTTCCCCTCGCATAGTGATATAAGACACTTGTTCCTAAGGAAGAGGAGCAAAAGTCCAATGAATTTTTTTTGAGCGAACTCAAGCCATGGGACTTCCATGTATGATATACGTCAGTTTACCACATGGCGGAGTGGAAATGAAAACTTTGAAACAAAGCCGAGGCCTGAGCCAATAGGAAAACCGACACAGTTCATCTGATAGTTTATTTTCAATGAAGTCATGATGAATCCAATGAATTTGAAAAAGAAATAGACTTCATAGTATATCTCGATCATTTCATGTTGAAAAAATTGTAGCATTGCATATATTATTTGAGTGATCCGGCATACTAACCGTCAGAACTCAAATGTAAAGAAAAAAAAAGAAATTTAAGCTGTTGGTCTTAAAACTAGTCCAGCCATATAGCTACAGTGTTGGAGTCATTTGACTAATATAATTGTATTGTTTACTCCCTACCTTCCTCTCCCCCTCCCCCCCACCCCCACCTCTCTCTCTCTCTCTCTCTCTCTCTAGACGTGTAGATGTCCCCGTTGAATTTGAATGAAAATTTGCCCTCAATTATAACAGGTAGAAATTCGGTGTACATTTACTAAATCGCACCAGCAAATAGATACTCATCTGTATGGAAAAGATAAACAGCATCAGTAATAGAAGTACAAGCGTATTTCTATAAACTTAAAGAAAAAACAACAGGTGAGGAAAGCTATTGTCTTTTGCATTCACATGAATTTATACATCAAATTGTTCATGGTGACTTTGTACTTGATCCGCTAAAAATTCAATGAATAACCTCACCCTCACCTAATGACATACCTTTTGTTAATTCAAGACCAACCCATGTTTCCAACTGAATCGTCAACCATTTCATCGGAACCAGATATGTAGATTTTGAAAAAAACCGGAAACCATTTTAAATAGTTCTTTCATCTCCCCTTCTGGGGGACCAGGTATCATATTCATCACCAAAATAAAATGGAATATTTGAAGAAAATCACCCAAGGCCGAACAGAAGCAAGTGAATGCCTAAAGCTGTAGTCATTTTATTTTCCATCTTTCCAAACATAGTATAGCCCTTTACACATATTATTAGTCTAATCCTCACGGAGAACGAGTTTGAGGCTATAATAAAATCACCGGACAAAAAGCTTGTGAGACCTCATCAGTAGAATGGTAGTGTTACACTATTATGATTTCCAGCATTGAAAAGTAGAGATTTTCCACTAGAATGATTAATTTAGCAGAAAAAGTGGGATTCACATTCGTACTGTGTTACAGCATTTGAACTCGAACATGCTTATGGAAAAATAATTATGCCATCATAGGTCATGATGGATCTCCTTACCATCTGCAGTCTGTTTCATCTATGGCGTCTGCAAGTTCAACTGCTATGGAACGCCACTTGTGGCAGTCATCACAACTCACCCAGGCTGCCCGTTTATGTAGAGTCTGCCCCTCTGAACCATGATTTGAACCTGTTGCCACTTCCTCGTCATCACATACAGATGCCTCCCTGCATCCATGCTTGTTGCCAGACTTGGATGCATCGTGAGGTTGATACGTTTGAAGAGTATTTACCTCTATACAAAATTATGGAGTCATCAAACGAAGTTTCTAGATGGCGTGAAAGTAGATTACAAACAAACAAGGACAATGAACGATCTGAGAGAATCTGATCAAAAGGAAGGTTTAAGAGAAAACTCACTCTTTAATCCATCAGGTTTGCTTGAAGACAAACTATTGTCCATTTCAGAAATAAGATGAGAAAGGTTTCCTCCTGCTTGAAATACATCATTTGCTTGCGACTCTTCTATTATGATGCACTGATCCTGTCGATTTTTTTGTTTAGTGTCCCCCCCGCTGCCTGATTTGTTAAAATTATCCTTCTTTCGGACAACAACATTTTGCTTTCTGCGTCGGGCAGAGTTGGCTTTGACAGATTTCCTTTTTCTTGGCCCAGCTTTATCACTCCCATTAGGCCTCTGTAACTGACCAGAAGAAGTGGAGGGAAGAATCTGCAGAATGGTGGACTCTACATCTCCAGTCGTTTTGTCCATAGCAGAAGACGCTGGATTTTCTAAAGAAATTTCTAAGGAACCTTGGTGGCAAGCCGGCTCAGTAGTTCCAACATATGAATGTTCCGTGGGAAAGCAATTAGGCTTTTCAATATCTTTGGATCCTTTCCCAGTGACTCTCGGGCAAGTAACTTTTCTATGATCAGACCTAACTTTCTTTCTCCGCCCAGACCTATTCCTAGACAGTTTTTCAGTTTTGCTAAGATTAGATGGATACAGTGATGTTCCTTCAGAAGAATAGTCTGATAAAAGACATCCATTTTCTCCGGTTTTGAAATCTTTCTGAGCATTGACTTTGGCACTTGTCTTTTCTCTCTTACTACGGGCATGTCTTGGTTTACTTCGTGGAGACACAGATGTAGCAGCCTCAGAAAAGGTCACAACATCAGCAAGCTTGTTTTCCCGTACTGGATATCCTAAGTCACAAAGACTGTAGCCGATGACTCCACCATTGGAAGATGGTTCTAAACTTGTGCGATTTATACACTCATCTACCACATTTCCACCATCAACAGTTGGATGAAGTACACCTGAATCGGGAGATGTACCAGGGTCTAATAGCAGTCTCTCATCTGCTACTTCCACTGAAGCTTCCTTCACCACACGAGATTGAACTCCATGGCAATCACCTGTCGTATTCTCACCGGATGCCTCTTGTGTGAGGCTGCTCTCCTGGTCCCTGTCCCCATGATGAGCACGTAGCTCACAAGACATCATCTGATTTTCTAAATCTCTGGACCAACAAGTGCTCTGCCTGGCAGTGCAGCCATCTGTCTCAAATTTGTTTTCAACTCCATTCACCGGTCTTGACGACCCAGGGTCAGACGGAAGATCAAAACTGCGCACACAATCATTAGAGTTAGAACATACAGAACCATGCGGATCACCTGGAACAGTAAGTTGGCGGTCCATTTTTTCCTGCAAAATCTCAGGATTGGTTGAAACAACCTGATTAAGTCTAGAAGCAGTGGATGTCCCAGCTCTCTGATCAATCAGACGTCTCCTCCCCCCACGACTCCTCCCTTTCTTCAACCCTTTATTCTTTGATTCACAAAGCTCGGAATCATGCTTAAATAGTTCTAACAGATTCCCCAGAGCACCCCAGACAGAAACACGCGCACGTTTCAAGGAATGGCATCTTTTCTTGGTGACCGTGTTTGAGGTGGTCCTAAAATCTCCATCATGGGATGCGCGGATTTTTTCTGCATTTTTTGTTTTTTTTCCAGAACTTCTTGATTTTGGTGGTTGATCAGACTTTGCCACACGTTGGGCGTTCTTAGAGGAAGCAGCACGTTCAGGATTTCTACGTCTGACAACAGAAACAGGCTCAGACTTTAGGTCAAATTTTTCCATATTATCTAACTGCACAGTACAATTGACTACACTATCTGGGCAGGTTGAGGAAATGGTAACAGCATCAGCGGCATCTGAAAGCATATTCATAGAGAGACTTTCTAAATTGCTACTGGCATTATATGAATGAGGGCATGATGATTCCCCTCTTATGCATTTTGAAGATGTCTCAGGCAAACTTTGACCTGCATCACAAGACTGTCTCTCAATTGGTAATGCTTGCTGCATCTCGTTCTCAAAATGTACCTGAATAATGCCACTTATTTCCTCCATACCATTGAAATCTTGAGCATTCCTTTCTTCAGAACGAGGGATACCATCTGCTACTGTCTCCTTAGCCAGTTTATCTAAATTTTCGGCACATAGTGTCTTAGTGCCCCACTCCAAACAGTCGTTCGTGACACAAGACACCAGAACAATCTCAGAATTATCCTGTCTATGAAGGATTTGAACTGGTTCTATAGAATTATCATATGTTATACTTCTGCTCTCAGTCCCACGTCGGATTAAATCCGCATCCTCGCTATCCTGATACTGAAAGCCACCAGAACACTCGTTTGACATCTCTGGACCATTTTCCATTGAGTATTGATTCGATGTCGGTTGTGACAGCTGACTAATAGCATCCTTAGGACCCTTGAGGTCACTGTCTCCCTCAGAATGAGCAGCTCCACCTTCCAATTCAGTAACTACATGAGATGAAGTCTGCGAAACACATCCTGGCATAATTCTCGATGGATAAAAGCAGGGATAGTCACTTTCTACCCCCTGCCATTTGTTCGATGTTCCCACAGCAAGATCCATTTCTACGGAAGAAAACTTTCCAGTTTCTTGTTCAACACCAAGATCAATCTGATCGGCTTGTTCTACACCACTCCACACTGGCAACAATGCTCCAGCACCGTTCTTGAGGTCTTCCGAAGCAGCATAATTTTCCAAGGGCAAATGTGGTTCACCCAGCCTTTCCTCGACCCCCTCAACACTGTTTAATGAATCTTCGTCACTGACATTGAACTCGTCAGATGTATCTTCAACTGTATCAGCTCCATTCCCTGTTGTCACGGAAGTTGCGCTAGCACGGACTGCAGCCCTGCATCCCGGAAAGGATTCTTCCTCGTCTATGGATAACTGCAGACCTGCTCCTACAGATGAAAATTCGTTATCCGGTGCTTCTGTTAATGCCAGTCTTCCGCGGTGATCCAAATCTACGCCCCACATCCCTAGTAGGCCAGATAGAACCCTCGATTCGGTGGAGAAGATAGCAAAGCAGCGTGGGGTTCTCAGAACGGAGCCATTCCGTGGGCAAAAATACCCTGCATTCCCACATAATATTTACCCATTGAAAAAGGAGAGAAGAATTTGACAGAAAACTTGATGAAATTTCTAGAATAAACACATTGGCCATCAAAAATGTCATCGAGATAACGGGAAAATATAATAAAAAATTGACAACCCTAGAATGAACTCGACCCTTTACATGCAACAGAAAAACGTAAACCCGATCAGGGAGGAGGAAGCGAAAACGTCAATTCATGAGCACCGAGACGGTTAATACCGGAAAGCCTGCGAATGCTCGCACGCCGTCGTTTACGGAAAGGGAACAGAGAAAGAAAGCGAGGGAATGAATGCTCACCGGGAAAGGGATAGCATGACAAACCATCCCCTCTTCTCCGTCCTCGTCTTCCCCCTTCTTGTCCCGCCCTCTTCCTCCACCCCCCCTACCCCCCCTTCTTCTTCCTTTCGGTTACGCCATCGCGAAGGAGGGCGAGAACTCCCTTCTCCGCTCGGCCTTTGACGGTGGCAAAAGAGTTGAACAACGCCGCGACCTTTTGCGGGCTTTTTAATATGAATAAATATATAAATATTCCCAATCTCCCATGAAATTTATAGATTTTATCCGCGCATTTTGACTCAGTTCCGTCCGGATTAACAAAACATTAGATCCGCATATCGTATTTTTTAAAATTGTGTTTATACTCCACTTTTTTGGGGGGCCCAGATGAGTTTGGCCCATTAATATCAAGCACACCCCAGAAGGGCCCAGCGAGAGAGTGCGACTTCTTCAAGGCCCATTTGAACACGTTTCTCTGTTCAGTTATGCCAGTTACTTCTCTCTCTCTCTCTCTCTCTCTCTCTCTCTCTCTTTCTCTCTCTTTCTCTCTCAATACCCTCAACGAGGTTGTGCTATTTTTGGTAGATAAAACCCACATACCGTGGATAAAAAGATAAATATAGTAAGAGAGAGGAAATAATCGAGAGAGAGAGAGAGAGAGCGAGAGAGAGAGAGAGAGAGAGAAGATCAGTTTGAAGAACTCCTTTGTCCTGGCTGGCTTCGTCACTGTCAACGTCTCTAAAGTAGCCGAGCCAAATCAATAATTGCGGTAACTTGACCGCATTTTAACGGTTGTGTCCGCCATTTGGCGAGATGGCCCGTTTGTCTAGTTTAGAGGCTGTTTTTGAGATTGACTACTTTTGGGGGGGTTCGAGTAAAATGGACATAAATCCGCCCCCGCTGCGGGCCCACCGGGCCCAACTTAGAATCCGCGTTATTTGACCGATACCCCGAGCTTTCGAATCCTACGAGGAAAAAGTAACCTCATAGAAAGAAAAATCATGACTAATATTTTAGTAATATAAATATATTTTAAAATTTAAAAAGATAGTCAAATAAAAGAAACTTGGGCCTACCGAACCGAACTTATAATCTTTATTATTTAACCGATTCCCAAAGCTTTCGAATTATGCGAAGAAATAAGTAAACCTACTGAAAGAGAAATCACGCCTGATATTTTTAATATAAAAAAAGAAGAAGAACAAGACAGTCAAATAAAATAAAGTCGGGTCTACCTGGCCCAACTTAGAATCTTCATTATTTAACCGATTCCCAAAGCATTCGAATTGTATACAAAAAAAAAAGTAATATCACTGAGATTAAATTAACGACTGATATTTTTAATATAATAAATAAATTATTTTTAAATAAAATATAGTCGAATAAAAGAAACTCGGCCCTACTGGGCCCAACTTAGAATCTATATTATCTAATCGATTCCCAAAGCTTTCGAAATTTATAAAGAAACAAGTAAACCCACTGAAAGAAAAATCACGACTGACATTTTTAGTAGATTAATTATATAAAAAATATAAGAAAAATTGTCAACCCAGATTCAGTAAAAACCGAAGAGAAGAAACCCAACCCCTCGATTCTTGCTGGTTTGACCATCAAACCGAATTGTGCAAGCCCAGATCCCATATTTCATGCCTCTCTCTCTCTCTCTCTGCTTTCAGGGCTTGGAAGATGCCGGGGCCCGAGCTGGGTTTGGCGGGCCGGGCCCGCCAACGCCCATACTCAGACACGGAAGCATCTCCCCGAATTTGTCTGAAAGAGAAAGAAGGGGTTGTGATCATTAAATTTTCCGATGTAAAGAACCGTGCATACAGAATCAAAGAGGACCATTTCTACAAGATTTTGGGCAGAATTCTGTACACATCAATGGATCGAAGATAAAACCAGAAGTCAAACCGCTGACGAAGCTTCAAGTCGAACCGCAGTGGGGTTGGGTCTTACCGGACAGACCCTGCACAGCAGTGAAGAAGAAGAAGAAGAAGAAGCAGATGAGGAGGGAGGAGATCAGAGGGCCTTCTGGTCCATACGCTCGTTCCAATTGAGGCAGCGGATGAGGCTGTGGAACCAGTCGCCGGTCTGGTCGGACTTGTTGACCGTTGGGAGCGGGTGCTGGCTCATGCATATGCGGACGGAGTCCCCTCTGGAGAGCTGTTGCCTCCTCTTCCCGTCAAATGACACCCACGCGTTGCTCCGCGCGTCCGCCGGAATCTGTTCCATCTCGCACATCAAAAGCGTGATTATTGGTGACGATACAACAGCAAGTATATACCCAGAGAGAGAGCGAGAGAGAGAGAGAGAGAGAGAGAGGGGGAAAGCGCCTAACCTTTAGCTCAAGCTGGGCCGAATCAGGAAGAATCACGGGTCTGAATGACAAGGAGTGTGGGCAGATCGGAGTGAATAATATGCAGGGAACATTCGGGTGAACCTACATAATTTACAACGAATTCATCATAAATGAATAGAGATATTTTAATATAAAAATATCAATACCATATCGGGCAATTATCCTGTAAACACGGATCACTTCAGATGTTTCTTTCCTACTTAATCAACTACATGCGTTCGCTTCTGAGCTACATTTTTCTCAGTAATGTTTTATTTTTCTACCTCGGCCTTCATGCTACGAGCTACCTTGGAGGTGAGTTCTCCAGAATATTCTCACACATTTTTGATGCAAAAATCAGCTAAAATAGAAAAGGTAGATGGGCTGTATGATCACAGGAGAACATTTCTGATGCAAAAATCAACTAAAATAGAAAAAGGTAGATGGGCTTTATGATTCCAGGAGAGCATTTCAGATCCAAGAGAATTTCTCCAGGAATGCATCGACATTAATGGAAAATTGACTTGTGTACCATGGAGCCCCCAGCAGATGTGGAGTAGGCGGTGCTTCCTGTAGGTGTAGCTATAATAACGCCGTCACCTTGTACCTGAGATCGGAGAAATTTAGTCGGTTGAGAAAAGTGGTTCTCAAGCATAAACGGGAAAATTCAAGGTTTTAATAGCTCGTGTATTTTATTTTTTTATGGCTTAGAGTAAAAAGTGTCTGAAATGATAGAGAGACAAGATTAGGATAGCATCCAGAGGAATCGACCGGCCAGAAGCATGAAGAACACAAAGCAGAATCTGATCATGAAGAAAATACGGAAAATAGTACACAGCCAAAAAGCAGGTGGGCATTCATCTTACTTTGGTAATGAGACGGTTATGTTCGTAGCATTCGATCTTGGAGAGGTATGGATTGGAACCACGATCCACGACGATTTCGTTTAGAACATCAAATATTTTTCCGGGAACTGCTTTTCCATTTCGAAAGATTTCACACCTTAGACGCATTCGAAGCGTTATATAAACTCCGTCCAGGGTATTATTTCCATGGATAACTGCACTCAGATCTTCTCTGAAGTCGTCGAACTACAGGACAAATTAAGAAAGTCAACACTGCGGGGAAGTGAATAAAATACAAAAAGACATAAAAAAGGTGGAGATAAGAAGCATACAGCATGAGATGTGAGAAATCCAAGGGATCCGAGGTTAAAAGAGACCACGGGTGGAACTGCGCCTCTGAACAAGTTAGATGCATGCAAGATAACGCCATCTCCCCCCAAACAGGTAACAAAGTCAACTCTCTCATGGAGGTCACTGTATTGTGTAAAAGGAAATTGAGAGTGAGCCTCCAAGATGCATATCTTCAACATTATTCGACAGTAATCTTTAAGACCGAAGACTAATTAGTACCTGGTATCTTGACTATAGAAAGTTTGTATAAATCCAAAACCCGGTATCCTCGCAAAAGCATCATGGACATCCGGCTCTACCACGACATTCATCCTCCCTTGATGATACAAGAACGATGCCACCTAGATAATAAGTTCAGCACATCAGATCATTGTCGTATAAATTGACTGTAAATCTTGAAACCAAAAAATTAGCTCCAAAACCCAAATCTCGTCTAGGTTTTTTTCAAGCTGGAGCTGATATTCACATTAGTTAAAGATATGCATAACGAAAAATCTGGATGAATGCCAGGGAATTCCATTGATGAGAGGACAGAGTATGTATATATACCTGTTTGGCTTCTTCCATGAGTTCCTTACCATACTTTTTCAATAATAATACTGTCTTTGGTGTTGATTTCCACATGAGCATCTGCTGCTGGGTGCTGGGGTGCGTGAAAGCCAAGGAAGTCTCCTGTACCTTCTCTCTGGTGCAAGAAAATCCATCTGTCCGAACTAAAAACATTTCAGCTTTCCTCCTTGATTGAATTCTTACAACACCCGTTGCAGATGCACACATATTCCCATCAACAACCTCTGAACCACCCTCAGGACGACCATAATCCCCTCTTTTTTCTCCGATAGCAGTAGATGACACTTGCTTGTTCAAGTTTTCGTTCTTAATGGTATTTTTGGGCTCTGTGATGATACGACTTTCTCCTACACGAAAACCGTTCACATTTGAACCAGACGAAACAGTATTTTCATTTCTAAAGGATTTGTCACCAACAGCATCATTTTCACCATTCATCCTAGGACGGAAATCTTTTTCTGGGAGTTTTCCATTTGAATTTTCGATCTCCAATGAGGATGGTGGCTGAATCTCTGAAGGAGTTTCACTCACCTGATTTGAAACTGTCTGTTGATAACCTGACTGTGCTGAAACATCGAATCTTTTTATTTGCTTATTAATATATGAGCGGGGAGAGACCTTTCGATCCTTGAGGAACTGCATCATTGCTTTCCGAGAAAAAACATCAAAGTTAGGAACCTGACATTTAAGTGGATCAATATCCATAGAAAAAGAAAACTGAGGATCTGCCTCATCCACACTGACACTGTTCCTATGGACCTTTCCTTCATTTTGATGATCCTGAAGAATAGCCCCGTTGCCTCCTTTTCCATTCATTCCATGAAACTTACGAGGATTGTCTAAATCCTCGGGCAATTGATTATTTTTATCACCTGGTGGACTATTGCCATTTGTCAACTGTGAGCCAGAGCGTGTAGTATATTGCCGCCATCTTGAAACCATTGCAGAAGTTCTGCCAATTCCCTCTTGACTATGGAGATAGAGAGGTCGCTTGGTGGAGTCCGAGACCAGAGATGCAAACTGCTCAATCTGTTCCATTGAAGGAGCAGTTCCAACTTCAACTGGCATGTGTACAACATGTATTTTTCCACAAGATATAGCACTGTCAATGGCAAGCTGATAGTATTTATCGTTCACATATTCAACCCTGAGATCAACAATAGTTTTAAAACCATTTTCCATAAGCCAGCGTAAAGCTTCATCTGTCACCTGGCCACCTTTCCAAAACGCCACTTCACGATTTTCTGATGTCGTGCCTTCTATTGCTGTTGAGAGATAAACAGGGTTCCAGTTTGCAAACATTGTTTGACAAGGGTAACTTTCAATGCGTGAAAAGCCAGCATCATAACACACATTCTTTAACCTCTGCAATTTTCTCCAGATATTGGAACTTCGGTCGTCAAATGGCGTAAAGTAATTTGCAAGAGCAAGATGCAAACTCTCGCAGAACCTTTTCATCTCACCCCTGAATACAGCAAGTGGTGGAACTCTACCATCTAAGGTATTGACATCTTTCACGCGGAAAGAACTACTAAGAGACGATCTCCCAGACAACACTTCTTCTCGAACTCGGTTTAGTAGAACAACCATACAACCAAGCACTGCAACTATTTTCTCCTCCACCGATGGCAGCTCTTCAGAGGGTATGTTATACGATATTTTACATTCTCCTGTCTCTGGATTGCATAAACTCTCCATTATAGCGCCGTGAAGCTGCTCTGAAGCTCTGAAAATTCTACAGTACGCCTCAACTTCAGCAATATCGCCAGGAATAGGGCCAATCCTTAGCTGTTGAGACAAATCTTGTGTCTGAAAAGTCTACAACTCCAACCAGATATCGAGTGTCAATTTCGAATAGCTATTCCATTATTTACAAGTAAAATTTCCTGGGAAAGACAAACTTTAATTTACGAAACACATTTTATGATAATAAATTGATTGTGTTATCATTCTTGATGGATGTGTACTGTAATTGTTCCAATTTTCAAATCTTCAAATAACTAGACGAAGCAGCATCCTGAATCAGAGCTCCATGCGATAGCTTATCGCTTGGGAGTATGTTAAGTTTAGAGCAGGGATAGTACTAAATGCAGTAAAAGAGGAAAATGAAAAACTGTGTGATCAGCAAGATAACTAAAACGAGTTGCCTTTGGAATATGAAGAATGCCACTTGATAAACAACCAACTTGAGTGATATCTATGTGAAAAATGAAGAAATGTTCATATTGTTTTCTCTCGTGATCAGTGCAATGCTAATTGAAGCATTTAATTAACAAAGGAATTACTTTGGATCCAAGCGCTATCCAACTGACGAACAAGCCGACGAGATAGAACAGTGTGGAAAGGGACTGTATGATCTAAAAAAGGACCTGAGAGTCGAATCTAAATTGGGTCGAGAAGAAACTGGAGAGGCTGGCACGAGCAGCGACGATCCTAGGAGCGTTACTCCCACCGCCTCGCCCTCTCCGCCTCCGCCTCGCCTCCTTGTTGACGTAACAACGGCGAGCATCCCAACTGAGGTCGAACTTCTTCCCTCCATAAAGGAAACACAATCCCAGAGGCACGCTTGCTCCCAATCCAGAGGCGACCCTACTCATCTCGAGCGTCATTGGAGAGTGTCACAAAAACCATGGAAGCATCCGCGTGGTGCGAAAAACAGCGCCCTATCTCGCCATAAGAACGCGATTCCTGGGAATCAAAACCATCCCGCTCCCCCTCCGATCTCCCGGAGCAACCCCCAAGCTAGAGACAACCCGCAGAAAGATGCCGACAGCATCTTGCTCTTCTACTCTCCATCGGCAAATTCCAACTACGCGACCGGAAAAGAAAATTGCAGTACAAATGCTGCGGAAAACGTTGGCGGCCGTTCGACTGCTCTGGACTGATGGATTGGAACAAAAACTCGAAGAATTTCCGCAGCGACGACCTCCGCCGATCCCGTCCAGTCCACGAAGAAAAAGGAGCACGCCGGCGGAACACGCCAGTCGGTAGCGACCTCATCGGCCTCTTCTCTCCGTGTTCGTGTGGAGGCCAATAACGCCGTCGTGAAAATTTAAAAAATCTTACACAATATAATAATAATAATAATAATCAGTCAAAATTTTATGTTTTAACCTTCGAAAAATATTTTATTTAATAAACATGGGACTTATTTTCAATGAATAAAACTTATAATGTATAAATATTACTGGTAGATTTGTCGTGGACCAGAAGAAATACTGGCGGGTCGAGCACGTCCCAGGGTGAGAAGTGGACCGGATAAGATCCAGTGGAGTCAACGGCTTTTGGCAGGGGCCACGCCTCTGCTTTCTGCCAAATATCTTTCTCCATGGCTCATATTTTACCCCGAATACAGACAAAAGGCCTCGGCCCAAACATGGGCCCAGATTTCACCCAAGGCCAGCCCTCTACTGCTGTATTTATTATGTAAATAAATAAATAAATATCTGTGGAGCGAGAAATAGAGAGTGAGTGAGTGAGTGAGAGAGAGAGAGAGAGGAGGGGAGAGGGTTTCGTGGTCCCCATTCAGAAATCTCGGCCCATCAACAGCCATGGCACTGGGGAGTGCGAGGCGCGCAGTAATCCTGCTCACGGCCGGCCCATTAAAGCTATACGAGGTTATAGTCAAAGAATAATTGCCAATGGGCCGAATCCTGATTGTTGGGCCTAAATACACGAATGAGCCCTCTCGGGCTGGGTAAGTTCCTTATCATGCAACTAAAAGCCCAAAAGTTCCACCACCCAAGAGTAGGGCGAGAGCCGGCCCAAGGTCGGAAGAGACGACTGGTCAGATAATGGGCCTATTACTGTCTGGACCGTTTATATACTAGCGCTGACTATTCGCCGCGGCCTACCACCCCAGGACCGCGGGAAGCGTTGACGATTCCGAATCGGCCTTGGAAGTTATTTCGCCCGACGAATCTTTGTATAATGGCCCAGAAGAATGTATTCCCAGAAGGCTGTTGAGCGCCTCCAAGACATTATCACAAGACATTACTGGGCGGTTCGATCGGCGGTAAGAGAGAGAGGAGATAGAGAGAGAGAGAAAGTACGGTAGGAGGAGCGGGGGGGAGAGGGACGGAGAACTCGTGATTCAGGTCAGTGGAGTCTCGAGTCCCGCGCGGGGGAAGGAAAGAGGAGAAGGCAGAGCTCGATTCCCACCTTCCTTGGGGCAGCAGATCTCGGTGGCCGCTTCTCGTCCTGCTCCTGGTTCGGATGCCTCCTTCGAGGAGGCGAAGGGTCTTGCGTCGTAGAAAAGGTCTGCGGGGAATTGCGATACCCTAGGGAGAAAGTTCTTTCAGTTCTGTCGCTCCGTTGTTTTACCGGTTCCTCGTCCGCCTCCGTGTGAAGAGAGGATGGACGAGGAGAAAGGGGGCGGGTCAATCTCTGGCAGAGTGTCTTCATCGTTTCCCTCCTCCGCGGCCCCGCCCATTGCCTCTTCTTCCTCCCATGCCCCCGCATCGACGAGCCATCGACGGAGGTTTACGGTGGAGCTGAGATATGGGCAGACAACCATTGTATCCTGGAAGAGGCTCGTTAGGGAAACAAACAAGTCGAACGGAGAACCTGCAGCACCGTCCGGCGCACATCCGGCTCTCGAGTCCAGAATAGCTCCGCCTGCTGCGGTATGTCCTAGAGCAACAAAATGAATTCGCTGAAAATTGACATTTTAATTGCAGTTTCCATTATCGTTGCATGACCTCCCACCCGTTGATTCTGTCGCATTGCTTACCTAGGTAGGTTGCGTAGTTTTCTCTTCCATGCTTATCACACAATCTTTTCTCCCTTTATTGCATTTATCTGGGCGAAACAAACAAACTCTGTCATCTTTCCGAGTCGGTCATTATCGATGCGTTCTGCAACTTCTCACGTCCTTTACCAGTCATCGGACTCTCATTCTGTTTGCAAGTATCTCGCCAGCTATAAAAATGATGGAACCATGGCCGAGCATAATGTAGGCTTCAGGTCCTCCTCAAATTATGTTACGATTACAGGTTTCATGAAGTTCAATACATTTGTGGCCCAAAATTGAATCGTGCGCAATTGAATCTCAATGAAGATTTCATCTCTAACTCCTGTGAGGCCTTCGCTTCTCTTTCTCGAATTGTGCATAGAAGATTGCTAATAGTCCCCGTAGAAGCTAATGAGAAAAACTACCAGTCACTGGCTCCCTGGTAAAGCCCGTCAGGCTTGACTGTGAAGTGCTGTTGGTCACATTAAACAAGACTTATTTCAAGGAAATTGTTCTAATCCATGGGCTTGATACAAGTGTTTTGGGGACGAGTTTTTTTTCGTATAACTATGGCCTGTAAAATGAGGTTTAGATATATTTAAACATTAAGATGTGATGAGTATTTCATAGATAAAAGAGTATGGCATTTTAAGAAAATCCATTTCATCGTTTAGAATATAACAAGGTCGTATGGTCATTGTAGTGGGTCACTGTGGTGATGGGTAGTAGTGGCCATATGATCATAATTTCCTTTGTGGTGGAAAACAACAGTCGCATTTCAAACTCTTTAGTGGCAGGATCAATAGGTGGTGGTGGCTACAATAGAAAGCTGTGGCTATGTTTTTCAACATTGATATGTAGTAAGGTTGATGGGTATTGTTGGCCATGCTTTAATGAGTCTTACTGGTCCCAGGCGACAATTGTGTCTAGAGGAAGGTGACAATATCAGTGAGTGGTGTTTCTCATGTAATGACAGCAGTAGAAATAATGTCATGTTCATAGCTAGTAGTTTTGCATGACACTGAAAGTGGACAATTCAAGTTGGCGGATGGCAATTATTGTTAGCTTTCGCGCACTTTAGTGATTTCTAAGCCATTCTTTATTCTCAGATTAATTTGGATATCTCATTGGATGTGCCTCTGGCTACTAAAAAATTTGGTCATTGGGTTGCCTTATTTAGCTTGGTTTCACCATTTCAGCTGGGTCTGCATCTAAGCTCCTGTTTAGCAAGGTTTTCTTTTTTTATCTTATTTTCCATCTTGATGGTTAGCCCTTGGATATGTTGGTGGAGCTCGTTTTGAATGGAGTTTACTCTGGCCATCTCAGTAGCTCCTCATTAGTAAGACTAGTCTTTAAATATCTCGGCAGGTCTGTATTAGGAGAGGTTCTTCTTCAGTGTGGATCTTTGGCAGTGGCTATCTTTAGTATTCCTACGATTTTTCTTTCTCTTCTGCTTTGATTTACTTATTTTCGAGTTTGTTTGCACGTTTCCATTGGAATCTATGTTTATGGCTTTTTGCTGAGGAAAACTTCGGTTAACTCTCCATCCCTTGTCTTTTCATCATTGATGTGTGCATCAGTTAAATTATTCTGCTTAACCGCCCCGGATTTAAATATTTTTACTTTTTTTCGCTATAGGCTCACCCAATGGAAGGTGAACAGAAGGATGCTCAGCCTGCTCCAAATCGTTTTAGTGCAGTTATTGAGAAGATCGAACGCCTTTACATGGTTTGGGACATTATTTTTGGTTCTTGGTCTGAATTTTTACCGTGAATTATATAAACTCTCAATATTATAATTTATTCTCTGTTTATTAACTTGAAGTTTCTTCAGATCAACTCGAATTTCTGTTTTGACTCGAATCCTTTATCTTGTGTTCAGGGTAAGGAGAGCAGTGATGAAGAAGAAGTCGATGATGTTCCTGATGATGATCAATACGATACCGAGGATTCTTTTATAGATGATTCAGAACTGGTTTGTACTTCCTGATGCATTGATATGTTGCGTTTAATGTTCACAACCGTCTCATGGAGTATTTCTAAATTTTTTATCTCAAACAAAAAAAATAATGTTCTACTGAGCATTGGATAATTTGGCAGTGTAATGGCCACATAGACGTTCCCCTTTTGTTTATATTCATTATCTGACGGAGTAAATTGTGCTTTAACTTGGTTCCATAGAGCTTGAATAAGGTACATTGACATCAAAAGAACTGCCTACTTTCAAAGAAAACGTAGTTCGAAAACCTGTAAACATTGTCTGGAGGCCCTTCTAGATTCTCATACGATCATTGCTTCTCTTTTTCTCTTCAGTGTTAATTTATTTAATCGTTTCCATCTAGCACTTGTACAAATATATTTCATGCCATAATCATGGCTTCTCTCTAAGCTATTTAATCCATGCAGAATGAATACTTTGAAGTTGAGAAGCAAGCGACGAAACACAATGGATTTTTTGTTAACAGAGGGCCTTTGGAACGAATGTAATTGCTCTGAATCTCTGTCTTTCTTTCTCCCTCTGGGCTCTAAAATGGGAAGCTATTCGTTATTTCTATGTTTCAAATATAGTGGGAAGGCTTTCTTGTCATGTGGTTCTTTTATTCTTGTGGTAATCAACGATCTTATTTTTAATGTTACATGGGAGCAACTGATGAAATTCACACTGATTTCATTATTTATTATTTTTTAATCATTGTAGTGAACCCAGCTCATCAGTACCTAGCTTGGTGCCAAAGAAGAGAAGAAGAAAAGATTCTACAAAAGGTGAAGATACAATGAACGAACTTGTGAATGTGGGTAGTGTGCGTTTAAAAGCAGCAGCTAGGAATGCTCCATTGGTAGGAAGGAAACCATCAAGTCCCAGTAGAATTATGGGCTCCTTTGCTGAGCACGGTCATGAAGGTAAGATCATCAAAAATAAGTTGAGCACATCCGTGGGAATGTACAGAAAAAAGAATATTGATCCCACCATAAAAGTGGATAGTCTGCCTTATGTGAAGTTACAAAGTAAGAATATCTTGGGATCTTCTTTAGATGATAAGGATGTTCTGAATCATCAGTCTGGGTCGACTAGACTTAGTGATCCCGCAAACAAGTTGAGAACTACAGGTGAATCATTCAGTGCAGTCAATCTGCTGCCATCTCGTGAAAAGGGCAGTTACTTTCAAGTTGAGCCCCACTCCAGACTGATTAAGGAAAATGAAATTGAGGTCTCCCCCAAAATTCGGCGCATGGAGAAAAATGGTTCAGAGATGTTACCTGACTTGAACTCTCCTGGCGATATGTATTCTTTGCAAAGAGTGGTAAGAACCACACTTTCCTTCCGAATAATTATTTGAGAACTCATTTTCAGATAATCTAATTTAATTTGAATATGATTTTCATGATCATTCTACTATTCATGAACTCAATATCTATTCCATAATGCTTATTTTCTTTCTGACATTGTACAGAAATCTTCATTTGTGAAGGAGGGCTCTGGGATAGTCAGACCAAAGGGCACAACACTGGAACGAGCTATCCGTGACTTGGAGAAGATTGTCTCAGCATGTAAGCTCGTAAGGTTCCATAATATTTGTGGCCCCACATTATTAACAATTAATTTGCTTCATACAGGCAGACCACCAAATATGGATATTCAGGATTTCGATGCTTCATCGCAAGTGAAGAAAAGATTACCTCAGGAAGTAAAGCAAAAGCTTGCTAAAGTTGCTAGATTAGCGGTAAAGTTTGAAAATTTTCTGCATTCAGCTTCGGAATGGTGTACCTATTTGATGCTTTTAGCCCCATCGCATGCGAATTTAAGGATTACAAAGTGGTTTGCTTTTATTTACTGTATTGATAGACGAGAGAGAGAGAGAGAGAGAGATCCCTATTTGTAATAACCCTATTTGTCAACCTGGTTTTACCTGTCATCCTCAATATATTGTGCCACATCTCCAAAGTTTTCTATTCCATGTTTCCATGGATGGACTTGGCACATTTGTCATTGTTACTGCATAAATAATTACACAACTCCCTGGTCTTCCATGGATCCTCTTGTTGTTCATCACCTGTCGTCAGACATTGGAGAAAAAGACAGCAGAAAACAATTTCTGAGGCCTTAGGTTCCAAGTGTCTGCTCTGATAGGCAAAAGTACATGATTCACGAAATATAACAATCTTGTAAAAGATAAGTGTAAAATAGAGGGAGAAGAAAAAGCTGTGTACCTTATACAACCTACACCCCCAACTTTGGAAAGGTTTATCAATCATAATCACCTAGGAACACTCGTATATTTTTTATTATTATATTGGTAGCTCTAAATTACCTAGAATTTATTCTTCTAAACTATGCTCTGATTTTTTAATGAGTTTGTATCCTCAAAATTCTTATGGCAATGAAACCTGGGTTTCCCTTCAGCTGCTTTTATTTGGTCTGCAGGCAAGTCAAGGAAAAGTAAAAGAGGAAGATTTGGTTGACCGTCTTATGGGCATTGTTGGCCATCTAGTGCAGCGGAAAACATTGAAGGTAATAACTTGTGTTAAAAATGATTTGACATGCTTATCCGTTCATTACGAAATATCAGTGTTTCTCCTAGTGTTGACTAGATTGTCCTGTGCTTTATCTATGGTACTTGGTAACAAAGGTAAACACATTGCTGTGTTTTTGCCTTAACTGAAAAAGGAATTCGCTTCAATCATTTTTTAATTTCAGTTTAAGGATGAGGCATTTCTTGCTCTGCCATTGGTTTTGAGCATTAGTTTAGGCCGCGAGCTCATTACGTTTCATCTATCAGTCCCCAGATTTTTTTCAATTTATTTTCCCAGCATTTTCCCCCATTTTTCTTGCTGTCTAACAACCTGGTGAAACAATTAAATCAATCATGACATTGAATTAATTAATTTTTTTTATAGTGTGGTGACTGAAATTCATTCATTTATATCATAATGTTACCAGAATAATAGGCTTTATTTATGCTACGTTTTTTTTCTGGAACAAAGAACGTAGAGAGAAATGTCATTTCTAGCTTAGTACTCTTGTTTATTGTCTAGAAATATGTGTCGCAATGCTGGTTCCGTCTGGTTACTACCCTGCAGTCGTGTGCCATCTAAAGCCTATTTGAAATACTGTTCTGATATCAAGATATTCTGATTTTGATCTATGTAGCCTTTTCGCGTAGATTTATCATTGATAGTTTTTTTATTATTCAGCATAGAGTAAAACGACAGGATAAGCTGTCACACCAATTTCGCATCTGTCATATTTAACACATGTTTATGCGAGATACATTTGTTCGCATCATTTGATTATTATGAGGCATAAGAACTGCTTGGTAAATAATGACAGAGTAGTTTTTCATTTTTCTCCTCACCACTCAATGATAATTTTTTGCATCGTCTTCACTCCATGCACTTGTGGAATTAAGCAGTTTTATGGCTTCTGTTGTTTATCTATAGGAGGCATGACAACCGTGTTAGTAAATAACAACACAATAGCTTCCCATCTTTCTCTGCATCACCCAAAGATAATTTTTGCATCATCTATACTCCACGCATTTCTGGAGTTGAGCTGCCCAATGGCTATCGTTGTTTAAATGCCTAAGTGAGGCATTGGAATTCTCTATTCACTGTAGCTTCTGCCCTCCTTGACCTTACATTAGACTATATTGCATTACTATGACAGATGTTGAAAAACCACCCTGTCAAAAAGCCAGAGATATGTTGAAAAAAACGCTGTATAAACTCTGTAAGGACATGGAAAACTCGCTATCAAAGGGTCCCAGGTCATTAATTATTTCACGCGCTGTCCCATTACCTCAATTTATAGGCGAATATATTATTGTAAGCTGATTAGAAATTCCCTCGGTTTTATTTGGAGAATTATACATCCCATTCTTACCCAAGTTAACACGTGATTTCGTATCCATTAATAGGAAGATTCTTGAAATAAAAAGCTACTGTGGGCGGAAGCATTTAAGACTGTATACGAATTTATCTCTGGAAAAATGTATGCCTTCCTCATAACCATTAGTCAAGGAGGAACAATTTGTAGAACCTGGTGAAAAGCCCGCAACAAATGTTAAGAGTTGGGAAATGACAGCAATGGAGTCCAAAACTCGTGGTTTTATTTGCACAGTCTATTCCTTGGTAATCTAATCCCAGAGATCTATGAACAAGCTTATGCTTGACTAGCCAAGTAGATAAATGACTCTGCATCTTCTTGATATCTCCCGCATTTGGATTCGCAAAAGTTTTTCATATTTACAATTAAATTCGTATTGACTAGTTAAGCGTCCTATAGTAAGAGGAGTAGTTATGAACCTTGTAGTTCATCCCCATGGGGATGACGAAGGGTGGAAAACGACCCATGACCTCTTGGGGTTATCCTCATTTCAATAGATAGGAAGAACGATGGAAATGAGATCCATGGTGCAGTGCTCTGTCAGGTTCATGAAAGATTTCAGTGATGCGTAAACCTAGGGCGGTGGTCAAGAATCCTATCTCCAATTGGAAATTGGCTTTAGTGAAAATTTCCTGTTCCAAAATAATCTATAAATTCAGTCAGCGGAAATGGTTACTCTGTGCGATTAAAAGTAATCAGTATTCAGTATCCATGTTGAATGTGTCACCGTTGATATCATTTGGTGGAGACTCTAGATATGAAATGAAATGGCTCTGTCGACACCTTCACTTTACTGATGTGGTGGAGAAGTGTTCATATTCAAGCATTAAGTTGATGGAACATGCAGCCACTTATATAATGGACACTTGTGATTAGACTGACATTATTGGGTTTGAAGTACAGCCCGGTAACCGTATATTATCACTATGGAGTAATTTCAGTGCCGACTGTGAAAATGGATGATGAACAAGCTGTCATCCACAAAATCAAAGAGTGCAGAATTCACAGTCTGTGATCTGAGTTTATATATTATGTTACTCTGATCTGGCACCTTTCCGACTTGGGCAGTTTTTCTTCCTTTGATACCTTTTTATCAGCCAAACAGATACTTTGAGCCGAGGGTTCATGTTATGCCTTGGGCAATATCCTTGATGTTTTAGACTTGGATATGATGTTTATGATGCCACCAGTTCGGTACCCATGAAATGCATCCCATATTTTTGCAGGATAAATGGTTTTTTTCCTTTATAGTTTCGATTTTCTTTGTTTCCTGGACCTGATGAAGAGATTGTTGTTAACTTGCTATTTTTGTCAGAGGAACTTGAAGGAGATGGTTGAACTGGGACTGTCAGCGAAACAAATAAAAGATGATAGGTTCCAGCAGATAAAAAAGGAGGTTACTGAAATGATAAAGACGCGGATCGTGCATTCAAGAACCAAGGTAATTTTTCATTTCTAAATATTCAGTGTGTTTCCTTTTTGTGGGCGAGGTTCATAGATGACAGAGACCCAAACTTGATCCAGCGGCCATGCTCCATTGCTCTGTGGATTGAAAGATTTACACGAAAAGTTGTCTAACCGTGATTTCATATGCATGCAATCAAACCTAGAAGTGTTTCTTATTTAGGTTGACACTTCTGCATGTAAAACCTAATAAAACACGCAAAAGCATCTGTGAGCAATCAGTGTGCACAAAAAATGTTGGATGAATGGATATACATGTAGCTGTTTTTCGTGATGTTCGATCTTTCACCTATGTTTACATGTACAAAGTTCAAAAACACTGGGCACCATTGCTATTGACTGTTCACATATGAGTACTTTACAACTACCGATGGAAGGGTAAATATGGACTAAATGAGGCTTGCAGCTTTTGTGTCAATATGGTCTGAATCTTGTAGATCAGCAATGAAGTTAGGTTAACATTTTTAATTAAGTTTTGGTATTCATTAATTATTCAGGTCACCGTTAGAGTTTCACTAATTATTAGCTCACCTGATCCATTGATATCCTTTTGACGGATGCATTATGAAAACTCAGTTTTAGGGTATCCATGGTTATTGAACTATACATATTCTGGAACTGTGGTGAACTAATAATTTATGGCAATTATTTTTATGAGAAAGATGCAACCCAGCATCAGTTTTATGCATCTATTACTTGTCCAACCTGTTTTGGGTTTTCTTGACAGTCTGTGCTTCATTCTTTTACAGGTTCCTGAACAGCAGGATAGTTTCTCTGATGATTTTCAGGAGGTTGTCGGTAATGAAGAAAAAAGAGTACCTAAAGCAAAATATAGCATGGATGATGCAATTGAAGACAAGATCTGTGATCTTTATGAACTGTATGTTGAGGTATATGCCTCCCAATTCTCCACGTTTATATTTTTACTCTTGAGAATAATCTATATTGGGAACAATGGACAAATCAAGGTAAGAAGAAATAGGCTTTGAAGGACTCCTTTTAAAAATATTTTTCGTAATATGTATGCTGGATATGTAATGTTCAGGTTGTTCAATGAGATTCGATGTAAACTACGGATGCTTTTGTCAAGATTACACCTTTTATCTAATGTTTTAAGAGTACATTCATGATCTAGCTTGTTATGTGGCAATACAGCTGATATGACTTTTATCTTATTTAGGGAATGGATGAGGATAAAGGCCCCCAAATGAGAAAGCTTTATGTGGAGGTAATGAAATACCCTTTAAATAGCTATATTATGTGTATCTTTCAGTCTTCCCTACTTTGCTAATCTACTGCTTATATTATATTCAGTTATTGGATATCAGTTTACAACTCTTTTTTTCTTCTTTTTTTTCCGTTGTCATTTCGTTCAAGTTGGTCACTGACTGTTCTACTGGCCCTTTTTATCGGATTTTCTTTTAATCTATTAATGAGTTAAATTCTCGGAAATTTTAATGTCATTTTGTGCCCCTCGATGTTTAATGGGTCATTTGGATTTTGCCTTTTTTCCATCTGTCAGTATGTTAAGATATATCCTCCCTTTTTTAGGGTTTGATGAACTTATTTTGTCTGTGACCCAGCTTGCGGAGCTATGGCCGAACGGTTACATGGACAATGTGGGTATCAAAGATGCTATTTACAGAGCAAGGGAGAGAAAGAAAGCTTTCTACAGGCAGCAGGTCTTCCTCTCTCTCTCTCTCTCTCTCTCTCTCTCTCTCTCTCTCTCTCTCTCTCTCTCTCATGCTTTTGAACATGTTTTCAATTGGTTTCATACGCTCAGAGGTACTATTTCTTGGAGAAAACTGCGAAAATTATAAAAAATAACTCCATATCTCTTTTCATTTCCATTTGAGAACTTGCGAACCAGACTTTGTTGGTTCAATGGACAGGGGACCCATCTTCTCATGGTTCAAGAACACCCAGTTGAGAAGAACGATGACCGGTTCTTGCTTGTTGCTCCAGGACCGGGAGGAGGAGAGGATGAAGAGGAAGAAGCTGTCGGCCGCTGGCAGGTTGGAAGAGAACGCGGTCGTCACGTTGGGTCTTCAGGCGCAGCAGCTCCCCTCGCTGTACCTGCCAGAAGCTAATGAGCAGGTCGCGATGGCTGCCCACCAGCCGCCGTCCCTCACACAGCCCGGGAGGATGGCCGATCAAGCTCCCTCCTTTCCCAATGGCGGCGCCGGTCACCACCACCTCGAGCCGAAGAATCCCGAGAGGAGTAAACCCGGCGGGGCTCTTCCTCCTGGCGAGGCGATGAGGATCGATGCGGCTGCTCTTCTGAAGAGGAAGCTGAAGAGGAAGCTGAATCCCGAGACTGGAGAAGCCGCCGCCGTTGCACCGGTGAGGGAGAAACTCGGTGCTTCCGGCCCGAGTCTGGATCCTTGATTGGGCCCCGGCGTAGCAAATGCCCCCCCATTAATCTCTCTGACCTTCCCCCCTCTCTCTCCTCTCTCTCTCTATCTCTCTCTCTCTGGTTCATTACCCACGTTGATTCTTTTGTGTTAGCTGCGTCTGAGATGAGGATGAGGATGAGGATGGGCCGGTCTGTAAATAGAGGGAAGAAGAATGGTTAACCCCCCTCGGCTTCGCTTAACGGGGAATGTAAACGACGGATGGTCACGTCGGGCGTCTAACCATGATTCGCACTTTTAACTCCTGAGTTTCGCAGCCCTTCCCTCATCCTTTGTCTCTAACTAATCATATCCCCCACTCTCTCTCTCTCTCTCTCTCGCTTAGTTAGAACTGGAGTGGGCTGTGGGTTATACGAGATGACCCGGCTACTCGGATGGCTAAGCGAGTCATGTGAGACAGTCTGATCCAGCCCGACCATCTCTCTCTCTCTCTCTCGCTCTCTCTCTCTCTCTTAAGAGCAAGAACAGTCTGGCTACTAAACAGCGCTGGGCCATTCTATAACGCAAAATCCTGACCACTCTAATTTCTCGCTGCACAATGTCTGATCCAACCCGACCATCTCTCTCTCTCTCTCGTCCTTCTAAGAGCAAGAACAGTCAGGCTCTTATAGAGTGCTGGGCCACTCTATAATGCAAAATCCTGACCACTCGAGTTTCTCTCTCACTATTTATCACCTCATTAATATTTAATCCTGAACGTCCCCGGCGCGTAACTTTTTCGGAATGAAGAAGCCATTTGATCTGGAAATATTCTAATTATAAAGATTAAATAAATTTCTTGAACAAAAACATGCCACCTGGCCTCCCCGCAATGCTTCAACACGCCTTGCACAGCGGCCAGACTTCCCCCCGGGTGGCGCTCGTTGCTGATGGCATGAAGAAACGCATTGGCAGCAGTCAACGCGGAGACACGGGTTCAAGAAGGGTCGGATAATCAACACTAAAAATAGTTACAGATTTTATCACGTGTCAACGCGTTTAATCATCACTTTGCCATTCGAAGGTGTTTCCCAAAAAAGAGAGCGCGGGATGCCGCTTACCCATTGCTCGACGCCTCCAAAACCGGGTGCGGTGCAACTCGCCGGCAAAAGCTGGTGGGAGAAGAAGAGGAGCACCGGAAAGCACAGAACCGAGAACCTGCGACGGCAAGGCCCCACGCTTCACTTGGGCTCGGGAGTGGAAGCCATGCTTTGAGATCGGGCTCGCTCGATGATCTTCTGCCGGCCGGACAGATCCTCTTCGTACCAGACGACCTGCGCAGCACCCAGAAGATGTGTCATCGATAGCTAGATAGATAGCTAGAGAGGGAGAGAGAGGGAGGGGGTGAGAGAGAGAGAGAGAGAGAGAGAGAGAGAGCGCTTTAGACTCCGCGGCAAACCTGGGACTCGGTCTGCGTCTCACTGAAGACGTCGAGGTTTCTGTCGCTTCCCTCACGAGCAGAAGGGGGCGCGCTGGCGCCGAGTTCTTCGTCAAATCTGCAGGGGAAGTGAGCAGAGTCCGTCTTTATTGAAGATCTCACGCGAAAGCAAAAAAACGGCTATGATGATAAAAAGCTCGTGCCCATGGTTGGTCGTTGCGGCTTCATGCACGGGTCGGGCCGCTCTCAGGCCCTTTTATGGGCCGGGCCCGTTGACTTCCAGCAATGACGGGTCAGACAGTATCTCTTGTTGCCTGAAGCTATTGGACCACTCAATACATGATGCTCTCTCTCTATCGCTCTCGCTTGACCCGAGAGGTGGTAGCATGTTCAGAGGCCACCTACCTGTTCAGCCGGCGGCGGCCAGACATGGGAAACGAAGAGCTGGAATTCGTTGGATCCTGGCCGATGATGAAATCCCCCGGAGAGTAAACCTGCCCTCTTGGGTCAAAGGTCAACAAGCAGAAAGTCAACGCGTCAAACCGACTGCACATCGAGTGCAGGACGATGGTGCGGTCAGGAACTCGGGAATCTACAAGAAAAGCATTTAACAAAAAGGATACACTCTGGTGGCAGCCCTTCTCCTCGGCCGTCTTCACATCCTCGGATTTCATGCAACAAACCGTCAATTAAAAAAAAAAACGATTTTTTTATAATAAAAAAAGAGAAGGATAGAATAATAACAGAGGAAATTTATACAACACCACCTTATTTGATTGCGCCAGAAGGTCTTCAATGGCGTCGGCTACGTCAGAACCCCTGTTTATGTCAGCCGCATTGACCGGTGAGGGGTCGTCGCCAGGGTTGACTTCCGAATACTTCTGCTTTTTATCCAGAGATCTGAATAATCCGGATTCTTCTTCACCGCAAACATCACTCCTAGAACCTGCCCATAACATGGTTTCTTGCATCATATGCACAGTGCTGAAAAAGGAAATTTTTATGAAAAATAATAATCAGATAATTACCTAAGTGCTTCGGGGTGCCCATCTGAGATGGAAGGTCTCCTGAAATCATACGAACAGCCTGGGTGGGGTATTGACTAGTTATGCATAGTCCAGCATCCGAATCCTGTGCAGTCGCTGCTCTTGGGCGGAATCGATCCATGGGAACCATCATATCCTGAGAACCACACAAGCCAAATGATTTAACAGAACCATGGGCGTTGACTAAATGGTTTTCATAAACCATGGTAAAGAGATGCATGTGAAGGAATTGATGCGGATATGTATACCTGTTTGATGCATTCGTTGACCCATTCGGCAGTGACTGATTGTATCCCCCACGTGCAAGCGGCCTCGTACTTGGGGCCATTGGCAAATTTACATAGCAGATGTGTGACTCTCTTGGTGAGCTTCTCTGTGAACTTGGCCCCCAGGGTGAAGCACAGGTTTTTCAATAGGAGCCGTTCTTTGTCTTCGTACTGGGAGATACAGATCCGAGTGCCTTCAAACCCGGGTAATGGAATCTTGCAGGGCAATGGGGAGAAGAGGACGTGGCTTCCGACATCCAGTAAGCATCCTTCCTTTTATAACAATATTTGGGAAAGCGATATCGGTAAGAATCCAGAAAGAAAAATGATAAGATGAGATGAGATGCGAATCAACAGTAATAAGTGTTTGGGAAAATCATATGAGAAAAAAAATGAACGCAAAGGGTAATAGATAATAATTAAAATATCACAAGCACACAAAATTTTCGTTGCATAGAGGATTCCAATTATGTTTTAATTTCAAAAACTAATAAATTCTTCACATTTATGTTTACTTTTTATTTTCCATTGACTAGACCGCCTAAACCCCTAACCGGGTCCATTAAATTGTTAGTCTATAACCATTCACACGCCAAACTATAGCCATTACAGAATCACTGACCAGAGTGTCTCTTAAATTGAATGAAATGAAATGAATTCAGATCATTAAACCTCGTTCATCTCTGAGTCTGTCCTGGAACTAAAAGTCAAACATGCCAGGTTCCAAAGGTCAAAGAGAAGACAACTCTGAGAAACCAGACCTATCCAACTTTCAGAATTGTCGTTTACATTTTCTTATGGGAGGAGATAAAATTCGGAGGGATCACTGAGGATATTTCCAGAACCTTTTATGACCAACCATGAATCATGTCAGATCAGAATGGGTTTCGAAAAATGTCGTCATAGGCTCAAGATAATGTAGGGGTAGGGAGCTGCCGGGCTTCTAAACCAGCAGAACCCAGTGAAACCCAGGGTTCTATCTCCTGTCCACCACTGGGCCACGCAGGACAAGAGTTACATTCCACGCTTCTTTTTGGCTGGAAGCTTGAAAAAACTGATCATAAGCAAGAGTATGCACGAACGTTGAAAAATATAAGGCCGGAAGAGGGAAGTAGAAGGATGGGAGAGCTGGAAGGCGATGGTGAGAAATAGTGTCAAATGGCAGATTAGGGGAGTCCCATTTTACAGTCTAAGAACAGCCACAATTTTTTCATGGTTACTTCAAAAGGAAAGGCATATCCATTGCGCTATAAAAAAGCTTCGCATGCACCTGTAGGCAGAAACGGATCCAGTGACTGGAAACCGTAGTTGACTGACGAGATGTATCATGAAATCTCTGTTTGGCACCGTGACATTCAATGACATACTCCACATTTTTGGGATGCGCTACAGTCAGTCCTCCGCCTTGCATTATCCACTCTTCGATTTCTGCCCTCTGCACAGGAAAGTATTCTATCAGGAACAGAAAGGAAAAAAACGGTAACGATAACGATAACATACCATGAAGAAAAAAAAAAACTTAGGGAATGGTCTACAAATGCTTAGAGGCATAGATTACATGTCTAGAGACGAAATCAATAACGTTTCATCATTATAAAGCAACCTTTCAAGTGTCATCATGTCAAGAGAAGGCATAGAACTTGAAAAGAAACCATGAATACTCACCTCGCACTCTGTTGTTGTCTATTATCATCAAAAAATGAGGAAATGACAGTGAATTACAGTGCTTGTGCGGTGCATATAGTTTCATTAATAGATTTACAACAAAACAAAAAAAATGATCTCTGATAGAGTCGTCAAACCTTGTCCTTTGGGAAAGAATCTGAGAAGCATAATCTCATTCCTTTGAAAACACTTTCAGGCTTCCTCTGAGTACCCGAAGCATTAGAATTAGACTGCAATCTGCAATCATCAATACCTTCAATATTTCCAAGACTTGGTCTGCTTGTAGAAAATGAAAGATTCTTCTCCTTGGCGACTACTTCAACTGTTTCTGTTTGAAAGCTTCTCTCCGACGGATATCCTTCTTTGTTGCTCTTGTATAAATGTACTTGACTTGCCGGCGTGTGAGGAAGTGAAGTCAAGTTTCTCATATTCTTTAATTCAGAAACTATAGAAGATGATATTTTATTAGAAAGTGCAGCATCTACATAATAAATAGAAAAATGACTATTACGTCAAAAATAAAAAAAATGCAAGTGCATTCCCAGAGGGGGGGGGAGAAGGAAAAACTGACTATCCAGAACTAAAGAGAATGCATAAGAAATCAAGACAGAAAATAATTTATCAGGTGGGAGTAGAAAGTGGCACGAAGATAAGCAGGACGACACCTTTTGGAAGAAGCAGATCACAAGCAATATGCCTCTGGGACACAGGAACTTCTTTCTTCATCATCTCACAATCTTCCAGCCAGACAGTTTTGACCACATTAATAACACCATATGCAGCCAAGCGCCTTACCTCTTTTTTCTCACTGTACGATAATTGTACAAAGGGCGCATTTAGTTTGAGCTTAGATCAAATTTTCAAATAATACGAGGGGAAATATATCCTAGAACAAGCATAAGAAGTATATGATTCAGAAAGAAAAATGGACTTACGTTTCTGACGGTGCACCTACAATTATGTGAGTCAATTTTTCGCTCAATAGCATATGGCGCGTACCTCCACCTTTCCGTATCATATTGACTAGCCTACGTAAGTCCTTGTCTTCAAAACCAACGGCCAGTATCCTACAATCTGACAGATACAGGTCGCAGTCTTCATCTTCAGAATCTTTAGCAACATTGCAAGCGAATTTTGGTTCATCTCCACTCTCATTCATAACCAAATCCCTGTCCTGACTTATAATCTTACTACAATCCGAAAAATTAGAAGAGATGTTCTGCGATGTTGAATTATCAATGTCAGCAAAATCTGTTGATGTCGTAGCTTCTGACATCAATATACTTTGATCTTGGATGTACTGTTCTCTCATGCCATTTATCGTACTAGATGGAGCAGAAACTTGACGAACAGGATAGTGGCCCTCGTCTAAACAAGCTGCACATTCAACTAAGTATTATTAGATAAATTTCAATCTCATAATTTCCTTTCAATAATTGAATTTTAACATCGTATTCCGCATGACACAGGAGAAAAACTCAGCACAATATTCACCTTTTCTGGCAATAGACTGCTCAAACCATTTCCGACTAACAGTATGAATACTTCCCCATTTCTTTGCAACCATGTACTTGTCACCTTCAGGGGCGTATAGAATGTCAAGGATAACGTGAATTCACTCACAAGAACACCAAAAACAGTCATTAAAATAAAGAAACATAAAAGTACCAAAAACCGCTAAAGAGGGAGATAATAATGGTGAAAAGTTTTGGGACGACGGCAGTCCAGGAATATTAATACAAGATATAGCTCAATCCATGAATCCAGTAGACAAACTGTAACATACAAAATACAGACATAGTCTGAGGATATAGCATAACCCATCAGATACATGCTTATATGCAGGTTTAAACAACGTATGGATCATTTGGTTTGTATAGAAGTCAAGTTTAAGAATTTTCCAAGTTAGTTTGTGTACAGGCCACATTCTAGTTCTTAAGATTGTCAACGCTGATCTGGATTCAACCACGCATCCCATACTTTCATGAGAAAATCCGAATTGAAAATGTCATAGATATAGAGAGGTTCCGATCACTTTGAATTAAGTAAGGACAATGCGTGCGGAGTTGCAATGTGTGATATTCGTGAGAAATATTTAACAATCTGATGAAACTTTCCACAAAAAAACGTCATTCTTCCCTTGTTTTTAATGAAATTTTATAACGGCAAATGGGTTAAATATTAACTTATGAAATGCTTTCCCTTCAAACCACATAATTCTGTTACATCTTATCTACAAAATTGAGACATAGGGCTTACCTAATTTAAGAGGCGTTTTGAACCATAGATGAAAGGAAGATGGTAGATACATTCTGCAGATAGTTTATCCTGGGGAAGTTACTACGAGAATTCACAGATACCAGTAAAAAAATTCATTACTTCTGTCCAACGCTCGTTGAATCCGTAAGTAACCAATATGTTAACAAAAGGATATGTCTGAAATCAAATGTGTGCACTTCTTTGTAAGATCGGCAGAATATTTCCCACCATTCTGAATAACCAATGTTCGCATCTCTTCCCTATCATCTGAACAAACAAATACCGTATCATGCACAGTACATCATTTTGAGATTAAAAAAATATGCAAACAGTTGAAGATGGACTTTAAGCAAATGACCTGCTGGGATCCCAGTCACACAAATAGTCAAACCAGCAAAAGGAAGAACTCTGTAAAGTTCCTGTGGAACAACACGGTGCTCTGCCCAGCACTGATGTAACCAGCTCATGCTGACAACAGGCTTCTTAAGAATATACAGAGCCCACTGCAACGAATTCAACATATGTTATATACAAAAAGAAGCGCAAAGTAAACATTCTACCATTAATAAATGAAGACAAAGGCTCCGTGGCGAAAAAGGAACGAGTGGAGTTTCAGAAAAAGTTACAGAATATAAAGATAATTCTGAATTGATGTCTTCTTTATATTTGTCTCTTCTCTTACACGACGTATTAAATATTTGTATCCATGAACAATGGGACATAATTCAGCACATGTTGTTGATGGAACTTGCAGACAATGAATCCATCTCCCCACACATTAGATATATTGAAGTAAATAACAAGGCACGTTGACTAGATCCTATGGAAACAAACAAGAGGTGCCAAAATTATCATGGTTCGTCTAGTTTCCTAGTCTAAACATGTAGGAATTAAGTTCATAGGGGTTTCTAGAGCTATTTATAACAAGGTATCCTTTTGCTATGACAGCGAAGACTATATAACTTTCGACAATCAATATGTGGCTTCTAGAAAGAGAACAAAGTATGATACTGGTTTTTACATTTGGTTCATGAGCATCTAAGACATTGGTCAGCAGACACTGCATTCATGATCGATTAGCAACTAATAATACTACACAGTGATGCCAGATACCATATCCCAATCTATCACCTGGCATCAGTAGTGCCCTTCAATCGAGAACTTGTAAGATTGTTGCAGGACGGTGGAAGATAGATCACTGTTTTAGGCGGCGAATGTACGTCAGACAAAACAAAGACAAGCAATAACCTTGGACTAGTGCTTCGTGAAAAATCAAAGCCAGCATACGTTTATGTACTCAATGATCTCATGCTGATTAAATGGTTGTGGAAGTGCATAAAATCCAAAACATTAGCAGATAAGGATGTTCTACCCATTGCTGATAAGGATTTTCTTTCGATAAAGAAAACGATTCCCAGAATATATTAACTTTTATAGAGGAAACTATTCACCTTGTACTTCGCAGCCAATACATTTTTAGCAACTACAAAGTTTACATCTAATGCTGCTTTGTTAACCAGTGTTCCACCCATTGCAGTTACTAACTGTTCGATCTTGACCTACAAAGCAGAAATTATTCGAGTCAAAACCAACTAAAGAGATGAGATAAATCTGTATCAAAAACATTCATGAATTTTGCCGCAAACTTTACAAATCTTGAAGCAAACAATTCCCTGAGATTATGATGTCAGATATCAGAATGGAAGACAATACAATACTTCATAAGAGCGTGAAAACATGGAATTGAATTTAACTATTAACTTGCACGTGTGATGTCGGCAATAAAAAGGAGGCTTAATTGTAGATATGTCATAAGCCCATAATTACAAGCTCCATACTAGAACGCCACATCAGTCCTTAAGGGCAATATAGAACACACAAGAAGACTGGATTTGGATTAAAAAAATTCTCAATACTAGGATTCTCACACGAGTATCCTTGTCATGCAGTCAACTAAGGAGCATAGAGCGTATCCTTCTGGCCTCTTAGCACTATAGACTACAGACCTATATGAGGGATGAGTTCATCTTCTATAAGTACCTGATTCAATCATTCGGAAAAAAAGTGGTTCCTGTCATTGCTTAGCTTTCTCTTTGTCAAGAGTGGGGTCATATCTAACAGCGAGATCAATAAAAGTCTCCTTATTTTGTGGGAAATTTAAAGAAAATTATATCTTCAGTGTATCCAGCATGGAATCAAGTATGTTTACAAGGCAGGCTACACTTATCCATTGAAGGATGAAAACCAGATTCAAATTTTCATGTGGTGGAGATCAAATATGCGTTTTTAATAGTAATACATCTAATCACAAATTGACTAAACTTGTATGTGATTCTCGTACACTCCCATAAACTCTGTAAAAATATACTTTACGGACTCAATTATATATTAGTCCTATATAGGAGGCGACCTAGTTTTTTGAAAATTTCAGGGTAAGAATAGCAAAAAAATTAAAAGAGAAAGTCAGATAGTATGTTCGAGCTATTAATGACTAAATGAATCCAGAATATTCTTCGAGGAATGCACTGAAAATGTGTCTGATACTGTGCGAGCACACGTTTTACGCATTTCACACAAAACGAATCACCTTTTCATCTTTCTCAAAGCCAGAAGCAAGAACTCTAACACCATCCATTGCAAGGCAGCAAGTGTAAACTTGTTTAGGCAAAACTCTTCGTTCTTTAGCACAAGAAAGCACACAATGTGGTCCTGACAAGATGTGAGCTTAACAAGTTATAAATGCTTGCATGTTGTTTGCAGAAAAGAAACCTGCTACTCAAGTAGACTTAACAATTTCGACATCTAGATGAGGAAATGCAAACCCAAAGAACAATGTGACAATAAATATAGAAAAAGAATTCAGTTTTTTACGCCTTCAGCCACTCAACCATCTAGCCTATTCTTGCAGTACAGGTCCAGTCAATTTTACTCAGCACATGTAGAGCCCACTGTAAGGCGTATGAGAAAAATGTACATGTATCGATTGAGGGGGTGACACCTTGAATAATGTCCATGGAATACATTTGCTCATTGATGAACGGGTAGACAGCATACACTTGATAAAATAAAATACATTCTTAGGTAACAGACCTAGACACGTGATTAAGAGTATGTATGATAGATAAAGAATTTTCCAACAGCAGTGCTCGCAGGAGGGCATGCAGACATTGTTCCCACATGCCGGAAAAACTGAATGACTAGATGTAAATATCCCAAAGGAGGGACATTTTTGCAACCAGTAAGCAAGGAAACTGAAATTGAGATCCGAACAAAGCATGGAGCTTAAGTTTGAGAAAGAGAATTCGGCAGTTACTGTTAAACACTTAAGTACCTCACTGTGCTTTGTTTCATGTAAGATAATATTTAACTCAGTTACTAAGGCATTGCCTGATATGTGTCTAGCAATAAATACCCAGGAGAAAACTGTGAGATGATGAGCAGAAAAAAAAGAAAAAGAATGGAAGCAAGAATACCTGACTACAATAGTAACGACAGTAATTACTAAAAATTATTCAAAATTAGCACGAAACTAATTCACTTTTTTCGGTATTTTATTTCGCTACTGTATCTTTTCACAGTTTGTCTTCAAGCATGTATGCTAAACTAAAATTTTCCTGAGTCTCCGTGAGCACGAATTTTTGGAAACCAAAAATACGTTGAAAAAGGGAAAATCGAGGGTATCTTTTAATACGCACTGTGTAAACACGCGCGCCCCCACACACACACACATAGAGAGAGAGACAGCATTTTCTCCCAATGCCAAACTGGCTTATACTTGGCTTGAGAACTTAGGACAGATAGGGAAATGTAAAAAGCGTGTTATTCGTCAATGACGTAGGTCATTATTCCTATGGCTAATACTGTGCCATTGCTATAACTTGCATACAGCAAAACGCAAATTAAGTCAGTGAGCAAAGGAGGCTGGATTCATTATGATCCAATCCACTGGAGCAACCAAATGTCTCTGCCATTCGGATTATTTGCATTTCGTAATAATAAAGAATAGGATGGTTTCCCAAAATTATGTATTTAGCCCTTGGAAAGCACCAAGTGCAATGACTACGGTAAGAGACAAGTTCGCGGAGTCAACATTTGATTATTCGTCAGATTTAGTAAACATGTCAAAGGACAGATGAGTCTAGTGTAGTCTAAAGCAAAATAAATCGTTGTTCCGGGGTAGGTACCGAGAAGATTACAACCCTTAGCTCTGAGATCCGCGAACTTCTCCTGAAGACACACCAATTGACCACCGTCAAGTCCACGGTAATCGGAAGAGAAACAGAGAAAAGAGATCGCGCTGGTTGATCGAAACCTTCATTCAGCGCTCTCACTCACATGATCCGGTGTGGCGATGACGTGGTAGTCATTGGACGCGTTCCGCGACGGGTCGCAGCAGAGGAAGACCTGAGCTCCGTTGAGGCGCAGGGCGTCATGGAGAGCGTCAAACATCTCCGGCGGAACCAGATTCCGCGACAGAAAGACGCTCGCCCCGTTAAAGGTCCCCATCTTCACCGCCATTCCCTCGGCCTCGCCGGGCTCCCCCCCTGCGTCTTCCGACCAGAGATTTCCCCCTGTTTCCCGCCCTTCACTCCGAGGAGGCCCGTTTTCAAGACCCCTCTCTGTCTCTCTCCTCTCTTCCCTGTCTTCATCTGCGATGCCAAAATTCTGTTTTTAGAATTTTTATAAATCTCTAACAGGCTATCTGGCTCTGGCACGTGCGAGTTCACACGTGCGCTCGAAACCCCTGCTTAAAACCTTTCCGACTTCAAATATCTCAGAGGACTTCGTCCTCTCCTGGATAAGCACAGCAGAGGAAGCAGCGGCGGTGACTGTGGCGGGAGCATGGGGACGACTCCCCTGTTATCGCCGTCGACTCTTCCTTATCCATGCCGCCTTCCTGCTCTCTGCGCCGTCAAGTCGTCGCCGAAGCTGGCGCTCGTCGGAGGGAACCGGATCTGCCCGTCATCCGGTACTGTGGCTCCACCCTGTCCTCTCATCCGCCATGGCGGCAGATGGAGGCGGAACGACTTCAAGGTGCGCTCGGACGAGGGCGATGGGGACGCGGGGGATCCGGACGGGTACGACATGGACGAGGAGGAGGAGGTAGAGGAGATCGACAACAAGAAGGACTACGACGTGGAGTACGACCGACTTCTCGGCACCGCCGTGGCCTCCTCGGGCTCGGGGGCCAGTGACGACATCGAGATTGTGCAGAGTAAGAACTTCGTGTCAACGCGGGGTTGGGACTCGGAGACGGTTGTTGACTACCGGATCAACGAGGACGAGTTCCACAAGATCTGTCTCCTCCACTGTGATTTTTTCATCAGGAAACCGCCCGATCCGGACAACAACGTGTATGACTTCAGGGAGGTCGGTAGTGTTAAGTTTGACTGTTTTTCACTCTCTTCGTGTTCCTCGATGTATTACTGCGGGTCCTTAAGCGACACTCTCACATTCAGATGTACGTCACGCCTCCTGACACAGATGTCTATGCAATTCCGAAGGTTTTGTCTCCGATGCCTCAAAAGGTAAGGCTAATTTATAATGTCTAGTTATATTTTTTTTTTACGGATTCTTCTTAGTATGTTTGTTTGTTTCTCTACATTGGAGACTTATCTTAAGCTCTGTGGATTATTAATTTTACGGATTCTTCTCCGTAGTACCCTGGAAAAAAAAATGCACAAAAGAAGGAATGAGCTATCATACCAAGGATTTTTAGTTATTGTCCCCTTATGCTGTTCACTCTTCTTCCTTTATTCAGTATATTCGCTGCGCGAAGAGTGACTTTGGATGCTACAATGTCACAGAGCCACCCATTGACGCTCCTCGAGATCCATTATATAAAACTGAACGTGAGATCCTAAAGGTAATTAGTGTAATTTCGTGCATTTTCCGGCTACAGGAATCTGTTTATTCAATTCAACGTCTGCCTGATTCCTTTCCAGTTGATTTGAAGACAATATTCGTTTGACAGAGTATAATTTTCATTGAAGATGGCTGCCTGTCTTCTCAGATCGTCTTAGTTTTTCCTCTTCTTATCATCACACAATTAACGCCACATTAAGATGAATCTGTGTATGAAAGAAAGCACCCCCTTCCCTTCAACTCCCCATACAAACAGAGGAAGAGCAAAGAAAATGCAGAGGTTTTTGTGAAAATATGTTAGAGTCACTGATCTTGTTTAGGGTGGTATCCAACTCAGTCACGACTTCCTTTTATGTCACGTTTGAACAAACTGTCCTTCCTAGTCCAGGAGACGGGTTCAAATCAGAGTAAAGAACGTGGAGCTTCTTTTTTTCACAATCAATATGGTGATGACCTGGGTTTTGATATATGCCATTAAATCACAACAACACTCGTTGATACATCAGGCTGTTCTCAGAAGGGTGATCGATGCTAGTGTGTCAGATAATCTTTAGGCTCCAAGTCAACCAAAAGCATGCGTTGAATTGACATTTATCCCGAAATGCTTTTTGAATGTAGAGATATGGATGTGGGTTACTAATTTGGGCACCATCCATTTCGTTCTTCACATTACTAAACAGGAGCACTCCATTGGAGCGGAATATTTACTGTTGCAATTATTTCTCTAATATTTCTGATGCTCGTGATTCGCTTGTCAATGTTGTATTTAAAAAGAAGTGAGTAAGTCCACTTATTTATTAAGAAACGGATGGATGTACATACACGTAGCCTACCAGCGATTAGAAAAACCCTGTACACTTGTTTCATATTACACCAACATTGTGTAGATCATGCTGATAATAGATAATACATAGAACAGCATATCTACTGCCGGTGCCATCTTCAATGGGATTCATGGTTGTTGGGTAATTTCCTTGCGAATTTTCTATTATTCCTTATTTATGAGATCTAACGTATAGCCCGTTATGGAAGCTTCATTTCTTAGTATTAGTTTCTACCCATTATATTATATCACTTCCATTCATTGTCTTGGGGGAGGATTTCGTGTTAAATGGATCTCATCGACTGTTTCTTGCATCACCGATTTTTTCGATTCATTATTTGTCTCTATCATAGGTGTTCCTAACAAAGCACTACAGAAATAGGAGGTTCGATGACCCAGATTTTGTCTTGGATTTTGAAGAAATTTATGTGATAGACTCAAAGACGAAGTCAATTACCCGGGCCAAGGTTTTGGTAAGATTTAATATCATCTCTCGATATCTTATTTTAATTGATAGCGTTATCAGTTAAGTTCGGTGAGGTTTGAAGGATCCGAGCAAGGATGAATGGCTGGAAAAAATAAGATATAGCGCAATGATAAATATATATATATATATATAATTTATTTTCAACAACCCTTCTTTATTCAACAGGTGACAATTCCCGAAGGAAGAGATAGAGAGAGGAGGAATGACCTGTTAATTATACGCGATGGAGGAACATCCTTCAAAATAATTGATAAGGTGCCTTTCTTTCTTACCTATTTTACTCTCTCTCTCTCTCTCTCTCTCTTTGGGGGCTCTCACCGTGGGTTTGCTGATTCGTCTTGGATATTTCTTCAGATCAAGAGGGATGATCCGACCACAGTAATAGAGAGAGAGGAGTGGGTCGAGACAAGGAAGGACATGGAGAAGCATCTCCGAAAGCTCCGGGACTTCAGCGTCTCCAACTGGTTCTAAGACGAGATACGGCTTAGGATGCTGATGGGCAGCGTGCTGTTTGCCACGTATCTCTACGGGATTCATTTGAGCTGAGGTTTTACCAATTAGGTGGTGACGTATGGAGAGTGTTTCTGTCTTAGTGCCCGGTCCGGGCCGGGCCCGTTCCTTGTCAGGCCCACCCCAGGCCACTAGAAGAGCGAAGGTGGCCCAAAATGGGCCCCCAGCCCGGACCCCCTGAAAAGGCCGGTCTTGGCTTCCATAAATGAAATCTGAACGTTCCAAGCCCGGCCCGTCTTCACTTGCTAATTTCAAAGTTTTCCACGCGCACATCTCGATCTTCCAGGTCAAGCCGGGCCGTGAAGCAGGAATCAGACTGGGCCCCAGCCCATTGATACCAACTAATTTCTAAGCATTCCTAACCGAAAATTTGGAACTTCCGTCCCCGGGCCGGCCCGGCTCTTGATTAACGGGTCAATTAAAGGATTAAGAAAGGTGTTAATTGAGGTCCACGTGGCGGGAGATCGTGCGGTCCCCTGCAATTGCCTTATTAAGTGTGATCAATTAAAAAATAATTACGATATTACTTAAGTCCACGTGGCGGAGATCATGCGGTCCTAACGAACGCTGAGACGCTTAAGGAGAGAAGATTCCTAGAAATTTAAAAGGCAGTTCCCTTCCTGAGGAGGTCTCCTTCTTCGCGGCGGAAAGAGGGGGTGGAGGGGAAGGACAATGGAGAGCGCCATGGAGATGCCAGAGTGCCCGGTTTGCCTCCAAGTCTACGACGGGGAGGAGGCGATTCCTCGCGTGCTTTCCTGTGGCCACTCCGTTTGCTCCCCCTGCATCGGGCTGCTGTCTTCTTCGTCCATGGCCCGGTCCTTCCCCGACACCATCCGCTGCCCCGCCTGCAACCAGGTGGTCCCCTTCCCCAGCGGCCAGGGTCCCAGCGCTCTCCCCAAGAACATCGACCTGCTCCGCCTCTGCTCCTCCTCGCCTTCCTCCCGCCAGGTCCATTCTCGGCCACGAGAGATGAAGGATGCGGAATTCTTGCCGCTTCCTTGGGATGATCAGTTTTTCGCCTCCTGGAAGGACTTGATCGTTCCAGCTGATGCTATATCCATCACGGCACCGTTTGATTCCGGGACAGATGCGGTGTCTGGGACGCTGACGAGAGATTATACTTGCGGTCGTAGTCGGCGCTTCCGGGAAAACCAAACCGTCCGTCTTCTGGCTGTTGGTGCTTATTTTTCCTCGTATCCTTCCCTTTCAGCGGAAGCTGGATCGGGGCAGTTCAAATTGAGTAGCACGGCTAGAGTCATGGAAGCTTTGAGTAAGCTAACCGAGAAGGAGAGGGCGGAGTTACATCTGATCGTGGCGGCCCCTTCCAGACAAAGGCATGGTCTTTGTAGAGTTTTAGGGTTGTGGATGAGCTCGGAGGAGAATTCACCACTGTTCTTGGTAGGTGAAGCGTTCCAATTTGGTCTTTCCCGCGCGCCGGATGGCAACGAGGAGATGGGGCTAGTTAATCCCGACGACGTGTTTGGGTTTGCGAAAGTCAGCATGGAGTTTTGTGAGGCGATGGTCGGCTTGCACTCACAAGGTATAGCCTGTGGGTGCTTAACACCGTCCTGCTTCCGTTTTGATTCGTATGGGCACTGCTCCTTAGATATGAACGAGGTTTTGCTAGCGTGTAGGAGAGTGAGGATGGATGTGGCTGAAGCCACGAGTAGCAGCAACCAGTGTTTTGTCAGTCCAGAGCTTCGCAAAGAGCTACTTTTGAATAAACCTGACCCGAGTTGCGGTAGTGGGGTGGCTTATGGATCAGATGTTTGGTCGTTGGCTTGCATTCTGATTATGCTTATTGTAGGAGAGGGGCAACACTGCACGTTGTGGGATGATTTTACCGTGAATGATTCTGTTGAATTGAACTACGATTTGTATGATATCTGGCTGAAGAAGCTGACCTCCAAGTTAAAAAGTTCATTGCAGGGAACAAGATTTGAGAGCCTGCTGCCTATTCTCGAATCCTGTTTGAACCATGACCCAAAGAATCGTCCTGGAGTAGAAGACATGTGGAGATGTCTTATGAGTCTGTCCATCAGATCTATCTACACTGTTCCTGCTGGTTCAGAGACCCTGGCTGCCAAGGACCTTTTGTGCTGCTTGGTTCTTGGAGATCTGTGCCGCGTGCCTAAATCTGGAGATCACCCGTGTGTGAAGGAGAGAAAAATCTTGAAGGGGGCTAAGATGACAGTAGATGATCTCTCTGGTTTGCCCCTGGAGACCAGTTGCGGACAGGATGTTGAGCATTCCCAGCAGGATGAAACTGATCGACTGTTAGACAAGCGTTTTCATGGTGCGGGTTTGCAATCTGTTTCTCTAAGCGGTCACAAGGATTGTATCACTGGGTTGGCCGAAGGAGGTACCCACTCTACTAAGCTTCATGAGATATCTCTGGTTTTGCAGTCTTTCTGCTTGTCTTCCCTCTCCTTTTCCACCTGACTGATCAAATTTAATCCTTGCTTTGACTATTTTCACCCACCCTTGCAAGACTTCTTTCAATATATATACTTTGCACGCGAAGATTATATGTTCAATCTTTTATCCATTGTTATATAGCATGCTAGCGATAAGAATTCTAAGTTAAGAAAGCAGTGTAGAAATTTTCGTGGCACTCGGTTGCCATGGACAGAATCTCCTAAAGTGTGAACACTGGGACCTCATATTTGTGAAATTCTTTCCAGCATTTATCCCCCGTGTCTCCATTTGGAGCATTCGGCATTTTCCCTATGCGATTGGGCATTCTATTTTCAATCTTTTTAAATAAAAAATTAGCATGATATAGGTTCATTCGACCATCCGGGAAAAGCCTCCTCACTAACTCTGGAAGAATTAGCGTATGATACAGCTCTACTGATGAGTGATCCTGGGGTGATGGAACTCCCATCAAATGCGCTGGCTTATTCTTATCGTCGACTAATGCACATATTATCATCGAATTCTCTTCAGATTTTGGTCCATTTTAACTTTAGAAAAACCCTCACTATTGTAGGTGGTTTTCTTTTTAGCTGCTCCTTTGACAAAACGGTCCATGTATGGTCCCTGCAGGTAAATTCTCGTAATCCTTTGCATTTTTTCACGATTTATCCGTTGATTAATTGCCCTTTATTTATTTGAAAACTTTTCTTCTTTTTTTTCACCCACACATTCTATTGAAGTTTAAGTTGCATTTTTGCAACACCGGTTGACCTTACAGAGAGCCATGCTGTTCATAAATAAAGAGTTTGGCCGAACTATCGTTGAATTTTATTTTATTTTTGTTTGGAGAACAAGTAGCTCACAAACCAGGTTTCATTCGGACTGTAGTTCTTCCAAAGACCACATCTTGGCCGCATTACTTGCTTCCCTTCATAGCTTTCATGGAAAGCAGGAGTAACCCATCTGATGGATGTTGACGAAAATTATAGAGTGGAGTAGAAGAAAAAAACCAACGATTATTGAGAAATGATGATAGATCACAAAGAAAAAAAGAAACCGTGGAGCATGCGATAATATTTGACATTATCTCCTTTTTTTCAACCAATTCGAGCCCATTCCCTGGCATTTTCTACATGATTAATAAGTACAAGTCTTCCTGAGTTGGCACCAAAGTTCATAAAAAAGGAGAAACTAGAAATAAACACAAGTCGCAATTTCTTCGACTAGGCAGCTCCAGCATCTGATTGATTATTCCCATCTTTCATGGCGGCGACGGCGGTATTTTTTTCAGACTAATAGTCTTACCGGATGCAGGATTTTTCCCTAGTCCGAACCCTGAGGGGCCCAGAGCACAAACTCATGGCCGTGGTTGCTGTGAATCCCGCCGGGAAACCGATGTGCATAGCTGGCGACAGCGGAGGGGGCCTTTGTGCCTGGGACGTCTCCATCTCCGACACTGAAGAAGAAGAGCCTATGAGGAGATGGCACCACCACAATGACTGGCGTTACAGCGGCGTTCACTCTCTGGCTGCGTCGGAGTCCCAGTTTCTGTACAGCGGCGGCGGGGACAGATCCATTAAGGCCTGGTCCTTGCAGGTTAGAATCGGCACCTTCTTGCCATCTGCTCCTCCTTTGCTATTGAGATTTTTGGGTTCTTCACCAGGAGAAGAAAGAACGTCTCCTCCATTTTTTCTGTTGAGAAGAGAAGCAATTCTTCTTCCACCGACTAACTATCTATCTATCTATCTATCCCTAGGATTTTTCTCTGGCCTGCACGTTGACGGGGCACAAGTCAGCGGTCTCCTGCTTGGCGGCCTCCGAGGGGATCCTCTTCAGCGGGAGCTGGGACGGAACCATCCGCCTCTGGTGGCTCCACGACCATACACCGCTGGCGGTGCTCGAGGACGGCGGATTGCCCAAGGGGACCTCCGTCCTCTCCCTCTCCGTCTCTGTCGCCGGCCGTCTCCTCGCCGCTTCCTACGACACCGGAGCCATCAAGGTACGTCTGATACGTCTCTGCCATTCCTTTTAACAGCCGAATATGATGGGTGGCGTGGCTCGCTCCAAATGGGCTCAGGTGTGGAGGGACGGGCGTCTCCTGAAGTCGGCGCAGGTCCTGGATGGGGCCATCTTCTCTGTGGACGTGGACGGGAGATGGGTCTTCGCCGGAGGATGGGACAGGACCGTCCAGGTGCAGGTTCGTGTCATCCCTTCTGCTGATCGTCTTGACGGGTTGACACTTTAAGTAACAGGTGGAGTTCCTCTGCTGCTCCTCAAGTCTCTTCTTCTTCTTGTGTCGTAGGAACTCTCGGAGAATGATGGGTTTGAGGCGGAGTTGAGACCCGTTGGGTCGATTCCTTCCGATTCCGTCGTCACTTCCATACTGCACTGGCGAGGAAGGCTTTTCGTAGGCGGCTCCAGCAGGGATGTCAAGGTATATATATATATCTCTCTCTCTCTCCCCGTCTCTCTGTTCTCTGGTGAATCACACAGCAGTCTTATTTTAGGTGTACTACTACTGCCAAGAGTCTGGCGAAGGAGACAACGACTCCTGTTGAGGGAGTCAATTAAGAAGGACAGTGACGACTCAGGGTACAATCAAGGAGGCAAATGTTATCCTTGTTCACCGAACGCAATCGAGGACCATCCGTGCGTGCGTGCGTGTGTGTACACTGATTGTATATATCCGTACGTGCGATTGCAACAACACACATACCCCCACCCCACCCACACACTTCCTTTTCTTCTTCTTCGTCTCCCTTTACATTCGTTCGGTCTGTTTATTCTGTTGCTCCTAGTATTTCACGGCCGCTCTCACTCCCCTTCAGAGGACTAGAGCCCGCCGGGATGGTGATGGTGGTGGGGGTGCCCGGCAGAAACCCCCCGCGCCACCATCTCCTCTGAGCCGGAGGCAGCATGGAAGGAAGGTCGAAGGCTCGGTAGATGCTCGGGAACGGGGAAGCCCGGAGGGGGAGAGGGGAGGGCGGAGGAGCCGGCAGACCTGGGGAACCTCTCGCAATTTGCCCGGGCCCATCCGATCTGCTCCTTCTCGTTGTCGTACACCACCATCACGTCCTGCACGGAAATGTCTGCAGGAAGAGAGGAGGCGGGGGAGGAAGGGAAGAATCCGCCCGTCAGAGAAAAAAAAATAAAAAACGTTTCTTTTTCAATAGAAGAGGAGGATGGATGGGGATCGTCACCTCCGATGATGTTGAGATCTTTGAGTCCAACTTCGGTGCCGTTGAGGACGCCCAGGCAGAGGCTGCCGTGTTTCTGGTAGGAGGAAATGCACACAGAGATTACCCGTTATGGCTGGCCTTCTTTCTTGTTCAAATCAGGGCGGAGAGAAGGAAGAGGATAATCAGAGCTCAGCTGTGAGGATTAGGTAGTTTTCAGGGGGAATGGCCAGCAGAGCCCGTTTCCCCTGAGAGAAAGCCATTGTCAAGGGCTTAAAGTACTTCCTCGCTTCCCCGATGGACTTGAATGGCTTCGCACCTCTCCAGCACAGCGGGAGGGTGCGATCGTCGGAGGCCACCTTCAGCTGCTTCCCGGAGAGATCCCTCATCATCTGTGCAGACGCAGCAGCGTTAAACCTTCAGCTGTCTCCAGCGTTCAAAACATATTTAGGGGGAAAATTCTTTCGTCATTGCTCACCAAGGTAAGGAAGATCTCGTAGGGACGAGACGAGAAGTATGTGTAGGAGCTCCCGCTATCGAAGATCACCTCGAAGTTCTTGCCGAGGAGTTGCCGGCCTAAGAAGAGATTCGCAGGACCCGGCGAATAGTACTTGCTGGCGACAGAGCGAACAAGAACTGTCAGTGGGGGGTTGACCAGTTTAAGAATCAGACAGAGGGACGAGATTGCTAACCGTAACCCGCGGCCGGACATTGGGGTCCATGAGACGCCGGAGGTGGGGACGAGGTCGTCACCGAAGAAGAGGAACCCGCCACCTCTCCTACCAAGGCAGTGACCCATCACGTTACGTGTCAGGCCGTGCTCTCGCAGCTGCGACATGATGCTGGACTTGCCGAGGCCGAGCCCAAGGACGCCGTCCGTCGGCGACGGCGCGTCATTGCCGTACAGCTGCTGGTCGTAACCACAACTGTTCCGGAGGAGAAATTCGACTGATTAGCAAGAAGGAATGTGAACGAAATCCGAGGGAAGACGAGTAGAGAAGCTTCTGTACCCGAAGGCGAGGCGAGGGCGGAGGAGGGAGCCGTTGACAAAGTGCATGGAGAAGGTGTCGCTGATGAGGACGCCGCGGGAGGAACCTTGGTCCGCATACTCCACCTCGTAGTCGCATTGGTCGTTGGGAGAGTCGCAGTGGGGCCTCTGTGCTTCCCCGGTATGGGAGGGGGTGGAGGCGACGGCCTGGAGGGAGTCGCAGATAGGATGCACGCAGGGCACTAGCTTGTCCTTCTCCGGCTTGTACAGTGGGTGAGGTCCCTGCCGCAACCATCCAAGAGGACATTCGGCTTTTACTAGTTCAACGAACCGTGGAAAAAAAATATGGAGGGACGCATATCCCATATTGTGATTATCACAAGACCGTAGAGAAGCTCCCTTGTGGCAGGAGAACTGAGAGATGGATAAGCGTTTCTTGAGATAAATGAGATCGCAAGAAATCATTTATTGGCTTGCCTTGGAGCAGCTGACGCAGGGTGCGTCGCATTGAACCCAGGTTAGGTCGCTGCCGGTGTCCACATCCAGAAAATACGGTCTCGGCGGATCCCCGATGCGCAGCGATGCGAAGTACAGCCTTCAACCACCAGCGGTAGAAGAATCCAAGAATCCAGAAGCAAAGAATCAACCACCCTTGGTTTGTTAACGGATCCAAGAACAAACAAGATGACGCCAGCGGTACAGCGTCCGAGGAATATGGAGAGGTCCAGAACAAGAACAGAGACAAGACCTCAGGATCCTCACCCGTTGGGGTAGACATTCCCGTAGAGGGGGAAGACGGCGGAGGAAGTCCTACCAATGCTGACGGACGACGGGAACCTGTCTTTGGCCGCCTCGTGCGGCGGGGATGGCTGCGGCCTTCTCCTGTTCTGGTCGGCAGAGGCGAACGTGGACGCGGATGAGAGGCACAGAGCCAGAAAGACCATTGACATGGCCTGCCCCGTACCTTCTTCCCCAACCTTCCTCATCTCGTTCCTCTCCAATCGGTGGCGGCCTGGAAGCTCTCTGATGAAGAACAGCAAGAACCGGAGGAAGGGCGGGGGGAAGGTGGAAGAGGAGAGAGCGAGGAGTTCTGGGAGGGGAAATGCGGTTAAGAGCGGGGACGATGGATGCTCCGAGGAGTTTATAGCGCTTTTTCCTGTGGGCCCCACTGCGGTTTCAACGAACATCTATCTCCCTTGGCGCACAAATGACGCAGGGGAGTCGTCTGTCTCGCTTCGTAGCAGCACTGCCTAGGGCCCACCACATTGGCCGCGTTGGAGCACTTTATTGTCAGCCCCCACCCAGGAAGTCAAAAAAGTGAATTATATCACCATTAATAGAATAATTTTAAAGAACAAAGGTTCCCTTTTACAAAAATAGGATTAATAAGAAAAAATAATTACCTAATTAACAAAGTGAAAATATATTTTATTTTATTAATGCTAAAACGGTGCCCATTTTTCTGTTTTTCATAAATATTTATAATTTAAAAAAAGCAGGTTCCAGAATATCATTGACGGCGTGATACGTGGAATAATCTGAGGGATGCCCTCACAGAATCCAATGGTATGATCACACGCCGTCATAATTCTCACGCTTCCAAGTTCTTCTCGCGATGGAAGGACCCTCGTATTCCTTCCCTTCTCCCCCGCCCAAAGAAAACGGAGAGAGGGAGGGAGAGAGAGAGAAAGAGCTCTTCCCTGGGATGAGGAGGGGGTATGGAGTGGAGTGAGGGCAAAGGGTTTAGAGGGGAGGGCATGGTATTAACGTTAACTTGGGAGGCGGGGGAATCTCCTCACCTGCCTGAGACACAAATGTGGTAGCGGCGCCGCCGCCGGAGGGCCGGAGTTTTATTCAAGATTACGGCAGCCACACTGTACAGATTCGCAGGCTTCTGGGCAGGCAGTCACTCTCTCGCAACACATTACACAGACTGCTCACGACTTCGATAAACCTTAGTGGCTCTACAAAACTGCAGCACAGTCGGCGGCGGCGGCGGCGGCGGGGAGAGGGGAGCTCGATGACGGCGGTTTTCGTCGCCGGGGCTCGTTCACATGCCATCGCCGGACGTCCGGTTGGACCAGAGTATCTCGATCTCGAGGGTCCTGGAAGATCCGTCCCTGTTGCCGTCGTGGTTGAGGCTGAACAAGCCGCTGTACACGCCCTCGCTCACCACCTTGTCGATCTGAATCGTGACCCTCCCGAGAGTGCTCTGCAATACCAGAAGATCAGAGGAAGAAGGAGAAGGATAGGGGAGAAGGATAGGGAGAAGCAGAAGCAGAGAGGGGCTCGGCGCGGCGGTGCATACCTTTCCGAACGTGTTCTTGCTCTTGCAGAGGATGAAGAGCTTCTGGCCCTTGGGGGGGACGTCGAACGCCCAAGTGAATCCCTCCTTCCACTCCGGGGAGGTGCTATGTGGCACCACCTGCAACAGACACCAGTTAGTCCAGTCTCAGAGAGGGAGGAAGGAAGGAAGAGCTTGCTTTCTTCTACCTTGGTCTGCTTGGGGGGGGAGTTGCCGATGGTGAGGCGGCAGAAGGCGTTGGTACTCCCCATCGTCTGCTTCAGGTTGTTCCCGCGCTTGATGGTGACCGTCAGGCAGCCCGGTAGGCAGTGGAGCAGGCTGTCGGCGCGCTCGTGGAAGCTTGGCGGGCAGGTCTTCACGAGCAGCTGCAGGATGGGGATGGCCTCTGCGGCGACGAGCGCCTGCGCCTTGGCGATGTCCTCGTTCATCTCCGACCAGGAGTCCTTGAGGAGGCACATCGTGTCCAGTGCCGACTCCTGCGCCGCCTCGCTGCCCGCCTTCAGCGCCCCCACCAGGTGCGGGATGCAGAGCGTCGCCGCCTCCGATGTCCGCAGCTTCTTGAAGTTGGCGAATATCACCTGGATCGTCCTCAGAACCTCTTCGTTGATCGTCGCCGTCGACCACAGCTCCTTCTCCAGCGCCGCTGCCACACCAAACCAGAAGAAGAGAAAGAGAGATCAATGGGTTTGCAGAGAAGGGATGGATAGATGGAGAGGATGGAAAGAGGGAAGGGGATTACCAGTCAGGGACCTGATCAGCTCGTTGGAGACGTACTCCTGCAGGGTGTGGTTGGAGAAGAGGAACTTGATGAGGAGGGCGGCTTGAGCGGCGACCTCGGGATTGGGAGATAGCAGGAGCTCCTGGATAACGAGGATGCCACCAGACTCGGCGACGGCGCGGCGGTTGGTCCTGCTGCGCATCACCAGGTTCTGCAACGCGCAGACGGCCACCATCTTCATGTCCTCCGTCGGTTGGTCCTCAAGCAGGCTCACCAGGGCCCGGCAGGCCGACACGGCGTCTCCAGCCCTAGCGAGGTTCTCGTTCTGGAAGAGGTCCCCGAGGGCGAGGGTGGCGAGGAGCCTCGCCGGGGGCGATCGGGTGAGCGGATCCAGCAGGTACTGAGACAGAGGAGCTATGGCGTACTTGGAGACCTTCATCTCCCGAACCCTGACATTGTTGAGCAGCGCCTCCAGCAAGGTCCCCGCAGCTTCCTCGCACTGGTGGGACCGCATCAGCTCCAGGAGGGCGCCGACGGCGCCGTGCTCCGCCATGAGGAGGGCACTGGCGGCGTCGCTCCGCTCCTGTACGATGAGAGCGCTGAGGGCGATGGCTGTGGTACTCTCGTGGGTGGACTGCAACAGCCGCACCAGGACCACCAGGGGGACCTTGAAGTAGTAGCTGGCGTTGAAGCGGAGGACGTTGGAAAGGACCAAGGCGGCGGATTCCCACAGAGCGTGGGAGGGCTGAGGATCGGCCTGGACGATAACCTTGGAGATCTCGAACAGGCCGCCAGCGTCGGCGACGGCCTCCGGCCAGCTCGTCGAGATGCTCTCCAGCGCCTTCACCGCCGTCTGCTGCAGGCTCAGGATCCCGATCCCAGCGAGCTGCACCAACGGCACGACGGCGTTCTTCGTGGTGATGTCCTGCTGGAAGTGCTCCTGAGCCAGGAGATGGGAGAGCAGCTCCGTGCCGAGCTGCTGGATGGCCTGGGAAGGTGACTCGAGGAAGGAGATGAGCGGCTCGATGACCTGGCTCGGCGTCAGCTTCAAGGTGGCGAGGCTCTGCGGCTTCTCCAGGATGTTCACCAGCGTCTGCAGAGCGTTCTGCTGCCCCAGCATGGTGATGTCTGTCCTCCGCAGGACCAGGAAGAGAGGTTCTACCATCATCGCCGCCGCCGAGCTCTTGGCGATGCTGCTGTTGTTCGTCAGAATGAGCAGCAGCTCCACGATCTGGGAGCACAGGGAGCCAGGAGCGTCGTGGAGCATCTCCAGCGTCCTGTCGATTATCCCTCCCTCCACCATGTCGACCTTGCAATTAGGGCGGTCTTTCCCGAGCTTGATGAGCGACCGGATGCAGGCCTCTGAGAGCCGGCAGTTCGACGGAGAAACCAGGCCGACGAGAAGCTCGACGACCTCGGATCTGGCGGCGATGTCGGCGTGGTGTTCCTCGTTCAGCAGCCTCTCGAGAGCGCGAGCACCGGATTCGACCACCGCGCTGTCGGGGGAGGCCATCAGGGATATGAGCGGCTGCACGCACTCGGCGGCGACCGGCTGCGCCAGGATGTTCAGGTTTCCGAACAGGACGTGGCAGAAATCGGCGGCGTTCCTCTTCAGCTCCGGCGACAAGCTCGAGACCAGGATCTTGTGGAGGCTCTTGAGGGGGTCGCCCTCCACGTCGCTGATCATGTAAGCCTTCGATATGCTGCCGGAGGTGAGCTTTATCAGCGCCACCAGCGCCGCCTGCTGCTCCCTCTCGGATCCGCCGTTGAGCATGTCGACCAGCGGCTGAATAGCTTGCCTGGCCATCTCAGAATCCCTGATAATCTCTGAGTCGAAGAGCTCCTGCAGGGCTCCGGCGGCGCTGAACCTGGCATTCCTCGATCCCAAGCGGAGCACGGCCACCAGCTGATTCAAAGAGCTGAAGGAGGCTTCGTGACGAAGAAGATCCGGATGGCTGAACAGGATCCTCAGAAGATCGGTCACAGCGGCCTCCGTGGACTCCTGAGGGCTCAAGGACAGGTACTTCGTCAGAGCTTCCAGAGCACCAGCCTCCGCCATGGCCAGCTTGTTCGCATCACTTCCCTCTGCTAGCTGAGTCAGGAGGTGGACGGCAATCGGAGGGGCTCCCAGCCTGTCGGGCATCGGCCTCAGAAGATCCACCAAAAGGGGTATGGATTTGCGAGCAGTCGCTCCAGTTCTCACATCTTCTATGCCGAAAATCTGCTTCAGGATGACCTGCCCAGGGTGTTGCAGAAGAGCAAACTCTTCCGACAAGGCAACGAGGTTCGGCATATCAGATTCCAGGTGACCAAGGAGGCCGATCAGCCCCCCCACCGCGCCAGAGTTGGCTACTGCAAGGTGGATTCCCCTGTCCCCACTGGAGACGAGGCTAGCCATCGCCTGGGCGGCGAAATACCTGTCAATAACCTCATCGGACCTCAGCAAGAATGCCAGAGAAGGTATGATTCTCATGGTGGCCGGAGACAGTACGACGTCTGTTTCTTGGAACAAGACGGCCAGGAGAAGAGTGATAATCCATGCTTCTGCAGACTCTGATTCAACCTATACACAAATGCCAGAAGAAGAAGAAACAGGAATTAATATATGTTTCCTCAGATGGTAAACGCCCAGATAATTGGGTAGGAGAGGATGGAGAAAGGGCTTACCTCAGGATCGGCAGATAAACAAGATAGCTTGTCACAGAGCAGCTCGACCCCGCCAGCTTCCATGACTGTACGTTTGCTCTTCTCATGGGAGGAAGACACTAAACAGAGCAACCACAGGGCAACCGTTCCACCCAGAACAGCGGCGGGATCGGATGCCTCGGGTTCGCCTCCTTCCTGGCAATTCTTCTCCATGAAGCTCCCGGAGGTTCTCACTGCTTCGGTGGAGGAGCAGGAGGAAGGATGCTGCTTCACCATGCCAGTGAGAGAATAAATCAGCGGCTTTAAGAGGCCCGACTCGTCGAGAGCGTCCATGGAAAGCTGCCTGTGCTCCCTTGCAGCGCAGATGAGGATGGCAGCCCCGCCAACCCGCACTTCAAAGCTAGGTGAGTTCATCACCCGCTCTGCAAGGGAAGAAATGCACCCAGCCTTGCCGATCAGGAGGTCACCCAGCACGACCGGCTGCTCCAGGCAGAGCCGCGAGAGGATTTCAATGGCCTTGTCTTGAACTGGTGGCAGCCCGACGGCGAGGCACTGTATCAATGGCTCCAAGCTCGCCGGAGCTTCAGCAAGAGCAGACCAGGGGGAATAGGAAAAGCTGGCACTCTGCTTGGTTCTGGTCAACAGGGCAAGCAGATCGAGAGGGTCGGAGTGTTCTACCCCTTCCAGATCAAGAGAAGCCAGGGAATCGAGAAGGGTGAGTACCATGAATCGGCACTTTGAATTCTCCACCAGCACTTCGCCGATTGGGTACTGGTTCAGAAGATGGTGAAGAGCACGGGAAGCATTCTTCTTCCCTTCTGAAGAGCCCTCTCCCAGCACTCTGGTGAGAGCAGGGACGGCATCCTCAGCAAGGGCTTCCCTGGCGATCTGTGGGTCGGAGAGGAGATTTGCCAAGGCCGCCACTGCAGTCTCAGCGGCATCAATGGACGAGGTCTTTGCCAGGTTGATCAGGGGCTGGACATCGCCTTCAGCTATGTACGACATCTTGTGGGAGGGCTTTGCCTTGGTCGGCCTGGAGAGGGCCCCCAGGGCCCTTGCCGACTGAGTAGCGATCACCTGGGTCTTGCTGGTCAGCAGCTTCATGCAAGGATGGACGATCTCGTCGGTCGCGAGGCTGTCACAGATATCCTGCCTCGTGCTGAACAAATCCGCTAGCACAGAAGCGACGCACTCCTGGGTTTCTTCATTTGAGGAATTCAGAACTTCCACCAGCGATCTGAGCCCTCTGTTCGCTGGAGAGCCTCTCTGCACCAGGTCGCTGTGAGAAGCCATCATGAGGACATGACCCAGCACAGTGATGGCGTGGGACTTGGACCCCGTAGACTCGCCGAGAAGCAGAGCCAGGAGCTGGTTGATTGTGGCAGAATCGGCGTCCCGTATGAGCTTCCTGAGCGCCTTTGAAGAAGCCTCCTGCCCCTTTGAGCCGCCGCTCTTCAGCAGCCACAGCAGCGCAGAGACGGCCCCTGCGCTCTCCACACAGGCCCGGATGTCGTCGCTGAAGCAGCACAAGTTCCACAAAACATGGGCTGCATCTTCTCTTGCCCTTGGCGAGCCCGTCTCCAAGAGCTGCACCAGCGGAGGGATCCCCCCCGCAGCTGTAATTGCCCATTTGCTGTCATCAACCTGGTCAGTCAAGATCGCCAGCAAAGCAACGGTGTACTCCTGGTGCTGCTCCCCGGACAGACCCAGCAAGGATATCAGCATCTGGACGCCCTCTCTCTTCCCAATCGACGCCCAGATGCCCATATTATCACTGCATAATCTTGTCAGTGACTGGATGAGGTGCTCCTGCACGTCAACAGAGGCCATGGTTATCAGCCCAATGAGCATCCTCTTGGCGTCTGCATGCTGGAGCCTTTGGGAGAGGAAGCTGTTTCCATAGAGGCTCGCCAGGGCCTCGAGCACACGGTCGTGGACCAGTTTACTACTGTCCCGGGGCTTCAACAGGAGGATCAGAATCTCTTCCACAACAATGACATCGGGCTGCTCATCTTCTTTGAAAACCATGAGGGAATACGCCAAAGCTCCAATTATGTCGGCCACTGGAGCGGCCAAACGCGGAGACTGTGAGAGCTCCCCGAGGTAAGAGACCAGAGAAGACATCCCTCCACAGATGTTACCCAAAGCTCGGACGGCATGGCCTTGTAGGGCGTGGCAGGCCCCCCCCTGCATGCACTCCTTGGAGGGAGCCACCACAGCTCCGATCAGGGCCGGTATTCCTTTGGCATCCACCATGGCTTTCTTTGCTTTGGCAGACTTGGACGACAGAGCCTCCAGAGCATCGGCAGCACTGGCGCGGACTGAGACATCATTTTCCTGCGATAGAAGATGAAGAAGCTCCCCCACAGTGCCCGCATTGACGACCTTGGAGATGCTGTCGCCGAAGGCCAAGACCAGGCGGGCTAGTAGGGATGCTGCATTGGACTGGGCAAAGCTGTTGCCAGAAGACAGAAGGCCGGTGATGATCTCGACCCCGCCTGCTTCAAGTGTGGCCCTCCAGTACCCATCCTTGTCCCCGCAGAGGTTTCTCAGGGCTCCTGTGACGAATCCTTCGACTACTTTATCCTGTTTCTTGCTTGGATTGAGCTGATCCCACAGGGTTGGGACGACGCCCTCTGTGACGAGTATCTTCATCCCGATGTGATCTTCAGATAAGCCACCAGAGGAGACCTCGAAGATGGCCTCAGCTGCGGCCTTTCTTGCTTCCAAGGATTCGGACTTCAGAAGAGAGAGTAATGGCGGAATGCAGCCTCCTAGGAGGACCTTAACGCGCAGGTCTTCCTCCCTGCACAGGGCGCTCAGTGTTGCAGCGACGTTTACTCTTGCATTGGTCGTCCCGCTCCTCAGCACGGAGATGAACAGCGGCATGGCTTGAGAGTGGGAGCCGATTAAGATCCTCGCATCTTTTCTTGCTCTGATGACGGCCAGCAACCTGGTCGTGACCAACTCCTTCTCGTGGGGAGAGGACATGTTCCCGTGGAGCTGTTCGACAAAATGGGCAACTGTGGCCATCGTGCTCTCGGGATCCTCCATTGCTGCGGTTTCATGCGAATCCCTGAGAATCAATGGCGAAAAAATTATCATACTTTTAGAAATCAAGGATAAGTTGCAGTCTTTCGATTATATCTACTATACAGCAAGCTAACGATTAAATGAAACAAGGCAACTTTACAGCGTTCGAGTTGAAGATACTTGTCGATACTAAAAACATAAAATAAAAAAAATGAGGTATATGAAATTACCGAGAGAGAGTTGATGACGACCGAGAGATCGATGATGAAGAGAGAGGATCCCGAGGCTCAGGGGAGCGTGATTTTGACATCTTCTCAAAACTAGATCCTCCTATCGATCTGTGCAAATCTGAGTAGAATCCAACTCAGTTTTTTAAAAAAAGAAAACGAAATTTCACGAAGTTTTGAGTTTGACGAACACTAATTGACACTACGCGAGAGATATTAGCACTACAGAAAAGCCAGAAGCGAGGAAGGGGGACGAACTGAATGGTGGAACCTAGGTTTCAATTCAGAACTATAGATCCGACAATTTTTGTAGAACACTCCCCCGTGGAGATATTTCAGTCACCAGATTTGGCACGGCAGTATTTTAGGATGAGCGTTTAGTATCTAAGGAGTGAAAAAGAGGAATGAAGATGCCCCTACCTGGGAGACGCCAAATCTGGAACCCTACGGAGAGCCGTGTCCCAGGCCGAAGGCCGGCAGAAGAGGGAGCTCACGAGCGAGAAAGCCACATTATCTACATAAATCTTCCGGGAAAACGAAGTGACATTAACAATGACGCTAAAAACTGTACGCAAGGGACAACAAGAAGATTTGAATCTACAAACGCCCAAGGGATGTCAAACCAAGCGACCAATTCCGGAGAGAAGGTAACCAGACTGGTCTACTCTCAGTCAAATTAGGAACGGATCGGAAGGGAATGCGGATCGAATGGCGTTCTCACACCAACAATTCAAACTTACAATCAATGAAAATGGAGAAAACCGCAGGAATTAATCAAAATCACAACGAATTACCGCACACTGGACCCCGATATCTCAGGATCCGATTCCAGATGGGGGCCGGCACGGGAGGGAGAGAAGGACCGCCTTGTAGCCTTTCTCCCGAGCGTTCTCGCCTCACCTCCCCCGCCTCCTCTTCTCCCCCTCTCCCCCCCTCCCCCCCCCCTCTCTCTTCCTCTCTCCTCTATAGCCGTTTCAGGAACTGAAGAGAGAGGAGAGAGGAACCCGTACTTTCTGGGGGAGCCTTGAGAGAGAGTGCTTCTGTGGTTATGTCTGTGTGAGACAGAGAAAGAGAGAGAGAGAGTGTGTGTGTACGGTAAGAGGATGGTGTGGACTCGCAATGAGGTTCAGTTACCGTGCTCCTTGCGGATCAGCAATTGGCCAGCTCTCATCCCTTGCCGTCAGAGCAACTGGGTGTGAGACCCACCGCCAGAATCACAGCTTCTCTGGTTGATCCGCGGTTCACCGTAACAAATCCGACGCTCCGACCGACTGACACAACCTATGAGCACCGCTGTGGCCTGCTGGCCCCCTCCCCGCGTGTACTTCTTGCCCTTTTTGGGTCCCACTCGATTAAAGTCGCTACCGGACTGGGGTACGTGTCTGATCCTTAGGGAAGGTCAATGACAAATTCAAAGGACGAACGCCAGCATGGCCTCAACAGGGACATCGGAGGGTATAATCATAGTTATATCTTGGTTGAATCAATGATGAGGTCTAGGTGATGAACGGCTGTGATTACGCTGCGGAAGCAACCGGAAAGGTCGGCAGTAGGCGATTGGGCCGAAAGGGGGTTTTTTATTTTTCTGGCCCAAATAAATTCTGGCCCGTTAATATAAAAGCCCAATATTAATACTTAGCCAGTTCTTCTTGGCCCAAAGTGGCCGGATAGAGCCAGCAGTCGACCCGATCAAGAAACTGGTGCCCACATTCACAACTCTATCGTCAGCGTTGAGGGCTCTCTTCCTCTCTTCTTTCTCTCTCTCTCTCTCTCTCTCTCTCTCTCTCTTTCTCTCTCTCTCTCGCTCGCTCGCTCGCTGTCTGATTCAATCGAGATGCGTTGGCGGATAATTCATGCGCGGGGTCTGATCTGAGCTGGATGCGATGGAGATGTTCCAAGTTGAGTTAAATTTGCCATGTTGGATGGCAACAGAAGCTGTACTTTAGCTGTACTGGGCCAACGCCCATCCGTATCTCTCTCTCTCTCTCTCTCCCTGTCTCTCTTTTCTCCCCCTGTCTCTCTCTCTCCCTCTCTCTCTCTCTCCCCCTGTCTCTCTCTCTCCCTCTCTCTCTCTCCCCCTGTCTCTCTCTCTCCCTCTCTCTCTCTCCCCATGTCTCTCTCTCTCGCTCTCTCTCCCTCTCGCCCTGTGTCTCTCTCTCCCCATGTCTCTCTCTCCACGCTGACTCTCTCCCTGTCTCTCTGCTCCCTCTCTCTCTCTCCCCCTGTCTCTCTCTCTCCACGCTGACTCTTCCTGTCTCTCTCCTCCCTCTCTCTCATCTCTCCCTGCATTTATGTCCACGCTGACTCTCTCCCTGTCTCTCTCCTCCCTCTCTCTCATCTCTCCCCGCATTTATGTCCACGCTGACTCTCTCCCTGTCTCTCTCCTCCCTCTCTCTCATCTCTCCATGCATTTATGTCCGCGCTGAATCTCTCCCTATCTCTCTCCTCCCTTTCTTTCATCTCTCCCCGCATTTATGTCCACGCTGACTCTCTCCAGTCAATCTATTTTCTCCCTCTGTTTTACTCTATATCGGCTCTGTCTCTTCTCTTTTGACTTATGACTCTCTCTCTCTCCGTGCCTCTCTCCTCCCTCTCTCTCATCTATCCCCGCATTTATGTCCACGCGGACTCTCTCCGGTCTATCTATTTTGTCCCTCTCTGTTTTACTCTATGTGGGCTCTCTCTCTTCTCTATTCACTTCTGACTCTCTCCCTGTCTCTCTCCCCCGTCTCTCTCATCTCTCCCCGCATTTATGTCCGTGCGGACTCCCTGGTCTATCTATTTCTTCCCTCTCTGTTTTACTCTATATGGGCTCTCTCTTCACTCTTCACTCTTCATTCTTCACTCTTCACTTATGACTCTCTCTCTCGCTCTCCCTCTCTCTCTCTCTTCTCTCTTCACGTATGACTCTCTCTCTCTCTCTTCCCGTATAAAATTTTTAGTGGGCCAGAAAGGTGTCCAACTCGCCAGTTTCATATTCTGCCCCGGGTTTGTAGCAAGAGACGACGCCACTATTGTAAACAGACGACCAGGAAGAGCCCGAGTATGCTGTGAATCATGAGCTTATTCCTCTCGCTCGTATCGATGACAACACCAAACTCCTCAGCACGTCTTTTAGAATAAGATTTGGCTTCTAGCGGGAGTGAGAGAGAGAGAGAGAGAGAGAGAGAGAGAGATAAAGAATAGGATTTTACATCAAATGAGAGAATATGACGCAGGCATTCGTGGAGGAGAGCTCCCAGAGACGGTCACACCTGCTCCATCGAGCCGTTTCCGCGGAGCCAAGAGAAAGAAGAAGCCGGAGGTTCGTCCTCTAGTCATTTGGTATCTTCCCCACAACTTGTATTTTTGTCTATAAATGCCCTCTAGACAGGCGGTAGGAAGGAGAGCAAGAACGAGAGAGAGAGAGATAGAGAGAGAGAGAGATGGAGAACAATGGCGAAGAGCAAGGGGGGATAGGAAGGGAGCACCCTTCTTGGAGGGGGAGCAACCGGATATCCGCAGAGGAGGCGAAGGAGAAGATGGCCTCTGACACTCTCAGCGTGGAGGATGGCTTCGTGGAGCACGCCAATGAGCTGCCTATGTACAAGGTTCTCCCCATCCTCCTTCCTCTTCTTCACCTTCTAATTTTTATTAGTAAAACGCTCGCTGGTCCTTCTGCCCTTCAAACATCGCATCCTGAGCAGGAATCCGCATGGAGAGACTTCCTCACGTACATTGGCCCTGGATTTCTCGTTTCCATGGCATATCTTGACCCTGGCAACTGTGAGCTCTCTCTCTCTCGCTCTCTCTCTCTCTCTCTCTCTCTCTCTCTCTCTCTTCCTGACGTGAAGGAAATATGGAACAGTGGAGACGGATCTGCAAGCCGGAGCTAATCACGGTTACGAGGTACGATGTCCCTCATGATTGTTAGATCCTCCGAAACCTATGGAAGCCTTGTTCATGCAACTAAGGGAATACGTGGGCTGAGTATAGATTTAGGCCCATAAATATAATATATGAAGGGACCTGGGGTAGTTTGGAGTAGGTGGTCTGAAATATTGTCTGGTCCTAAAACGACAATTTTTCATTTTTAAATACGTATTATATAAATATTATCGCTCCAGTTAATGGAAAATAAATATTTTTTTAATGAAAGAAATTGTGTGGGGAAATTAAGAAAAACACCCATATCCTTCCATTTTATTTTTTTAAGATGGTACTTCAAGACTTGCACATCAAGCCAGAGGACCTTTCGATAAATAATCCAAAAATCGAGGTCGTTCCTATCATATTTCTGTGTGTTTAGGGATCTCGATGATAACAAAAGTCAAGATGGCAGCCTAATTTTGGGTTTTCCTCAGCTGCTGTGGGTCGTGCTCCTCGGCCTGGTCTTCGCGCTGATCATCCAGTCCTTAGCAGCAAATCTAGGCGTCACCACAGGTACGTGAATATGAAGAAGACGACAGTAGATGAGAGAGAGAGAGAGAGAGAGAGAGATGGCGGCTCTAACTCGTGTTCTACGAGTCCGCAGGGAGGCATCTGGCTGAGCTATGCAAGCTGGAGTATCCCAAGTACGTGAGGCTCTGCCTGTGGGTGCTGGCGGAGCTGGCGGTGATCGCCGCCGACATCCCGGAAGGTCTGAATCCCTAATCAGCTACAGCGCTGGTTATCTGAAGTTCACTCCTACCTTGATATTTTCTGGCCTGAAGGAAGACATCATCTTCTCCCCCAGTGATCGGGACGGCCTTCGCCCTCAACATCCTCTTCAGCATTCCCCTCTGGGTCGGTGTCCTCATGACGGGGACGAGCACGCTCCTCCTCCTCAGCCTGCAGAGATACGGGGTAATCCTCTCTCTCTCTCTCTCTCTCTCTCTCTCTCTCTCTCTCTCTCTCTCTCTCTCTCTCTCTCTCTCTCTCTCTCTCTACTGGTTATGCGATTCGAGAATGAGAGTGAAGTACAGGTCCGGAAGCTGGAGCTGATGATAGCGATGTTGGTGTTCGTCATGGCGGCGTGCTTCTTCGGCGAGCTGGCCTACGTGAAGCCGCCGGCGAGGGAGGTGCTGAAAGGCCTCTTCATCCCCAAGCTCAACGGCGACGGCGCTGCCGGAGACGCCATCGCCCTCTTGGGCGCTCTGGTTATGCCGTAAGCTCTCTCTCTCCCTCCTCTTCTCACTTTCACCGCCCATACAGATCTTCCTCTCACTGAAACAATCCTTCACCTTCCTCAGCCACAATCTCTTCCTCCACTCCGCCCTTGTGCTCTCCAGGAAGGTCCATCCGTCCAAAGGAGGAATCGACGTGAGTTTGAACAAGACGAAGATATATGAGAGGACTTAGACGACGAGGATGAATCGGCTTCGCTAACCTCTCATCGTCGTCTCAGAAAGCTTGCAGGTACTTCCTCCTCGAGAGCGGATTCGCCCTCGCGGTGGCGCTGTTGATCAACATCGCCGTCGTCTCCGTCTCCGGCACGATCTGCACCGCCGAGGACCTCTCGTCGGAGAACGCGGAGCAATGCGGCGATCTCACCCTAAACTCTGCCTCCTTCCTGCTGAAGGTACGCGGATATTATTTGATCCTCCTCTTCGTGGGTCGCCTCCATTCTCAGCCCTCCTGCCGGCTCCGGCTTGCAGAACATATTGGGGAAGGCGAGCTCCACCGTGTACGGCATCGCCCTTCTCGCCTCCGGCCAGAGCTCCACCATCACCGGCACCTACGCCGGCCAATACATCATGGAGGGCTTCCTCGACCTGAAGATGAGGACGTGGCTGCGGAATCTACTGACCCGCACCATCGCCATCGCCCCCAGCCTCGTCGTCTCCATCATCGGCGGCTCCTCCGGCGCCGGCAGGCTCATCATCATCGCCTCAGTACACTCTCTCTCTCTCTCTCTCTCTCTCTCTCTCTCTACTTTCTCTCTCTAACTGACGGAGACCAACCGGGGGCTCAGATGATACTCTCCTTCGAGCTGCCCTTCGCCCTCATCCCCTTGCTGAAGTTCAGCAGCAGCCGCACCAAGATGGGCCCCCACAAGAACTCCATCTACGTAAGTTTTCTCTCGCCGGAAAGTCGCCGGAAAACTCTGCTTCGCTGATCTGAGAAACCCATCGTCTGCGAGAATCTCAGATCATCGCCGCCTCGTGGGCGCTGGGAATGCTGATAATCGGGATCAACGTCTACTACCTTAGCACGAGCTTCGTCCGGTGGCTCATCCACAGCCCCCTGCCGGTGGCGGTGAAGGCCGTCGTGGGAGTCATCGTCTTCCCACTGATGGCCGTTTACATGGTCGCCGTCGTTTACTTGATGGCTAGGAAAGACGCCGCCGTGACATTTGAGATGCAGAAGGCTCTCAGCGGCGTCGGCCCAGCGAAAGACGGGCCGCAGCAGGAGGAGCTGGCGGAGGTTGACAGCCACGTTGTCACGTGAGCTGGAATCACTTCTTGGGATTCGAATCACGTGAATTCGGCTCGATAGGGAATAAGCGAAACTTATAATGGGCCTCCAATTGAGCCGTATATTGAGGCCCATTAGAGCCTATTATATAATTAGGCCCCATATAGCCCACCAATCCCCGTCGTGGCACCGGTCCATTTATGAAAAAAACCCTCGTCGCAGTGATCGGCCCTGGTCGAGATTCTTCCTCCGGGTCCTTTCCCGCCCTGAAGGCATTTCCGTTATAGTAATTGTATAAAAACCCTCTGCATGCATTTTCTTGTGCTTCTATCCTATTCAGGAATCGCGCCATCCTGGCACCGCCCGCCGGGTTACGGGCGTAGAGGGGCTTACAGGGACGTCACAGAGGAGGTAAGGAGACGATACGGAGCTCCGGTAGAGAGAGAGAGAGAGAGAGGCAGATGTACAATTAAAATCAGCTTCGTCTGGTCCCTGGTATCCCCCTCGGCAGGAGGCTCCTTCTACCTTCGAATCACCCACTTCCACCACGTCCCCCTCCTCCTCATCTTGTCCCCCTGCGGAGCCAAGGTCGGCGCACACATCACTCGTTCTAGACAAAATATCCACAGGTTCGATTAGGTTTTTAGATCCAAGGTCGGACGACTCACCATCACCTCCACGGTGGAAGAAGGCCGCAGGGACCGCAGTATGAGCCCCACGTCGCTCGTCAGCTGTTTCACCTGCGAGGAAATGGCTTGGTTGAGCACCACACGGAGATCCAAGGGGAGACAGATCGGCGGCAGCAGTCGGAATCACAATCCCTCACCCTTGGAAAGCCGGCGATGGTATGCACGCTCACCCAGCCTTCCTCGTCCATCCGCATCTTCAGGTGGACATCTCTCGCCAGATTGTCCTCGCTGCGCAGATTCCAGTCCGTCGGTAATCGATCCACGCGCAAGATCGGCGATCATCGAAATCACTACAGAGAGAGAGAGAGAGGGGGGGAGGGGGAGAGAGAGAGAGAGGGGGGAGGGGGAGAGAGAGGGAGAGAGGGAGAGAGGGGGGAGGGGGAGAGAGAGGGAGAGAGGGAGAGAGGGAGAGATGCTACCTGAAGTAGTATTCGATCTGCGTCCGCAGACGGAGGAGGACGCTCTCGGTCCCCAGAGGAGGAGTACTCGGAGGAGGAGAAGGAGCGGGAGGCATGAACTGGGGGGAACTGTGGACCCATCCCGGCTGGTAAATCGTGGAGAGATACGGGGGAGGGAGAGCGTAACCAGAGAAGCCACCGTAGTGGGGAGGAGTCGGCGTGGGGCCCCATTGTCTGTGGACGTGGCGGCGGTAGAAGCTCCAGTGTCCTTGGAAGTTCGCCATCTTCCTCGGGGAAGACGATGACAGAAGAAAGGGGGAGGGAAAGATGGAAGGAGAAGAGAAGGGAGACGAGAAGGGAGAAGAGGGAGGGATGGAGGCTGAAGGGAGGGGTTGAACCTCGGCGGGAAATAAATAGCAGGCTAGGACGCCTACGGGTTGCGGAGTATCCAAATATCACTGGATAACAAATTGGGAAAGGGAGCTTTCCTAAAGGATCTTCGTCGCATCAACGGACACGTGGAATGCAGGGAGGGACTCCCGCGCCGGCCACACCGAAACAAACTAGCAGGTTGTTTAGGCCAGAGGGAGCGGGGAAAAGAGAGCAAGCGAGCGAGAGAGAGAAATTGGGCCGAGTTGTGGCCCGGATTACTATTGGGCTGTTATATCCCATATTATAGCTCTGACTTATTGGGCCGAGTTATGGCCCACATAGTGCCGTTCCTTCTGTAACCTCCAGGGAGGAGGGAAGGTCAGAGAGAGAGAGAGAGATAGGGAGAGAGGACGGCAGACGGCACTTTCTGCCGGTACGCCTCTCCGCCAAGATCGAACCAGCGGCAGGGAAGGTGGAGAGACAGAACTTTGAGATATGGCTGCTCAGTGGGGCTATTTCTCGATCATATTCCTCCGGCCCCTCCTCGCCGTCTCCTTCGCTGTCTCTCTCATCTTCTTCAGCTGGTGGGTGGCCTGGAAGACGGTGCTCGTCCATGTCCCCCTCGTGCAGGAGATCTTCGGCCTGCGCAAGAAGCCGATCAAGCCGAGGGCGCCCGCCAGCCATCGTCTCTCCCGATTCTACAGCAACGTCACATCGCGTAATCCCGGTAAGCGTTCTCTATAAATCCGCCTGCAATAAACATCGATTACCTCATGTATTCCCCGTACGGTGGTTCGGATGTTTCCAACTTCGTTCTTTTCCAATCCCTAACGAGGTAATAACTCTCTTTGTTATCCTTGTGTCTTTCTACATTTAGCAACCATTTTTTAGGATTGGATTCCTGAGATCATTTGTGCTACCTGTCAATCTTCAATCGATTTCAAAATTTTCTTTCATATGGTTATTAGGGATTTGACGAAATGGCTTATATTCCGTTTGTGCATTGGTGTTTTCCCTTTATGGTGTTGATTCAGGACGATAAGAACAGTGAGAGATGGAAAAGACGGGGAAACATAGAATGCATCTGAAGCTGCGGGATGTCATATTCCCGTTGAAGGATCAAACGTTGACACCGTGGGAAAACCGGGTATGCATCGGGAAATAGAACTCATGTCAAAGAAGAAACCAAAACCAACTGGTGCTGTGAATTAAATTTATGTAGATCTTCAGGATCTCTCGTTCACTACTGCTTTGTATATTAAACGTGATCGAAAGGAAACGCATGAAAAAGCAAGATAGTGTTCTGACAAAACGGAATCATCCTCTTATAAACTTACTGCAATCTAGCTCTCATTCAAACTCACGAGTATGATCCGAAATCTTTTATAGACGCCATTTGAAACAAAATGTGTATTTTTTTTATTCGAAGTGATTCATCAACTTAACTCCAATTGCCTTTTCGTTTCATAGGGATCTACTTCTGTCCAATGCTTGTAGCTAGCCAATCAGTAGCTAAGATATAAGAATCACCAGCTAAAACTCATATTATGGAGAAACTTCCATGGATTTGAAGGCCATCCAATGGGTAGCTTTTTGATATTTCAGAAGTATCTGCTAATTTGGTCTCCGACCTTGTAACTTTGTTTGCCAAATACCTGGTAAACCGTTGACTTTAGCCACCGTTCTTAGTTATGTTCCCAACTGTAAATGGGAAATTCCAAAAGATTGCGGTCAACAGGGACAGATTATGAAGGGGAAAGTGCTTTTAAGGACACTATTGCGAAGAAATATGTATGTGATTCTCGTTCAGTTATAGAAAATACCAGATGTGTTACCAGTGCTGAAATTGAAAAACAACTGAGAGATGTTGTGGAGTAGTGAGAATGAAGCCCTTTGTTTCTAAGGTTTCAGCTCCTAAGATACTGGACAACTTTGGGTCATTCTTAAATCATTTTCTTAGGTTTAAAACCTTGTATTTGGCTTTCCTTTTGCTACATTGATGACACTATTTGAATCTGGGCTCTTGGTTCAATGATTTTATAGCAGATTACTGTCATCTCTGGTGATTCCAAGACTTCTTTATATCTATTCCATCTCAGCAGCTTGAGATTTTTCCCTTGGGTGATTGGTAAATTGGTCGCCTTCTAGTTCTTGTGCCATCACAAGAAAATTTCTCGTGAAGCCTGCATCAGCAGAGCTCGGTGTCATGCAAACGCCAACCTTATTTCTCACTTAGCCCCCCCACTGTGACTGAAACACTTGAAATGCTTATTTCGTTGGAAAATGTAACTGGAATTTATTTTTTTCTTCACCTAAAACCTTTCAAAAGAAATCTTAAGAATTTCTAGGGATGGTAAGAATGATCCTAATGGACCTGTGGTATGCTGTGCCCACTAAGTCTAGGGTTCCATGGACTAGTGAGTGAGTGAGAGAGAGAGAGAGAGAGAGAGAGAGAGAGAGAGAGAGAGAGAGAGAGAGCTCTATATATAATGGACCTCCACTTGTCTTTTCTCTTTCAAGAATACACGTAGCCCACTGGCCCAATAGTCTGCAGGTGTCCCACATGTTGATGCTTAGGGTTGCCCTTCTTAGGTTAGCATAATGTAAATTTTTGTTTCACCACCACATGACGAAAATTTGGGGTTAGCTGTGATATTTTTGGGATCTTCTATTCTTATGGTTTTGGGTCATCTTTCTTTGGATTAAGTATGATAAATTCTCTTTTGTTTTCTTTTATCTATTAGTATCTCACTTATATCCTTATATTAATATATAAATAGAAAAAAAACCAACAAAAGATAATTAACACCAGATTTTAGAGTGATTCGGTCAAGTTCTTTCTTTTGAAATACAAATTACTTTAATATGAAAGGTTATACTTTTGAATCATTATGCCCCTAACATATATAAAATCATTAACACCTTGATCATTATTGATGAGGTTTCAATTGACCCCTTGTTCAAAGACCTTTGTATGATCATTCATATGCCTATATTATTGAAGCTATTTGATATAGAAAATTCAAATATTAAGACTTGCATATAAGATGATAACATATGTACCTTACAAAGACCTCTTATTAATAGTATATTTAAATGGTCTAACACTCATATCCATGATAGGTATTGAAATAACATATAATTTTACCTACATGATCTAGACTTTAGGTCATTTAAACATTAATGCATTCGTCATAGTAATTTTCTATTCCATTCACATCAAAGATAATCAAATTAATATTTAAATATCATTAAAATTATAAGTTAATCATTGACTCAACACATATCAAACATTAGGTGTTTTGATCTCACTACTTCTCACCCTCAATTATGCTATGACTCATATTCCACATCGAAGGTGTTCACTGATGAAATCAATATCAAATCAACGCCTTATGATTCTTGCTAAAGTTTCACTTGACTCCTTGGTCAAAGATCTTCATATTGATTACTCATATGCTTATATTGTAAAGTCATTTGACAGAAAATTCAAATATTAAGACTTACATATAAGATGATCGCACATGTACCTCGCAAAGACTTCTTATTGTCATTATATTTAGACGGTCTAACTTTCATATATATGATAGATATTGAAATATAATATAATTTACTTATATAATCTAGATCTTAGATCATCATCTAAATAATTTAAATATTAATACAATAAGTAATATAATATTTTATTAAATTATCATCAAATTTCATTAATTTAAATATAATCAAATTAATATGTAAATATAATCAAAGTTATAAGTTAATCCTTAACTATGCTATGATTCATCTATGATCCATGTTTCACATGTAAGGTATTCACCCCCACCCACCCACCCCTTCCCTCTCTCTATCTACGTGCTTTGCATCTTGTTTGTTAGTCAATTAAATGGGACCAAAAAAGTATGGGTTTTATTTAGTTCCATTGAGAATGTGCTTGGACATGGGTTCAGATTTTCTACGCTCATAGAGAGTATTTTTAACTCGAAATTCCTTATATTTAAATCGAGTTAATTGCATGTGTTTAAAACTGAGAATTGGATCTGGCGGGCTTTCACGTTGGGGCCCACACTACTGACGACCCCTTACAAGAAGCCTCGTTCGAATGCACAGTGGGCCTTTACGAATTCTGCCCGGCAAAGCCCATTCCGCCAGCCCACCCACCTATTCACATTAGCCCATTTTATAAGGCCCATTTTCAACCTCCAGAGTCCTTTCCCGCCTGCGAGGCATTTCCGTAATAGTAATTTCTTACATGCGTTTTCTTCTGCATGCGTTTTCTTGTGCTTCTGTCCTATTCAAGAAACGTAGAGAGAGAGAGAGGCAGATGTACAATTAAAATCAGCTTCGTCTGGTCTCTGGTATCCCGCTCAGCAGGAGGCTCCTTCTACCTTCGAATCAGCCACTTCCACCACGTCCCCCTCCTCCTCATCTTGCCCCCCTGCGGAGCCAAGATCGGCGCACACATCAGCCGAAGTAGACAAAAAATCCACAGGTTCGATCAGGTTTTCAGATCCAAGGTCGGACGACTCACCATCACCTCCACGGTGGGAGAAGGTTGCAGCGACCGCAGTATGAGCCCCACGTCATTCGTCAGCTGTTTCACCTGCGAGGAAATGGCTTGGTTCAACCCCAGACGGAGATCCAAGGGGGGACAGATCGGCTGTAGCAACCGGAATCACAACCACTCACCCTCGGAAAACCGGCGATGGTATGCACGCTCACCCAGCCTTCCTCGTCCATCTGCAGCTTCAGGTGTAGATTTCTCGCCAGATTGTCCTCGCTGCGCAGATTCATGTCCGTCGGTTATCGAACCACGCGCAAGATCAGCGATCATCGAAATCGTCCACAGATAGGGAGAGAGGGTACCTGAAGTAGTATTCGATCTGCGTCCGCAGAAGGTGGGTGACGATCTCGGTCCCCAGATGAGGAGTACTCGGACGAGGAGAAGGAGCGGGAGGCATAAGCTGGGGGGGGGCATAGCTCCATCCCGGCTGGTAAATCGTGGAGAGATACGGGGGAGGGCGAGCGTAACCAGAGAAGCCGCCGTAGTGGGGAGGAGTCGGCGTGGGACCCCACTGTCCGTGGGCGTGGCGGCGGTGGAAGCCCTGTTGCCCATGGAAGCCCGCCATCGCTATCTTCCTCGGGAAAGACGATGGAGAGGTGGGAGGAGAAGAGGAGGAAGAGATATATGGAGAAGACGAGGGTTTGAACCTTGGCGCGCTGGGCCCTGGCGGGAAATCAACTGTAGAGTAGGGCAGTTGCGGGCGTTGCGGAGTATCCAAATACTCCGGAACGGCAAGCTGGGAAAGAAGACTTTCATGAAGGATCTTTGTCGCATCCACGAAACACGTGGAACTCAGGGACGGACTCCCGCGCCGACCACACACGAAACGGAGAGAGAGAGAGAGAGAGAGAGGGGTGATTTCTAACGGTAATGTAAGGTAGTAGCCTTCGGTGCGTGATATGCAGTCTTTTGTGTGTGGGTTTATAAAGCCTGGTAACGGAGGGGGCTTTTAATTCAGTTTTTTCACAAAAACTTAAATAATTTATTACTTAGTCACGATTGACTAATTATTTTCTTATTTATTGTTACTTCTAAAAATATTATTTCTTATTTAATCGCCTTCCACGTATGATGTTAAGACTCAACTCACTTCTTACCAGAAATTGAAATATGAAAAATTTAAAGCAACGAAATTACAAATAACTAAAATTTCTCAACTGATAGCGGAGAAATATTTTTGATATGTTTTCAATGTTCGTAGATACACGAAATATGGATTTGATTATTATAAATAATTATGATATTATTTCAGTATAATATTCTACTAAAATATGTTTCATATATTCTACTACCATGTGACGTAATTTTTCTACACTATAGTATGACTTTATATAATCTACTATTTATGAGACACTCTCGTTATTTTTTTCTAGGTTTATTATTTCCATAATTGTAAGTGGATATAAATTTTTAATATTCTGATGCCCAAAAGTGTGACTCACTCCCCAATACTGCTACGAGAAAAATTTCATTAATCTAGGGAGCGTATATATAAAACATTTTTTTTTCAGGTTTGGAATGTAATTTCCTATAAAATCAATAAATGTATAAAAGTCAGTGAAAGTAAAATTAAATGGTGTTTGGCAAGTGTTTTATACGGACATTGTCAGGCGTTTTTTTTTGTATATAGTCCTTGAATATTGTATAATTTATTTAATTAACCTCTATTTCAGACGCCGTAAAATTATGTAAAAAGACAGAAAGAAGACTACATCAAATACGAGGACACACGCCCGGTGGGACTCGAACCCACAATCGCCTGATTAGAAGTCAGACGCCTTATCCATTAGGCCACGGGCGCTTGGTGCGCTCTTATAAACATAATATATAAAAATAGAAATCTTATTATCCCATTAAAACATTTTTTCTCTATTCCCTCCTTCCCATTGAACAGAGCGGGAGATGATAGGGAGCACGGCCGGAGCTCCGCATGGTCTTCTCGACGGCGTTGTCTCCTCCCGTATCCCGCCTTCGTTGCGATACTCCACTGAACCCCTTCGCCGGCACGGAGCTTCCGTCAGAGCTGCGGTTACTACCGCTCATCAGGGATTGGTCTCCGGGACGCGATTTCCCCACCGGAAGGCGGTCGATGCAGCTTCTGTAACTTCAGTCGTGGAGACGAGGAATTGCCGCGAGAGCCTCTCCGAAAATGGTGAGAACAGCAGCGCCGCCGCCAGCGCAACCTCCACCGGCAAGATCAAGAGAGTGTTCCTCTTGGATGTGAACCCTATTTGTTATGACGGAGCCAGGCCGAACCTGCACTCCTTTGCTCGCTGGCTGTCCCTATTTTTCGCCCAAGTCAGCCTCCGAGATCCTGTTATTGCAGTAACGCACCCTCAACCAGCCGCCATGTTCATTTGTATCGTTGTGAAGTTCGCGCGCTTGTGGCCATATCTGAATTGCGGTTCCATTCCAGGTTCTTGACGGGGACAATGGGAACGATTACCGCAAGAGATTGCTCCCTTCTTATAAAGCACACAGGAGGAAGTTATCAGCGGGTGGCCCCAGCCGGGCTGAGCTTTACGTCTCAGATGTGCTCCGGAATTGCCATGTGCCGGTCTGTGATGATTCTGCCCCCTCCGCTTCCTTTCCTCCATGACTTCTGCGTTCGATTTTTCTACTTTACAATTGAATGCATAGAATCACATGCTTTGGGAGACTGAGAATACCAGCACAAGCAAGCAGAGAAGCCGGTGCCTGATTATTAGAGCTACGTGCCATAAAGCAGTCCTCATTCTTAGTAAAAATGTTACGTAGATATCTATCCTTCTCATTAAGTTGGACGCGTTGTAGCGAACTCGGCAATTTGGGAAAAGTATTGTCTCGAAGAGTATTATGCGTATGCCCTCTTTATTAGCATAAAAATACTTGCCTGTTGGTGCATCTACTTCATAATTGATCAAGTACCTGAAACAGATATGGAGACTTTTACCCAGCCTTACTTATAGACTCTTCACGCCTAAATAATTCGTTGCATTATGAATGACAGCCAGGGGACGGGCAAAACAGTGGCCCTTTTTCTTAATAACATTTAGGAATGTGAGCATTATCCATTGAGGGGTTCTTTCGAGCACCCTTCTATCCTTTTGCTGCATGTGTCGATTTCAATGCTTGGAGAAACTTTTTTGACTTGAAGATGACCGTGCCCACTAGAAGCTGAATTACTGGCGTGCTATAACTTGCAGGGCTTCTCATCTTCCAGCAGTTAATACTGAAATTATTAAGCAATGCAGGTTGTTAAGGTGAATGGCTATGAAGCAGACGACATTGTGGCCACACTTGCAGACCAAGCTATCCAAAGGGGTCTCCGTGTTGTCATTGCCTCCCCTGACAAAGACTTCAAGCAGCTGATATCTGAAGATGTGCAGATTGTTATGCCCGTGCCTGAGTTCGGACGCTGGTCCTTTTACACGCTAAAACATTATGTCACCCAATATGATTGTGATCCAAGTTCTGATTTAAGTCTCCGTGAGTATCATCTGATGCTCTTCCCTCCATCATTTTCTTAAATTTGTTTCTTTTTCTTGAATGTGGGGGTTTGAATCATCTGATAGAAAGATATCCTCTTATGTCCCAACCATGAGAATGTTATATCTTTTCGAAGTTTATAGTGGCCACAAATAAATCAAATCATAAAATTGTGGAATAATCCTTTACTAACAACCCAGGCTGCATCTTGGGAGATGAGGCTGATGGCGTCCCCGGAATCCAGCAATTTGTTCCTAGCTTTGGCCGTAAAACAGCAGTGAGACTCTTGAAAAAGCACGGGTCCTTGGAAAATCTACTCAACACAGCTGCGGTCAGGACAGTGGGCAAGCAGTACGCCCAGGATGCTCTGAATAAATATGCTGATTATCTGCGGAGGAACTATGAAGTGCTCAGCCTCAGGAGGTTCCTTTCCTTTCTCTCCTTTGTTTCATTTTAAAATGATTGCATCGGAAATCATTGTGTCTCGATTTATTTATTTATTTATTTAATTTTCCTAAGTTCTGACCACCCCGGTAATTTACCTTAAATTCAGAGATGCCGACATCCATCTCCAGGAAGAATGGTTATGTGAGCGACAGGTCTTCAACGATTCCACTGCTGTATCAGACTTTGTCAAACTGTTGGATAGGTTCCAGCAGCCCAGCAGGAGATACGTGCCTTCCCGATGAAGCTCTTGTCACTGTGAGTACCTGGAATTCCAATCTCTGTGCAATTTCTGTGATTGAAAGGATAAATCTGCTAGAATTCTGATCATTTAGTCATCACGTTGTTGATAAGATGGGATCCTCTGTGGAGTCATCACGGTAACTCTGGCTGCAGGGGGCCATGCTGGGTGGAAGCATTGGTCTCACAGGCAATCTGGGTCAATTGACGCCGCTGCTACTGACCTGCGCCTGCTCCGCCGCACACAATCGCCCCCCTTGACAATGGACGGCGGCTTCATGGGTGGAGAGCCCCTCCCTCTCTCTCTCTCTCTCTCTCTCTCTCTCTGCTCTTCACATCTGAAAAAATATGACGATTGGCTTCTGATGATTACCGGTGGCGGGTTCCTTTTTTTTCTACTTTTAATGTCCGGAAAAACTGTTAAAATCAATGAATCGTATTTATTTATACTACTTTGGGCCGGTTGTCTCTCCTTTTCAGTCCATGTTGCCTCCCGATGGTCTTTACTGGGAAGATTTCTCCAGTTAACACCCAACCTACGTTGAGAGAAAAGACAAAGATACCCTCAATCTCAAACCGCTTCCTCCCCGCGGTTTCTTGAGGAATTTTTTATTGTTTGGGCTGAATCGATAAAATCGTCAGCTTCATGAGTTAATGGACCTGCTTTCAAGCTTGGGCCCGAAAGTGTACAAAAGAGATCCCCGCTCTTAGTGGGCCCACAAGGAGGTCCACCTGGAGCTTCAATGTGTAGTCTAGAAAGTAGGCCCATAAATGACCGTCCAGTTTCTCCGGTCAAGGCCCATCTAGAGCCCCTCACTCATTAGTCGAAGTTTCTACAAAGTGGGCCCAAAACTAGAAAACTGGGTCCGGCAAGCTTCTGAGGTCGTAGTTTGCGGTCCATCCATCTAGGGCCACTCGTTCGCGGTGCTTCCCGGAAAGTGGGCCCAGTCGTTTCTACCTTTGTGTTCAAATTTATTGGGCCGGCCCATCAAGCGTCTGCGGACGGGATTCGTCGTCTCTGCAGACGGCGGAGGATCGTGGAAACCACGGCCCAAGGGAGGGGAAAGGACAGGAGAAGAGATAGGTCGAGACTCTGGGAGCCGACACGTGTCAGGATCACGTCCACAGGCCTCCCCCCGTCCTATCTACTCACCATTATTTCTCACGGGATTCCCTCAAACCTCACTGCGAGCGAAGCTACAATTCTCCACTCTTGCTTCCTTCTTGCCCGTTCTTCTCCTTGTCTTTCTTCCCCCGACAAGCTTCCCGGCGGCGATGGCGGCCTCGGCGGCGCTGGCCAGCACGATGGTGAGCAACGCCTCCTTCGTCAGGGGGAGGCCCTCTGTGGGGAGCCTTCGCGCCACCGGCAACGTGGGACAGGCGCTCTTCGGGCTCAAGGCCGGCAGGGGCCGCGTGACGGCCATGGCCACCTACAAGGTGAAGCTCGTCACCCCCGACGGCACGCAGGAGTTCGACTGCTCCGACGACGTGTACATCCTGGACCAGGCGGAGGAGGTGGGGATCGATCTGCCCTACGCGTGCCGCGCGGGTTCCTGCTCGTCCTGCGCCGGGAAGGTGAAGGGCGGGGAAGTCGACCAGTCCGACGGCAGCTTCCTCGACGACGACCAGATCGACGAGGGATGGGTGCTCACCTGCGTCGCCTACCCGTCCTCCGACGTCGTCATTGAAACCCACAAGGAGGAGGAGCTCACCACCTCCTGATCGACCCTTCTCCCGGTTGAACGAACGAACGAACGATCCTCGTCGTTTGCTCCCCCACAGATTACTGTTGCCTAATCATCCATCGCCCTCCCCGCCCCCCTCTCTCGTTTTGATATCCCCTCCCCATCCTGTACCTCTTCCTGCTTCGAATGTGATTCCATTTTCGTCGGATATCAAGTGCAGAGACTGTGCCCGCATCTTCCGTGAGTTCCTCCTGCTCCCAGATTTCGGGGGTCTCCTCCCGCTTCGATTCCGCCTGAATCCGGCGGAGTTGCCGAAGAGCTCGATCGGATTAATTGCAGGAAAATAGGCGTCAGAAACCCTAGCCCGGGGGAGCCGACGAGGAGCCAGTGGGCGGCAGGGTAGGGAATCCAGGAAAGCCTCGATTGCGAGATAAGACGGCCAATGAAAAGATGCCACCTGTCTCTGCTATCACAACGCCTCCTTACTAGAAAAGAATAAAGTTTGAATGCCGACTAAATTAAAAATAATTAAAGTCGTCCCCACGGAATTGTCTTATAATAAAAGTCACGTGAGAAAAGTGGTTGACACGTGGCTTATGTCATGTCAGTCCTCACTAGTAAATATACGAAAATATATGTTCCATAAGTAGAAAGAGCGATCGATCGATCGATCTAGAGAGAGAGAGAGAGAGAGAGAGAGCTCGAATACCACCTTTTCCATTGTCCGAAGGGAGGGAGGAAGGAAGGGGGAGGGGGGGGACCAGGCCTTCAATGTTACAGCTACAGTAACACCCCACAGCTAGCTAACGCAGACGATTCACCAACATTTATGTTCTAGAGAGAAGAAGTGAGAACGATTCCAACAATAGCCGGAAAGAGAGAGAGAGAGAGAGAGAGAGAGAGAGAGAGAGAGAGTTAACAGAGAAAACAGGGCCAAAAAAGTTAAGAAAAGAGGAGAACGCACGGACCCAGCAAGTCTCTCCAACCATCTCATCGGATAATCTCGTCTCCTGCGGGCGACCAATCTCAGCCACCAGGTCTTTCCTATTCTAGTCGCACTTGATGTTCCTGTAGATCCTCCTCACGAACAGGGTTGACCCCAGATAACCCACGGCACCTGCGCCATATAATCAATACCATCATCAACGCGGATAAATAGTTACATAGAGGGCACAGATAGAGAGAGAGAGAGGAGAGAGAAGCTCATGAATGCTGTTGATCCCCTCCTCTCCCCCAAGCTCAGAGAGTTAGAGAGAGAGAGAGAAAGAGAAGCTCATGAATGACGTTGATTCCCTCCTCCCCCAGGCTCAGAGAGTTAGAGAGAGAGAGAGAGAGAGAGAGAGAGAGAGAGAGAGAGAGAGAGAGAGAGAGAGAGAGAGAGAGAGAGAGAGAGAGAGAGAGAGAGAGATTACCGCAGAGGATGCCGAGGCCGAGGCAGAACATGAGGGTGTACCCAAAGTAGAAGCTGGTCTGGAAGAAGCCGGTCATCTTGGTCTTGACGTAGAAGTAGTAAACGGAGTAGAGGAAGACGTAGACGGCGGTGGAGGCGGCGGAGAAGAAGGACGTCCACTGCCAGTGGTAGTTCTCCGCGTTCAGCAAGAAATACGTGCCCACGATGGTCACGCAAACAGTGACGATCACCAAGATGAGGAAGACCAGCAGCATAAACCCGAACACATAGTACACCTGAAAGATCACCTCCAGTCAGATCAGGCGGCTCTCCCCTCGTCTTCTAGGGTTTGAAGCAACCGATCGGGCTTACCTTGTAGTGCCAGAAGGAGGTGAAGACGAAGTACATCTCGATGAAGATGCTGCCGAAGGGGAGGAGGCCGCCCATGAGGGAGATGACGGGTGGGGTGAGGTACCACTTCTTGTCCGGGATGGGGCGGGGGATGGTCTTCACGCGGCAGGGATTGTTCGGTGCGCCGTTCCAGTTGCGGCCCACGACGGTGCCGAGCAGCGCCAGCGGGAAGGAGATGAAGGCCCAGATGACCAGCACCACCACCATCGTCCCCAGGGGGATGGCCGCCAGCGTCCGGTAGAAGATGGCGATCGTGTTCAGGACGAACCCCACGCCGAAGCAGGTGAACGGGAACAGCGACGCCGTCAGGATCATCGACCTTATCCAGTTCTTGCCTGAAACACCCACCCACCCACACACACACACACACAGTGAGTTCACAGATTTCTCTTACTGGGTCACACAGCAAGCTCGAATCGGCCCGTACCGCTACTGCGGGAGTAGAGGCCGCCGCTGACGTAGCCGGAGATGAAGGAAGTAAGAGCGTAGCACACGATGAAGGTCGTGACGATCGCTCCTCGGCTGGATCATAAACGCATACAGAAGAATAAGAGAGAGAGAGAGAGAGAGAGAGAGATTATGAGTGAGAAAACCCAAACAGAAAAATCTGATAAAATGTCTGATATATAATTAAACCAGTTTGATTGGCAACATCATCAAACATATCTGGATAATAGACCAAAGATTTGAATTATTTATTTATTTATTATTATTATTATTCTGTGGGAGGGTGTTCATGGCGGCGATTCACATACCCGACGTATAAGGTTCCAATGATTGCCAACAAGATGACGAGGAGGACGAGCATGGCCAGCTGAGCACCCGTACCGACAAGAGCGGAAAGAAGAGCCAAACTCTGCGGAGGCCGGAAGACGTCCCCATGGACAAGCTTCCACCCTGACTCTTCGTTCACATCCCTTTCCTGAGAGAAACAGCCATACGGAAAAACAGGATTAATAGCCTATAGATTAGTAGCACGTTCACACAGTGGCCTTAGATAATCACCAGAGCCTCAAGGTCGTCCTCTTCACGGGCGTACTTAGCATAGTCCTTTCTAAGCGTTCGCATCAAGATCATGGATACCAGGCCAGTGAGGAAAATGACCATCATAAAAGAGTTGAAAATGGAGAACCAGTGGATCTGCCCATACGAAAAAAAAATCATATCGTCAGGAGCAATTGATGTAACTAACATCCTGAGGGAAACTTGAGTGAGAGCAAATAAATAAATAAATAATAATAATAAATAAAATAAATTAATGGGGGAATAAAGAATTTACCTGATGCTCGAAAAAGGGGTGGTCCAGGTAAATGTCAAAGCGCCGAGCAAAAGGTGTATCTATTTCTACCCACTTGACGGAATATGTCATCTCTAAGGTTCTCCCGACTTCCAGAGGTTTAGGCTCATCTTGAGTGAGATTAACGTGAATAATCTGAAAGGCAAAGAGGTTCTCAAGTGTTTATCAACAGGTACGAGGTTTGATCCAAAATGCAATTGCTTATATGAGCTTCAGAGCCACAAACCTGATCGCCATTATATTCCACAAGAATTTGTTTATGGGTGAAAAGATAATGCTTCCTTTGATCATTCTTACCGGATTGCACTTCCCCAATAAAACCTAATCATCATTATACGTGTTAGTTTGAATGACAACCCAAGGACGGAGAATCGAAAGAGAAAGTCATGAAATGGACACAAAGGGGTTAAGAAATCATACCCCGCAAGGGCAAGTCATCTGCTCCAGTAACATAACACATTGCAAACAAAATGGCAACGTCAGTGGAGGTAAAAGATGATGCAACAACAACAATCCATGTCGCCATTACAAGAGGGTAAATAACTTAAATTTCAACTTATTCACAACATACCCATGAAAAATTCAAGCCAATATGAATCATCAATTGCGTATGTAAACTGCTGCACCTTCTCCTCATCAAGTTTAAGTGCACAAATTGTGATCTTGTCAACATCGTCTGTCAGCATAGATTTTTTAAGATCAATGTTCATAAAAAAAACGATTTCCAGAACACATTTTTGGTGTATGGTGCCTCTCAGATAGCTATCATGCCAGGATAAATTAAGACTATAGCAAGACGCTGGACAAACCTTTAAAAAAAATTTTAAGCTCGCTGTCGATGAGTTCATTTCCGCCTAGAACCTCCCCAAGTCCGCTCCACTTGTGGACAGGGTTATCACCTGGCCGGCAGAACGGAAGGCTGTAATAGTTATACGTCTCTTGAGGGTTGTCGTAAGGCCCAACCTTGTTTACCCACAGAGTAACTGGTTCACGTGTTTGATACTGCAATAAGATAGATAAAATGGTTACGTAACTTGAAATTTATGCGCTGTCCATCCATACCATGAAAGAAAACAACAGAGAAGATAAGGATGAAAGAATAATTTCTTTATCTCAACCAGGAGATATAAAGACGATAATGGTTCTCAAAAAATACGATAAGCCATATACAAAGATAGCCACATAGCACACACCAGACAACATATATGTCAAGAATTTCCAGTCTCTCTAGCTGAAAACATAATGAAATTAAATCAGCAATAGAGCAACAAGTTGTCCCAAAAAACCACAAGACAAACTAAACAGAACATCACTCACGGCCAATCATTTGTTCAAGAGCCAAAAAGGTATACTGCACCACAGGCAGAACAATCAACTCGTGTACGTTCAACCGTGGCCGGTTAAAATGTAATCCTTCGTTAAGCAACTCTGTTGGATGATAACATGCAAAGCTGCAGTGTAAGAAAAACGCAGCACATCTGCAGTACTATGCTTTTTCAATGTGGTCAACACTTGAGCTCGAAGTCACCAACCACGAAAGTCAAAATGACCTATTCTGTGAATACCTATCCTTATGAATATATAAGAAAACAAATGTTAAGTTCAGATAAGTGAATAAGCTGAAAGAAGAGACGCTTCTCGCTTGGTACCACACTATCCCTGGCTTCCTGAATTAGATTCTTTACATCCCTTTCCACACCTTACGTCATTTCTGGATTAGATGCAACCTCCTTGGTAGAAGAGTTGCACTTTGATTTTCCGCAAGACCAAATCCAAAAAGTGTCATTTAAATTTGGATACAAAATCATGAATGATCGTGTAATTTGGTAGTCTTATTCTAAGTTTTTATGAAACAAAGGCAGAACTTCTTTTCTCAACACTATAACAGTTGCATGCAAGCAGATTTGCCTGGAATCAGATTATCAAGGACACAGAACTGATAATTGAAATCTGCAAATGAGAGTTGTTGAGTTCATCTGACCGATTACTTCTCCATATGCTATAATAGGCTCTCACTAGAGAACGTTCCATCAGTGCGCTTAAAGGTAATCCAAAAGAAAATAACAAAGTGAACCATTATTATGTAGCATCTTACGATGTAGATAAGACGGCTCTTACTATGCAGCATCTCCACACATCAGTTATCACAAAAATGCGCTTTACTGAGGATTTCCTTAGACACTTTACGAAAAAAGAGCATATGGAGGAAGAAAATAAGCCAGAGAGGATAGCATGATGCGCTATGAAGTAGACACTCCAAATATTTAGTAACTTGAACGGATTCTAAAAAAAATCAACTGATAGTCCAAAGCATATTGCGGCAGATAAGCGATCAGGCGAAGACACTCGATTGTGAGTTTTCGGCAATCGTCTATCTTGGTGAATAAAAAGCAAGCCAATCCCAATCCATTTTAGGATGTGTGTAGGGAAGACCGACTTTTATTAGGAAGGACTCCAGCTCAATGGCTTGAGCCAGATACCAACACATACCAACGCATCTTTCTTCTGGCCCCTTTGCTTCTATGCAAACAACAAAATCCAAATGCACTTGGGAAAACAATTCCCCAGGGTCCTAAATGAAGTCAAAAATTGAAAAAAATTTATTGTCACAGCACCAATTGTTTAGAAAACATAATAGAGATACAAGCGGGAGATAAAATGAAATTAAGATTTTAATTTACATTAATCAGTACTAATGTGATATTATTCTTGTTGTCCAATCAGCCAGGATGAAATTATAAGTAAAAAAGAAACATAATCCAATTTTGACATTAATTATATACAGTCAGTATCCTTAGCATCTCAACGTAAAAGATAATACTAATTTGTACACAGAAATGGACTAAACACTTCTGAACGAAGATAAGCTCAGACAGAAAAGGTGATATGCAAAATCAATATACATATAGGAGATACAATAGGCACAGCTGATATGCAACTAGAGCAATAATTCTAGAGAAGGCACCCGAAGGAAACATCAAAACCACACATAGGGATCTGCCTGGAGGCTGCAAACCTAATTGGAACCACATATGTCGATGGAAAGAGCTCCACGTAAATGATAACACCAGATCATAATGCGAATCCTACGACTATGTTTGTGGTGGTGAAATGTCGAATAAACTATGGTAATAAAGTTCGAGAATAGAGACAAACCCTACTGAAAACAAACAAGAAAGGAAACATTCCAGGTTTCCAATGTGAAAATGCACAAAGTGATTTATGTACTTACGGTTATGCGCCAACATCGCAGCAATTTACTGCGACCCGGCAAGAAAAACCTTCAATACCATAGGACTCATTGCAGGATAATATGCGCGCCTTTAAACGCGGACAACTACAGGCTCGATAAATCTTTTTAATTTTACTGGAGGAATATCCCCCTTCAACCCAACGCAAATATGAAGAACCTAGACATGTCAGCTAATAACGAAAGTAAACCAACGTATCTCCCGTCCGATTGTCAAATCTAGTTCTTGAGGCAAAAGTTCCAGCGGGTAAAATAACACGAGCAGCCCGCCTGATCGAAATTAAGCCGATCACGGAGACCGATCCAACTCATCCTAAAGATCATCCCAGTGGTCTTGTAACTACAAAACCCAACCTTCACCATTCTGGTAAGAGTACGCAGATCTGGAAGGAAGTACGACGGATCTACGACTCGCAATGCAGCCCCCGGATGATAAACTCTGTTGACCTCGAAAACTGGACTCCGAAACTATGCACGTAAAGAGAATACAGAGGGAACTCGGCATGGTGTATAGCGCCTACCTTGTGATCATATTCAGACGCGTTAACAGCGACCGCGAGGAGAAGGAGAAGGGAGATGAGGTGAGTGAGGGATCCAGCGGCGGGAAGCATCGCGACCGGATCTGCGAAGACGAAGACCGACACCGAAGCTCCCCCCCCCCCTACCGTTGTATCGTCAGCTTCGGCACCCTAAGTCAGAGCTCGAGGAAGAAATAGATGTGCGAGGGTCCGAAGGAGAGAGAGAGAGAGAGACAGAGATCCCATTTCCCCACCTCCTCTTCGTTTGATTCGATTACAGTAAAAACGTAATTTTTGTTAAAACAATTACCAAAAACTATGCTAAAATATTAATATGCTTGGGACTTTCAACGGACCGGGCCGAGCCAGGCCCAGCTCAAGCCCGGTCATACAGGCCCGAGAATCGGGCTCCCGGGATGCGCTCCTCTGTTGGATCTCATCTCACGTGAGAGAGCGAATTTATACTAAAATCCTTGTAAGCTTGAAAAAAAAAAGGCGCATCTGAATTATACGGACATACAAAAAATATGTATTTCCTTAATAATCTTGATCGCTTCCTTTAATAAGAGGAAACCGTTCGATTTAGATCGAACGGTCTGAAAACGGTCAGTCCGTTGATGTTAGCATTTAAAGGCGAGTTTAACCGCCGTTAACGGAAAGTAACCAAAGGTCATTGAATTAATATTAAGTAATTGCTGGTCCGCAGGAAAATAAAAATTGTCATGATTGCATTTTAGCTCCTATGTTTACAGCATCGTTACGAAGAACCCTGAAACTAACCAGGATAGAACAGTTGTGCCACCCGCGGGCGTTCGAATCGAAGGGTATAACTTTTCGTGGAGCTTCTCCCAACCAGGGATTCCACGAAGGGAGCCATCGCCCCGAGTCACTGATCCGCGTCGTCGAAGTGGATTCTTCCTCCCCTGTTACCTTGATCACACCTCTCCATCTTCGTTTTGTCGATCACTGAGGAGATATTTGCATAAATCCGACATTTGCTCGGAGATTTTGAGGTAAAGGAGGTACGCGCGTTAAATTGAAAAATTAATTCATAGAAGAATCCAGTTATGAATCGTTTTCAATATTTTTCCGCCTCAGATGGGGATGCAGGGAGGCCTAATATCCGTGCGAAGGTACATCTCCTAGCACGTCTTCGCGTGTCCCCTTGTGTCCATGCGAATCTGCTTTCCGATACCCGGTGAGCATCTGATATGCGCTGTGTGATGCGAGCAGGTTGATCGGGAGAAATGCCGTGGCTGCTGGCTGCCTGTCAAGGAACTATGGGAGGACCTTCTGCAGCGTCGTGGAAGGAGGCGAGTCCAGTTCCTGCCCCAAGGCAGAGGATAAGACTGTAATATTCTTGGCGTGGTTTCTTCGGTTTTCTTAATCCGTGTCTCCTCTCGCGTTTGACTCTTGTTTCATTATTAACATAGGATTACCGATTATTTCATTTTTCATGCCATGCCTTAGCCGTAGAGCTAACCAGATTTGCCATTTTAGGACCAGGGGGAGAAATTTGAAAGGACATCGAAGGCTGAACCGTATGACATTGCGATTGTTGGCGGAGGCATGGTAGGAATGGCTTTTGCGTGCGCACTTTGTACGTACTTGTCACTTCCTCAAAGCTTATCATATCAGCTGCACTAATAATTTAATGCTATCATGGAAAACTAAATGTGACGACAATTTTTGTTGCTTCTGTTTGAACAGTCATTCATTGAATTTTTTCTTGTCGCACAGCTATTACCTCAAGGATAATTCTGACCACATTTGATTTTATTTACGAAATCAATGAACTGCCAATGCCGCAAGATAAGTAATCAAAAGCATGGTGATTCTGGTCCTGCAGGGGGGGGATAAAATCTGTATAGAAGAACAATAAAATTTATGAGATTATTTTTACTTCCACTGGTAGATCTAATTCAGTCGCGGGCTGTTGTAATTGTTGACTTTTTCTGGACTAGACTGGTTTCAGGAATCAAATAATGGAGGATGTATGCCAAAAAGTTTTCCTAACGTTTTCTTTATGCAATCCCACCAAATTGGAATTTTAAAAGAATTATAACAGCAATAACACATGTTGAAGATAAACTAGTTTTACTAATATAAATTTTTGGCACCAATAATAAAAATGATGCATTGATTCATCTCGGAAATTTCTTGGTGTTTGATATTGGCATACTAGCCGGAGGAGAAGAATCAATCATATCTTTTCCAGCCTACAAGGCTGAGTTAGTCCAATAGATGATGCTTAGTTATTATCATACTTGATAAATGTGTTAGAGCAATTTTTTGATGATGTCTCTACTAGAATAAAAGATCGAAATTTCTAGATTCTGTGTCCAAGATGACATGATGAAGTAATAATTTCGATGTTACATTTATTTCTTAGGCAACCTAATGTGACACTTCTTCTTCTCTGCCGAAAATGATTCTGATTTCTCTGGTTCGGGTTAACTGGTAACCCTAAGTTTCGTATTTATTTGATCGTTTCAGAAGTTATATTGTATCTCTGATTTATTGCAGCAAGAAATCCAATGACCAAGCACCTGACCGTGGCAATCATTGATAACAATCCTGCCTTGGGTTTCAAAACTAGTTTCAAAAGAAGCGAGATACCAGATCCAAGGGTCAGTACAGTGACACCCGCCACTATTTCCTTCTTCAGAGGTAAGTTACTTTTCACGCACGTTGACTATCTCTGTCAGCTAATTATGTTGATTAATTTGGAAATTTTGATTACTATATATATATATATATATGTATATATTGGCTCGAAACTTCCAGATGTACTTCGTAAAATTTCTGGCAGCTGCAAGATTAGCTTCTAGAAGATCTAACTTGGTTACATTTCAGATGTTTATGCAGATACTATTTTACTAAAGTCCCAAATAGCTTGTGGGTCACAATGTTAATAGAATTTTTTTCCGCCGGTAAATATAAAAAATGCAATGCATAAGTGAGTTGGAGCCTGATCTTATTCGTCCTGGTGATATTTATCCTTCTACTTTGCAGATATCGGTGCCTGGGAATATGTTCTGCAGCAAAGGCATGCATACTTTGATAAGATGCAGGTGACTACTGAACCTCTAGTCATTAACGTATTTTTTATTATAATAATTACGCAATCATATGTAGAGCCTTTGTTACTAACCTTGGGCACATAAATGCAAATGTTTCTGAGAATTCAAACAGTTCCTCGTTTCCATAAGGTAATCTTTCCCTTTATAGGTCTGGGACTACACTGGGTTGGGATACACCAGGTATAATGCCAGAGATGTGGGAAAGGAATGCCTTGGGTAATCCGCCTTCCATTCCATCTTTCTGTTTCTGGTATCTCGGTGGCTCTTACTGCTTTAACTGAATGTGTTTGACTTTCAGGTGCGTGGTCGAGAACAAAGTACTCCATTATTCTCTGTTGTCTTCCTTCCAGGTGATTCGTCAACCATCCTTTTTTTTTTCTTTTTCTCCATCCAGTTTTATTCATTTCGCTTTTGATTGAAACGTTACCGATACGATGGGATGCATTATACATTATGAATGGCGTTGACTTAATATTTTTCGTCGCTGATTTCCACTCTCTGGTCTGATCCTTGCGCAGTCTGGGGCAGAGCTCCAGTGGGCCCTCTACCCTGCCAGGTTGTCCTCCATGACCGTCCCATCGCCTCGTTCCGTTTCAAGCAGGATCATGAGTCAACTAGAAGACTCACCGAGCGGAAGATTCGTGAAGCTGGACCTCAGCGACGGAAACACCCTCCATGCCAGATTGGTGGTAATCAGCGACGGGAAGCCTCAGGCATCTGTTTTTTTCTTTTTCCCATTTTTGATGAGCTCTCCGGAAGGGGATCGATTACTGCAGGTGGGAGCCGACGGATCGAAGTCAAACGTCAGGGAAATGGCGGCACTAAAGTCAACGCAGAGGAGCTACTCTCAGAGCGCGATCATCTGCACCGTGGAGCACGCCGTCGAGAACGACTGCGCGTGGCAGCGGTTCCTCCCCTCCGGACCCATCGCCCTCCTCCCCGTGGGTGACAGATTCAGCAACGTCGTCTGGAGTATGCGCCCTGAGGAAGCTTCTGCTCACAAGTCCATGGACGGTGACGATCTGGCCAAGGCCATAAACCGCGCCATGGATGACGGCCACGGCCCCCAGCCCGGGTCCGGCGTTCTCGGGGGTTACGTGGAGAGAATCTCTAGCTTCACCAGTTGGTGGGGCCCTTCCTCTTCAGCGGCGGAACCCTTCCGGGCCCCACCGAGGGTGACGGCAGTGGCGTCAGAGAGGATGGTGTTCCCCCTCTCACTGATGCACGCCCATGATTACGTGACGAGGCGGGTGGCGCTTGTCGGCGATGCGGCCCACACCGTCCATCCCTTAGCGGGCCAAGGAGTCAACATGGGCTTTGGGGACGCGTCCGCCCTCGCCAAAGTCATCGCCGAGGGCGTCTCCGTGGGCACTGACCTCGGAGAGGTAAATGCCATTTTAAAAAAAAACAAAATTCTATATTTGGCCTTATGGGCCTCGGCCCATTATTATTTATTAATGTTTTCTGTATTATTTTTTTCTCAGTTGACTCTGTTGAAGAGGTATGAGAAGGAGAGGAAGGCGGGCAATGCGACCATGATGGCGATTCTGGACGGGTTCCAGAAGGCCTTCGCCGTCGACGCCGGGCCACTCAATCTACTGAGGGCGGCGGCCTTCCACGGTGCCCAGTACATCCCGCCCCTTAAGAGGAACATCATCTCCTACGCCAGCGGCGACCAGAAGTGGCCTCTCTTCTCTTGAGACCTTCCGCCAACGTATGGATTATCATCTCTCTCTCTCTCTTCTGTGGTTTTCTAGAATGCAGGCGCATTAGTGAGAGAGAGACGGTCGAGAGAATGTAGGTCCCATTTATCAAGATACCGGTGGGTCCCTCTTATTCGCATCCTCCATTCCATCACAAGCGACGAGAGAGAGAGAGAGAGAGAGAGAGAGAGAGAGAGAGGGGTATAATTATAAAGGATAATGTGGTAATTTATGGAGAATTGTGTTAAACGATGCTTATTAAAGTAAGAAATAAAAACGAAAAAAGGGGTTATTAATAAATTTAGCTAATGCGTGGAGAAATAAAATCAAAAAGCGCTTCTAAGTTTGTTTTGGCGCCCATAACCGCGGACAAGAGCTCGTTTCGACGACCGGCCCCGCTCGTTTCCCTCCGTCGCCCTCTGTCTCTCTCTCTCTCTCTCTCTACTTCGCTCGCTCAATCGTTTTGTTGCAGAAACCAGAGCTCATTCCCGCGCCGTAGGCGGCATCGTCTGGACGCCGGTGGAGTGAGCTTGTTCATTGCGTAGTCTCCATTGTACCCATATTTTCGATTCCTAGATCTCCCAGCTTCTCCTCTCGTCCCCTCTCGAGAGGTGGATTTTCCTCTGGAAGGGTTTGAGTTTCCGGGATCCAAAGTCGGCTCCTCTCGCCGCACATCTCATGCAAGACGCTGCAGAGGACGAGAAGTGAGAGGGAGAGACGTATGCTTCGATGGTATCGAGATACACAAGGTCCCTGGGTGTTGCGTTTGTTCGAAAAAAGTTAGGATTCAGACGCCATGCTTCGAAGGCTTTTGGGCAGGAGTAATCCACCCCACATTTTTGTAGTTAATTCTCGTTTCTACGCTATTACATTATCTGTCATGTTTCCTTCTCTCGATGATGTGGTTGCTAGTTTTGGGTCACTTCTTTGAATGTTCTCCCTGCGCGGTACTTCGTAGGAGCACAAAAATGTCCGTGATCTCCTGAAAACCTGGCCAGTTTATTAAAAACCAGGCGTATATGAATATGTGCAGGATTATCGACAGGATAGACTCACCTCGGACTGATTATATGACTCTATCAGTGCCCTTAATGGCCTTTCCGTCGTCAGGAAAACCTTTTATTTACACTCTCTGCTTGCATTATTTAACCAACTGAACCGTTTTCAGAAATGTGAAGCTTGTTTTCTTATTTTCAACATAAGTCAGTAATGTCAATCCTGGAAAATACCTACTCATCTTGTTTCTCTTGCAGTTTTATCTCTCTATCTCTCTCTCTCCCCTCCTCTGAGTTAACGCTAAAGGTGAAATTGGAGCACATAATACGTACTTTAACTCAAATTCTGTTTTTGTTGCCTATTTTTTACTCGCAGTTTTGGAAGCAATTTTCATCTACCAAAATTTTCTCTACTCTCCTTAAAGTTTCTCTTTTGTACTGAATATGTTCTTTTTTTCATTGAACAGCGAGATAACTCAGCTCTTAGGAGACTGCATGTATGAAATATTTGGGGATAGCTGACTGATGTCTAAGGAAGCATTGCAAATGTAAGAATAATATTTTACTGAGAATTCTCTTTTATAATACTATTTTCTTCTACATTCTGGTTTATTGTGCTGTTTTAACTCCCTGCTAGTGAGCATGTGCTCTTCACGATGCTGCTGCTGTTACTTTTTTCTTGTATGGTTTGGTAAATAGCAGAGGGAACTTCAAGGAGAACGTTAGGTGTGAAGAAAAGTCTCCTAAAGTGAATTGGCTGGATCACGCCAAAGCTCATGAGAACTTCGCGTGCCAAGAGAAATTTCTGAGTTCAAATTTTCTTTTCTCTCTACCAGCACAGAAGTCCAGTGCAGAAAGAATGCTCCGCACAAGGTCCTTTTCAGACATCCGCCTATATTATTCACATTATTTCTTTGTTAATATCTAAGATATTCTCAAAATATTACAAAGTCCAATCTCAGCTTACAAGTTTTAAGCAGAGTTTCATTGAAGAAAGGAATAATTATTTCGATTTTTATCATAATCAATTTCAAAATTGCAAACATCATTTTTACTTAAAACGAAGGATTTCTGGCGTTATCAGCATTATTGGTTCACTAGTAGGTTATGGTTTTTTTACTTCTGCTCGTTTGTTGCATTGCCAATCCTTAATTGCAGCTTACATACCGTAATTTTTGTGATAAAACGATGTAATTCTAAGTATTATTTCACTCATCTCAGGCCTCTAGTTTATAATGTTCAAGGAATTGATAAGGTGCGAAAGTCAGATGTTGAGAGGGTATGTTTGATATTTTTTTTGGTTTAGATAGTATTTCCTTACTTCCGTTTATCTGTATTGTCACATTTTGGATCTCATGTTCCGTAATAAACATATTGGTCCAGGCTTGGAAAACTCTTAGTTGCCTTCAGGTGGGCAGCAGGAAGTACGTAAAACCAGGATCAACGCATCCCCAGCAAAACCGAGGTGGGGGCAATTATATCTCCCATTCTTTGGAGGCTTCTAAATATAATGGAAGATCAGAGGCAACAAGTTCTATAGATACAATCAAACTGTCCAAAGGCACAATGAACGGAAGTTTTAATGCACATCGTCAAGATTCTCTTGCTCAAGGTGATAAATGACCTGATTTCTAGTGCGTTTTTTTTCTTGATGAATATGTTTTCTGTTTGAAGTTGAACTCCAATTGATGAATACTTGGATGTAAAGGTAGAAGAGAGACATCTACGCCGTTATCTTCACATTCAACTCTTCAAAATGGGCGTTTTCATTTTGAAAAGAATAAGAATTTCAGTGAAACTCTCTTAGATGGCGTTGATGATGATGATATTCTGAAGGTAAATGTCACTGCCAAAGTATGACCCTAAACTGATAAGAATTTCATGTTCAGAAAGACCACTATATTGATCCTTGGTCACTGGAACTTTGTTGCCAGAATATTGATGTTGACCAGATAGTCCTTGCCCACTATCAAGCAACAAGCACACCCGATGCGACAGTATCTAAATTTTCACCATTTACTCCAGTTGCAAATGGGGAAAATAATTCTTTACCAAGTGGAAATATGGTCCCAGCAGAACTTTGTGTAAAATGTAATCACCATGTTGAGGTATGTGCTGTGCATTTAACTTCTGTGTAAAATGTGATTTCTTGCAAATGTAATCACCTTCAGGACATTGATTTTTTCTTTTTTGCCCTTGATTATCCAGCTGGGACTTTGCCCAGAAGCCAAGCATCATTTGCAGGAGATGAAAGATAAGCTTATTGCCATATCGAATAAACTTCTTGACAATGCTGATGATTTGAGTCCTCAGCATTTTGAGGAACTACGCCAAGAACGGTTGGTTCTTTTCTTACACAGATATGTTATAAAGATGTTTGGAGATTTTAGAATATATTCTCTGAATTTATAGTTAATCTCCTAATATGTGTATATATGGTAGACTGGCGCTGAACAAGAAAATTCCAGCACTGGAAAAATATCTCCAGAGCTTGATTCAAGATGAAGAAAGGCAAAGGTCACATATGTCAGCATCAACAGCTGCCTCTCTGAGGTTTCAATGTGAGACTCCAGTAAGCACGTTACGGGTGGATTCTCTTAGGTTTGATTCCCAGATGTATAACAAAACAGAAAGTTGTCATCGTTGGAGTCCTTCTGCTTCTGTTTATGCTACGGATAGCTTTAGTGCTGCACCAGGCTATTTGGAAAGGGAAGTATTCACTCCAAAGCTTGTTGAAGTTAATTACATTGAAGGATCAAATGATAAGAGATGGAGCAGTACGGATTTTCTATGGGCGAAGAAACTTGAAGTACTCCTCTGGACAGTGGTTGTTATTTTCAATTCTGCTATCTGGAACTAATTTTAGAATCTTCCTTTCATATAGATCAACAACAGAAAAGTGTTTGGGAATCATTCCTTTCGTCCAAATCAAAGAGAAATAATTAACGCAACAATGAGCGGGTGTGATGTTTTCGTTCTGATGCCGACCGGTGGTGGAAAGAGTCTGACTTACCAGGTGGAAAGGCTCTATTAGTTCTTTCTGTGCAAACATTCTATGAAGTTTCTCATTTTTCCCAGCCTTTTGTTTTGTACCTTATCCATCTGCCTTCCAGTAGAACATTTTTCCGTGGTAAAAAATGCCTCTAAATTGCACTTGAAACTAGTTTCCCAAGAAAGATATTATGGACGTGCCCCATGTTAGAAAGCTCTACATGTTATGTTGGCAAAGGGAATGCTGATTTTGTTTATACCATGATGTATTATAGATTCTATTAATATTTTGTCATCACAGTCTAAAGCTAATGCATTAATATTGGTGCTGTTGATTTTCATTACTTCTCTTGTATAAGTTGAAATCTCTAATTTAGTTTGACCTTGTTTAATTTTTTTTTTTTTCTAGCTTCCCGCTCTTATTTGTCAAGGAGTTACACTGGTGGTTTCTCCTCTTGTCTCTCTCATTCAAGATCAAATTATGCATCTGTTACAGGTATATGTTTGTTCTGTCTTGATATGGTCAATATATGTAGGACTTGCCGAACATTTGATTATTTCATAACCCTTGTTTTTCACCGTGTTTCAGGCAAATATTCCTGCTGCTTATTTAAGTGGCAACATGGAGTGGACAGAGCAGCAGGAGATCCTTAGAGAATTAATTTCTCCGAGTTGTAAATATAAATTACTCTATGTTACTCCAGAAAAAGTAGCCAGGTCAGTTATGCTTTGCTTCTGAGATGGAATTGGCATCGTGATTTGTGCTTAATGTGATTTTGTTTGAAAAGGTATCAAGAACTTTGCTTTGATTAGAGTTTGAATGAACACTCGAATTTATTCTGGAGTATTTTTAAATGTTATTTAACCTAAAACTATTTGACATCTGTGGTATAAATAAGGTGTGCGATAGGGTAGAATGGCGAAATATGGTGCGTCCTCAATCTGAATTACGTTTGATTTGGTGTATGATAAAGGTGGTTTGTCAACGCTCGAGTTCTTAAACTAGAGGCTTTCAAGAGTATCATAATCCATAAATGGAGTTGCAAAATGACTTGGATAATATACGTTGGAGATCTATAAGCCATCTTGTCTCCTAATTCTGAGGACTGCCCTGAGAAATTTCATGCCCTTTGTTCATGAGTTTTAATATTTGTTTTGATCTACGTAGGGACAAGGTCTCAGGAGTTTGAAAATTCCACGAGTTTTTGGCTAGACCCATGGGTGAGTCTAGGTTGATTTCTGACTGGGATGCCCACTGCTTATCTTGCCTCTTTGCTCTATTCTTAGTGCTTCTAGTATGACATCAAGCCACAGTGAGCTGTGTTCGGGCAACAGCTCGGAACTTTGGTAGTATACAATATTAGGATTTATCTTTAATCCGATGAAGAAACCATAAGTAAACCATGCTTGTAGAAACCATAACTAGCACTATACCTTGTAAGTTCTTGTTGGCCACATTTTGACTTTCTTTTTTTGCTTGCTTGAATCCTATGCTTGCTCCTTGTAGAAGCAGTCACTGTTGAATTTTACAAAAAAAATGCTTTCTCCTGTCTTTTCTCAATTTTAATATAAATTCACCTTCTTCCGCGAAATCCAATTGTGATTTGGAAAAAAAAACATATTTATGAAAACATGAGGATGAAACTCTTTAGAAGCATTTGCTCTTCCACAATTGGTCATCTTTTAAATCAAAATGGTAATTTTGTGAGCAAGATCCATCAACATGTTCCTCTATGAATGCAGAAGTGACGTCCTATTGAGACATTTAGAGAGTTTGAACGCAACTGGTTCACTTTCTAGAATTGTTATCGATGAAGCTCATTGTGTTAGCCAATGGGGACATGATTTTCGACCAGATTATCAGGTTAGAATAACTATAGCTTCAGCTTCACTATTTTTCAGCGCACTTTCAGAAAATTTTCTGGTCCGAATTTTGAATATATATGCCCTGCTGTGCGAAGGGGCTTGGAATTTTGAAACAAAAGTTCCCAAATACTCCAGTGCTGGCTTTGACTGCCACTGCGACGGCCAGTGTAAAGGAAGACGTTGTGCAGGCGCTTGGCCTCATAAATTGCATTGTTTTCCGACAGAGCTTCAACAGGCCAAACCTATGGTAGATGGCAGATACCATTTTCCTTGCTTCTTCCCTAAAAGCATATCTCATCAACTTCTTGCACTCTTCAGGTTTTCCATAATGCCAAAGACGAAGAAGTGCTTGGACGATATAGACAAGTTCATCAAGGAGAACCATTTCGATGAGTGTGGCATCATTTACTGTCTCTCAAGGATGGACTGCGAGAAAGTGGCCGAAAAATTACAGGTTCTTCTCCTCTCTTACATTATTCATGATGGTCTGGACCTCACTATATTCTCACCCACTTAGGTGCCACGTCACTATGTTCTAATTGTGTCCATTTACCTGCACTTTATTTATATATTTGAAGCCCTTTCATTCTATTTGCATGCAATTTCCATCGAAAGATCAAGCTGCCTTCCTGGATATTTCAGATTTGTCTAAATACGTGGTCATGCCTTCGTGGCTTCATGGCTTGAAGAGTAACACAGATTGTACAATTCAATTGATGAATGTTATTTTAACATTATTAGTGGAAAAAATAGTTTCATTGAATAGTAAGGCTGTAAATAAGTTCATTTTATTTGGACTTTGGTCTAAGTTTATATTTGCCAATAAATATTATTATTCATGCAGGAATGCGGTCACAAAACAGCATTCTATCATGGCAGCATGGATCCACATCAAAGAGCATACGTTCAGAAACAGTGGAGCAAGGATGAAATCAACATAATATGTGCCACAATAGCTTTTGGGATGGGTATCTTCCTCGTTTTCTCACACGGCATTGCCTCCACACAAATCTCCACTTTTCCTCACCGCATATGGTAACTTGGGTATTTCAGGAATCAACAAACCTGATGTTCGGTTCGTTATTCACCACTCTCTTCCAAAATCCATTGAGGGTTACCATCAGGTCAAATATCTTTCTACGGGCACTGTTAGCAACTTAGATCATGGCGTAATGCGTGTCATCTCATGTTGTCCAGGAGTGTGGACGGGCTGGAAGAGATGGCCAGCGATCATCATGCGTGCTGTACTACAGCTACAGTGACTATGTCCGCTTCCATCTGACTGTTCATGGTGTTCATTCATAAAATTTAAAAAAAAAAGGAAGAGGAAAATCCCTTTGCGGCGCCTGATTTTGAGCCCTGATTACAGATTCGCGTCAAGCATATGCTGACTCAAGGGGTGGTAGAGCAGAGTCCCTCGGCACTGGGGCCAAGGCGAAGCCAGAATCCTGGGAGTGTGTTGGAATCAAATATCAGAAATCTCGCATGCATGGTGCCCGTCAATGCTATTAGTTTATTTCAATAATTACTTTGATATTCATCAGCTTATATGGATCTTACTATCAACAGGTAAACTATTGTGAGAACCATGCGGATTGCAGACGTTTCTTACAGCTTATCCACTTTGGGGAGAAGTTCGATCCTGCAAATTGCCAGAAGACTTGCGATAACTGTTCAAGGATGGTGAGCTGGATAGAGAAAGACATCACCCCCACTGCGAAACAACTGGTGATGATGATTATATGAGCACACCATTTCTTAGTTTGGCGTCTTTCAGCTGAATGCGCGCTCATCTGTTGACCCATTTGTTTGACTTCGTGGAATCGCACCTCCACAGGTCGAGCTGGTGAAGTCAACGGGGCAGCAGTGTTCTTCCTCCCATATTCTGGACGTATACAGAGGCTCCCTCAGCCAAAATGTACGTCCTCCCTGGAATCATAATCTGTTCCTCGTCCTCTTCTACTCCACGAACGCTCCAGATGACCCTCCATGGCGTTCTAGGTAAAGAAACACAGGCACGAAAATTTGGGCCTCCATGGCGCCGGGAAGCATTTGGGGAAGGACGAAGCATCCAGAATCTTACGCCACCTGGTTGTTGAAGATTTCCTAAGGGAGGAAGTCAAGAAGAGCGACGTCTACGGATCCGTTTCATCGGTCCTGAAGGTACGCGCACACAGCTCACTTTCTCTAACTAATCACCACACCACTCCTGCGGCTAAGTGTTTCCAATTCGGTCTGTGGGCAGATAAATGAACCGAAGGTGAGCAAGCTTTGGTCCGGCGGGCATCCGATCATACTGAGGTACACCTCCCCATATTTCTATGATGTTCTTGCTTCTTTAGCACCTTCAAGAAGAACCCATTAAAATAAATAAATAAGTATATATATATATATATACATCTTGAGCAGCTTTGCGTTGGCTTTTTCAGGTTCCCGGCCCCTGCGAAGCCCTCCAGGTCTGCGGCTAGCAGAGCTGAGGAGACGCCGGCGAAGGGCTCTCTGGTGAAGACGACCGTTGCGGCAGCTCAGAGCGAAGTTGACCAGGTAGCCCTTCTCCTCGTCTTCAGAGTCTTGTTATCTCTTCTTCTTTCCCTGTGAGGAGGATGGGGAGAGCCTCACCCTCTGTTTCCTCGTTAGAAACTGTCGGAGAAGCTCTTCTCCGCTCTGAAGGCGCTTCGGACGACGCTGGTCAAGGAAGCGGGCGACGGCGTCATGGCCTACCATATATTCTTGTGAGCCCGTTGACCTTCGCCGCTCCCCCCATTCCTGTTGTGCCGGCGCTGACCCACCAACCATTGTAGGAATGCCACTCTGCAGCAGATCAGCAAGCGGCTTCCCAGGTCCAAGGAGGAGCTCCTCGAGATCAACGGCATCGGGAAGTAAGTTCTCTTCCTTCCGTGTGGCCGTCTCTTGGTCGCAAGTCTGCGTTGACTTAAATGCGCGGCGCAGGGCGAAGGTGAGCAAGTACGGCGACCGGGTACTGGAAACCATCGAGTTGACGCTCGAGGAGTTCAAGAGGACGAACCGGAGCGGTGGCGGTGCCGACAGTGGGGAGGCGGCAAAGAGGCGGAGGGGCTCGACGGGTGTCGGCGCGGGCGGCGCTGCCGGCGGCAACGACGACTTCATCACCGAGGCTGTCGCCGAGTCAACGAAGAGACCCGCGAGGGCCCGCCAGAACCCCGTCTTCGATCTGGATTTGGACGGTCCTGATGCGGCGAAGACGGCGGCGGATCCGCAGATCTGGGGAGGAAGCCCCGTTGGTAACCTCTTTCAGGAATACGCATTCAGGGGGGAGTGACGATTTTCCTCCCCTCGCCGCTGACCGCTCTCACTGTAAACCTCCGGAGGCGGCGGGCAGCCCTATTTATTGCAAAACATAGTTGCCTTCTTCGTATGTACATTCTTTCCTTCTCTTCAAAATCCGGAGCCGAGTTGTCAATGGGCCCAAGATGAGCCCGGCCTGGGCTCTTTGTGTGCATGTGAGAGTGAGAGAGAGAGAGAGAGAGAATTTTCTGGACGTATGGCCCAAACAGGCCCATTTTGTCTAATTGAGCTGATATTGGGCTTTATATGCCCAGCGGGAAGTGTGCTTCTCTCTCTCTCTCTTCCTGTATGGACCCACCCTTGATTTATTGGGCCAAGAGGATTGCACTTCTAAGCATTCATTTTATTTGACCGTGGAGAAGCTCGTATATGCTTACGTCACAAACCACGTTTGACACCCACGAAACGCTGTTGGATCATATTACGTTAAACTGGGCCTTCCTGGATGAACTTTTCAAAACTGGGTGATAAAACTTAAAAGACAAAAATACCCTTACGTTGCAGCCGACTGTAAACTAGCGAGAGGAAGCTCCAGTACTCGGGGGGCCAGGTTCTCAGGACTCTGGTTCGCATCGCCGCCATCCTGTTCAGGGAATCGAACCCTAGCTCCCGGAGTCTAGTTCCGATGACTTGCGTTGCTCACAAAGGCTTCTACGATTACACTTCCCACCTCCAGGTGTTCGGTCTTCTTCGATTCCTTTCCGTTTGGCCAGTCTTCTTCCAATACCATCATCTTTACGCCTCGATGGTGATTGCGTGCCTCCTTATCCATGTCTGATTTTGTGGCAGGGGTTCAGGAAGTCCTGGGGATCTAGGGGTTCCCTGGCTTTTCCTAGCGTAAGGAACATACCCTCTCCAACGTCAGTTTCGACCCGGAGTATCGACCTGAAGTGCCGTGGACAGTTGAGCGGAGACGGGGACATGAACAATTTAGCATTGGCGGGCAGTGATTTGGACGAGCGTCGTGAGTCTCCACCGAATTTCGGTTGGTCTCTAATTATGTGATATTACATCTCAATCTCCATCTCCGCCGTAAGGTTTTACATTTTCTTTAAACCTGTCATTTTCAGAGTCTAAAGAGAAGGATCCCAGCATATCCACGATACTAACTGGTTTTGACAATTCCTTTGATCCATACGATGCTCTTAGCACGCCTCTCTACCAAACTGCCACTTTCAAGCAGGTACTAATGAGGAAACTTGCTCTCTTGCTATGCTAGAGTCATGTATATTACAGATAGAAGGTAGGATTCATTTCATCTCCATCTTCATCGTCTGCCAACTTCTAATGCGTATTGACATCACGGATATGCTGTCCTATTCTGTAATTTATCTTCATACCACATGCATCTTATATCATATATTTGCGTAATTTATCCTATTCTGTAATTTTTCTAGTCTTGGATTCTTCTGATGGTGTTTATTTGTGCCAAAAATTGAAAGAAACTTTGCTGGAATTGAACTTTTATTTTGGGTGTTTAATTAATAACGAATTTTAATGTTGGAAGTCAGAAACCCCTATTCCTTCTTAAGTTAACTCCCTTACTATTAATATCAGTGTTCACGCACAGTTGTTCAGGTGCACAACTTAATTAATTATTGGCACTCAAATAATTTTCCAGCCTTCAGCAACAGAGAATGGTCCTTATGACTACACGAGAAGTGGAAATCCAACTCGAGACGTTTTAGAAAGGTATTATTTCCAGGCACCAATTGTGGTTGGTTGTGATCTCCTCGAGCAATTAGTTTATTCCATTTCTACTTCCTGCAATCAGCATGCTGTAAAGTTCTTATTCCAAAAATCATCTTGCGCTGCATGTGATCAGTCTCCTGGCCAAGCTTGAGAAGGCTGACAGGGCGTTTTGCTTCACCAGCGGAATGGCTGCTTTAGCTGCCGTCACCCACCTTCTTGAAGCAGGTAGTATCCTCCCTCGTCTGGTTCAGGTGCTCGATCTCCAGAGCATGATACATCTGTTTCTGTTGCTGCTGACAAACTCTGGTATCAGGCCAAGAAATAGTTGCCGGTGACGACATATATGGTGGTTCTGATCGGCTCCTCTCAAAGGTCGTCCCAAAGCAAGGAATAGCCGTAAGGTAAGGCTTGATATTTAATGATAATCTTCTTCTTTTGGTGATACTAAAAGTTGTGAATAAAATTTATGTGCTTCCATGAGTTTATTCATTAAATTATCATCTAACAGGCGCGTTAATACTTCCGATTTGGCTGAGGTCTCATCTGCGATTGGGCCCCGCACAAGGCTTGTGTGGTTAGAGAGCCCAACGAATCCTCGGCTACAAATTTCCGATATACGTGTATGCATCTATTTTAATGAAAATTTATACGTTCAGGATTCTGGGTTTTCAATTTTAAATGTGACTCTTAGATTTTCTCATGGTATTAACTGGATTGCTTCATTAACGGTCTTTTGCCAAATCAAAAGATTTTATTTTATTTTTATGATCTTCATAAGTCATTTCTTTTTTTTTTCTTCTTTCAATTGATACAGGGTGAGTACCCATTCATCATTCAACATGTACACTTCCCTTTACATATAGAGAGCCCACAATTTGGATACCCTTTACTTCCCAATGAAAGAACAGAGAGAGAGAGAGACAGGAGAGAGAGAGAGATCACGTAGGAGTGTATTCTACTTCCTACCTAGACTACCAAACGAGGATACACGCAACAACCCATCCTCTGTGTACATTCAATATTTCCCTCGATTTCAACATGTAGTTTTATGGCTTTTGATTACTTTATTATATTTTCCTTGATCCTTGATCAATGACTATTTTCTGCTGCATGGTCTGCCACAGAGAATTTCGGAGCTAGCTCATGCTCATGACGCCATTGTGTTGGTGGATAATAGTATTATGTCTCCCGTTCTATCACGTCCATTGGAGCTCGGGGCCGGTGTGTACCGTGGATATTCTATTGCGAGTCTATGAAACTGTAGAAGCTGCACCCATTACGTCTCAGTGAATAATGCTTTTCTCTCTTACGTGCAGACATCGTCATGCATTCAGCTACCAAATTTTTAAGTGGCCACAGTGATTTAATGGCAGGCATTCTTGCTGTCAAGGGGGAAAGGTCTCTCTCTCTCTCTCTCTCTATATATATATATATATATATATATATATATATCCATAGCCATCTTCTTCTCTCAGTATGAGTGTGAGAGAGACTTTTGCAGACGGATATATTATGTTATAATCAATAGTTGGTTGTGGCTTGATGTGATTTGCCATCCAGATTGGCCAAAGATCTTGCCTTCTTGCAGAATGCTGAAGGCTCTGGTTTGGCTCCATTTGATTGCTGGCTCTGCCTGCGAGGCATCAAAACCATGGCCCTGCGGGTGGAGAGGCAGCAGGTAGTCTAAAATCTCTCCTATCTTTTCCTGAAAACCCCTCGTTGTTATACTTGATACTTGCTTTATATCTTCTTTGGGCAACGGCTATAAATTTGAATAAACTTCTTAGAATTTCAAGATCAGATAAAACCCCTGTTTCGGTCCATACATCTGGCAGGAAAATGCGCAGAAGATTGCTGAGTTCTTGGCATCCCACCCTCGGGTGAAGAGAGTCAACTATGCCGGGCTTCCTGGCCACCCGGGCCGCAGTTTACACTATTCCCAGGTACTCGGTCTGGAAATGATAGCAGACCAGTCATTCTCGATCTAGAAACATCTCTCTTTACTCTCTCTCTCTCTCTCTCTCTTCTTTCTCTCTCTTTCTCAGGCAAAAGGCGCGGGATCTGTTCTTAGCTTCTTGACAGGATCCCTGGCTCTCTCGAAGCACATCGTTGAAACCACCAAGTACTTCAGTATTACTGTCAGCTTCGGTAAGAAATCGCCCCCACTCCTGTTCGTACTTTCCCATATAGCTCCTAAAGGTTTATTTTTTATGCCTTAATCCTTGTGAGTACCTCGAATTAGCTACTAGCCCCCGTGCTCTGTGAGCAATTATCAGAAAAAACGGGGGCTCGCGGCCAATCCAAGTTATTTATGGGGCCCTCAGACTGAAGAACGCTTGCTCTTGACACCCCGTACAAACCCCATGGCTTTTTTTTTTATACTTCAGCCCCTGTCCCTGTGATTACCTCGAATAAATCAATCAGCTATAAGCCCCCGTTACACTTGCTAGAAAAAAATGGGGGTTTGGATACAATTCTAGATACTTCCAAGGGCCTCATGCTGAAGAACCCTAAAGCCAGCGAAGTGACGGCTTCTCCCCTTCTGCGGTGTTCCAGGAAGCGTGAAGTCGCTCATAAGCTTGCCCTGCTTCATGTCCCACGCGAGCATCCCGGCGGCGGTCAGAGCGGCCAGAGGCCTCACCGAAGACCTCATACGCATCTCTGTGGGCATCGAGGACGTGGAAGACCTCATTGAAGACCTCGACAGCGCTCTGCGCTCTGGGCCCGTTTAGTTCTCTCAATTTCTCTCTCTACTCGCCTCATTGATTCAATTGGATGCTTTTCTTTGGTTCTGGGAACCCTCTTGTATCAGAATAAATTAGTCTTTCTGATTTTTATTCCTGGGCTTACTGCCCTTGGGGCCCTATTTATACTCTCTCTCTCTCTCTCTCTCTAAGCAGAGTCCTGAAAGGCCCATTTTCACTAAAAACGAGTGCATGAATCTCTCTCTTTCTCTGCCTGCAAGGGGCAGCATGACTAAGTTAGATGGTACCAGAGATATATAGCAGGGCCTACTTTCTCCGTCGATGCTTGGGCTTCACGGCGTCTGTCAGGCTTCTGGGGCTGCTCTTCGGCTGCACCGAACTAGACCCCTCCTCCATCGAGGAAGAACCAACAGCCCGTCGATCTCCCTGAGACTGCTCCGGATTGACCTCCTTCCGCCTCAGACCTCTCCCCACACCTTCCTGTTCCTTCCTCCCCGTTGATGTTCCTGCACGTGCGTACACGCACCAGTTCAAGAGAGAGAGAGAGAGAGCATGAAATGCCGGGATCAAATCAGACGGACCCATGTAAAAAGAAGCCATTTTTAATGCATGGCCGAGTGTTCATACCAGGAGCGACCATGGCTTTCCGAAGGAGATCTGATGAGATGCCATTTGAGTATGGATCCCTGATACCAAAGAAGCCAATAGTCAAAAGAAGAATAGCCATGATAAAGCCTAATATATATATATATATATATATATATATAGATAGAGAGAGAGAGAGAGAGAGAGAGAGAGAGAGAGAGAGAGAGAGAGAGGGTAATTTGGTTTTAGCTCCAGGAAAACGAACTAAATTATCTTCAGATGGACTCCCAGGGCCCTGAAAACTGTCAAACTTTTGATTTTTAGACCCTCAGTCTAAGGAATAATATTTAATTTAAAATTTTAGGTAAAAAAATACTCAAGTACACTGCTGATTACATTCTCTGTCTCTCCCCCACATTGGGCTCACCTCCACTAGAGAGAGAGAGAGAGAGAGAGAGAGAGAGAGAGGGTAGTTCAGTCTTCATTGTACGGAATTATACGTTAAATATAATTAATTAGACAGGGACGTTAAAATCTAAAAGAAAAATAGAGGGGCTTATCAATTAATTCAATTAGTTTATGAGCTAAAACCAAGTAACTCGATCGAGAGAACATTGGCTGCCACATGGGTGATGACGAGGCAGCCACATCGACACCCCTTCAAGGAACAACACGTAAGCAGCATGGGAGACTATTCGAATGAAAAGGTAGAGTCAACAGCATTTACCAGTTCGAAGGGCCACCGATCGCTGCGTTGACTTTTCCCCGTCCAGCACCTGAAATCTTCTCCTGGGAGGAACCAGAGGCGACTCCAACTCCATAGCGTTGAAAACTGCTGGGGCTCCTATCAAGCCCAGCCTTCAATCTCTCCATGCGGCACATCAACGCATCGATCTCCTCCTCAATGCTGATGATGTTCAGGGCATCACCTTCTGCTGCAGATGACGACAACAATGATGTGTACAGCTTGATCTGCCTCAATAATCTGGCTTCATTGTATGAGTCAATCTGAAGAAAAAGCATACATTAAGATTAGGAGTAAATGGAAGCACAGCTTCTGCATATTCGTTGCATAGAAGAGAATTATATCTGGGTTCATTGCATGATGTTCCTACTCACAGATCTCTCGATTTGGGCGTTGACTTCAGCAGCTTTCGTTGAAGCAATCCTTAAACACTGCATGATCATGCTTGGCAGAAGGCCTTCACCACCAGGCTTTTGGATGGCACAGACTTCACCGTTAGAGTTCATGATCACTGTGATTCTTCCCACCATGACAGCTTCCTCATGGTGATTGGGATCTATCATCTGCATTGACCACTGTAGCATCAGAGAGAGACCGACAGAGGAAAGTAGGCACAAAAATGGATAAAAATAATGGGACGACTACATACTAGATTGTTGCCTTCATTGAAGATTCCAAATGTGACTGCGATAGGAAGATGGTGAATGGTCAGAGGAAGTGGTTCTCTCTCCTGTTTAAAAAATGGAGAAAAAGGGAAACTGAAAACCCTCACCAGGCAATACAGAAAAATTATTTAAAATTAAAAAAAATCAAAATCGAGGTCAGTGGGTCGCTTTCTTGTTCAAAGATGAGGAAAGAAAGAAGCTGAAAATACTAATCAGGCTATGTTATCATGCTCAAACACACGGGTTAAGGCTAACCTCTGGGGGGTGCATAATAACTTCTTGGGCGTCTACTCCCTCTATGGAGCATTCGGGCCTTCGAAAAGTCAAGAGAGCAGCAAGAACAGCTGCGTTAGCAGCATCAATAAGGTTCCTGAATGAGATTACCTAAAGTTGGACAGTGGTTCAAGCCGCGCTCATCTGTTTCAGAGTGTTGGCGTTTCACAGCTTACCCCCCATTGTCAAGAATGTGAAGGTCAACGCGAATGGCCCACACAAATCTCCCCGCAATAACACAGAGAGATTCCATGTCCACTGCCCAGCTTTCCCTGTAATTGATTTTCAGGTATCACCATAAGAATACAAGGTTCCCCATTAAAGCTTCCTAGATTTTCCTTCTGCAGATGGTCAATGACAGAAATTGGATGCACTTATGGAGAGACTCTTGATGAATCCCGTGATCCGAGCTTATTAGATAACTCGAATTCTAAAAGTCAACCTAGATAGAACGAGACTGAACTTAGATACAGCAGAATTCAAGTCCACTAAAGTGAAGGAATCTCTGCATGAAGGTATCAGAGCAAGACAAGATTTACCTCAGGCCCCTGTCTATAATCCGTCCCATTTCAACGGCGAGTTCTCCAGGGCGACCTGCCTCGAAGGATGGGTCAGCCATGGGTGAGAACTCTGTGAATATCGATAGAGTCCCTTCAGTGGGCCGATCTCGATATGGCTGAACCAGTTCAGAGGTCACGATGGCCATAACACGAGTTTGACCGAGGCACACCTGCGCTTGGCCATCCTCTCTGAGATCACAGCAACAAGTTAAATGTCAAACGGAAAATTCGCTCTTCGCAGAGGTAATTGAGAAAAAAGAAGGTTACGCGCCTCCCAAGATCAATGGTCAGATTCCGATAGTCGAAGGGCTGACGGCCGTCGACCCTCAGCTCTGAAAGCACCCCATTCTCTATGAACTTCCTCTCGATAACGGTCATGCGCACGGTGTTCGCCAGCCTCTGTTCCATGATATTCTCTCGCGTCCCCTACAATCTGCAGCGCAGCACAGAACACCATACAATCGAGAAAATGGGCGACCCCTAAATAGATCATAAGAACGAACACTGCCTGGCCTCATCATCCAAAGCACATCTAGGATGGCGAGAGAGAGAGAAAGTGAAAGAGAATGCAGTGAGCTGAAGCGTGCAGAAGGACCGACCTTTCCTCGTCGCGGAGACTAATGGGATTGTAAGACGAAAACCCTAGTTCTCGATCAACAGCAAACTACTCGCCGCCTCCCGCCCGAGCAGCGGTTCTGCTGACCTCCGTTCTGAAATGCGCAATCTAATGGGATTTCCAGCCTCCCGCCCCTCGGCACCAAAGCGGCGGAGCCGCTGCCCAGACGCCCTCTCCTGCTTCTCCGGCCACGATCATGCTCTCTCATACGGAGTCTTCATATTGGGCTGCCTGGACAGGTCCCGTCATCAGGCCCATTATCAATCAAATTATATTTATATGTATGCTTTAAGATACACCAGCCCATCTAGCCCCATCAATCAAACTTATCGAAAAAATATGGCCCATGATGGCCTTCGAACACTACTATTGGGCTCTTAAGACCCAACTCCATTTTTACCCATTATAGTATATGGTGTCCAGATAGGCCCACTATAGTATAAGCTTATTTTGAAGCAAGTCTAGCCCATTATGCCCATATAATAGTATTGGGCTATTAAGCCCCACTCCATTTATGCCCACTATTGTGTAGCTTGTCCTCATGGGCCCATTATATATGGGCTTACTCTGACAGCTTTAGCTCCGGCCCGAACGTGACTAGGCCGTCGAACCGGTGGGGAAAACGTATGTATGTATATCTGACGTTTAAAAGGTTATTTTATAATTTAGGTTATTTTCTAGGGACTAACTATGATCGCTCATCTCGTCGTCTCCATGCCTTCTTGGGTGGAGGGGAGAGGCGCCTCTCATGGGTCCTCAAGAGGCGGATTGGCGAGGGTCTCGGTTTCCGACATCCCGGGGTTTCCACAGGAGACGACGTGCTCTGTGGAATCCTAATGCCTTCTCCGGGTAATCCTCTTCTCACTCAAGCTTCCGTCCCATTCTCAATGGAAGGATCTCTGGGCTCCACATGGTATCCGGAAGCATCGTTTCTTCGTTTGGGCCTGTTTTCTTCGGTCCTATTACTCTCTGTTTCACTGTTGTTTCGTTTCTGATCTCCATTGCTCGTACTGTAGTTTCTTGTTGTCTGTTAGGACCCTTCGCTAGTTCGAATTCCTTCATGACTTCTTTTCCGAATGATTCATATAATTTTATTCTATGGCTTCAGATTTTTCCCGCGCAAAAGTTGCCCTAATTGGGATTTTCAGCTTACTAGAAACAAGCCGCGAAGCATAGTCTTGGAAAATATTCATGAAAAATGGTTTTAATCGAATTAAATTATTGAAGAGTATTCTGAAAAGATCATCCTTACATTTCTCTGTCAACGAAATTTCTTTCCTGCTTGGGGGAACTGAACAAGGGGCATAAGTACTAAGTAGTCAGCCTTCCCATGATCAGCTCCTAAAAGATTTTTCAAGCTGTTACTATTCTTTTCAGAGAGGACTCCAGCTCTTCGCTAATTAAAACAACAAAAAAACCCTTGATCAGACTCAACAAAAAGCCCTAGTTTGAGAAAAGATGCTAAATCTGTGTGTTCGGACGAGAGACAGTCTCCAAATCAGTTGAACAATACTCAAGAGCTAACCTTAATGGGAAACTATCTATTTTTTAAACTAGACAATTCGGTGTATCTCGGAGATCGGGATTGAGAAAATGAGTGCCCAGAGCATGTACGATTGTCGTGTCTCTTGTTCTCTATCGTCTTCTACACCATTCGTCTGGGCTCTGTCAAAAATAGATCAAAGGTGAAAAGGTAGAGCAGCTTTTAATGAATCCTTTATAGGGTTTAATCACAATGGATGGGTCTGTTGAATTTTCTATGGCGACCCTGAGAACCTCACTTAAATAATTGACATTAAAATTATTTTTTTTTGTCTCAGTTGAACCAATTCACCTCCTTCTAAAAAATTATTTGTCCATCTAAAGAGTTCCATCTGCTTGAACCCGAGATAAAGCTACCCTCAGTCTTAAAGAAGAATCAGTGATTCATTCTTCGCTATTATTGAGCGAATTCTTCCAATATTCGTCATCTCTTCACTAAAACCTAAGCTGAGCTATTTCAGCATGTATGTACCCACGAACAGGAGAGGGAAAGGAGGCGAGAGATCATCGTTTCCATGGTCCATCCCCCCCTCTTTCTTCGAATTCAGTTCCTCTCTCTGACCCTTTGTTACAATAGTTCTGTTTTGCATCTTATTTCCTAATCCGTGATGAATTTCTCCCTCCTTGTTTCGGATATTCCTGAATTTCTTATTTTTTTGTTTCATCTTCTTTTTTTTCACATTTCTGTAGGTTTAAAAGGTTTAGCGATGCTGGGAAGAATGCCTCTCTCACCCTTGTCGACGGCAGAATCTGTAATATGCCGGCCATATTACACCGTAAGGCTCTCTTCTTCTGACATTTACTTATTGTGTCACAGATGCTCACTCTATTTTTGGAAAGTGGGTAGCTCATTCTCTTCGATTTTTCTTTGGTGGAATCTGCTCTCTGACCTTCGTGAAGGCTAGAAGTCGCCCAGATGACCCATTTGGTAGCTATAGTTTGCTTAATTGATAAAAGAATATTAATGGAAAGCACAAGGAGGCACAGGATAGTGATCTGATCAATTTATGAGTAATATCAATGGGAAGACAATGGATCCGAGGAGGCACACGATTATGTTTTGATTAATTTATAAAGAATATGAACGAATTCTGATTTCATTAATGGCCCAGCAGCCTCTAGAACCCACCCACCTTCATACCCAAGAACTCTCCAAAAATCCTTGCATTTATAGTTATTGATTTGGAATGCTCGATGCATATTTCGTGAAATATTTTAGCAACATCATTGAAGTAAATTTATTAATTTATTAGTCGGAAAATATTAATCAACAGTCATACAGATATTCACAGATGTGATGAACTAGACGGATTACTGCATCGTTCTACTCACTGTATATTTCTACCTCTCAGCTGAATACTCCTAACTCATTGCCAAATCTGGCAACGAGTAGACGACCCCATGCACGCGGAGAGTGCAGCGTCTTTGGGAGGGAGGTGACCGCAAGTGGAAAGTGGCGGCTACACTCGGCCGACAAAACCCTATCCGCCGCTGTCCTCGAGGACGGGGAGAAGACCAAGGCATGGGAGGAGTGCAGGCGGCTGGTCTCCTCCTTTGATTTCACCGTGGAGGAAGCTGACGCTATGCTGGGGAAGGCCTTCGGGTGGGTCCACTCTCCTTACTGGGGAGAAGAGAGAGAAAGACAGGTCCCCAGCCACGAAGCCGTCGGTGAGACGTTGACCTACCTCAGAGATCTGGGCCTCTCCGACGACGACCTCCGCAAGTTGCTGAAGAAGTTTCCCGAGGTTCTGGGGTGCGGCCTGGATGAGGAGGTGAAAGTCAACGTCGGCCTGCTGAAGAGCAGCTGGGGGATCAAAGGGAAGGCTCTGACGAAGCTGCTCGTGAGGAACCCTAAGGTCCTGGGTTACAACGTGGACTGCAAAGGGGACTGCATCGCCCAGTGCACCCGCTGCTGGGCCCGGTTCTAGCCCACTGCCTTTTGACCCCCGAGTCAACAAGTCAACATTTTGACCTGACGGGGGTCAACTCACACAGATTCGGACTTGTATTTGATAGATTTTTTATTTTATTTTATGTTCCTTATATGCCTGTAAGATGAATTAACTGTACATGAACTCCTATGTTTCTGTTCTAAAATGGGAAAAAAAAATGATGCCTTTTATAGCTCTCTGTCTTAAAAATGCGGGCCCCCAGCTGGGTCCCTTCTTTCCTGCGCTTGTGAGGGCTATAAATGGGCCATGATAGTGAGGCCCAGGCCCATTTAAGCATCGGGTTTGATCAGGCCTGGAAAATTCCCTTCTGTATTTTTTTTGCGAAAAATCGGGAAAAAATGGCCATCTTGCCCAATGGAAAGCCATTTGTTGAATTTTATGTAAAAATAGAATAATATATTAAAAATGGCTTAAAACGGAGGAAAATCCAGTTCTGTTTAGAGATAACCGCATGCCCCATGGTATTTTGCTATCGTTAGTGGGCCCGATTTGAATGATGACCTAAACGCATATAGGCCCATTTGGGCCCAATACGTGGACGTCGGATCGGCCGTACTCCTTGGCACGCACTTTGAGAAAGCATTTTTACCGATATGGGAGAGAGAGAAGATAGAGGGAGGGAGCTGTTGGAAGCCACTCAACACAAAACACAGTTCAGGGCACCAACAGAGCGACCTCAGCGAGGAAGAGAGAGTGGGTAGAGAGAGAGAGAGATCTATTGGAAGCAGCTGTTATGGCGAACGCTCTTGAGAACACAAAGAGAGCAGGCTCAGCGAGAGGACATAGGGAGTGGTGGAAACAGCAACAACAGCGGTAACTCGAGATGCAGCCGATGAGAGAGAGAGATATATATCATGGGCACTTGGGCCTGAGACCGTCCCGGGTGCGGATGCTGGCATAGCAGGGGCAAAACTCCTTGTTGCCGGCGGTCCCCGGCGGTACGCACTGGCACTTGCGGCAGCATCCCCCGCACGACCGCAAGCACATGTTCCTCCTCGATGTCTTCGAGCACCGCCGCGCACACGCGAACCCGCAGTCTGCGCCCCCCCCCCCACACACACACAATCAGAAATCCACTCCATCCCTCCATCCCTTCTTCATCCAATATACTTCCCCACTCGCTAAGAAGAAAAACAGAAACATGGAGATTCTGTGTTCAATTGACGTACCTATCTTCTGCCGGGGGAACCGATTTGCACCGCCGGGGACCTGCAACAAAGAAGAAACACTCAGTCTCATCGCCTCTCCGGCAATCTTCTCCGGCGACGGCAAGCAGTAGAGAGATAGGAACTAACGCCTCCAGCGACGGTGCTGGACTCCTCTGCGAGCACCGTCAGGGAGAGGAGGAGGAAGACGACGAGGACGCAGAAGAGCTTCCGCACGGCTGCCATCCCTGCAAGAGAAACCAGCGAATGGCAGACACGGAGAGAGAAAGGCGGGTCTCCCTCCTCATTTTATAGGGCGGCCGGGTGCTCCCCATTCACCGTTCTGTAACAGCACGGCCGCCATTAAAGCTGCTCCGAGCTGCAGCGGCATCCCCGCACATTTTGGGCCTTAATGGGCCCACAGTGGGCCATGGTGTTAGCTGTCGGTGGGCTTTTCTGGAGGAAAAATCGATTTATACCGCTGTGAACTCCCGCGAAAGAGTAGGTTCTTGGGCTATTTACACCGGCCCAGAAACGACCTAGGATGCCGGGTGTGTGGGCCCCATATCCACGTGGACCAGTTAATGATCGCCAAATGATGGCCCGACACTTGGCCTCATAGAAGGACCCAGACGTGCATTAATTCCTAATTTATTTGAAAATAAGTGATGAGAACTCGGTACCAGGATCTTTCCAGAACCTCAGATAGACGAGAGACGTGAGCCACCGGAGAGGAAGCTCGAGGCCGAATCCCCCCGTCACGACGATCCAGCAGCCGCCACCGTCAGCCATCGTCGCCACCGCCGTCGCCGCCACCGCCGTCGCCGCCACCGCCGTCGCCGCCACCGCCGTCGCCGCCGGCGCCGGGGCAAACCAGGGAAGCGAGCTCATTCTTGGAGGATCCCATTAGTATCTGGGTCCCCGGAGTCTCCCCACAAAGAAACCCTCCGGTAGCGACAAAGAGGCGGCAGAGGTTTACAGTCACGGCATGTGCAGCTGACAGCTTGGTCAATAAGGAAATTTATTTACGGTAAAAAGGTTTAAATGCTTATAGAGCGGGGTGACCTCCAGCTGTCCAGCAGTCTGCAGAAGCCCATTAAAAAAATTCTACTCTAGATAGAGCATGTAATGCCCGCTGAGATGGGTTTCAGTAGCATACGAGTTCTGACCGTCTGGCCAGATATTTCCGGGTGCGCCTTCTGAGGCCTCCAAGCGCCTGGGGGTTTTAGCCTTGATTCCTCCTGTTGATTATTTCTGGATATGTACTCCGATTCATCCCCTTGCAGATTGTGAAGGACCCAGATGCCCTCCTAGCTGATTGTTTCCGGATTTGTTGCTCATTTATATCCACCTACTGTGTGCCCCATTAAGGGGTATTATTTTTCACGAGAAAATAATGTAATTTCTCCGAGTTGACCATTCAGAAGATCTAGAAGAACCCACAATTTACCCACCAAGGGTCAATCTTTCACCCGAGAAAAAAAATATAATTTCTCAGAGTTTATGCATTTTTTGATCCAATCTGTAGGTTTAGAAGAGCCCTCATGAATAACCTGCCTGTTGAGTATTTCCAGATTTGATCATTTATTTTTTCATAGAATTTACCCCAGCAAGGGCAATTTTTTGCATGAAAAATATAATTCCTCAGAGTTTAACCTTCATACATTATCGGGAAAATTTAGAAAAACCCACTTGACTTCCTGTTGATCATTTATGGGTAATTTTCCACCCAAGAAAAACTGTAATTTCTCCCTGTTCGGGCTCCACTGATCTTCCGGCTGATTATTTCCGGATTTGTCCATTTATATGATCCTCTAGTCTGACTCCATCGAGGGCAAATTTTCACTCAATAAAAAAAATAGAATTCTCAAGGTTTAGATATCATTATCATCTAGCGCATCTAGAACAGCCCACATGACTTACTGTTGATTATTCTCGGATTAGATCATCTGTTTGCTCCTCCAGTTATGCCCACATAGTCTGCCAGAGAGATATGATCTCTCAGAGGCTGATTATCTTCATCCCCATCCTCTTGAAGGTTTAGAAGAACCCACATGCTCTCCTGTTCATGTCTGTGCCCTTCTAGGATTCTCCTATGGTTACTTGCTTCCTGATATGAACTTCATGCGATCTCATTCTAGAGATCATTAGGTGAGTAAAGTATTGAATCAAATTGCCCATTCAGAAGAGTAAGAGATTAATTAATTTAAAAAATGCCAAGAAAAATTGTGCAGGGTAAATTCTAAGAAAAAATTCTCACCCACGAAGAATTTCCTCCTCAACTGAATTTTTTCTTTTCTTTTAAAAAAATGAAGATATGAGACTGCCAAGAGAAGAAACAGAGTGTTCTTGTGAGAGGACTCCATCTGCGCTACCAGCCAATCTCTGTCATGTCGCGCGTCAGACTGTTTCGTTCTCGTCGGCATTCCAGTGAACAAGTTGTGTTCATGGCGAGGCAGCGGATGATTACCAGTCGAGATCGCTCACCTCATCGATGGAGCATCTTCCGTGGAGCCTTGCATCTTGCTGAGTCATCCGGATCCGTTAAAGCCCGAAGAAATCAGTCTCCGGGAGATCCCTCTCACGGGTTCCGGCGTGCGTTCTGGTTGACAATTCCCGTCGCATCGCCAAAAGGAGGAGAAACGAACAAGAAGACATACAGTAAGATGCACTATACGACGACAGATGGTTTGTACGTATCGATATGTATTAAGTACATACATTGACGGGAAGACGAACATGGACCGTCTGTTTCGTGGGCCCACCACCTGGCTTTTTCTCATTGCTTCTGTTCCTCGATACATGAATGAAGCTGCTCGACGTTGCCACCTGTACCCGTTACCATCCCAAGCCCCTTCCCTGCCCATCGCTCCGCGCCATCTCCCTCCTACCTCATCTCCTCCTCGCCATCACCAACGCAGGGAGTTCCCTACAGAAGAACAGCGCGAGGGAGCTCAACCGTGCCAACTTTGTTCGTTCTCTTGTCTCTCTCTGCGTTCCGATGGATTTCCCTTGATCTCGTCTTTCCCAGTTTGTTTATGTTATGTTTTGATCCTGTTTTTGCATCTTGGATGCATGCCACCTTGCTCTCCTCCTGGTTTGTTCGAGACCAATTTACGTCAATTCGCGATGACTCTGGACATAATATGTTGGTTGTCTCTCATCTCTCCGTTCGGTCGGAACCGTGGAGGAACTCACTGATTTTCCGAGCGTCTCGGATCGTTGTTCTGCAGTAGATCTCTTCGTCGCGACAGTCTATGCTATTTGAAGCATTTGTATTCGAAATGTGGTCTGCGTTTTTCGGAGAATCCTCATGCAAGTTGTCTGCAATTCCTTATTTTCTTTTTTCTTTTTTAAGCTGCACATTCGTGCGTTTCAATCGGATCATTCTGTGCAGGCCCGTAGTCGATAGCCGATCAGTGTTGTCTCTTTTCTGTGCTGTTGAGGAAGGAAAATGGATGGGATGAGGGAGCCGGGGTTCCGGCTGGCGGACTCGCGTAGCTCCGTTGCGGAAGCGGATGATTTTGATTTGACGAGGCTTCTCGATAAGCCGAGGTTGAACATCGAGCGGCAGAGATCGTTTGATGAAAGGTCATTAAGCGAACTGTCAATCTCCAACATCAGAGGCCTGGATGCCCTGGATAGTGTCTACTCTCCGAGAACGGCAATGCGGTCGGGGTTTGACACCCCGGCTTCTTCCGCCCGGTGCTCCTTTGAGCCCCATCCCATGGTGGCTGATGCTTGGGAAGCCCTCACAAGGTCCGTCGTGCACTTCCGGGGACAGCCAGTGGGAACCATTGCTGCTTATGATCATGCATCAGAGGAGGTCTTGAATTACGATCAGGTACCCCACTACTCTTTCGTCGTATAAAACCTCTGTAGAAACTATTTTCAACCTCTTGCCATCACTGATGGCGATTATATATGAGGCAGGTCTTCGTCCGAGATTTCGTACCAAGTGCACTCGCTTTTCTAATGAATGGTGAGCCTGACATAGTTAAAAATTTCCTACTCAAAACTCTTCACCTTCAAGGGTGGGAGAAGAAAGTTGATCGTTTCAAGCTTGGGGAAGGAGTCATGCCTGCCAGTTTCAAGGTTTTGCATGATCCAGTCAGAAAAACCGACACACTAATTGCGGATTTTGGAGAAAGCGCAATTGGAAGAGTAGCTCCTGTGGACTCTGGGTTTTGGTGGATCATCCTTCTTCGTGCATATACAAAATCGACGGGTGATATGTCGTTGGCGGATACGCCTGACTGTCAAAAGGGAATCAGGCTCATACTATCTCTGTGCTTGTCAGAGGGTTTTGACACATTTCCTACCTTACTCTGTGCTGATGGTTGCTGTATGATTGATCGAAGAATGGTATGTTTCCCATGATATCTAATCCAATCTACTACTTTACGGTTTTTTTAATGTTCTTATCTATGTTCAACGGTACACATTCAAAAAATTGTCTTGGCCAGGACTCCACAACCTTATACATATGCTGTTGACTTCCATGTTGTTTTCTGGTTTATATCTGTGTTGAGCACGCCATGAGCATTCATTATGCTTTTCAACCGACGATAAGGTGTGAAGTCCTGAAATCGTGAATTTCTTGACCTTTGCCGTATCTTTTTGATCAGTTGTAACTGTTAACTTGTCTCCGTCCTGTATCCCAATGTTATCACTCTTTATCCAGATATTTTATTAAAGGTTAATTTTCACTTAATATAGACGACTTCACTAAAATATATCCTCTCGGAAGAGTGCATAACATCATCACGGTCACTTAATTTAGACAATTGTTTACTCTTTCTGGTGAGTTTCAATTCTCTTTTATAACAGGGACAGCCGAGAATAAGTGACGGGTGACGTGTTTTCATTATTGGTGAACGATATACCTCTTCGAAACAATCTTGTCTTACTCATGAATAAATTGAAGTTATTAGAAGTAAAGGTCGAAATCGACGACCATGACAGACATACCTTGTCTTTTGTTGAGGTGTACCACTTGTTTCTGTTGAGGTTCAGTTTTATTCAATCCATTACTGAGAAAAAAAATTCTCGTTTTAGAGCATAATGAAAACTTGTGGTTTTGTTTGTCAATCTGTCGTCATTGTTTGCCTTATGTATATTTGGTTGTTTGTGATTGTTTGAAGCATCTGAAAATTATAATCGAACCTTTTGTCCCTACTTTCGTGGAAGATCAGAATAATGTAAGGAAAAGAAACTTTCGTGTAGATCAAACAATGATGTCCGGTGGATTTGTACATATCGCTTAGTTTCCTATCTTATAAATTGAAAAGGTTCTCTATAAACCTTCTTTCCATAAGAGTCCATCATTATAACTGTCACCTAGAGTTCCTATTATTCAATGCCTTTGTGTATTTGACGGTCCTGTCAACATATATTTCCATCTCATATCTTCATCATTCACGAGCTAAGCTGGCCAGGTTGCAGAGCGTTATGAGAGTTTCTTGTGTGTGTTTGTGATTATGATGTTGGATTGTAAATATGTCCTCACGCAACTCTTTGTGATTTATTATTATCTTATGCAACGGTAGTTAAATTTACCACATCAGGAAAAAGCGGCAGAATTAAATTTTCATGTTTATGAAAGCTTCTTCTTCATAGAAAGTAAAAGTTCATCTTCCCCGGAGTTTTAAACCTGTGCAGGGTGTTTCCGTATTTTGATTTATTCTTATCCGAAGGATGTTTTAATTCTCCCCACATTTCGAGGATATCCACCTTTGGAGGATTATTTTTGCAAGCATTTCACACGATTTACAAGACAGGGATCCATTAACGCAAACCAATTCACTGCTGCAAAATTTTAATTGTCAGATATTACAATGTTTAGGCAGTTTCAGATTTTTCGACTTCATGAAAGTATTATGTTTTGTCAAAATTGGAGTAATGTGAATCGAGGGTTTTATCAAAATTAACATGAATGTTATAATAAATTAGCTTCACCTTTTTTATTTGCATATTGGATTCACAATATGATATGCATGTAATACGAATGCATCTTTGAAGGGTATATATGGTTATCCTATCGAGATCCAAGCCCTCTTCTTCATGGCCCTAAGATCTGCTCTAGCATTGCTGAAACACGATGCAGAAGGTAAGGAATTCATCGAGCGAATTGTGAAACGCCTACATGCCTTGAGCTATCACATGCGAAGTTACTTCTGGATCGACTTCCAGCAGCTGAACGACATCTATCGTTATAAGACTGAGGAGTACTCCCACACAGCAGTTAACAAATTCAATGTGATTCCTGATTCGATCCCCGACTGGGTATTTGACTTTATGCCGACACGTGGCGGCTACTTCCTGGGAAATGTGGGCCCGGCCATGATGGACTTCCGATGGTTTGCACTAGGCAACTGCATGGCGATCTTATCATCTCTTGCCACTCCAGAGCAATCTATGGCGATAATGGATCTCATTGAATCCCGGTGGGAGGAGCTCGTTGGAGAAATGCCTTTGAAAGTATGCTATCCTGCTATTGAGGGCCATGAGTGGCGAATAGTGACCGGTTGTGATCCCAAGAACACCAGATGGAGCTACCATAACGGAGGATCCTGGCCAGGTTTGTTCATCCGGATCTTGATTTCTCCTTTTTTAGGGCAATTCCTTTTATAGTGAAATTCACAGATTTCTAGTCTTATATTCTCAGAATTCGCAGATTCCTTTTATTGTTCACTCTTATTTCTTCATCCAGATATTAATGGTGCCTTCTGTTGACCTCCTTTCATGCTAAATCTCTCTCTCTCTCTCTCTCTCTCTCTCTCCATTGTAAGTATCCAAATAAGAACTATATGTATACATGTATGTATCTTTATGTAAATGGGTGCGGATGAAGAGTGACGCATATGCATACGTATGCTTCCAATGCATATGCATATTTATATCGATGTAGAGGCATATTTATACATGTGTATGATATCTACATACTTATGTGTATGCACATTTTTATCTATGTATATGCGCATTTGTTAATATATGTATATATGTGTGTATGTATTTATGGCTGATCGGCCATGTGCTGAGCTGGCCAACTGTAATGCTAGATTTTATTCAGATAGAATTTGTTGGGCCGATCAAACAGCATCTTCAAATATTCAAAAAATATATTTTATTTTATTTTCTTCTGATATCCGCCGCAGTGCTCCTGTGGATGTTGACCGCGGCCTGCATCAAGACGGGGAGGCCGCAGATCGCCCGGAGAGCCATCGAGCTGATGGAGAGCCGCCTCCAGAAGGACGGCTGGCCGGAGTACTACGACGGCAAGCTCGGACGGTACGTCGGCAAGCAGGCCAGGAAGTTCCAGACGTGGTCCATTGGCGGGTATCTGGTGGCCAAGATGATGCTCGAAGACCCATCCCATTTGGGAATGATCTCCTTGGAGGAGGACAAGGCGATGAAGCCCCTGATCAAGAGATCCTCTTCCTGGAATTGCTAGAGGAAGCATCCTGATTCTCTGCAGGTTCCAACCCCCCACCCCCCCACACCTCTCCGGTCCTCCCCTCCTCCTCCTCCTCCTCCGTCGTTAATTTTCCTCCTATATTTGGCGTTATGAGATTTATTTTCCATGGTTTGGTCAGCTCACCATATAAAAATGTACAGGTTGGCTGGTAATCATTGGCTATGTATCATCAGCTTCCACCAACCAGATCAAGTCGCCTCGATCACCCGCTGTATTTGTTTCATAAATTTTCCATTTCATGATTCGTCTGTTGAACCCAATAATATCAGCCTCGAGCCGGTTCTTGGGAATTTTTTAGAGGGTTGACTTCCCACCTCTCGGGGGACCTTCTCCCGGTCTAGAATGAGGCATGGTTGTCTGAATAATTGCCTTATTTGGTTAATTTATTCATTGCTGTTGTATGTAGCGGTTGAGTGAACCTTGAAGAATCTTCGCATTTAAAGGTACTATTCAACACGTGGGCCTATTTAATTGTCAGTCATTCCATTATTATTTCGTTGACGATTTTCTTTGGCATGCTTTTACTCTGACATGAGGCCTGTCTGTTGACCAGGCTCTCTAGGAATTACCTTATACATTAATTTTATACTCAAATTGATGCATCTATTTTATTCATTTTAAATCATTTTAAATTAATCGATCAGATTATCTCTACTGTCAACTTATACATTAATTTTATAATTTCTGAACCGACTTTTTTTACTATGCGACTAATCTCATATTTTTGGCAATTTTTATAAATGAAATTGATGTATCAAAGTCTTTAGTATACTATTCAGAATATCTTTTTGGATGGATATTCCTTGAATAAATATTTTTTCGAAGTTATTTTTATTACATTCATTATATAGAGGCCCTTTTATATGGCAAAAGTGTTTTGGAGTACATTATTTTTTAATTTACACAAAATATTTCTTATTCATGTATTTTTTTTTAAAAAAGAATGTTTTTCATGTATTTATGAACTAATTGACATGAAAAAGTTATCGATATTATCACAATTAATGGGCATAATGTCCTCTAAACGTATTGGTTAATTGACTGGTTTCTTTTAATTAATGAGGAATTATTACTACATTTTAAAAATTCCCTCTAAATAGGAACAGAATATCAGGAGAATATATCTGGTGACGATGGGACGGGCACCAATGAACTGAATCCTAAAAGTCAAACAATTGACTCGGACAAGTGAAGAGTGAGGGAGGTCTCATTCGCAATTTAAGGAGGTACACTAGAAATAGTATTTTAGGGGTATTCTCTATTATTTTTTTCATGAGAACGAGGAGCAAGTGGAGAGTCTCTCTCTAGAGCTAGAGAGAGAGAGAGAGAGAGCATACACCGCAATCACTTAAATGAAGTATTAATGGGCCTAACGGGACCGCACAGAAGCCCGCTACGTCCCCCCGTTACTTTCTCTCCGGTCAGTATATCGTGGTCAAGAGGAGAGTTGGAGCTGCCCAAAGTCAATCGGTGGTCCCCGCGACCTCCCTGTCTTCAGGGGGGAGGCCATGCACGTATCTGCCAAGAAATACCACATTTTTGAAGCATCCGAAGGGAATTCCAGGATCAAAACCGGAGACCCAACTGATATCTATACCGTTAGATTGAGAGCAACAAGAACAGTTCACAGAGGAGGGGGAAGGCCGAGGCAAGTCAACGGTTTCCGGCCAGCTTGCCACCCTTGCTGCTGATGGCCTCGCAGAGCCGGCAAGGGAGGGTGTCGAGGCTGGCGGCGCGGACTCTGCCGTAGTTTCCCAGGACTCCGCAGCGCCGCCAAGCGTGGTACTCGGCGTAGGCGACGGGGTCAACGGCCAGGGACTTCACATGAGCAGCCAGCTCCTTCATGGAGGAAAACTTGGAGCCGTCAACGATGGAGTTGGGGGGGACGAAGTCCGCCACGTTGGGGGCGCCAAAGTAGATGGGCACAGAACCGGCGTCGAGGGCGTAGAAGAGCTTCTCCGTCACGTAGCTGTCGACGGCGGTGTTCTCGATGGCGAGGACGAACTTGTAGTGGGACATGGCGCAGTGGAGGTGGTCGTACCAGTGAGGGTCTTCGGCGGCGCCGCCGGTGGCGGAGCACTCCGGGTAGAAGGTCAGCGCCATGTTGAGGCCGCCCACGTTGTTCAGGCACTTGCCGAAGGAGTGGTGAGGGACAAGGGAGAGGAAGCTCTTCGCGAGCTGGTCCCGGCGGGGGAGGCACCGGGAAGAGGACCAGTAGATCAGAGCATCCTGAGGGAAAACAAGCCCCGAGAGGGTGAGAACTGATGGGAAATGAAGACGAGCCACCCATTTACTCTGCAACTTCCATAACCCTTGTTTTAGAAAAAACTGTTCTACACCAAAAAAAAAAAAAAAAACCCTAAAAAATTGGATTGACAAGATTTGAAAACCCTGTTCTTTCCATATCGTACAACTCCTTCTTGCTTGCATGTGAGCCATATTTTGCAGGAATAGATGTTCATCCGTCACTCATATGTGAAAAACTAATAAACCCAGATTTGATGTAGAATGAAAGATTGACCAACCAATTTTTTAGTTTTTTTATTTTTTTTGGTGTAGAACATGAAGAGCGAGAACTATGAAGAAGGAAGCACTGGAATCATGGATTTTTGCAAGGAAAGAGGGAGGAATACCCACATTTTTCTTGGAGGGCGACACATGGTAGTTCCTGTTGTTGTGGAACAGCGCCCCGGCGTAAGTTGTCTGAACGTCATCCTTGGCATGGTAGCCGATGAAGATATCTTCGAACCCTGAATGCTTCCGACTGGCCTCGAGATCCATGTAAACACGAAGCGGGTCGCCCTTCTTCCTCTGAAGATCAAGAAAGATCAGAGGAATCAGATGATACCAGATGAAGATGTAGCGACTTGCATCTCGAATAGAACACAAAGTTTTCCAGATATTCACCATCTTATGAGCCTTAAAAGAAGAAAAAAAATATTTCCATTACTATAAACGAAGAAGATGGAGTTGAGAAAGACCATGTTTTTTTTTTCTTTCTTTTCTTTTCTTATCATGCCTTTTCTTGGGGCCCATCTGGCCTCCCTCAGAGGTGCCCAACTTACTGGACAGATCAGATGCAATGAGAAAAATCATCCAGGAGTAGCGTGAAGTGAGCACAAGCCCCGGATATTCCTTCTTTCATTTGCACAGGAATGGAAGCCATTCACATCCGGCATAGAAGATATAATTTTCAGAGAACATTGATACGCAGGATGATTCCATAAGCTCACAACCAAGGAAAATCGCAGATCTGACCTCTACTCCCTCAGTGATCAAGCATTTGTGGTCCTTAGAGTGATAACAGATCATACAACTTTGGGTGGAGGATCCTGTTTGGACTGTGATCATGCTGCAAAAATGGTCTCCGCTGAGATACAACTGGGTCTCAGCTATAACGGAAATCCCTCAAGTGCCCAACCAGTTTGATGATATAAAATCAGAAGAAGAAGAAAAAAAAAACATTTAACTTTTCACATAGATGTTCTTCAGCCGGCAGATGGTGTTCTGATAGATAATTCTTCCTTGAATTGGTTCATCAATTATTATTGATAAAGATCTTCTATCCAATAGAGACAGCATGAATACATAGAAATTCTTGTATAGATTCACACCTCGGGCACTTCAGTTTGACAAGATATTGAGAAGATATTTAACCTCAATCATTCATCGGAAGAGTTACGAACTATGTAAAATAAAACGGACTGAAGCGCCCATCTCAACTTCTAGAGAGTGGAAAGAGATTTTTCTGTCCCCGAGGAAGCATGCTTTGCAGACAGAGTGGTCTTGGTGTTTACCTTGGAAGGAGGCGTGGCGTTCTCAAACAGGAGAGCGTCGGGCTTATCAGCCAGAACCGCGGACTTGGTCCAGAGGCAACTCAGCCCGCATCGACAGGAGTAAAGCCGATCCAAGTTATCGGGAATCCAGGTCCACCCTTTGATCAGCACACTGACGTGTGACAGCTCCATCCCCCGACAACCGCTGCCTTCCGCTTCCTGCAGCACGGAAGCGTTGGGCGTCCACCTCCGGTACTTTTCCCTGAACCGCTCGCATCCCACCTTCTTATCCCACTTTCTGAACGCCGCCACGACATCCGTGAAGGCCTCCTCGCGGCCGGAGGTGGCAGAGGCGATGCCATTGGCCCCGGGCTCAGGGATGCCGGCGGTGGTGAGGAGAGGGAACTCGAGGAAGTGGGTGAGGAGGAGGAGGGCAAATAGAGAGAATCCGAGCATCGCCACCAGGTAGTTTCGGGTTTTCGACCTAATCATAAGGCACGGACCCTCCGAAGCTCGGAGAGAGAGAGAGAGAGAGTAGAAATTAGAGGACAACCTGACGGTCCCCAGAAATAATAGGATAGAAATCTAGGGATCGCATGATTTGCCGAGGTGATCTCGGCGATGGCGGGGATCTGAAGATTGCGGGGAGCACGCCGCCGGAATCCCCGCCGGTGCTAGCAGAGGAAGAAGCTTCCCACGCCCGCAGAGGGGACGAGACGGCGGAGTCCTCCCGCAGAGTTCTACCCGGCCAGCCACAGCGGTATGACTTGAAAAGACGACGAGGGAGTCACATTTAAGACCGAGTCGTAAATAAGAAAATATATGTAACCGATAATTAATGGCGTTAATGGGCAGGAGCTCCTTCTATCTTGGGCCGACGTCATGCAATAATAGGCGGCGTACCTGTACCGTACGTGTCGAAGAGCAGGGGGCCCTTTGGCTGGCTGAATATCTTAGGGGTGCCGCACCTTGTATGCCGTTGACCCTTGTCCGGGCGACGTTTCAAGATTCGACGATCCCATGGTTAGCGATGTGGACCGTTCGATTCGGATCTCACGTCAGATCAATGTTCCTCCCAGGGAACATTGATCGTGCGGCTGAAGATTGTGATATATATATATATATTTTATTTTTCAGTTGCGGTGAACTAAGAGAGGCGGAGCCGACAGGAAGAGCGGGGGAGAGGGAGGACGGGGAGGACGTGGCAGTTGCAGATCTCGACCATGTAGCCGTCGGGATCGTGGAAGAAGAGCTGGTCAACGGTGACACCGCCATCCTCCACGATGGCGGTGACGTAGTCAACCCCCATGGCCTCGAGATTCCGCACGATCAGCTCCATGTCCGAGGTCTGGAGGGAAATGTGGTTCTCCTTCGGGTTTATCTTCTTCTTCTTCCTCGGCAGCTTCTCTGGTTCAGTGCTCTCCAGGAGATGAATCCCCAGCCCATTGCTGAGCAGCCTGCAGAAGCCCCGCTGCCGTGAGACATCGTTCGTGTAGAGATAGAGAGACAGAGAGAGAGATAGAGAGAGAGAGAGAGAGAGATACCAGGCGCCTTTGAAGAGGAATGAGGAGGGCCTCTTGATGGAGGTGAAGCCGAGGACTCCCTCGTAGAAGCTGACTGAGCGGCTCACGGACTGCACCACGAAGGAGACATGGTTCAGGACCATGGTCGGCATTCTGGCCGGCTCTTCCTCTCTAATTTCCCTACCCATCTTCGTCTCTCTCTCTCTCTCTCTCTCTCTCTCTCTTTCTCCCTTCCTTTCTCTCGCTCTCTCTCTTTCCCTCTTTCTCCCTTCCTCTATCTCTCTCTCTCTCTTTCTCCTCTCCTCTCTCCCTCTCTCTCTCTTTCTACCTCTCTATGGCCCATTTCAGAGCCATGGCGGGTTTATAACGGGGGTGATGGGGGGAGGACGGCGGCCATCAGTTGCCACGTTTAAAATGCTTCCATCGTTCAACATAGAAAAATGACGTCAGCAGCCTCCGACCACCCGCAAGGTGTGGAAGGAGGTCAGGTCGGCGGGAGATCCATGGTCAACGAGCGACTCCGAGTATAGCTGTGCTCTACTGTTGAGTCCGAACTCGGGAGAAACAAGTGAGTAGCGCCCACCGAGTCGGACCGGGTTGGATTAACACGGAAGCCGATTCGAGCCCGTTCCAGCACGTAGGAAACGACATAAAGCCGCCGTCCACTGCGCCACCTCATCCACATGGCCACTGCACAGCGAAAGTCAAGTCCAAGTAGGGGCCCACCTACAGTCATTCACGTGCTGAAACACGTGCTTTTGCCCTCCCCAAGTTCCGGGCGAGGTCAAAGTCAATCAGATTCATACCACTTCATCCGGCCGGCCACAAATATTTAATTTTTTTTACAAAATAACTCGGGAAAAAAAACCACAAGACACAAATATATGCATCCTTCGCTTTCTCTCTCTTCTTCTCTTCTTCTCTAGACGAGGTGGAACTCCCCGCTGGCGTGGACCTGCTTCACCGTCTTATCATACTCATCATCTTCTTCTTCTTCTTCCTCTTCTTCTTTCTTGCCACCGGGTGGTTGTCTCTGCTCGGAAGCCTCCTCGTCGTCCTCGTCGTCCTCGGCGGCGAGGCTGAAGCCCGAGATCGACCTCGCCACAGGGGCCGGCGTCCTGGCCTCTGCAACGATCTTCATGATGTCGTCAACGCTCTGAAGGGAGTAGACGGGGGCGCCGCTGTTGTTCCTCTGGTAGTACAGCGCCTGCGCCGCCTCCGTGAGCTCCCTCGGCAGGTTCTTCAAGAACCAGGGGTGGGTCCTTATCTCTCTGATCGTTATCCTCTGCAACATATTATATATCATTCACAGAAATTATTATCAGGGAAGATGGAGATGATGAGTTGACTTCCCAAAGAGAGTCAACCCCTCAACGTCGCAGGATAGGGGGCGCTCAAATGCTCGATATCGAAAGAGGGAGGGAGTTGCATGGAAATGAATTGAAGCAACGAACCCATGAACATCAAATCTTTCTGGATGGCGGTTTGCATACCTTGGTAGGGTTGGCCACGAAGATCCGCTGCAGCAGATCCCGGCAGTCTTTGGAGATGTGAACATAGTCTGGTATCCGGTACTGGACTGACATGATTCTCTGCAGAATCGAGGAGGTTATTATCATCAGGTGAGATAAGCAGGATATTGCCATTAAAGGAAAGAAGATGAACGAGGATCCCGGGTGCATACGTTGATAGTCTTCCTGAAGTTCTTAGGATCTGCTGGGTCTTCAAAGGGGTAGGCACCGACTAACATGACGTAGAGGGTCACCCCACACGACCACACATCTGCAAGCTGCTCTCTCATGGAGCCATCGCAACAGCCAGCCACCCAGAAAGAAGAAGGGGAAACAAAAGAACAAAGGAGAATTGATTAATGGAAGGAAGATCCAGGGTGAAGTAGCTATCTATCTTCAGTATTTGCCCACATTAGCAAGGGAGGGGGGGCATTCAGATCGTGCGACATAGACCAAAAATTCAACATGTTCTTCATTGATTTCTCTCGAAAATCTGGACTTGATGGATGCAAAAATAAAACAGACTCAAAATCTCTGTCCTTCCTGCTCAACGTTTTTGCCAGATCTTTATCTGGCTTTTTTTATTAGAAAATATCTGCCCAGAAGGATAGAATCTAGGGGGACAGTGGGTGTGCTCCTGGGCTTTGACTAATGTACGGGTCCAAGTCAAAGCCCAATAACGGCTGTGGGCTGGGGAAGGATGAGATAAACTAGCTCGTTAACACCCACCAGACAAACTCGGCTGGTCATATATATATTTTTTTTCCAGGAAGCCAATTCATCCCCAGCTACCCGCTTTAAATCCCCAGATTTCTCTCCAATTCCTGCACTCATCCGCTCAAGCTTATGGCGCCAGCCAGGCTACAGAGAGATAAGATAAGGATAAGGAACCCACCAGTCCAAGATGTAGTTGCCAATTTCCCATTGTGCCAACAAGGTCAACGGGTTATTGAAGGAGAACTCTCTGGAGAATCTGCCGGGCAAAAATTGCAGGAACCCTCCAAAAAGAGTAAAGCTAGTCCCCCTCGTCCCTTCCAGGAGTCGAGATGACCTCTACCACACAAGCCGTGAGAAGACTACCTCGCCTTTAGACCACTGAAAGGGACAACTAGGAGGACGGCATCTGTAGGATGCTGCCGATGCATAAGACTCCACAGAAGGCCGACACCAGGTCACCCCTCACGCTGCCCCAATCCGTCCATCAACTACCACCACCACCACCACCAAGACGTTCCATGGATTCCGAGAAACGATTGCTGTAATGTAAAAGGAAATGCAGATAAGGTAGGGGGAGAATGAAAGGATTACGACCTTCCCATCGTACTCCCGGCGGGAAAGAACCTCCGGCGCGATATAGGCGGGGGTCCCAACTGTCGACTTAGGCCGCGAGTGTAGCAGAGATGACTGTCGATGGCATTAGAGGAGAAGGATGAGCAAAATGGTCGAAGAGAAATGAAGCATATCGTTTACTCCTGGACCTTGGAGTAGCCGAAGTCACAGATCTTGAGGCGGGGAGCCGGGCTTCCATCGAGTAGCGTGTTCTCCAGTTTCAGGTCCCGGTGGCAGATTTGCTGAAAGGGAGGGAAAGACGGAAAAGAGGGTAGAGCATGTAGAAAGAACCGAGGAGAATCGTTCTCTGGTTTCCTTGTCACCTACCAAGTGGTGACAGTAGCTGACTCCGCAGATGAGCTGCTGGAAGAAATATCTTGCCTGGAGATTTCATGAAAACGAAGCATTTACCTTCTGGAATCGGAACCTTAATCCGGGAAAATTGAAGAATTAAAACGAACGGGATAGGGTAGGCACCTCGTCCTCGCTGAAACGCCCCGCAGTGCAGATGCGCTCGAAGAGCTCCCCGCCGGCCGCGTACTCCATCACTATGCCCAAATGTGTGGGGGTAAGGACGACCTGGACGAGAAGCAGGAAGCAGCGACAAAGAGATTATCGCAATTATCGCAATAAGGAGATAATTCCCCAGGTCTCTAGTAACGTCCATACCTCCTTAAACCGGATGATGTTGGGATGCCGCAGAGACCTGTGGTTGATGATTTCCCTAGCCACCTTCTCGTCAATCTGCAGAGGAAGCGTGAAAGAGGTTATGAGTCTGGCGACTCAAATGAGAAACGATTTGGCGAAGTTTTAACGTTCAGTCATATCTATTCGAGGGAAGATCAGGCAAACCTTGTATCCCCTCTCGAGGTATTTCATGGCAACCATCTCCTTGGTTTCCTTGTTCCGCATTAATCTTGCCACTCCAAAATTTCCAGATCCTAGCTCCCTCACCACCTCGTACTTCTCCATCTCCACCAGCAGGATGACTCCTCTCAATCGGTGGATCCAGGAACAAGGGCGAACGATGCACCTTCCCGGAAAATTTCGTCAGAGCCTAGCCGGACACATACGGGATCTCTCAAACCCTAACACGGATCTTCCAGACGAGTACGAAGCCGACGATTCGGACCCCTACGCCCAACCAAGGTTCCCGCCGCTGACTCTCCTCCGTCTCTATCTGCTCTTCCAACTCTTCTTCCCTCCCCCCCTTTCACCCTGCAGCTCTCTGCAACAACTCTATCGAATCCCTGGTCGCATAATCTACCCAAATGTTGCCGACTTGTGCTCCACCAAGCTCGAACTGGTTACAGCTCCTCCGAGGCCGCCACCTGGGGAGGCGGAAGCGCCGCGTTACCTCGCGATGCGGTGGCCCAACGAGGAGACAGAAGAGGAAGAAGACGACGAAGGGGAGAGAGAATTAAGAGGGCTGCGAGATATTCTTTACAGGGAAGGCGGATTGTCTCTCCTCCTATATTGACCAAATAGCTACATTTCCCCAATAAAATCTATAATATTTTATTGACACCCCCTTCTTTTCGAACTGAGGGCAATCCCGGTCTAGATTTTCAATAATAACTCCAAAATCTTTTCTATTTCTTACACATATACCCTTCTTGAGAAGAACGTTCGGGCGGGTAAACGGGCCGGGCCGTTCGAAGACCAGCCGGGACCCGTTTGGGCCCGGACACAGGCCATGGGCTCCGGGCTGGACTCCAAAAACTCCCGGGCCTAAAACTTTTATGGGCTAGGCTTCGAAGCCCAAGCCCAGGAAAATAAATTGGGCTCTGGGCTTAGCCGAACCATCCAGGCGCCTATAATTCGTGCCATTTTGTCCTAATTAAAAATATTATTTTAAATTAATTTCACTTCTTTAACTTAAAATGTTTTTAAGTATAATACTAATAACTAAAACAGAAAAATAGTAATACATAAAATAACGAACAGTAATTTAATATTTAATACGCATTTTAAATTTCTGAAAAAAAATAAAAAGAAAATACATATAAATATGGATCCCGGAATTAATGCTAAATGGGCACCACATTATTCACTACTTTACTCTCTATGTGTGTGTATATATATATGTCAAGAGAGAGGGAGATGTAGAGGGATAAATAAGATGAGACGGGCAGAGTGCTTGAAACCTTTGTCGACAAGTGCCCGAAAATCGACACGTACTCATAGAGATAGAGATAGAGATAGAGATAGATAGAGAGAGAGAGAGAGAGAGAGAGAGAGAGAGAGAGAGAGAGAGAGAGAGAGAGAGAGAGAGAGAGAGAGAGAGAGAGAGAGAGAGAGGGAGAGAAGAACAGAGGGGAGAGTTCTATCGTTTTAAGGTTCAGATGTTTACAAAAAATAAAAATAAAAAATACGTGCTCCTTGTCGTGAGTGTGGACTCCGCATGAGCTCCGCGGCAGCAAATCTCACTCTTCCTCATCGGTGAGGAACTTGCCGGTGCCGGGGTTGAGGGCGGCGACGAAGAAGAAGGCAACGTTCAACAGGACCAGCGGTTCGATGTCGCTGATCGGCACCCCGGTCTCGATGTTCAGCTGCGCCAGAGCTCCCTTTCCGGTGATGATCTCCCCGATGATGGAGAAGGCGATCCCGAGCTGCGCCAGCCTTCCCACGAAGAGCTCATTCGCCTTCGTGAATCCGAACAGAGGGCCTTCGCAGAAGGATTGGATCAATAGCAGAGGATCAGAATCCGGCGCTGAGGAGGAGCACAAGGTAGTCTGAAATGGCGCTTACCTCCTTCTTTAAGACCCAGGGCGGATCTGATGCCCTTGCCGGGGGGGATGACGGCCTTCTCGAGCCCGGTGGGGGGGTCGTCGACGAAGCGCCCTCGGTCTCCCAGAGCTCCGATGGCGCCGAGGAGGGTGAAGAGGATGAAGAAGAGGAGCAGTGGCTCTGCCTCGTAGATGGGGATACCGGTCTCCAGATTCAACTGGGAGAGAATCCCCTTCCCCGTGATTCCTTCCCCGAGAAGGGACGCCTACAACCACGCCGCCTCGTAAAAACCCTAATTCATTGCTATCCTCGAAGGTACATTGACGGAAGAAGAAGAGGTAAGGGACTCACGGCGAAGCCAATCATGGCAACACGACCGACGAAGAGCTCGTTGGCCTTGGTGAAGCCGATGCCGCCCGATGTCCCGAAGATTCCGTCCTCAACCTTCGGCTTTGGGTTGGGCTTCTCCACCTGCAACATTTACAGAGAAGGACCTTGAGAGAGAGGCCCTCACGGAGGATCGCCATTCCAGGGGAATCAAGAAGAGAGACCGACCTTCTTGGGCGCCGCCTTGGTCTTCGGCTTGAAGATGGCGAGCGTCGGAGCGTAGGAAGGGGAAGGGAGGGTCCCGCGCCGGAGCGCCGGCGGGCAGAGCAGGACCAAGGACTCCGACCCCGGCCGCAACCGGCGAATGAGGGACTGAGCCGGCGTCAACGGCTCCCCCAGACGGCGGCCTCCGAGGCTGGACATGAGCATAGACTGCGCCATGGCCTTCTTCCTCTCCTTTTCTCTCTTCTCTTCTTCCTCTTCTTCTCCGGCGAGACGAGCGGACGTGTGGAGCTCGGAGCCTTCATCAGGGTTCTTATCATGGCGGGAATCTGTGGATAGGGCACGGCAGACGCGGTCGGCGGTGAAGAGACCACGTTTCCATGTAAACTTGAGTGGAGACGGTCGCTTCTGCCCGGTTTAGGGCCTCTGCTTGATCGTCTTCTCGCGGCCACACAGTGACGCCGTTCTTACTGCCCCCAGCCCACCAACCAGAAGCAGGACCGCCAGAAATCCTTGCGTTTACATATATACCCCTAATTTAATTAAAATGACAGTTTCTCAGTATACTCTGTAAACATACGAAAGTATGCGAAGATACTTTGATAAATACTCATTAAATATCAGAATAAGGATTAATTTATTATTTCTAATGGAAAATTTATATTTGATATTTTTCTCTGTCAACAAAAAGGTTCGAAATACGTATAATTTCTATATTTAACTCAGAAAGGTATCTGCGTAAATAAGTCCTGTTAAAGAATAAAGTCACCTTCTTAGTCTTCATTCGTTCTCTTGGAGACACATGGTTGAAAGTCCGTACCTGGTGTTCTGGAATCGTCTGAAATTTTTACGAAAGGCCCTCATAAAAGGAAAAAGTATTCAGATTACCGTGGGAGAAACGAATTTAAACTCGATCGCGATAGATCCTCATGTGATGGGGGATGGGTTTAATAACGGAGGACTTGTATATCATTTAATATTTCAATCGGCATAAAAAAATACTTGATAAAGATTGGTGTCGAAGGTAAATTTTGCGTTGCCGAACTAGACACGTGTCAAAAAGATACCAGGCTTCAGATCCGAATCCGATGAGATTCTGAGGATCAGAAATCCCAGCGACCAATCCCAAACCACTCAGAGCTCGTGACCGCCAAGTCAGCCTCACTTTAGCTGGAATCTGCTTGGGGGAGATTTCCATCGAGAATCGAATCCAACGGCTCAGAGCTCAATTGCCTCAGGTGAGGTCGGGTCTACTCAAAATGGGCCGGGCTGGTTCAGAAATCTGGGCCACAGTGGTCTTTATTGGCCTTATTGGGCCCATTTCATTCAGGTCCAGTTCTAGAAAAGGCCACTGCTTCATCAGCAAGTGATGTGACACGTGGCCAGAAAAAGTGATCGGTCTTCGCTTGTCACGTGGGAAAGGACCCAGGGGAATTTGAGTCGGTGCCACGGCAGCGTCACTTCCGATTGCCCACGAATTTTTTTAAATAGACCCTTCGTGCATTTTTATATTATGATTATCCACATAATTTATTCCGGGGATGAACTATTAATTCAGTGAGTGCAGAATGTGGCTCTTTGGCAATCTTTTTCAAGGGATTAGTCGTTAACACTTATTTTATTTGAGGTATAAGATGAAATGATATATCTAATAGGAGCTTTATTGGAAACTAGCTCATATGGTGGCCACATGGGCACGCTCTCTCACGTCGCTGACTCCGGATCTCAGACGGGGGAGGAGCGAGGAGAGAGGAGAGAGAAACACACGCCGACTCTCCCTCTCGCTCTCTCTCTCTCTCTCTCTGTAGGGGGCGGGAATGAGGCGGCTAGGTTTTGAAAAAGAATGGGGGCTACCGCGGACTAAGTATCAGAAAAGCCGAAAAGCCGAAAAGCGTCCCTCCTTGCTCTAGGAGTGGGACGATATTTTCGTCGAGGATGGTCGAATGCGCCAATCTCTGAGGTAGGCGAGAGCGAAGGCTCGTGATATCTGCTAGCACACTCTCTCCTTGTCAGCATCACCGTCATCCTATCTTGCATGTTTCTTCTGACATTCCACCTTGCTTAGATTCAACTCCGATGTCAGGTTTTCGTTTTAGGTTTTTGATTTGTGCGAGAATCCATTGACTTCTTCCTCACTCTTCCGACTGCAAGTGCTCTTCCTGATGAATTCCCTCTGTTGCGTCTGGATTTGATCTTAGGTTCTTGGGGGATTCCATCGAGTGGAGAGTTCGGAGGGGTCATCTTGTTTCTATTTTAGTATTTTTTTATTTTATGCGGCGAGGGCTTCTCCGCCCTATTCCTGCGCTTGCTCAAGAAGGAAAGGGTTTTGAAAAAATGGGTTTATAGGTTGTGAATCAGCTTATCCCCTTCTTCCCCCTCCCTTTGCCCGGTCGGTTGTCCTCGGAAGGGTCTTAAACTCTTTCAAAATGTGCCGATGATTATCTGAGGAAAATGAGGGCGTTGTTCGCGTGAGGATGGAGCGGTGGTTCGTTTGATGGTAGAGATCGAGAAATGGACCGCCGCAGCTGGCTGTGGAGGCGCAAGTCTTCAGAAAAGATTCCCGGCGAGACGGAAAGCTCTGGATCGGCTTCATCCCAGTCCGAGAGGTGCTCGGATGATCAGGTCTGTTCCGCCGCTCTCCTCCAGTAATGTGGCCCGTCGCACAATTTTTTTTTGTTGTTTCCCTAAGTGGAACTCAGTCTTCCAATGCCGGTACGCAGCATCCCTATATTCTATGGAATGATGCTCCGGAAATGCATGTATTTCGTTCAGAGATATATGCTTGTGCAGTAGGACTGATTCTTGGCATATTCTTATTGCGGGGTCAACGGATCTTGGTATCGAAACGATCATTGATATCAAAACATGTGAAATGAACCCAAATATTCCTGCGTGCTGTCTACTTGTCAGAGAACGGAAACAAATTGAAAAAAAAACCCGTCTAATTTAAGTCAGCGGATTTTTTTTTAATATCGTTTTGCACGACTAATGGAGTTTCTCTCTTGACTCGCAGGCTACACGTGCTGCTTGTTTGTGTTTTTAGAATTTTTACCCTGTGGCATTGCGTAATATGTCTTCTGTGCTCCCCCCCCCACATCGTAGTTTGGTTTTGATCTGGTCTTCTGTTAGCGTCTGCTGTATCTGTTTCCTCTGAGGAAAGCATGGGCCATTGCATGGTGGTTGGCTCCTGATGCTTGTGTCTACGTTAATGTATACCCCATTCAAACCATTTTCATTCTTCATGTGAACTATGGGTTTGAAGAGGTTATCAGGAAAAAACCATAGCCGAGAAGCACGCTTCAATTTGATTATATTTAAGAACACTTTCTGATTGTCTTTGTTACAACTAAAACAATACCAAAAGTGAGGAACATCATGGTAAATGGTTGTAGATCAGAAACATTTTTGTGCAAAAAAAATCAGTCTTTCATTAAAGTGGCTTCTTATTTATTTTTTCGTTTCATCGTCTTTGGTTTTCCCAATCTGCTTTTTTTTTTTTTTTTGACTATTGATTGATGGGGCCCACTACGAAGTAAAGTGGATAGAACCAACAGAGGAACTTTTTCGAATTAACTAGGTTGATGCTGGGTGATGTGTTTGATGTTTTTTTCCTCTTGTTCCTCTAGCCTTGTTAATAAGCTTCAGGAAACAGAATTGAACTTTGTCCATGGGTACGTTTATTGTAATCACATGATCACAGAACCTCATATCTCATAGTTTTTCAAATTGTTCTTGTCCGCTTTGTCAATTTTTGTTAGAGATCTAGGACGGTCATAAGCTAGTCGCTGGTACATGAGACATGAAACATAAAACATGTTATATTTAGAGGTACCTTTCAATACTATGGTTCGTGGTAGTAACTTTTAATTGCTTGGCTGCCGATGCAGGAGGTCTCAAAGACTTCTCCTGACGATGCACAATCTCCTGAAGTTTCCTCACATGTTGAAAGTTGTGTGGATGATGACACTGTAAAGATACTGACGGACAAGCTCTCAGCTGCACTCCGGAAAGTCCGTGCAAAAGACGATTTGGTGAAGCAACATGCAAAAGTTGCGGAAGAGGCGATTTCTGGTAATTTGATCGACATCTTTGTGTTTAACTTGTGGCAATGTGCTTCATGGGATGAATGACTGCAAATATCAAGTTTGAATTTCATCACTGAAAGGTTCTGTGTACTTTTTGTTTGACCATATTCGGTAGGAGTTGCTCACGCAATTTCTCAAGGAAAGAAATGATGGGAGATTTATGGTTTTCCATTTTTAGCTCTTCTATTTATGTATCTTTGATCTATTGTCTTATGAGGCAAGAATAGGGTATCCTGGGGGCTTGAGAGTGATGTTCAAAATTGACAATGCTTGAGGTATTCATTTCTTTTCAATCGTTGATTGCTTTCCACCTTGAGAAAATCGGTGGGCGACAATGTAATTAGAGATCCAAACTCTGGGTGACGATCATTGCCCTCTGACTTGCGCTTTTGTCTTCTCTTTAGCTTATGCATGAGTCTCACATTGCATTATGTAAAAGCATTAATGCTTTAAAATTTCCAGAAACCTGAAATGCTTACCATATGGCTTGAACTCACAGCTGCTCTTTTATGTTGCTCTGTATTTCCACTCACAAGTTTCAACTAGGCTGGTCATATTTCATTCATTCCATTCAGGTCTAGCGTCTACTATAGGAAGAGCCAAATGGTAGAAAGGAATAAAAGAAAAGAGACTGTGAATTAATGGGAAGTTAATCTTTATCTTTCTCCAGCCTATTGTCAGATACCATCGACCTACATTTGGCGGAGGGGTTCCTCTTCCCTCCCAACCCAGGTAAGAGGTGAGAGGATCACTGTGGGTGGGGAGAGGGGGGTTGGTGCTATGGATTTTATCCTAGATATGTTTCTTCCTTTGATTTCCGAACTTAATTTTATATGTCTTGTCTCTACAACTGATCTGGGATTCAATCCTGATTCTACGTTTCGTGGTTTCCACTCAAATCATGTTAGAATGCCAGTTCATAATAATTTAAACCATATTTTTGACTAGGTGCCTTGGCATCACCATCAACACATGGTACATACTTATCGTGTTTCTTTGATGTGTCTGAGAAACATTATTGGTGAACCATAGTGGCCATGGTTAGAATATTACACGGAAAATTTAGTACCATCTTGTCTGGTTAGAATTCTCTGTATCTTCTTATCTGGTGCTTCCTTTTCCCTCTTTTTTTTCCCTTCAATTATAATATTCGCAATATGTTATGTGCGCCAGTTTTAAAGGTTCTTTTGATGATAAGTGTGCAGATTTTTTCTTCTTCTTTATTTCATAAAAATTATGGAAGTTGCCATATCTCTTCCATAAATGGTGCATAGTTTCCTGATATTGTCCTTCTGGATGGACGAAATAGGATGGGAGAAGGCTGACAAAGAAGCTGCATCTCTGAAGCAGCAGCTTGAAACTGCACTTCAAAACAACTCTACCCTTGAGGATAAAATTAACCATCTTGATGGAGCGCTCAAGGAATGTGTACGGGAGCTTCGACAATCGAGAGAGGACCAAGAACAGAGACTCCTGGATGCCGTGGTCGAGAAGAGCCATGAATGGGAATCTGAAAAAAATGATCTTAAGAACCGAATCATTGAGCTTGAAGCGCAACTGGAGGCTGCAAAAGAAGTATCTGCCTCATTTAGTCATGACTTTCAGATGAAGCTTGATGCCGTGGAGAAAGAAAATGAATATCTCAGGTCTGAACTTCTTGCTCAATCAGAGGAACTCAACATCCGGACTCTAGAGAGAGAATTGAGCACACAGGCGGCAGAAACAGCTAGCAAACAGCATCTAGAGAGCATAAAGAAGGTGACGAAGCTCGAGTCAGAGTGCCTCAGGCTTCGTGCCATGGCCTGTAAAAAATCATCTAATGATCTCAAGCCAATCATTACCACGGTTAGTGTTGAATCTCTTACTGATAGCCAGTCAGATAATGGGGAACGACTGCTTGGATTGGAAAATGAACCAAGTTGTTCAGACTCATGGGCATCAGCTCTGATCGCTGAGCTTGACCACTTCAAGGCTGCTGGGCGGAACCCTTCAGTGCCATCCCCAGAGATTGACCTCATGGATGACTTTGTTCAGATGGAGAAACTTGCTGCTTTGTCTGAGGCGGCCTGTGATCACCCTTCCACTGAACCCCGAGTTGAAGCTCCCATAGTTGACTGTGTAAGTGACTCATTGAAGGCAGAACTGGAAGCATTGCGTCTAAAGAGTTCTCAGTTTGAAGAGAAGATTCAAACGCTAGAAACTGAGAAAGTAGATGTGGAAATATTATTGTCTGAAACCCAGGACCGTCTCGAGGATGCATGCAAACAGCTCGAAGATGCTGAGGAGAAGCTGGCTGATCTGCAAAAAGAGCTACGGTTGACTAATGATTCTAGACGAGTTGCGGAGACTGCAGTAGATTCAGCGGAAACAGGGAGAAAATTATTGGAAACTCAGCTTGAGACTGCACGGTCTGAAGTGCAGGCTCTACGGGAAAAGATTGAGAGATTAGAGAGGAAGATTGAAGAAGAGAGAGTCTTGTCGGCAGAGTTAGCCTGGAAGTGTCAGAATCTTGAGGATGAGTTGTTTAGAAGGAGTCAAGAAGCTGAACTTCTGAGAGCCACCCTCTTAAATGGAGAGCTGAAGATTAAGCAGGTGAACATATTTGCAAAACTTATTTCTTTCTTTACTGGTTCTGGAGAACACTAATAATTAGGCGCAAAGAACCAAGTGTGTTCCTGCGAGATTCCTTATAATTCTATGAAAAATCTACTCGATGGATCGTCTTGTGCCCCCCTGGACTACACTCCGTCATGTTGTTCTTGGCAAATCATGCTATTTACAGATGCCGTCAACTATGATTCTCACCTCTGTTCAATAGTTTTCTCTCATTGATTTTCTCTAAGCAAATATTTGAGTGGTGTCGTCGATTATGATTCCCGAAATTATCATCAATTTTGATTAGAGTTATTCTGTCAACAGGACAAGGAGCTTGCCGTTGCAGCTGGAAAACTTGCAGAATGTCAGAAGACGATCGCCTCCCTCGGTCAGCAGCTGAGATCACTTGTAAACCTTGAAGACGAGAGCACCGAGCTTAATGGAGGATCCCCAGTTCCTCATTACCCGGGAACCAGCGGTTCGTTTCTGAGTAATTCTCTGGAGAGTGCAAACGGGACCAATCTTCTGAATGGGAGAGAAGAGATTCAGTCTCCTTCATCCTCTTCTTCCTCATCTGTCTCTAAGCAGGGGCAGCATCCACATGGGCACTTGAGCTAGGTGAAGCAGATCTTCATGCTCAATTTGAACCAAAATGGGCACTTGAGCGATGAAAAATGAAATTCAAAGCTGAATCTGAACTGCAAGATGGATATATATGTAGAGAGAGAGAGAGAGAGAGAGAGAGAGAGAGGGGGGGGGGTTAGTGAGAGAGGGAGTGAAGGATTTGTTTTCTTGGGAGATCAAGGTTTGTGTGTGGTTCTTCCATGATCATCATGGCATGTTGGGTTGTTCTACAGTTTTCTTGAAGTGAAAACAGCGGCGATAATATCTTTGGTTACAGCTTGTGGGTTCATTGAAGGTCCTTTTAATGGCGATGCCGTGTAAGTATATCTGGAATGGGTCGGATAGATAGATTCTGTCTCTTTATAACTAGTGTTGGGAAGATAGATCGATCCGCCCAAGAGGATCAAGAATCAGATTGAAGGCTTGGAAATAATCTAATCGATCTATGTTTTACATGAAATCCTGTTCCTAGTGTCGAGAAATTGCTTCTAATTGACCCATAATCAGGTTCAGAGAATCAGATCAGCTATCAACATCTTGATCCTAATACGGAAACAGGTTGCCATCTTGACCCATCTTGAAAACGGATTGATTGAAACGTTGTATGCTCTCTCTCTCTCTCTCTCTCTCTCTCTCAGCTGTGTATGCGTCCACCAGCGAGATCAGAAGAAAGTTCACTCCAAAACCACGACAATATGTCCTGCTTTGACTTTCCACCTGGGCGAATTTTAAACGACCCGAGAGATGCAACAGTCGAAAGAAAAGTCAACCCCGTACACAATGTGCCACTCTCCATGGGACTTGCACCACTCCTCCTTCTGTAAGTATCAATTAGTTCCTGATCTGCGCTTCAATCTTTGTTCTTCAGTTGACTCCTCTCCCGTCTGAAGGCTCTGAAGAGGTCAAGGCCGAGCAATATGTTGAGAACGTTCATCCCGGCCATCCCGAGGAGGGCCAGCGGGAGTTCAATCCCTTTACCGAACTTGGGGGCGTCTCTGATCAGCTTGTAAGTGATGAGAAGGTGGCAGAGGAACCTCGCCGAGAAGAAGGCGACCCAGTTCAGGGCCCATTCGACCCTCACGATCCTGCTGTAGGAATCCCGGACTCCGGACATCCTCCCCACCTTCCTCACGTGGAGAAATATCGAATGAAGCTGCAAAAGGAAGATATATTCATCTCGCATATGGAATGATATTTCTTTTGGACTATATAATTTATTTATTTTTTGACGATACGAATTGGCTCCGCTATTGATTCTGGGCCTGTTAATGATATTCCTACATTAAAGTGGAATAAGTAACTGGAAAATATAGCAATAGAAGAGTTTGAATTCGTTTCATACGAGTGAAAACCCAGCTGGCTAGTAGTCCATTAGTCTATAGATAGATCAACCCAAAATGTGATCAAAGAATAATAGAAGACTGAGAAAGTGTGATGGAATGGTTAGATCCGTAGTGATGTACTAGTCTGCTTCCTTGAAACAGATTCAATGCAACTAGAACAAAATAAAATAAAATTAAAGTAGAACTTAATAACTCCTGCTTGATTATGGCGTAGAGACTTCCTCGCGCTTTTGATTCTCACTAGGCTAACCCTAGTTGATTTCTCATACATCTCTTAACTCACAACAGTGAACCTCTGATTTTCGGTTGACTCCGGGCTGTAAGCATGAGATGCCCGTTTCAGAGATTCATCAACGAGCCCACAGTAAAGTTTCCGGAAAATAAACTATAAATAACATAAAATAGATATAAATGGCATTGGGTTGATAGGAATGGTCAGCAAGATTGGTAAGAAGGGTGGGTATAAACTGAAACTCCGGCATTCTGCAGGTCGGTTAATAACCATGAGAAGAAGAAGAAGAAGAAGAAGAAGACAAGAAGAACTATTTCAGGTAAGATATGCAGATTTACCTCACAGACAAGAGAGAGGATAAGGTAGTTGATCGTCACATTCCGATACAGTGCCAGTGTGAAGCAGACCAATAATGTTAGATGATGAACAAGTATTGAAGGAATCCAGCCACTGTACAGCCGATAACGAAGCATGTCCAACTGGTCATAAGCGAAGTAACCACAAGAGAAGCACAATGCCGTGTATGCACCCCACCATGCTCCACCGAAGAGTTGTGAATGGTCAAACATGGAACCGAGGCCTTTGTCTAGCCATTGGTTTACCAAAATGAGAACAACTGCACATCACCAAATTGGACAAGATATTTAGATCTGAAGGGATAATCCGAAGTGGCCCTGATCCCATGAACAGATTCCAAAGATAAAACACCAAGTTTCTACAACGAGTGCAATGATAAATCCTGCCATCTACCAGAGAGAATGTGTCGAGAACAAAATTGTATTCAACCACGACATGTGATCGAACTAAAAGATGGTTTCTAGCCCTCAATTTCATATTGCTCGTGAATCACGTAGCTATGAGTTTCTGGAAGACAAGTGGCTACGGATGTCTTCACTTGGAGCCCCTTTCATCGCCTCCCATCAGATTCATTCCCTCTAGCTATTCTACCCTTTCACTTTCACCGCATGGAAGATACACCGTGGCTATGGTCATGGAATCGGGAAGCTCTATTGAAAGATTGAAAAAAACCTAGAGCCCTCTCCGGAGTGCTCGTCCTGTAGCACCAAAAATATCTGGCTAACAATCGTACAACCACAAGAATCGCACACCACTTTCCACACAGATACGGATAGAGTTGGTGGGGGTGGGAGGGGGATTGCCTAATTACCTGAAGCAGAGGTTACAGTAGAATGAATCAAGGAGACGGAGGTGTTGACGAAGAGAGGGTCCCTGGAGAGTGAGCAGCGCACGATCCAATTCGCCCCCTGGTAAAAGCAGAATCCCCCGACGACCGCCAGGAGATCTCTTTTCCCTTTGAAGGATATCTCGAATGCCACCGATATGCCCCACAGAACCATAGTAGCCCCGAAGAACAATGCGCTGCTCCGTTGCTGCTGCTGCTGCTGTCCTGCCCTTGCCATTGCCCCAGTCCTACCTTCGCTACTTTCCCCACCTCGCCCCCTCTTCACCCCTGCAAACCTCTCCTGTTCTCCAGCTCACTGATTAGGGCGGCGCCGGCGCCGGGCGCCTCCAGAAGAGAATCCCGATCAGATCACGCGGGGGATCTCCTTCGCCATGACGGCAGGACAAGCGGTAGAATATTCCATGTTGGAAATATTCAATTTTCTTTTAAAAAAATCCACCATAATCTGTATAATTATATGAATAAATATAATTAAATATTATGCTTTTAATATCTACATATTAGGAGTGTTTTTAGACAAGTTATTGCTTCCCACATACTTAACTAGGGCCATTAGGCGTAAGCATGAGCTTGGCTTAGCAATATTTATTTAAATAAATATTGAGACCCCTCATATTAATGCTGCTTAAATAAATATTTTTACTTATAGATTTACACATTTTTCTAATGGGCTTTTATTTTTATTGTCAACAAATGGGGCTACTTCATATGCCAAATTTTAATGGGCTCAATATGGAGCCCCCATTATAGAGGCCTACACCCTCTAGTAAATTTGGGCTAGGAACCCAATCATGATGATCAAATAATTATTTAAATTTATTAATAAATACTTATCTATTAACATGAAATATATATCTCAAGTTTTTGCTGAGGAGTCTTGGTGAGATAATACCTCATTTGATGATCATGAGAGGGAACCACTAATACTAGAATGTCCTCTCATTAACCTCATATCTCTATCTCTCTCTCTCCCTCATTATATACAATTAGCCTAAAATTTCTATTCTAGGTAATTACTACTATCATTATATTGTGATTCCCACTTATGTCAAGATGACACTACTTAAATGATAATTAACCATAATTTTTAGGTTAAAGAACAAATAAATGAAATAGTGTGGCTCTACTGACAATTTAAGAGTTCATGGGTTTCATAGTGTTTGAGTGAGAGGTCTACACCCATTTCCCTCTTCTCCTAAATCTCTCTTATCTTCTATCTTTCACATGCTTGTGGTGCCCCTCGGAGGCATGCATACATGCCATGCCATGATGCTATGTGACATGAGGTCACACATGACACCATGTCATTACATGCCATTAGGATGGCCAATCATGCAAGCAACACACACTAAGCAGTTGAAGAATGCATGTGCATGATTTGCAATTTTGGGTGCAGATGGCAGATAGTAATTCTCATACCATGGGACACATAAATTAAAGGGTTGTGATGCCAAGATGAAGTTGATCTTATACACAAAGGCACAAGTATATAATTGTTTTTCTGTATTTGATGGAGGTTCTTAAACATTATAATAGATAATGATAGTCCCAATAACATGTGACAAATCTATCAAGAAAACATTGAGACATATGATATCATAGTCATGGGGATGGTATGGTGGTGAAGAGTGAAGCTTTAAGCCAATACATTCCTCCCTTTGAGAAGTAGATTGCCTTAGTCCTCTTCTTGCCTTAGTTCCCTTCAAGGGAACAACTGTAGGAGAAGTGAATTGGTCATTTTTTTCTTCTGATGGGTCAAGATAGGAAATAATTTGGCATAATGAATGAAGAATATTACAATTTATGTGAATCGATTGTCATGAGTTTTGTATAGGTGTGAGATTCTTCTATTGATAATATAAGATCTAGTTTTGATCATCGGATTACTAGATTATTTTGAAGTGTAGTCGTATATACTATCATATTGATAATACCCATATCATGTTGGAAAATATTCATGAAAAAGTAGTTTACTAAAATACAATCACATGAAACTTATCGACTGAATAACACAAATTCTCAATCGTCATTTCATGGTCCTACCCATGGATGACAATGTTGCCATAATAGGTATGACCTTGTTACAAAGGCTCTCACTCAGGCATCTTGCCAATTTCCATACCATTCTCCTCACACTTGACTTCATGCTTTGTTAATTTACCCTTTAGATCCCACTATGTGGCCATCTAAGAACCATCAATAAAATTTTTTGTTACACAACACATGAATCGACAAATTTATCAACAATTTCACCCATATGCCCCCAAATAAACAGATTCAATCTTCCTCCCTTGAACAGGCGCTATGAAGCCTCAACTCTTTGACTCATATCCATTTGCCCATTATCTAGTCAATTAGAATTTTCCATGGCTTATGAGATATTTGATTTTCTCCTTGTTATATATTTATTAGTTTAATATAGTCCTACTCTACATGTATTTTCTCGACAAGCATAGTCCCATGTATTTTATCTTGAAAGGGCCAAGTAAATGAGGGTACCCTTTTATTAATAGGGATTACCCAACGTACAATATATTTTTTTTATATTTTAAAATTGACTGCAACATGTAATAATATTGGGCCAAAAATTCCCAAATTAGAATAATCTTGAAAATGCATAGATTCAAGTGTTCAACTAAATTGCCTGGCGTGATAGGAATAACAAGTCTATGAGAAGACCAAGGTGGGCCCATTAAGGCCCATACATGGGCTTCATAAGACCCTGAATCAATACTTCATGAGGTTAGGCATTATTCAACATCTCATGAGCCTAGGCACAAGTGTGGATGAGCATCATATGTGGCGCAGAGGACAATAGAGTTATGATCCGATGACTAAATAATGATATGACGCCAGGCACAACTGGAGAAAAATCTGGAAGTATCTGCCCGGGAGGAGACACTCCAGCCACGAGTTTCGGCCAACGGGCAGGATTTTTTCCCCGATACATTTCCCGGCAATCGATCTGACGACCACGAAAGTGATGCGTTTCGTCAGAGAAACTGGCCGACGACTTTTTAAAATACATGACACAACATGATGTATGTTGTTGTCATGAGATAACTATGTGTCTGTATCTCTCTTGCTTGCACGCGTTTTGGACAGACGTCGGATCGAGGGCCGCGCAGATTTCTTCAGCTGGCTAGCTCGATGAGATACCCCGAGACTGCGAGCTGGCATTGCTCAGCGGCCGACGTGGCGAGGAAGAGGATGGGACGAACTAGGGACGGATTGCCGCGTGGAGAGCTGCTCTCCACGAGCGAAGCGCAGCGCTTGGTTTCCTGTACGCGTGGCGGTGCCCGGGAGGCGAACGGAGATCGCGGGCAACAGGAACCTCTTATCGCCAACCCCTCGGAAAAATCTCTTCTAGTAAATAGAAAAATCTCAGTTTTCTTTCTCATCCCGGAGTCTTCTCTCTCCTCTCACCTTCCCTCACTCCTCCGGCGCCGCCGCACCGTAGGATGACGACGGTGGCAGCTCTCTCTCTGCTGCCCACCTCGCTCTACAGACCCAGCACCAAAATATACACCAAGAGGGTAAGCTTCAATCAGCCATTAGGGATCACAATTTCTGCCCAGAGCCATTGTATTCTTCGTCCAGAGTAGCCAATGTATTTCCCTGTGATAACTAATGGGTGCCCGGAATTTGCAGAGTGTTCCTGGGAGATGTGGATTTAGGGTGGTGGCGGTGTTCGGAGAGGAAGGTGTAGGCGGTGGCGGAAGCCTGGAGAGGAAGAGCACCTGGGAAGCTATATTTGATGTGGAGGACCCCAGGCCGCTGCAGCCGTCGTCCAAGGGGAAGTTCCTAGACGCGAACCAAGCTCTGGAAGTGGCCAGATTTGATATTCAGTACTGTGACTGGAGGGCTCGCAACGATCTGCTCGCTATAATGCTTCTTCACGAGAAGGTGACGATGACTCCATCGCTTACCCTTCCATATTATCTCTTTTTTACCTCTCTGCCATGTTTTTTTCTCGCTGCTGATTGCTTGAGGATAATTTATCTGATTTGTGTACACTGTTCAGATGAACACAAGTCCGTATATAATATGAAAGTTTGCCGTTTCATTTATAGATGATAACTTAGATCATTGTCTAAGTGGAAGCACAATCTTCTCATCTCTGACGACTTCTGGGCTAATCCGGTGGCATTCATGAAAGGAGATCCCAAAATTATTGATCTTGAACCTCTTCAGAGCACCATTAGCAGATCGCAATCTTTCAAAGCTCGGAGTTTCCCAAAATGGGTGACCCCCCATCTGCTATCTTGTGGCTAAATCATCATTCATGGATTCAGGTTGTGGAGGTCCTCAACCCTCTAGCGAGGGAGTACAAGTCGATCGGAACCATGAAGAAGGAGCTGGCGGAGTTGCAGGAGGAATTAGCTCAGGCCCATCAACAGGTCTGAAAATATCTATACTTAACTTAGTATAATCCACTTGTTCATATGAGTAATAGGATGATTAGATGCGACTGATCCCTCCCTGTGCAGGTCCATATTTCTGAGGCGAGAGTGGGGGCTGCTTTGGACAAGTTGGCATATGTGGAAACCTTGGTGAATGACAAACTGCTACAGGAAAAGGACACCAGAGAAATCAGCTCTGACTGCTCCTCGCTCAGCGCGAGCACATCCTCCCCATCTGCAGAGACAATGATGAAGCAGCCGCGAAGAAGAGGCTTTAATGTGTCTGGCCCGGTCCAGCCATATCACCCGAATCTCAAGAATTTCTGGTACCCCGTTGCATTCTCCAGAGATCTTAAAGAGGACACAATGGTGAGTTAGACAGATATCAGCTGCTTTGACCCCAAAAAAAGGGAAAAAAGAGGAGAAATCTTCTCATGCTGATGCCTAAATTTGGAATGCTTTCTTCTTTTAGGTACCTATAGACTGCTTCGAAGAACCGTGGGTTATATTCCGGGGAAAGGATGGAAGACCGGGATGTGTTCAGAACTCGTGCGCTCACAGAGCATGCCCTCTTGACCTTGGCTCGGTGAAGGAAGGCAGGATCCAGTGCCCTTACCATGGTAGGACATACAGATCACAGTGTGCTCATAACTATTGTATCTGGCTCATAATTTTAGTTAATTTATAGTTAATTATTGTATCTGGCTCATAATTTTCTTGTTTGGGGTTGATTCAGGGTGGGAGTATTCGACCGATGGGAAATGCCAGAAGATGCCTTCCACAAAAATGCTCAACGTAAGAATCAAGTCGTTGCCATGTTTCGAGCATGAGGGCATGATCTGGGTCTGGCCTGGCAGTGACCCCCCCACCGCCACTCTTCCCTCTCTGCTTCCCCCTCCAGGATTTCAGATTCACGCAGAGGTAAACTGGCCAATTTCCAGAAAAGGAAGGAAACCCATGTGCAATTTGTTTGGATTTTACTTAAAAATCCTTCATTTTTAGGTTTGGAATGATAAGGTGTAACGAGATTTAGCCATATCTATTGGGAATAACGTGATATTCTGGCGCCATCTATGATTGTGTGAACAGATTGTGATAGAGCTGCCGGTGGAGCACGGGCTTCTTCTGGACAATCTCCTCGACCTCGCTCACGCCCCATTCACCCATACCTCCACCTTTGCAAAGGGATGGGCTGTGCCGAGGTGGGTTCATCTCTTCCAGCGATAAAATGAATTACCATGAAGAACCAGTTTTCCTCGAATATTAACCCAACGGTTCTTCCGAATGGCCTAAATTAGAAATGAAAAAAAAAATTACTTGCTATTTCTGGCTTATATTGAACGGGAAATTATTTTTGACTGTGCTGTGAAAACTGCAGCCTGGTGAAGTTTCTGACGCCTTCCTCGGGACTTCAAGGGTACTGGGACCCGTACCCGATCGACATGGAGTTCAAGCCTCCCTGCATGGTTCTGTCAACAATCGGTATCTCAAAGCCCGGGAAACTGGAGGGACAAAACACCAGGGAGTGCTCGACGCACTTGCACCAGCTTCATGTGTGCCTACCTTCCTCGAGACAGAAGACGAGGTTACTCTACAGGATGTCTCTGGATTTCGCCCCCCAGCTGAGGCACGTCCCTTTCATGCACATCCTGTGGAGATACTTTGCCGATAAGGTAACATAACGCAGACCATCCCCTTCAGAATCACCCTCCATATAGACTCATATATATATGTTTCCTAAATTTAGCATATACTTTTTAGTTATTCACCTTCTTTGAATTTTTCATTGAGATATCGTGGATTTCAAACACCCGTTTAAATCAAATGGATTATTGATTAAGAAGTCTAATTAAATTTTCTAGGTAGATATGTTTTTTTCAACAGAGTCTGATTATGGGTAAGTAATTGGAAAGATGAGTAAAAGCTTGCGATTTTGAATACAACTGATGATCTTGATCTATGAATTCCCTTGATTCGGCCGTGACCCATCTCTGACTGGGGTCATCTTGAATCCAGGTGCTAAATGAGGACCTGAGGCTAGTGCTTGGCCAGCAGGATCGGATGATCCATGGGGCCAACGTTTGGAACCTGCCTGTTTCATACGATAAGCTTGGGATAAGGTACCGGCTATGGAGGGAATCACTTGAAGGAGGATCTGATCAATTGCCATTCAACAACTAGGCATCATTTCAGCTCAATATTCTTCCATAATTCCCTGATACCTGGGTAGCTGATCTGGGCAAGTGGAGGCAGGGTGAACCCCTTGGAGGACTATAACTCTTGGGATCAAGCCCTCCTTGGGAGTGCAGGAAGGTGAAAGATTTGTTCCAGAAGATTTGATTTCAGCCTCCATATTGCGGACGGGCCAGCGCAGGTGATGTTCTTGAATTCCAGGTGATGCTATCTGGGTAGCCCAGGTGATGTTCTTGATTTTTTTTGTACATTAATTACTCGGGGCTTTCTTCTTGCCCCCTTTTTCTTCTCCCCTCCCTCCTTTTCTTCCCCATCTCCGAATTTCTCTGAGAATATTCAAGTCTAACAGCCCCTCACCATCCTTGTAAGGCTAATTGGCTATAATGACTGCCCAGTGTGGGTAGGTTTTGCTGATCAGTCATGCTGAACAACTGATTCATCCTGTAGAAATAACATTCCTTGTTCATCTCGAGTTCCAAGGAAATTCCAAACGACTCTTCTCCTTTGTATGATCTTCAATCGCTGTCAATGAGAGTGTGTGGGAGAGAGAGAGAGAGAGAGAGAGAGAGGGAGAGAGAGAAGAGAGAGCTTGTATGATGAAGTTCCTAGCGTTGACCGGTTGTTCTGTAGGGAAAAAACAGGGTTTCTATGAGGAAATAATCTGAGGCTATTAGTTTTTTATCCAGCATTGGTCTTACATGAACAGGAGTACCTGTGGGTCAGACCAAGCCCAGGACTAGCTAGCTCCAGCTCTTGAAGATGACTCGCTTTCCTTTTCCTCTAAGCTACAAAATATTGTTAAAATTATTTTCAGAAACTTAAATATTCAGTTTCTAACCTGGCATTTCAGGATAAATTAATAATAAAATACTAAAAAAAAGGCGACATAGATATATATATATATATATCTATAGCGAGAGAGAGAGAGAGAGAGAGAGAGAGAGAGAGAGAGAGAGAGAGAGAGAGAGAGAGAGAGAGAGAGAGAGAGAGAGAGAGAGGTTTGATTTATTTTGGGGAGGTTAAATGTTAAATAGAAAATTATCAAAAATCAAAGTCCCATCTAGGCTTCCCCGAGACAAACTCTTGGCTACAATTTTTTCTTAAACAAGTTAGCCTCAAAATAGCAATTAGTCCTTCTCATCGATTTTCCCTGTTCCCCTGGAGATTCCCCCCCCCCTCTCTCTCTCTCTCTCTCTCTCTCTCTCTCTCTCCCGGTTGGGGGGAGACGGGTCCTACTCTGTAGTGAGTCCATGGACATCGACGGGATGGGCCCCGCCGGGCTCGATATGACCGGCCCAGGCCCAGTTTCTTTTAAGACTTCAGATTCGGTACTGCATTAGCAGACCAAGAGGGAGTACCCGAAGAAGGCATCGGCGTGACCAACGACGGGCGGCGGGGGCGGCATCGGCGTCGCGTCGAGCGACTCCAAGGTGGAGACGCTATCGCAGTGCAAGATCGAGATCTTCGGGCATTGCTCCTACCCTCTCTCCGATGCCTTCAGGTTCTCCTCTGCCGTGTGGGGATCGCGCCGAGTCGATGAGCTTTCATTTCGGAGAATAGCTTCCGGTGCTTTTTCCGTTCTTCTGATAGGTAACCGCTAGGATTTCGTATTCGGTACTGCTTTAGTTGATCAGAAGAAGTAACCGAACTATTTTGAAACGGGGGTAAGCGAGCTGCGGACGAGGCCGATCGCATTGATGAGCTTTCCAGGAATAGCTCTGGAGCACGAAAGAGATATAGCGCATCATGCTGTTCCCGTTCCGGGTGGTGGCTCATTCCCTGCTCCCCTCCCTCCCATAATCACCTCTTTTCTGGTGAAACATTCATTTGCCCTGTTTCCGATGTTCTGTTGAAGCATGCAATATAAGGGCACAGACGGCAGTGCTTAGTCGCCACAAGCAGCGGGGGCGGTGTTGCCGGCGCGTGGAGAGACTCAAGGTGGAGACCGTATCGCGGCTGGCGCAGTGGGAGATGGAGATGCCGCCTGCTGCCGTTCTACCATTTTTTCTTGCGTGAGTAAATCATGGCTGAATATTTTTTCGCGGTTTTTAACTCCCGACGTGACGTAACACGAATGCGATCTGCAGCATCATGGAGCTTCAAGCTTTGGCTTGCCCGACTCTCGTGGAGACTCTTCAAGCATCATGGTACTGTCGAGATCCTCAAGGAGGCTGTTCCCACAGCACTTCTTAAGCATTGGAATTTGATACTCGTTCGAGGCTGTTAGAAGAGCCTGATGCTGGGCATCAAAATTTGTATACTTCAGCATTCCATAGAGAAAGTCGCGCTGCAATTCTCGATCTCAACGATAGAAGACTTACTCTCCCGGAGTCGATGCACAAACATGCTTTTGAAAACGGGGGAGCCGGCCGCCAGGACAGCCGTGTCCATGAAGAAACACCACCGGTCAGGGTTAGTCTTGGCAGGCGGCTCACTCGTTTTCAAGAGTATGTTCGTGCATGAACTCGAGAGAGGATTCCTCTGTCGTTGAAATCAAAAACTATAGTGCACTCATCGATCATATTTATGGAACATTAAAAGACAAAAGTTTCGAAATCATTGTCAGTCTGTTCTAACAGCCTCGAACAAGTATCAAACATCAGAGCTTAAAGAATGATCTAGATATAGCCTCCTAGAAGATATCGACAGTCTCCACAAGGCATGGGTCTACAACCTTGATGGCTTGAAGGAGGACTGCCTCGACTTCACCTTTAACTTTGAAATTTTTTGACAATGAAGGAGAAAACCTTAGAATCTATAGAAGAGAATAAAGGACCACATGTGTCTATATAGGAAAGGAGAAGAGAAGATAGAATAATATGCCCTAATAGGTTAGGAGTCCGATGACACTATCAAACACTTCTCTTTAAGCTGAAGCATAGAAGTCGAACATGCCCAACTTGGTACATGTGGTATCATAGGAGATCCCGACCAAACTTTTCATGAAGACATTTATGAATTAATGAGATGAGGTCATATGAGTAGAGATAAGACCAAACATAACTTTGTCTTGAATGTAATGACATTCAATCTCAATATATTTCGTATGCCCATAAAAGATGTGATTACCAGCAATGAAGATATTGGTTTGATTGTCACAATACATGAGTATTTGAGAAGGATAAGAGATGTCGAGATCTTTGAGAAGTGATCTAAGTCATACCATCTCCAGCATGATCTTAGTTATGACTCGATACTCAGACTTCGTGTTGGAGCAAGACACCACCCTTTGTTTCTAGGACCGCTTGATGATGAGATTACCTCCGACATATGTGCAGTAACCCCTAGTAAACTTTCGGTCACCCTTGTCACCTTCATATCCATCATTAGAATAGGCTTCGACATAGAGATGGCCGTGTCGCCAATAGATGAGTCATTTTCTTGGGGCTTACTTAACATATGTTAGAACCTATAGAATTCTCACCCAGTGAACTCATCGTGGCTCCTACATGAACTGACTCAGAACACTAATCGTATACACGATGTTGGGTGAGTGACAATAAGATATATCAGCTTGCTCAACATTCGTCTATATTGATTAGCATCCTCAAGGAGTGGAGAGAAAGTGTCCCAGAACTATGGATGTGCTTTTATGGACAAAGTCTCTAGCTTACCTTTAAAGAGTCTAGTCTCCTAAAGTATGTCGAGATCATACTTTCATTGGGTCATGGAGAACTTCTTGTCCTAGTACGTAAACTTGATCCCAAGAAAATATCTTGGAGTCTCCAAGTCAAGGATGTTGAAGTGCTGCTGCATATAAGCTTTGGTAGAATGAATGCCGGCTTCATCATTTTCAGTCACAAGAATGTCGTCGACATATACTGTAAGAATGACTAGGTCACCCTTAATCTTTTTTGTGAGTGCAATGAGATCTGGATCACATGACGAGAAACCAAATATGGTGAGAAGACCATTGAACTCAATTAATCAAGTGCGTTAATTGTACTTGAGTTTGTAAATCACCTTCCGCAATAAACACATCTTAGATGACTTTTCTTGAGCAACATACCTCGAAGGTTGCTCCATAAAGACCTACTCTTCAAGATCACCATAGAGAAAGATGTTATAAACATTCAATTGGTAGAGAGACCATGTCTGATTTATGACAAGAGAGAGAAACACTCAGACATAAATGAGTTAGATGACGGGAGAGAACGTCTCAGTATAGTCGATGCCATACACTTGGGTGAAGCTATGAGCAACCAAACAAGTCTTGTGACATGTAATAGTGCCATCTAGATGGTAATTGAGTGTGAACACCTATTTGCATGTGATGATGTTGACATTTCCTAGACAAAGAACTAGTGTCTAATTCCCCTGAGATACCAAGGCGTCCACTTTTGACTCCATGGCCGCATTTCACTTAGGTACCTGTGCTGCCTCAACATGCGAGTGAGGAATTGACTCAGAGGCCATAGAAAGATCAAAGGTACGAAAGGAGGGAGAAAGGTAATCGTAGGAAATGAAGTGATAGATGTGGTGTTGGGTCTAAGTATGGGTACCTTTGCGTAGGGTGATGGGAAGATGAAGATCATCTTGAAGAGCACTAGGGACATTAGCAGGAGGCACATGCGACTCGATGGAGAAGGGGGATGACGGATTTATTACTGAAGTAGAGGAGGCTGGTGGAGATGGAGAGCCAAGAGGAGGAGGTGATAGTGGAGAAGATAGATGGAAGGGAGTCAAAGGAGATAGATCTAAAAAGACGACCAAGGGGGGAAAGTTAGGTGGAGGAGAGGCGGCGGCTCAAGAAGGAGGAGGGAAGGTAGAGGAGAAAAAGGGAGACTCCTCATGCAAGGTGTCAAGAAAGTAAACTTGATAGCCCTTCAATGTTCAAGAGTAGCAAACAAAGACTCATTTGAGAGCACGAGGGGCGAGTTTGAATAGGGAAAGAGAGTAATCCTCAGATCCAAAGACCTGAAGAAGAAGGAAAAATAAGGGTGAGGTAAGTAGGAGGCATTGAAAGGAAATGACCTCACCTATAGGAGTGGAGGGAAGCTGATTCTGGAGTTAAGTGGCTGTCATGAGGGCATCAATGTATAGATAGTGTGGGACATTTATCTCAAGAAGTAAGGTGTGAATGATGTCAATGAGTTGTCGATGTTTGCACTCAATGACATCGTTTTATTATGAAATATAAGGGTAACTGGTCTAATAGATAATGCCATGATCGGCACAGAAGGTTTAAAGAGAGGTTTGAACAAACTCGACGACATTGTTGGTACGAATTTTTTTAGACGTAATAGAATATTGAGTGATGACCTCCGTGATAAAGTGTGTAGCAATAGTAAAGACTTAGGAGCGGTCGCGTATGAGGTATACCCAACTCACATAGGTGTAGTCATCAATAAGAATGATGTAATATCGGTGGCCCGAGAGAGAAGTAGTACAAAAAAGATCCCATACATCACAATGGAAGAGATCAACAAGGGTAGAAGAAGAAATATCATCTCAACTAAGGTAGGAAGAATAGTGATGTTTACTCAATTGACATGACTTGAACACAAACTTCTTATGAGAAAATCATGGTAATATTTTAAAGTTTCTCAAAATAAAGATGGCCTAACTGCTGATGCCATAAGAGGAAAGAAGTGGTGGCAAAGACAACACAAAGGGCCTGAAGACCAGAAGAAAGTTAAGTGGAAATGAACTCGTAGACACTTTGTTCATTCTCACAGATCGAACTAATCCTCCGCCTTGTGTGTAGATCTTAAAAAGTACAATGAAAAGGAAAAAAAGATAATAGTACAACCAAGGACACGAGTAATGACACTAATAGAGAGAAGGTTCACAGGAAAGCCAGAAACATAGAGTAAGGTAAAATAAGTTCTTCTTCAGGCGGTCGAGCTGGTGAATCCATGCCTCGCGGAGCCTCTCGAGCACGTTGCCAGAGGTGAGGTCCTCCAGGAGGCTCTCCTCACAGCACTCCTTCAGGTCGGCGAGGTCGTGCTTCTTGGCGGCCGCGAGCAGCGCCACCGGGTGCTTCAAGAAGACCTCTTGCCGGACGACGCCGTAGAGGTAGTTCAAGAGGGCCCCGCAGGCTTCCAAGGACACGTCCTTGATCACAATGACGGAGGACTTCTCCTCCCGGTCGTCGTCCAACAACATTCTCTTCAAGACAGGTGAGCTCGCCGTCAGGAGGGCCTTGTGTGCGCGCAATGTGCCACTGGCCGTGTTCGTGGTGATGTCTGCGTGGATATCCTCTTCCAGCGTGTGAGAGAGGCACAAGCGTGTGGACTCTGCCGCCAGAGACTGCATCACTGCTCGAAGCGCCAAATTGAAGATGCCTCTCCGCCTTGGTTCCACGAGAAGAAGAGGAAGCGGAAAAGAGGAGTAGAAGACGATTAGCGACTGATGATCGTATTTCAATCCTAAACACCGAGAGAAGTTCTATGAATATATATACATCTGAAATTGGAGCAAACAACCTTGCGGCGAGCGTGTATGAAAAAGAATCATACGGATCTTCACAAATTTTTAAAACTAGTGAACTTCCTCCTTACTAGTTAGATTGTCAACGACACCAGATTTTTGTGGTGTACTCTCGTCAATATTTGAGCCTGAATTAAAACTTAAAGCTGTGTTACAATAATGTCTTTCACGAGGAAGAAACATAGTAGGTCAGTCGTTATAAGATAAATTTAATGGAGAATCAGTGATTTAGGTATGAGGAAGTTACCTCGGCTTTAAACTCTTTTGGCCCTTGGGAAGATGTTTTTGATAGCATCTTTACTACAGCTTCAATTCCGTTTCTTAAGTAACCATGGTATACTATTCCAAGGCCACCTTTCCCAATCTGGTTTTGAAAGTTTTTAGTGATCTCTACAATCTCTACGAATGTGAATTGGTTACTCTCTAAATGTAAATTTTCTGGTGGTCTCCTCGACTGAAGGTCTGGAATGGTGCTCGAGATTTCCAGTGTCCAAAAATAACATATGTCAGAATAGCACGTAGCATATGCTACGACACTGTTAAGTACTAGATTCTCATGAATGTCTACATGGAAGAGATAATTTGCAACATGACGCCGCTCTATTAACAATTAATTCTATGGTAATTATTTTCTAACATTTGAGTACTAATCTTCATATATCTTCACTATAGTCTGGTTTCTTGTAATAGATTTTATAGTAATTATGTGTATTTATAGTCTTTTTGTGAATGATGTTAGATTTGGTTGATGCATTGTTGAGTTTAATTCATTCATTTCTTATATGTTCTTATGTTTTTCTCATCTGTTATAAGCTGCAATTCTTTCCCTGTGGTTGTGTTAGTCCTCCATTATAGCTTTTTTAGCGTAGGAACTATTGTTCTCTTCTTAGCTTCATTTGATCTATTTTACAGCCTTACGCATTATTTCTGCGTGGTGTGATAACAAGAAACAAAGGTTTACTTAATAAAAGTATTCAATATTTGAGGACTAGCTACGAATAAATATGTCTAGCGACGTTCATATAAAACACTTGGAAAACACTTAATTATACTTCATTCACTTTTATACATTTATTTCCTTTATAACAAATTACAATCCAAGCTTGAAATCTTTTTGCATATATATATATATATATAACACGCACTGAATCTGAGCATTTTGTTTTCAGAATGGCATTGCTAAAAGTAACAAGAGTATCACATTAATAGCATACTGTATAAAGCCTTCTATTATAGTGGATAAAATTTATCTCACATGGTAGTATAATGTATAAAACATATTTCTACAATAATATTTTAATGAAATACTAGAATTATTATTTCTGATAATCAAATCCATATTTAGTGTATCCACTAGCATCGAACACATCTTCCGTACTCTAAGTGGAGATGTTTTAATTATTTGAAATTTTCTTTCTTTAGAGTTTTCGTATTTCAGTTTCTGGTAAGAACTGAGCTGACTTATAACCCGTATCTTTAAGAAAAGAAACTTGCGGAGAAAAAAATGGCACAGGGCGACTGGTACATTTACAGGGGATATCTTCAAATCTAAGAACTCCACGTCGATTTGTGAACTTCCCGTCGAAGGCTGAATTCATCGCCAGGAAAATTCCTCACCGGTGTGTAGCAGCTTCTCAAGTAGTATAACGTGGAAAACGGGTACTGGATTAGAGGATACAAGTAAATAAATCTGTTGTGGTGCACAAGTCCACATGAACACTACTTTGCCTTCTCCCTCTCAGAAAGAACAAAGCCAAGTCACCCAAACCAAAGCTGCATCTTCCATGATGATATAATGTACACAAAAAGGGAGAAGAATGGACTGCTCAATGCCCGTTTTAGAAAACGAGCCGTTCTCAGGAATGTGACACGTTGCTTCTAATTACAGGAATGAGGGAAAAATAGCCAAGTGCTTTCCATAAGAAGAACGAAGAAGGAGAAGAAGATAGAGATGAAAATGCCAAGAACATGTATTCACTCAAAGAGGACTGATGACAATTCTTCATGGAGGACGGTTCTAGTACGCCGTCACATTTTACTGGTTGCTGCAAATCAAAAGATAGAGAAACGTCGAGGGCTTCCGATGTGAAAGAGGAAGGGGAGGGAGGTGAGACAATTGCATGTGTTGAAACAAGTGAGGAGAGGATCTGCTGAGCTTTCAGGCGGGGTGTGCCCACAGTACCGACGACCCCTTACCAAGAGCCCTGCATCAATCTGCCGAACGGTCCACTGTGGGGGTACAAGAGAGGCTCGATGGAAGGCATACAGGGCCTTTACCGATCCTGCCGGACAGAACCCACCCACCTATTCACTTCGGCCCGTTTTTCATCCTACGGGGTTGGGTCCTTTCTCGCCGTGCATGGCAATTCCGTTACAGTAATTTCATAAAAACCCTCTACATGAGTTTTCTTGTGCTTGTAACCTATTCAAGAACCTCGCCATCCTGGCGCCGCCGGCCGGTTTGCGGGCGAAGAAGGCCTTACAGGTTACAGAGGATGTGGGAGACGATACGTAGCCCCGGTGTAGAGAGAGAGAGAGAGAGGCGGAGGTAGAATTAAAATGAGCTTCCCCACTGGTGTCCGGTATCCTGCTCG